TAAAAAATTTAAAAAAAGATTTTGGATTTTTTTTTTTTTTAATCTTTGTTGAAAAACAGGATACTTAACAACAAAAAACTTCAAAACATAGAATTGTATTATTTTACTATAAAAAATAAAAAAAAACTTCAAATATTGTCTAAAAATCACTTTTTATTTTCTTAATGATCAAAAACAAGAAACACCTTTAATATTTTTTTAATATTGAAAATTATAATACTTAACATGTGAAAAAAATAATAAGATCTTGAAGCTTATATACATTGTTATTCTTAGGTAAAAAAAAATCTTCAATGGTTTAATATTATAATGTTTATTAAAATCTTTTTCCATACTAGAAACAAAATTTCCATTTAATTTATGATTATTAAGAGAGTTTTTATTACTTCATATATATATATTTAATGTAAGGTTTAAGCTGAATGTAGAGTTTAATGGCAGAAGAGCCAGAATCAGCTATACTGAGTTTAACAAAAAGAGTACTCTGTAATCTAGCGGAACTAAAAAGTCTCATGCAAAAAAGGTAAATAAAGGTAATCAAGACATTTTACGGTTCTAGGACTAACCTCTATCTGAAGAAGATTTATCTGAACACAACTTCAACACCAGACACACACTTTCCCAAAAAAGTTATTTTATTAACACACAATATATTCAAAACTAAACATTAAACATTTTCACCAGTATTTTTTAAAGCCTCACATAAGACTAAAGGCAAACTGATTTAATAATGAACTAGTCCTGTCAGGTTTAGAAAAATGGTAACACATACAACAATAACGATTAAATATATAAAAGGTTTTCAGCCATTTAGTAACACACTTTGTAAATAATTTAACTCCAATAGCAACAGAAACATGACATATACTTACAATACAGTGAAATTACATTTAGAATTGGGCAAAGAAGAATTAGAATTTGGGCAAAAGTATCGATATCAAATTGTTAGAGATCAAGTCAAAAATTATTCTAGGTTTCAGAGAGCATTAAAAAACTTTACACAGACTATAATTGATGCATCAATCATTTAAAAAAATAATTTTAACTAATAAATATCTAGCTATGAAACGATCACAAAATTTCGACGTAAATTATTATGCATTTAATTCTTTTAAAATCTATCAATGGGTGAGTTCTATGTCACTTGAGCGTTTGACACCCACTTATAATTCCTTCAACTTTTGAAAGGAAATTAAGACTTTTCGAACAATCTAGTTAATAACTTCCATGTGACATCTTTTATCAATATTATAAATAATTCCGTCCGAAAAATAAACTATAACAAAAAAATTTAAAATATTTGAGATTAATAAAATTAAATTCACAATTTTTAGGAACTTAGAGAACATTCTTACTGAATTTTGTTCAAATCTACAGTTCATATGAATTTTTATTTTGATAAAAAAGTAGCAATAAAAAATGCAGTCGCCGCAGAGTTGGAATATATTTGAAATTAAGATTAAAAGTTTGTTTCCAAAACACTTTAATTTTAGACAAAATCGTTTGTTTATAACAAGATGGCACAACTTCTGATTCCACTTATCTCCGAAAATTAAAACCGATTAAGCTTATCAATCGTCTTCTAATGGCAGTACCAGGACAATTTGTGTGTGTTCTTTGTTTAGATTGACAATAATATTTTTAATATTTTCTCGTTTGACTTCTGAAAAGAAAGTAGGTTTCCATATATATATCAGAAATAAAAGTTTTAATTCCTTTATTTATTCACTGTTTAAGTTAACAATGCATTCAAAATATATTTTAGTGAATACAGTTGAAGGAATGCTGTTTATTCTTGAAATCACAAAATATAATAATTTAATGAGTCTCTAGCAATTTGAATTAAGTATGCAAAATGATTTTAATATGTTTTAATGTGTTTATCTTTTTTAATATGTTAATCTTTTTCAAACTAACAAAAAAGTTTTCATGTAAGATTTTTTTTATTCAAATATTCTAGTATTAAAATATTTAATTTTAAAATACTAAATAATTTTCAAAATAGTGGCATTTTCACTAATGATTTTTATCATTAAACAAACTGTGTTACGATCAATAAAGGAAATTTATTGACAAGATTTCATTCATTGATTAAATATTCTTCAGCTATTTACTTAGCAAGTTTCAAACCAAAAACAATGTTAATTAAATAGCTAAGGCTAAATTACTATTAGACCAAAATGTTTTGTTTTGAAAAATATTTGATACAAATATTCAAATGATAAATGCAACAAAAAGATGTTCAGAAAATACAAGCATAATGAATGATCACAGGGCAAGTTTTTTTTTTTAAAAAAAAAAGGTAAAGAAAAAATTTATAAAATAAAACAAAAAGAATGGCAAATATTTAGAAAAATATTTCATAAGTTATAGTTAAATATATACTATGCTTGATTCAGTTTAATTAGTTACCTAAATAACTACATATTCAATGATATTCAGAAAACATCAATAAATAGAAAGTTTCTGAGATGATAAAAATAGCATATAAGAGCAGTGAATTACTAAGAGAAAACATAGAAAATTACAATATTTTTCAATACGAGCTCAATATAAAATATTTTATATATACAGTGCTCAAAATCTCCTAACAGTCAAAAAATACCATTTACAAGTGTAAATATCAAAAGTTATTCTAATTCTTTTTGGTTGTAATTTAGAGTAAAAAAAAAAATTAAATAAATAAACTAGTTTTCATCACACAGAATTCTTTATCTACTTTTAACCGCATTTCTTTCTAAAAAAGCTTATTTACAAATGATTTAAAAACCATAAAGAAGCTGAATTTTTCTGATTTAAAAATATAAAAGAAAGAACTTTATTTTTATGAAGTACTGCCTAGTTTACTAAACCCCATCAATAAAAAAGCTGAAATTCGCCGATAAATTAAAAAAAATTTTTTATTTAAGTAGCTGCACTCTTGTCTTTGTACAGAGTGGGAAAAAAATCAATAAATCAGTACTAAATAATACTTATCATGCATAAAACTGAAAGACATATACATAAATAAGGTTAAAATAATTCCAATTTTGTTTTATTTATTATATATTACCCCTTCCTTGGCCTTCCGCTATTAGATTAACAAAGTAGTTCATCACTATTAGATTAAGCAAGTTGTAGTTTTAGTAGTTCATTCAATCAAAGTAAAGTTTAACTGTATTCCTTCAGTAACATTCAAGGTCCCATAATAATTAATGTCGTTCATATTTTCATTAAAAAAATAATTTTATTATAAAATTATATATTATTTTGAAAACTTGAAAATTTAAAAACCACTTGGAAATAAACCAAAAAGTGATACTTAATTTGTGTAAAATCTATCAGAACACAGCATGGATTTAGGATCTAAGCATCACAAAGCAAGAGCAATCAGAAGTAGAATTTGCATATCGTAAGTAATAAGATATAAAAATCACCATAATTTTTAAATCACATTGAAATGGCCAAAAATACAATTGAAAAAAAATTCAAGTGAATTTGCAGTAGAATCGGCACAAATAGACTATTAAGTCTCTAATTTAAGACAATAAGATTTTACTAGCAAATTTGCTACTACTTTTTTATATAACTACAGTATCATTTGTTCAAACTAAAAATTTGCTACTTGCTATACAACAAAATTATTCCTGGATAATAAGAAGTATGTGTTATTTCTTATTTATTAATAATAAAAAATTCAAGAGAAAATACTAACAACTTCAAGTAGGAGTTTTGAAAATAAAAAAATTTTGTTTTGACGGAAACACTTGAAACGCTTCATCATGTTTTGCTTATTAAAAAAACTAAAAGTTGAAAAATGGTGAATAATGATGGTAAATGAATGGATTAGTGTACATAAATGAAATTTACAAGAAGTAAAAACCTTAAATGCATTAAACACTTAGAACATATTTACCACACTTTTTTTTTATACAACTTGAGATAAGAATCGAAATCATGAAAACAACCCAAAAAAACTCACTTATATACAACAATTATAATGTTATATAATAATATTATACAATTTATACACTCATCAGTCAACAACAAAATATAGGGAGAGAAGAAAAAAAACATTTACAAGCACCAATCATTGATTGGATGTTGACAATAAATAACAATTATATTATAAATAATGAACATAAAATTCATTCTTACTCAAAGATAAGTTATTCAGTTCCAGTTGTGAAAATCTTCAACTTATAAGTAATTTTGATATGTTATATTAATAACATGTTTACTGCAATGATGAGAGAGATACTCAGTTGAGTAATTTCATCATTAAATGCAGTTCATTTTAAAACAATAAAAATAATTCTGGGTTCAAAATGTTGAAAACTTAAGTTATCAAGTACTAGAAAAGAGCTGCTTAATTTGATATCTTTTTTAAAGAAAATTCTTTTTTCCCCCTTGTCTTCTAGGTATATCTTTTAATATTATCATTTAATTATGGTCATCTTAAAAACAAGAGTTAAATATATTATAAAGGGTGTTCTGTAAAAAGCAGAGCCATTAGAAGAGCTTCAAAAATTGCCTTTGTAAATAGTTTAAGGGGGGGGATGAAACCCATCAGTTGAAAATATTTGGAGTGGCACCATCTACTGTACTTATTCAAGTGCACCTACTATAATTTAATTAAAGTTATAGAAAATTTTCTGAAATATTATTCAGAACTGGAGATGCAGTGAAGGAAATTTTCTGTATGGAATTTTCCACTATGTTTTTCTGGAAAATTTTAAATGTCAAAACGGCAATTTTTTGGTGCATTTTTATGAGTCATATTTACACTTTCCACATTTTATTTTATTTTTTGATTTCTGTACAATTTAAATAAAAATTATAGGTTATAATTCTAACCTAGCAATTAATGCAAATAAAACTCAATTAAAGCAATAAAGTTCAATTCTATTTAACAGATTTGTCATATTGTTTAATTTGCAATTCATAAGAAGTCAATTCACCCATTTAATAAAAGAGCACTCTCAGAAAATGGATCACCCATTTCTTCCTTGATAAAAAAAATAATGAGGTAGTGACAACGGGAAGAAGATTGCACCATTGTACTGGCTGCTGCAGCAATGTTAATTACTAAATTAGGATTTTAAAAAAAAAGTTCTGGCAGGTGATAACCAATGACAATATCATACTTTTAAATTCAAATTCTGAGCATGATCTAGTAAAGGAGAAAAAAAACACATACACAAAATTTTCACTTAGTTGCAGCAATTCTGATTTTTTAACCCAATGCTCTCCACTTCTGAGAGTGACCCAGAAAATTAGAAAATCATATCATATTATCTCGGCTTTTGAACAATTAGAAAACTTTTTATATAAAAATTGTGATCCAAATTGTATCATACTTATTTTTTTAACCACAAATTCTTGATTGTGAAAACTGAACTGAGCATTTTACATTTTTAGCTTTTTATGAAATATGTCAGCATTGTTAGTAAAAAAATTTCATTTTATTTTTTGTAGTAAAATATACAGTTGGTTAAGAACATAGTATATTTTCATTTAAAATGTTCATCAATTAATTTATCAAATAAAATATTTTGTCTAATATTTATTTTATTTATTTATTTTGAGAAATATAGAATTATTTCATTACATGTTATATTTCCATTTCAGATATTCATAGATCAACTTAGTAAATAAAATATTTTGTCCAGTATTCATAATATAATTTTCTTGAGAAATATGCAATTATTTTAAGATATATTTTATTTTCATTTTGAACACTCATAAATGAAATTTTTAATTCATAGCCTCAATTTATATTCCCAGGTAATTTTTCTTTATTTAATTATAGAGGCATTATATATGCAAAACAGTTAATAAGGAAACTATTACATTTTAACTTTTCAGCTTTAAACACAATTAAAAATAATAATTTCAAGCATTGATTTTCTTTTCTTCTTTTTTTGCAAAACTCAGAAAGGGCATCACATTTTAAGTTGATAAAAATACTCCAGTTTTGTTTACCTGTAGCATCTAATGAATGTCAGTTTAATTTTACAATATGATACTAATATAGTGACTTAAAAAATTTCCCAAAAAATTTTGAGGGTAACCCTCATAACTGTTCACAAGTCTGCTATTTAAAATTTATTTATTCGAATCACCACCAAATTCTTCTCTAACAGATTCATGTCAACAAAAACAAGCTATTCAGAACATTCAGATTCCATTATATATGATAATTTAACTGTTCTATACAATTAAATAAAAATATTAAAACACATAGAACAATATTAAATACAGTAATGAGAATTGAAAATCATAGTGTATTCACTTCTCATATTATTTTAAAACTTTTAATGTACCAACAATTTTCAAAACTCTCGGCACAAAATAACTCGTTGATATATAGCAACATTAACTTCTAATTTCTAGACAACACCCGTAGCCAATTCTTTGTAATTAGGTATTATAATAAAAAATCATAAAATCTTTTTTCATGTAAATGATCTGTTTATAATTAGCTGGAATATCAAAATTTGAAAAAATATATTATATGAAATAAAAAATAAATCATGAAGACACTGTCATTAACAAAAATCGAATAAATTGAACATTGTGTTTTAAATTTAAATACAAGTCTCTGACTAAAATATGAAAAACTATTTAACCCTTTAACTATCCCACTACTAGGGAAATATTTGTTCAAAGAACTCTTTTCAATACACAATTTCTGCATTGCAGAGGGAAAACAACTGGTCTTCTGTCTAAAAGCACAACTCGAACTAAATTCGGGATCATTAATAAAAAAGTGGTTAAATGTTTATGACACAGGTTATGAGACAGGTAGAAATGTTTATTCTTATAGTCTGATCACAAAACATACATGTTATTATTTCATAATCTTGGTCCTTTTCTAATAAAAATTTAAGATTTGTTTAAAAACATTAGACAAACCTAACAACAACAAATCTCAATGTTCACTAGTGTTGTTATTGGTAGTATGAGGAATCCAATGTAAACAGTTTCGGTCAATCACTTTATCCATTTTTCTCTTTTTTGATTTGGAAATATAATCATTTATAATGTCAGGTCTTTTCAAAACAATATGTTTGCCTTTCCAGTACTTCAACAAACCTAAAGCTTGCAGTGTGCTTACAATATCATAAGCAGTTATGGCAGTTTCTTGACTTAAATCTTTTATGGAAAATTCTTTACCTTCAAAAGTACTCAAATAATCTAATAAAATACTCTTCCAATAACTGCGATACGAAATTAAACCCAAGTCAGATAATGGCTTCTCTGGTGAGCCTACTTTTTCTTCAACTTTACTAAGCAAGTAACTAAAATCAATCAGCATTCTACCATATCCTTGTCTTTGATACGGGGGTAATGTCAAAATACATGAGACATTATAGTTTAAGAACGAGTTTTTTTCTTTTGAAAAGTAGCCAATAATGTGAGCTCCTTCATTATCTGATTCAGTCATTACATAAAAAAGAAATGGTTCAACATCAAAATAAAGAGTTTTGTGATCTAAAAATAATTTAGCTAGCAAGCATAAATTTTGACAGTAGGTTTTATTTTTTTGCCCATCTACTTCAAAGAAGGATATATTTCCTTTGCGATAAATTTCATCACCAGGCGGATAGCGCCATATGCACTTAGCTAAATGCCTTCTTAGCACAGTGTCACTGTTCATATATTTTAAGCAAAACTCACAAATGTACAATTTGGGTAACATCTGATATTCTTCAGGATAAGGAGCACTGTACCAAACATCCATTTCATATCTACCCATTTCAAGAGTGTGGATTTTCCCATATTTATTTTTTTGCCTCTGGAGCATTTCTTCGAATTCTTCGGCAGCGCAAGCCTGAGCTTCCCGAAACAATTCAATATCATACGTTGGAGCAAAATTGGTAAGGATTGGTTCTCTACTCTTGTCTTCAACTAGTTTAATTTCCTTGTTATCAGTTGTTACACCATTTTGTTTTGCATCAGGACTGGTAAATCTCCTTCTTTCTTCTTGTTTCTGTTTGTAGTGTTCCTTTTGTTCCTCACTAGCAACTTTACGAAGACCAAACTTATTCAGTGCGCTCAATTGTCTTTCTGTCCGGCCCTGAATCCTTATCTGATAACGATTTTTACAAGCACTAGCAGTAGTATTATGATAAACCGGGCAAGTTGTAACCGTAAAATGTGAATCAAATCTGCCACTTAGATGCCCTTCAGAATTGCAATTAGGAACTGGACATTTAGGTTCCTTTTCTTCCCTGCTGTCTACTTCATTTGAAGGAGATTTACAATTGGCAGCTTTTCCACGAGAACGCTTTTTAGGCCCTTTAGATCTTTTTGAACGTACAGTCTGTGAGTCACTAGCAGAATCACTAGAATCTTTTTCCTTTTTCCATTTAGAATCTTCATTTTTGTCACTGTCTTTTTTACTAAATCCCTCATCAGAAGTAATTTCTTGTTTCACTTCTTGGACTTTACTCTTTTTTGGTCTGCCTCTAGTAGGAGTTGATTTTTGCACAATTGCTGAATCTTCGCTAGCGGAGTCATGGCTTGATTCTTTCCTTTTGGTACTTTGTAAGCGCATACTTTGGATGGCTCTACGAGTCGGATAGACTTTATGCTGATCATCTTCCATTCCTTCACTATCCGAGTCATGATTATTTTTAACTAATTTCTTACTCTTACGTCGCCCTTTTTTACGCTTCACAGCTGACTGCAAGGCTTCACTTTCAGATCCAGTTTCGGAAAACATACTATCATTCATATAGCGTATGCAATGAAAATGACTCAATAGAACCTGTAATACAATAATTTAATTCATAATAAGTTCTCATTATCTATACTTGTAAATTATAAATTGTAGTGTCAGCATGAGAATACAAAAAAGAAACAGAGGAAAAGAAAGTGAAAAAAAAAATTATTTTTTAATAAAATCATAAAACAAATAAAAAAAATTATTAGTATGCAGCAAATTTATTAACAATATTTTTGTTTACATAAATACGGCTTTGTGGGATAAAAAATATGAAATTTAATGAAGCATAATAAGAAGAAAAATTTTTTTTAACAAGGATTGATACGATATATCATTAAGAGATTAACTGGATTTAAAAAATTTTTTTAAATTATCTTGAAATAATGGAATATTCTTCACCAAGTTTTAATTAAATAAATTCTACTGCATACAAATAAAACTATTCATAAAAATAAAAAAGAACTTAATAGCAAATCTGATGATAGAAATCTCTATAATGAACTCCTAACTTTAGAAAAAATAGATAATTAGTGAATGATGCTCAAAAAATTTTAAAAAATCTTAATTGACCTCAATCTTTATCAATCTGGGGATTGCTTGACTACTTCTTATGTCTTTTGATAAGTATATGATAGGAACTTATCTGCTTACTATTCAACTTACTAGGTAAAATATAAAAAGAAATCAGAAAATGATTTTTAAAAAAATTTAAAAATTTCATGCCTCAATATTTAATCCTAGAGTTAAGAATAATTTATATAACAGAAATAAACACTTTATCATACTAAACACAATAACATATAAAAATATAACAAACAGAACAGATTGCTTCTTTTAATTTACATAAAAAGATAAATGTTTTCTTTCCTGTGTGCATACAAATTTTCCTACATTATAATTTTTCCTCCGATATATAATGCTTATATTATTACTACATTGAAACATAATTTCTATTTATAAATTATGTTTACAGGATGCTTCTAAGGCAAAAATTAATGTTCTTGAGGCTCTTAATTTGATATCTTCAGCTTGGGACAGTGTCGACCGAAAGTGCATTATCAATGGATTCAATAAAGCAGGATTTTCAATATCGGAGGAGGACGGCGCTGTTGCTTTGGAAGAAGAAGGTAGCGTGTCTGAAGTTGAGGATCTTCCGGAAGTCGATGATGCATACATCGACTGTGACACAGATATCATTACTTCAGAAATCCCTTCCATAAGTGATTTAATGCCTGATTCCGACGATAGTGCTGATGACGATGAAGATGAAATAACAGAAGACGTGCCAACAGCTGATCAAGCGATACAAAGCATAAAAACTCTAAAACAATTTTTACTTGNTGTTTCTTGATTCTGGTGACTTTCAGGATGCTTCTAAGGCAAAAATTTATGTTCTTGAGGCTCTTTATTTGATATCTTCAGCTTGGGACAGTGTCGACCGAAAGTGCATTATCAATGGATTCAATAAAGCAGGATTTTCAATATCGGAGGAGGAGACCGCTGTTGTTTTGGAAGAAGAAGAAAGTTGCGTGTCTGAAGTTGAGGATCTTCCGGAAGTCGATGATGCATACATCGACTGTGACACAGACATCATTACTTCAGAAATCCCTTCCATAACTGATTTAATGCCTGATTCCGACGATAGAGCTGATGACGATGAAGTTGAAATAACAGAAGACGTGACAACAGCTGATCAAGCAATACGAAGCATGAAAACTCTAAAACAATTTTTACTTGCAAATGTAAATCAAGAAGCAAATTTGCAAAAAATTGTTAGTATTGAACGAACTGTATACCAAATTGTAGCTAAAAACGAAAAGCAAGTAAAGATTACTAATTTTTTCCATTAATTTAACTGGTAGGTGTCAATTTTTAAAAATATGCATAGATTTTTCTTAACCCCGATTTTACGTTATTCCGCTTCGAGCGTTTTTTTATCGCTAGTCCCACCGAAAACGTAAAATCGGGGTTCCACTGTAATAACATCTTAAATTTAAACTACTTTGAAATAAATAAGAATGCAAACAAATTTCGGAAAAATTTATTTTTAGAATTTTAAAACATATATTAATGTTTTTTTTACATTATAAAGCAAACTAGGGTCAGGTGGGGAAAAGTAGTTACACGCGGGAAAGTGGGCATAGGTTAAAAATCATCTGGTTTGACCTTTTAAATATATTTTTTTAATATTTTAGAGACATTTACAGTTATTGCAGCAAACATTTTTATTTCAGTTTCAAAAACTGATAAAAAGCTTAATATTTACAAAGCCTCTGTTTATAATCAGTATGTTAGTTTAAGCTACTGATGAACTCTTTTTTAATATCATTAAAAACTGGCAAAAATTAAATAGACTAAAAACTAAGTAATAAAACTAATAGACTAAATAAAACTAAATCTAAAGAACATTGAAATGTAAGAATAAATTTCATAATTCCTTTTATTATAAATTATTTTCTGAGGAGGAATAAAGTGGGTATATGGTGAGGTTTAGCAAAGTGTTATATGATAGGGATCAATATACAGGGGTCTGTCCAGGCCAAATTTACTACCGTTTAGCGGCACCTTCACATATTCAACTTCAGGAAAAACAGTAATTTCACAAAATACTCTTCTTAAAATTTTATTTGTGTATATCTTGTAAGAAACAATGAATCCATATATATGCTTTGATTTTTTAATATAATTTATAATTTTCATATATTATGTCTACATTTTCACAAAATAGGTACCTCTCAGAAAAACCTAGACAGACCCCTGGCATATTTTGTTCAAATGATCAGATTTATTAAAATAATTTAGTTTTAGAAGAACAAAATATGAATGAAATAAAATAAATTTTGAAAACATCCACTTAGCTAAAAAGTGGGTTTCTTAAAATGGGTCTGCCCAAAAATACTCTGGCAAAATTTTTCAGGTTGGGCCTACTCTAGGGAAACCTGGATTTTAGTACAGGTACGAAACATATGGTGAGCATAAAAACAGCTTGATAAAAATGAATTTTAATAAATACCTAGATACTTGCCTTTTAATTTCCTTTAACTGATGACAGTGCACGACTTTCAAACGTTTATCTCTGGCTTTTTAATTCAGCTTTCATCTTGGAAACACTCGTAGTTTCTTATTTAAAGAGTTTGAGGTTCCAATCATTTTCAGACAACTTAGGTTCCGAAAAAACTGGATAAATTAGATGTTAACAATGAATAGTTAGCATAAACATGAAAAAAAAGAAGAATTCAAATCTAAAGACACAATCTTCTAAAACTGTACTATAAGAAAAACAACAAAAACCAATTTTATACAGTTTGATAAATTTAAAACATTCACTCTGCAAAATTAATCAAACTAATAATAATAAAGGAAAGTTTAACAAGACTAATTCATGTGCAAAAAATATAGATAGATAAAATATGGTCTATTCTAGAAGTATAAAGCGGAGAAGAAACATTTCCCTTTCAAAATACTTTAGATAAATATAAATAATATGAAGTGCACTATGAAAGTATCACACGTTTTGAAATATTTTATTTTATAGTATTATGTTTGATAGATAGCTTTAAAAATGTTTTTAATTTGATCTATTTATTTCGTCCGTTAAGCATATACGAACTCATACGCCTAAAAGATAATCTATTATTAAAAAGTTGTGAGTACAGTCATAAATATTTATTCAATATAAAAAATAGCTTACTTACATAAATATAAAATCAGATTCTGTAGAAATTAATTCTAGTCTTTTAAACTAAAAGCTCACTTTTTCCTCAAAAAAGATAAACAAACAATTAACACAGTAAGTAGAGATGAGATGAGATGCTGATTTCCTAGTCAATAATAATAAGAAAAAAAAAAATTTTTTATTTTTTTTTTTTAGTTTACTAGCCATCACATTGAAAAAAATATATGAACTTCAGTTAAATATTTTTATATTTTTTCAGACATTAGTTACTTATATAATTTTTCCTGAATTATTTTTCTCGTTTATGATCATATGTAACTGTTCCGTGTAAAAAAATAAGGATCTGGCATCATAATACACTGCTTACCTGTCAACTCAAAATATGCCGAAAGTAAAATAAAACATAAAGTAAAAGTGAGAAATCTTAAACTAGAAACTTGTTACTTCTTAGCTGTATATGCCAATTAAATAGAATGGAAATATCATTTTGTACTGCCGTTGCTCCTGTAAACATTGCAGTTATAAAATATTGTAACTGAATTTTTAATCAATGCCTCTCTATAAAATTGCCTCCAGGCATTTATAATTTTATTGTTTTAATTAAACTTTAATCTCTTTTTCAGGGGGAAAAAAAGACGAAACATTGATCATCCCTATTAATGATTCCTTCAGTGTTACACTTTCAAAAAATGAAGTAATTATAAAGACATAAATATTTTTCTTTTACTTAAAATTTATATATTTATAACCTTAAACTCCAAACAGCTTTATATTAAGTCTCATCATTTGCTTTTAATTAATTGTTAATTATACTTTTTCCTTAGTAATCTTTATCATGTCTATTTTCATTCATAAACATAAATATATTTTGTTCTGATAGCTTGAAATCTATTCAAAAATATGGTTTTATGAACAACAAATAATCCATGTACGTTAAGTTATATATAATTTATATTCATTTCTGTTTTTACGATTTAGTAAAAGTAAGTTGAACATATACTTTATACTATTTTTATTTATATATATATTTTCTTTTTTCTAATTTTGTATGATTTTTGTGGTAAGAATGATCTACTGCAGAATAATCCCAGAATCTTGACAACTTTTTAGCAGCGTCCCATGAAAAACTAACAGCGGAAGAAAGGCATCACAGATGAGGACCCACTCTTAATCACCCCTAGACAAACCTCTATGTGTCTTTTTTTTTTTTTTTTTTTAAATGCAAGTTTGAACTCATTTTAGCAACTTAGTGACTCTAATTAGCATGGCAGATCACTGTCCCATATTCAAATGACTTTTTAAAGGTTTTTCTGGTATAGATGGTTTCGACCACCCTGAGTAAGACTGAACAATGTATTTTATAACTGTCGTTGAACAGCCCACCCAATTTTTGGGTTTACGACTACTAATGCTCAACTCCATACCCTTGTAAATTTGAACCCAATACAGAAGACAAGGGAACTCCTGGACCAAGTATTAGGAGAAATTTACCTTCATGGAGGACTTTTTGGTGGAACTGACCCACATCTGTATTTCATAGTTAGGGAAACCTTGCAAACCTCCCAGGGTTAGCCTGATGGCAAGGGTATTTTAACCCATTATCCATCTACAACTGAGGATATTTTACGTCAGCACTGTGATCAGTGCGAGCCGGATGCTGAATTCCTATCGACCTGCCATTGCTGGGATTCGAACCCGGTTCACCTAATTGTTAGATGAATGCCCTATCACCTGAGCCACCATGGCTCTCATCAATGTATTGTAAAATATTGATTTAACACGCATAATGGCTTTTTTTTCTTCTGCTGATGCATCAGAACTCAGTTTTAAGCTGCCAATGTTAGAAGATGCACGTGAGGCCATGACCTGAAGATTTTACACGAAGAACATTCTGTCCAACGTTCAGTTATCAGCACATGCTGATAAAGATGATTTATTGTATTTGTCAAAGAATCACTTTTATGAAGATCTTATGTTGAATAGACTTGGGAATTGAATCCGAAATAACAATTTTATATGTGAATCCATACCAGAATAGATCCCATTTATTTTTGGAGGGTTTTTTTTTTTTTACATTTTATATTGTATCTTATTATCAGTCAGATTTCTAGAGCTTTGTGATCACTGTCAATCTATTTTGAAAAAGAATGATAGCTTACTAAGAAGAATTTTTTTTCATTTAATTCATTTTAAGTTGCACAATTTAATCGCTCATTAAATTTGTCCAATTCTTTTTTCTTGTCCCTTTTTTTAAATAAAAGAATTCTTTCACTACATGTAAGTATGATGTTTTGAAGAAAATTTACAATTTCTTAGAAAATATATTTTTTGTTCTTCTTATTTTTAAAAAATTAAAACGAAACTTACATTTATTTCTTTAGAAGTCTCATTTCTTAGAATTTATTTTTTTAGAATGCCATTAGTCAGTCCAACTTTATCATTTTAATTTAATAAAATGTTTTGAGGGCAGTATTTATTTATTTATTTTTTCAATAATTGAACACTTTGTTTAGTACTTGTTGGGTATAGGAACGTTGAGTTAGTAGTTACCTTTTAGAGTTTTCATCACCATAAACATTGATCCCTATGACTGGTAAGCACCAAATTTTAAAATCTTAATGTGTTTTTTAAAAAAAACTGTAAAATATATTGTGATATTTTTCCCATTTAACAAATTTATATTATGTTTGAATTACTTTCTATCAACACTCATAATATCATATTAGTAAATAATTATTGTTATCTATAATCACAATATTATCTTTCTAAATGTTATGTTATCAATAATTAATTGAATTGCATTTTTTTTTATTCAAAATGTAATGTTATTATTAATGATTGTAATATGTTATTTGCTCTGTAACAATATCATTAATGATCGCGATATTGTCATGCATGATACATCTCTTGAATCGAATAATACTCATGTATTATCAGTTTCTGATGACCGGTGTAAACCAGAATCTGCTGTTGTTCCTACAGATTTGCAAATCTGGCTTCATGGTCCCTTTAACTGATAAGTACCCTTTGTTTTTATTTCAATGCATGGAAGTAAAATATTTTAATCGAATTTTAGTATTTTTAAACCCATAAATCTTTGGTCCTTTTTATTTTTAGATAAATTTAATCAAACCTTGTATTTATATATATATATTTTTTTAGTACCTAGTAATATTTTAATTTTAAAAAACATTTTGAGCCTTTCAAAGCAGCATTTTTTTATATAAAAGCCATATTCTTTTATTTAAAATTTATTTTTTTAATTATTTAAAATTTCTGATTGTGTTTCAAACCTGGCTTTCTGTGTCTTAATTGTAAATATTATTCTGGTGTATATTGTATCATGATAGTTATTATATTTTGACTTCTAACTGCTGATATATCACTTTTAAAATTTCTTACACTGTCCAGTCCTAACCCTAAAACTTCCCTTCATTTTTTTTCCCTTCAAGTTGAGTTTTTCCTGAAATTGAGTCTGTATTATTTACATTTATAGTTAAGGTAATAAAGATGCTTCTGAAGACTGTGCTCAACCATCTTTAAAAATGCTCTTCAATGTATTGCTACTCAATAATAATATCCTTCTACATTTTCTTAGAAATCATCTGCAATGTTTTTTACCTTAAGGGTTTTCTAATGCTTAAAATAGTCTCTGCATGTATTATTGAATCAAAGCTTGAAATTATTGATAAAGCACGTGTCATGGATAATGACTAAGATTGTTTCTTGCTGTTAACCATATTTTTAATTTGTTACTATGAAAATTTCACTATTTGATCATTTATTATTTATGTGTGTTGTTACTCAGAGTTTTTCTATTCTTGATGTGTGGTGCCTTTTAATTTTAACTTTATTATTTTATGTTTCAATGATTGGATATCCCTATTTGCCTTATTTTGAGAAATTTAACTTCATTTTATTACGTCATTTTGTTTTACAGATGTGTGCAAAAACTACAGTTGCTTGTTCTGACAAGTTTGAAGAGGATAAATTTTGGTTAAATGGAAAGTAAGTTTAATAAAAGTAGAGGCCTTTTTTTCTATGATAAACTAATTTTATAGAATTATGAAGTTTCCTTTTTTTTTTTAAGAAAAATTGTGGGGAATATTATCAGAATTGAATGCTTGTGTACAAGAAGGATAGTATTTTATTTTATTGCAAATTTTAGAAAAGACAAAAAATTATCTTCTTGCTCCACTTGAATAGTACTCCCAATTTTTGGGTTGAAAAAATGTATCATCACTGTAAACTATTAAAACATTTAGCATTTTGAAAAGGTTAATACTAAATATGTAAAAATGGAGCTGTTCACTTTTAATACAATGGAAACACTGTTTCCATTGTATTAAATATAGCCAGGGGATACTTTGACAACTCCACCGTGGAGTTATCAAACTTTGGTGTCAATAAAAGTAAGCTGAAAACGCTTCACTAAAAAAAATATTGTTGTAAGATAGTTGACTGGAAACAAAGTAGCTGCTCTTTTCCAAATACATTAAAAAAATTTCAATTGTGTTTTCTTCTACTTCACTCTCAGTTTTCTAGGGAAGGTTATTTGCCCAAGTGTTGTTAAAATGTGAACATGTTAATAGAATAAATTGTTTTATTCTAATCTTTTTCCAGGGAGCAAGATCTATTTAATCCACGGCTGCAAAATTGCCTCAGAGAATGTAAGTTTTATTACTAATATTTTTTGAGAATAAAAATTAAAGAATTTTCCCATTATATTTATTTATGAGCTATGTAACTTTGTTGACTTATTTTAATAATACCTTTTCATTATATTAAAAGAAAAAAAATCTTTGAACATTCAAATTATATGGTGTCAAAATTAAATTAGCTTATATTATGATGAATATGTTTGATAAGTCTGAGGAAAAGCCTGGGCTGAAGGTGAATTAAAATAAATGTGAATTGGATTTGTGAACCGATTGCACCAAAAAGTTCCACTTATGTTAACTACCAAATTGCACTTTGTTTTCTCAGTTTCATTCTAGGTTTTCTCACTTTTTTATTAACAAATATTGTGAGGCAACCTATCAAATGATACTAATATAGCCAAATTAAGAGGCTATAGCCACAGGATCCAAGTTTCATAGGGTCCCTCAAGGGATTTCTAAAGTTAATGCAGGGGTAAAATTTATTTTGTAATTTCCTAAAAATTAATTCAATATTTTCAAGTGTAATGTCTTACAATCTTCCTTTAGAATCATTAAAAGTGCTTTATGTATTTTGAGTGTAAAATTCAAAAAAAAAAATTATATTTGGTCATGTTGTTTCCTTAGACTTCTCATCTAACTCCCTAATTTTATCAATTACCTTTTGCTTCAAGTTGCAGGTCCCATAACCTTAAAATTCCTGGGTTGTTTTTTTTTTTTTTTTTTTTTTTTTTTTTTTTTGCAAAAATATAACATATTTATTTAAAATGGAAAACTCTAATTTGTTTATGCCTGCATTTAAAATTTTTATGTTTTATAGCTCTTACTTAACATTTATAATTTCGTGCAGGATATTTTTACTAAAGTAGAGACTTAATCGTATTTTGATGTTAATTGTAATTATATTTGTAAGCATTTGAAATCTTTTAAAAAAAATTTCTTCTTAAATCAGAAAAAGTTTCTATTTTTGGAAATTTTTGCTAATTTGGTATAGTTAGGATCCCAAATTACATATCATCCCCAGGCTCCATCATACCATTTTGAATTCTTTGAGTAGGGACTGAAGATAATTTTTGCAGGGGGGCTCAGGAAATGAGAATGAATAGAATCCATTGAAAATTGGAATCTGCAGAACGACTCTTCTAACCATATTGAATGTGGCATAGATGATGTTCTGGAATTATTAAAGTTGTAATTTTATGAAAATCTGAACTTTTTGAAAAATTTTTCAATAAATTATCTAAATACATCTTGTGCTTAATTTTTTTTCTGAACATAATTTCAAATATTGTTTCTGAAAAAAACTTCAAGAAACGATTTATGCACCAGGATAAACTGTATATGTATCTGATAGCCATTATCAACATTTATAACAGTTCATTGCAACAAATACCAAAATGTCTTATTTTGTTCATTTCCTGCTAATGCTTACTCCAACCCCCTTAATTTCATAAAATTTCAGCAATTTATTTGTTTGAAAAGTCGACTTATACACTGGGATACACGTTATATTTTTCTACTAAACCATTTTCAACATTTTCTTTTTCATTTCAAAAAATACCATGAAATGGCTTGTTTTATTCATTTTCATCTAAATATGTACTCCAAAATCAAATTCAAGGCTAGACTAGATGCTGATCCAACATAATTTTAAAGTTATTAATTATGAAACAATGAAAAAGTTTAATATTATTTTTTTTTAAAAATAATTAGTTTGTTATTGGTTAATACCTGCACAATTGTCTTAATATATTTTATTTATAAAGTTGACGTTGTGTTAAAAGTAGTTCGTTTATTTTGGATTCCATTGCCAAAGAAAATGTGTATCAATTAACATAATTATGTTAGATCACTCTTGCTTACACGAACAACACTCTAAGATGGTGTACTGTTAGCATTCTTGTAATTTGGAATAGTGGCTGAGCTTCTCATTCTTCAAGCTTCTTGTCAACTAGAAACCAATGCTAGAATTTAATTTTGTTTCTAAAAGACTCTTTTACATCCCAGCAGTAGGTGGATAATACATTTTTGTTGGATAATATATTTGCTTGTGACATATTTTTTATTGCTAAAAAAGCACTTACTGTCTGTATGAAATACTGGTTTTTGTATATTACTCCTGAGTTTTCAACAAAATTAGTTGGCTATTTTCAAGTCCAATTCCTGTCTGTTTTAAATTTATTTCAATGTTTTTATTTCTGAATTAATATTAAACATGATTTTTTTAGTATTTGGTATAATTTTAATAACTTTTATTTAAATACAATTTTGTAATTTTTATTTTGAATTATAAAATGTGCACCTTTCATTGCAGTAAAGAAAAGAGCAAAAGACAAAAAATTAACACAGTTATCTCTGCATATATGCTCAGAAAATAATTTCCCTACTGCTGCTGGATTAGCTTCATCTGCTGCTGGTTTTGCTTGTTTAGGTAATTTATTATGAATGTTTTTTTAACTTGAAATCTTTTACCTATGCCGCATAATCCTTTATTAATGGTACTATAAATTTAAACTCATTTATGATAATTTAAAAGTAATAAAATCTGAGGCTAAGTTCTTATTGTACTGTAATTAAGTTTTCACTTATTCTTAAATAATCTGATAAAAAATTTCCAGAATTGTTGTCTTGTTGCTTCAAATGTAAAAACATATGTTCTTTGAAAAATATGCATATATCTAATGTCATAAAAAGAGAAAAATATTTTTTCCAATGAATCTATTCTTAGACTTCTAAAACGTTTCTGAACCAAAAAGGTTCCCTTAAAAAATGGTTTAAAACAGCATTTATGTTTTGAACCATTTTTTTCTATTTTTAATAGAATACTTTCTTGTTATAAACTTATTTTAATAGCTCTAGAATAATTAATATTTTCTTAATTTTTATATTTTAGCAAGATCTTATGAAAAGAGTTTTTATAGACTTATGTGTATGACTTTATTTTGTGTTTTATTTAACAGTAGTTGCTCTTTCTGAACTTTATGGTATTAAGGAGGATCTCTCGGCTATTGCCAGGTATCATTTTTATTTACATAATTATAGATTTAATTTTATTTTATTATAATATTGTTTTTTATATATTTTTAATATATATTTGTTAATATATTTTTTTTTAATTGTTTATGGTTTGTTTTTAATTATATAATAAAGTTTTACACGTGTAAAGAAGAAATATCAGTTTCCAATGCAGTTAATTCAGCTGTTGACTATCCATGGTAGCAGAAACCCTCCAAACACAGCAGTGGTGGATTTAAAAATATAAAAAAATAAGAGTAAAAATTATTGAAACTTTTTTTCTAAATGTCTCCAAACTTGTTTCAAGTCAAAATTAGAAAGCTCAGTTGAGAAAACACCATGAAGTACAAAAATTAAAATTATTTCTGTTACTGCATTGTAGGCTATTACTGTATACAAATTTATTCCTCTTTTTTTTGAATATCATTCTGTAAAATTCAATCCATCTATAAAAGAAATTAAATTTTTATATATAATTTTTAAATACCTCATATATTTTCAAATTTTGTACACATATGTTAGATTAAGCTAAATTTTTACAATAAGATAACAAAATCAGATGTATGAAAACAATGCTGAAAATTTACTCCATAAATTCTGCTAACAGGTATCCATTTTTTTCTGTTAGTTATGTTTAATAATCTGTTCTTATGCTTATTGTGTTTTAATCTTAGCTAAATACATTTAAATCAACAAATTCTTGTAAATTTTTTATCTTTAAACTGATAAAACTCTTAAGCTTGAAATGATAGAAAAGTTGTGTTTGCTTTGAAAATTTATTCATGAAATATTTATATTTTAAATTATTTTTTTAGAGAAGTAGTCTATGAGCTCTTAAAAACAATTACTTTTCAACACACAAGATTTAGTTTATTAGAAATTTGAACTTTAAAAGCACATTTTTTCAGATAAATTTTAAAACCTTAAAGATCATCAATTGATGTTCAAATTTATTGCACAAGTTCATTGTTTCTTAATTAAATCTATTTTTTGCCTTTTTGAAATATTTTTAAGTTATTAAGCATTTGTCTTTACACTTAAGTGAATCTGCGCAAAAAAATTTTTTTGGAATGTTGTTACTTTATTATTAACTAATATTAAAAAAATAATAATAATTTGTTGTGCGAGAACAAACCAATTTCAATGTTAAGCTAATAAAATTGAATTAATCTGTTTTACAATAGGCAAGGCTCGGGAAGTGCTTGCCGAAGTGTATTTGGTGGTTTTGTACATTGGCACAAGGGCATTCTAGAAGATGGCAGTGACTCCATTGCTTACCAGTTTGCATCCAAAGAACACTGGCCAGAGCTAAAAATTCTCATAATAGTGGTTAGTATGTTCTGTATTTTTTTACGTAAAAGCTGTGAAATATTACAACATAAATTTAAAGCTATCTTCAAGTGCATTGTAGTTGAATAATTATGTAGTTTTTAGACATCACTTTTTGAACTCTTGCTTCTTATTATTTCCCTTTATATGTTTACTGGAAATAATTAGTGCAACTGTAAGTTGAAGATTTGTTTTATTCATAATCCATGATTTTAAAACTTGTTCTCTTTATCTTTAATGTGTATATAAATGATCTAAATTACAATAAATATATTAAAATTTAATAGTAGATTGAAAAATCAAAATTTGATTTTGTAGCATGTTAGAATTAAGATTACATCATATATTTTTTTCAATTAAAATTTACCATTATGACAAGAATATTTTCTTAGTGTTTTAAAAATTGAGATCATTTATATAACTTGAAACTTGATTAACTTCTTCATTTATATCATGCTTGGGAAATTTTACTTTTAATAATTTTATTCTTCTTCTACTACCAGCACTACAGCTGATTTCTAGCCATGGCTGTCTCAAGCAGCTTTATCCATCTTGATCTATCAGGTGCCACTACTCTTCATATATTGTCTCTTAATCTGCTCAGGCGCTTTTTAAAATTATATAACCTTGTGTAGGATCTTTTTCTCTCTCTCTCTCTTTCCTTCCAAATTGTAATTATTATTATTTCGCAATTAACTTTAAAGTACTTGCTTCATCAGTCAAAACTTTAAGTAGGAAAATTCTTATAATAAAAAAGAAGGTCTGCTAAGTTTATTCATTTCTTTATATCTTAATAGCTGTTTCTTTTTTTTATTATTATTAGTAGTATTTATATATACAAACATAATAATTACTGTTTTCCTGTTCTGATATATTTCTCTTTATCTGAATGATTTTGGTTTAACTTTCTACTTTAGCAACAGAAAGTTAATTTAGGTTTCTTTTTTTTTCTTTTTTTTTTAGTATTATACATAACTCTGTTAGCTGTTTCAAAATAAATGTTTGTTTGAATACAACGCTTTCAAAATTTTTATTTAGCTAAAAGAAAAACCTTTTACTAAGTCATGTTTAAAAAAAATTTATTTAAACTATAACTCTGATAAATGAAAATTAATGATTTTTATCACAAGTTTTAATGTTACCTTTCTTTTCTATATTAAAATTTAAGATATAAAACATATTATTGTGGATATTTATTCTTTGACTTAATTGTTAGTATGAATTCTAAATGGTTCATTAATTAAAATATCCGAAATTTAATCCCCAAACTATAGCCCAAATACGCCACCTAGCACCGAGTAAAGTAAGTTTCTTAACACGTTGACTGCCGCACATGTTATACACTGAAATCTCCTTCAGGCTATGAGTACAGCTGTACAAAGCGTAATCTGCTAAGTACTCCCACCAATATTTTAATAATGCGAGTCTCTAGTGGTCACATGAATCATATCTTGCTCTGTTTGTTTCCATGGTATTATGTCTGTTTATTTGTATCTGTTGTTTCACATCTGTTTCTCATCTCACCACTTTACACGATCAGTTTGAATCTTTGTAAAGTAACGAGGAGTATAACTTAAAAATCTTTACCCTGATTCGTTGAAATTTCGAAAAGAAAAATGGAAAACTTATTTCTTAGTGAGTCAAATAGCAGTGAACAAGAAAGCTTTTATAAGACTCACAATAATTTTCTTAATAAATCAGTTTTGTAATACTTTTATAACAATTCAATAGTTTTATTACTTCTTGTGAAATATCTTTTCAAATGCATGCGAATATCCTTCGTAAGTAGTCAAATGACGGCCACGGCCTGATTAGAAACTTTGCTTTCACCCGAGTATGGGTGAGGCAGCCCGATCAGAAACCTAAATATGGGTGACACAGCAGTCAACATGTTAAAGGAAACTATGTTTGGGCATGTCTATCCAACAGAATACAATAATATCACCTCTAAATAGCTTATCTAATTTAACAGCTGGTGCATGCATGAAGGGACTGGGGGTACAGTTTGCAGGGTCTTCATTAGATCATTCTGATCTGAGATGGAATGACTGTCTAGTTCATTAAAAATTTTAATTAATTTTTCTTTTTTTCATTTAAACCATGTGGTGAGGTGTGCCTTGAGACTGTGATACCTTAAAACACAGGCTAATGCATAATTTTAAATGATTTTGATATCATTTGTTTCTATTTTGTTGAGCGATCTGTTTTAATCTCTTACAATATTTTGAAAACTGGAAATATTATATATTAATGGTATTATTATTTATTTTAAATTACATATTAAGAATTTATAGACAGTGAACTTATTCTATAACATGCAAGACATAAATTGTTACTCAAATAATTTATGTCTAACACAGTTAACTTTTGTGTCCTACAAATAAGAAAATTTCTTTAATAGTTTAAACAACTTTAACCTTTAGTTTAAACAACTTTTGTTAATTTGTTATAAATATTTTTGGCAAAAGTTTCAATTTCATTATCTTCCTATAACAATAAAAGCTAAATTACCTTTGTTTTCAAACCATCAAATGTGGAACATAACTCATTTGATCATAGATATGTACCATTCTTTTTACAGTAAATGCTATAGGGAATTATGTGCCCATACAAAATTAAATTCAGTCATAGGAAATTATATGTTATGCTGCATGCTCATATTTTCCTCATTCCTCGTGTTTTTTCATTAATTGTTTCTACATATTTACTTTGAACTAAGAATTTCTAATTTTTGTGTAATATATCTTAATTTTTTATCTTAATTTAGTTCCCTGAAAAAATAATTCCGAGATGTAACACTATGTGTTCCTAAGTATTATCAGTTGTTGTACCTTAGAACAGTTTGCCATTTCTACTTTAAATGGCTAGCAACTTTTTTTTAAATTATTTGAGTTAAAAAATATATATTACCGAGGAAAACGCTTGTGCATACAAGTGTTTGTTTTTAGATTTTAAATCTGACCATAACTGTTGATGAAAGAAAAAAGTCATTGTCAGATGCTATTTAATGATTGCCTAAATTAATATAAAAATCGCTCCATACTTCCTTGGCGCAGATACTTGATGCATTATCTTAAGAAAGATAGTAGAACTGGATATTTTTATTAAGTCATTCAAAATAAACATTTTTGGTTTTATTTATTTTAAGGTCAATGCTGGAAAAAAAGAAACAGGTAGTACTAAAGGCATGAAAGAAACCACTCGAACAAGTAGTTTATTAAAATTTAGAGCATCTCACATAGTTCCTGAAAGAATTAAAGCTATACAAAAAGCTATTTTAGAGAAAGATTTCCATTCATTTGCAGAAATCACTATGAAGGTTTGTATATTTCTTGGAAATTCTTTTCCTATTTTAATATCCAAGTTATTATAAATAGCTTTTAGTACTGAACTCTGTCAGAGTTTCTTACATAATGTTCAATTTTTCCCCCTCATATTAAAACTGTTGCTGATAGTCTGTTATTTTGTTCTTCAACTTCTGGAATTAGGAAGTCTTTTAAGAGGCTATGATGTTCTTTTCTTTATGGCATGGGATTTCAGGGGACTACCAAAGTGGCAATAGAATTCATCATAACTATATTTTTTCTTAATGATTATGATGTGAGTTTTTAAAAAATGACCAACCTACTAGAAACAATGTTTTTAGTTACATTTTTATTTTAAGTAAATTTTTTATCTTAGCACTACAACCCTGAGTAGGCTAGGGCTGTCCCAACTAGATTCTTTCATTAGAATCTATCAGTTGTATGTTGTTTCCTTTAAAGTCGCTTTTAATGTTTTCAAATCATTCTCAAAGCTATCATTAGCCTGATTTTTTAAAAAAAGAAGACAAACTGGAATGGCACAATTATAGAAGCATTGCACTTTTAAATGTGGCATTTAAAATCTTCTTCAAACTATTGCATGATGGACTTGCTTCTTATACTTGGAATATTATTACCAATGTGGATTTCAAGAGGGAAAAACTACTACTGACCAGATTCACTCTTTCAGACAAATCCCTGAAAAGACAAAAGAATTTAACATTGATACATACCATCTTTTCATCAATTTGCCAATTTCAAGACAGCCTATGGCTCTATCATAAGAGAAAGACTTGTCAATGCTATGATTGAGTTTAAAATCCTTCCTAAACTAGTTAATCTTGTAAAAAGGACCCTTAAAGATGTCAAATGCAGAATAAAATTTATGTCTGAGCTATCAAACTATTTTTACACACAGAGAGGTTTAAGACAAGAAGACACCCTCTCTGGCATGCTATTTAAAATTGTATTGAAAAAAGCAATTAGAGATACTATTATAAATATTAGACATACAATTATCCAAAAGTCTGTTCATATATTGGCTTATGCAGATGACATTGATTCAATAGTATGTACCAAAAAAAGCAGTCTCAAAGGCTTTTTCCAAGCTTGATGCTAAAACACTGGGCTTAACTATTAATCAGGATTGGACCAAATTTATGGCAATCAGTGATCAAAATTTTGAGGTTTTACCTCTTGTGCATAATGCATTTGAAGAAGTAAGTCAGTTCAAATGCCTAGGGACAATTGTTGCAATTAATAGTAATATCAATGCTGACAGGAGCGTGTAGTGGTCAAGGAGCTGACTTCACACCAGGAAGGTCCAGGGTTCAAATGCCGCACAAGGCATGATTGTTCTTTCATTCTCTGTACTATCTGCCCTTACTGTGGGGGCAACGTTGGCTCACCTAATATGGTGCCCCTGAAAGAGTGCTAACAAATCTGTTCTACTGATACCTGAATGGCGACTATCAATCAGGTGGGCATTGGGAAAAAACAATAGTAACGATATCATATCAAAATTTAATACATAACAGGATACTGGTGGCTAATAGGTGTTATTTTGCATTGAGAAACTAATTGAAATCATAGATTATTTCCATTAAAACTAAAATTAATTTATGTTCTCTAATTAAATCTGTATTACTTTATGACAGCAAATGCTGGCTTTTAAATAAAACTGAGAAAAATAAACTACCATTATTTGAAGAAAAAATACTCAGTGCCATCGTTGGAGCTGTTAAAGAAAACAGTATTTGGCGAATTTAGTACAATTAGGAATTATACAAAAAATGTAAGCAACCGAACATAATTTCAGTTAGTAAATCCTATAAAATATGATAGTTGTGTCACGTCTATAAAAGAGATGGTATTGACCTAGTTAAAAAGCCGACTTTTGGAAAGTTTACAGGTGGCCGAAAAAGGGGAAGACCAAACACCAGAGGGATTGATTCTGTGGAGAGAAAAAATCTTAAACCATGGAAATCGATAAATGGAGAAACCTAGTGTCTAACTATAAACCTAGTAATAACTAGTTGGGACGGCTCTGACCTATACTAGGATGTCATACTGATGGAAGAAGAAATTATTCTCAAAGTTACTAAACAATCTGAGGAGAGATCTTCCCCTTTTTATAATGCCAAACAGCTTGTTGGTGGTTAGCAGCTTCATGAAGTTTTAAAACTTTAACCTAAAAAACTTTAAATTTATAAATGCTTACATATTTATACATATTGATTTATACATATTGATATTATTACATACTTGAAGCTCGGTGGCTGAGTGGTAGTTCTTTGCTCTCCTATACCACAAGGCTGGGTAAAGTTGACTCAGCATTTCATACTTTCAGTGTGATAATAAAATGAGTACCAAGCGTGTTAGGGTACTAAACACTGGGGGTCTGTTTTCTGATGACTAGGGCTGCAAGTTTGTCGCGGGAAAAAAGACCCCAAATTCGCGGGAAATTTTGAAAATTACAAAAATTATAAACATAAAAAAATTTATTATATAAATGATGCAAAAGACAGAAATTGCGCAAATAATAAAAAAAGCTTAAAAATACACAAAAGTATTTCTTTGAATTTCAAGCAATATTAATATTTTTATTTGAATGAACAGAATTTTGGTACAAAGTATTGTACATTGTCAGATTATTCTCATTTATCCTTCGTCTTTCATCACTTAATACATTTTTATACTTAGAAAACGATCTTTCTGCATCAACGCTGTTTTTAGGCACCGACAAACTTCGAATTGCCTTTTTTGCCAATTTTGGAGCGTTCGGTCTTTGATTTCCAAAACTCGATCAATTTTCCTTCACCAACGCGCAAATCCTTGACCGTTGCTTTGTAAGAAGTAATTACTGGGAAAACTCAAACATTCTACATTCAAACTACTAGTTACAAGTCCCTACTAACTACTAGTCCCCCCCTTCATCTAAGAAACTGATCCATATTTAAGAAATCACAAGAAGCCGCCTAGGAAAAATTAACTAGATATGTGGAAAGGCAGTAGAAATTTCATTGCCCAGTGATTTATAACATTTTCCTTCTTTTGTGATTCCAATTTCTTTTGTACTCTTACTGACTTCAGGAAGGTAATTACCCTCCCTAAGTGTAGAAAGACCACCTAATATCTGATTATCTCTGAACTATTTTCATGTCATTTTGCTATTTATTCACTCCCCTAAATATCTAATCAATTTTACATGTTCAATTTAAGGTTCAGGAAAATAAAAAATTCTGTTTAATAAAAATAATAAATAAAAAATGAAGAAGAAAAATTTNTAATTGTAAAAAAAAATCATCTGAAACAATACCTAACTTACCTGTTTAAAAGGAATTTTGATTCTTCCCCTCAAATCATTACAATTTCCCTCAAGCAAGGGAGTAGCGGGCAGAGGATAATAGGGAAGTTTTCAGGTTTCATTTATAAGCCTATAATAAAGCTTTGAAGGTCAGGAATCCAAATATGTAAAAAAAAATACATGTTTATTCAGAGAAAGTACGTTTTTGTGTCTGATTTCGTAACTTAATTAATAGTTAGCACTAATTAATTAGCATATTTGAGGTCACCCCCGGGAACCATTAAGATTGACACTTAGATCGTGAAAATCCGATCATTAGAACAAAAGTTATTCAGGGTGATATCTTTTTTTTTTTGCTGACTGTACCAAACAAGCTGTCTCAGAGGCTTTTTCCAAGCTTGAGGCTAAAACATTGGGCTTAACTATTAATCAGGATTGGACAAAATTTATGGCAGTCAGTGATCGAAATTTTGAGGTTTTACCTCTTGTGACTAAGAATGCATTTGAAGAAGTAAGTCAGTTCAAATGCCTAGGGACAATTATTGCAATTAATAGTAATATCAATGCTGACAGGAGCGTGTAGTGGTGAAGAAGCTGACCTCACACCAGGAAGGTCCTGATTTCAAATGCAAGACAAGGCATGGTTGTTCTTTCATTCTCTGTACTATCTTCCTTTTCTGTGGGAGCAACGTTGGCCCACCTAATATGGTGCCCCTAAAAGAGTGGCTAACAAATCTGTTCTACTGATACTGATGCCTGAATGGCGAGTATCAATCAGGTGGGCATAGGGAAAAAATAATAATAACGATATCATATCAAAAATTAATAACAGGATACTGGTGGCTAATAAGTGTAGTTTTGCATTGAAAAACTAACTGAAATCATAGCTTATTTCCAGTAAAACTAAAATTAATTTATGTACCCAATTAAACCTGTATTACTTCATGACAGCAAATGCTGGCCTTTAAATAAAACTGAGGAAAATAGGCTAACAATATTTGAAGAAAAAAAACTCAGTGCCATCGTTGGAGCTGTTAAAGAAAACAGTATTTCTCTAATTTAGTACAATTAGGAATTATTCAGAAAATTTAAGCAACCGGACATAATTTCAGTTAGTAAATCCTATAAAATATGATAGTTGGGTCACATCTATAAGAGAGATGATATTTACCTAGTTAAAAAGCCGACTTTTCGAAAGTTTACAGGTGACCGAAAAAGGGGAAGACCAAACACCAGAGGGATTGATTCTGTGGGGAAAAATCTTAAACCATGGAAATCAACAAATCGAGAAACCTAGTGTCTGACTATAACTAGTTGGGATGGCTCTGACCTGTACTAGGATGTCACTCTGATGGAAGAAGAAATCATTCTCAAAGTTACTAAACAATCTGAAGAGAGATCTTCCCCTTTTTATAATGCCAAACAGCTTATTGGTGGTTAGCAGCTTCGTGGGGTTTTAAAACTTTAACCTAAAAAATCTTAAATATATAAATGATTACATGTTTATTATACTGGAAGCTCGGTGGCTGAGTGGTAGTTCTTTGCTCTCCTATACCTCAAGGCTGGGTAAAGTTGACTCAGCCATTTATACTTTCAGTGTGTCAATAAATTGAGTACCAAGCATGTTAGGGTACTAAACACTGGGGGTCTGTTTTCTGATGACCTATATTCTAATGATATCAATCAGAACATCTGATTCTGCACTCCAGAGCTTAAGGTCAAGAAAACTTGGGATGAGAATTGTAGGCCTTGGCCCTCCCTGGGCTGTTGCACTACTGCATTTAGTTTTATGTATCATGCTAACATCATGTTTAATAAATATATGACGTAATATATATGTATATGTTTTATAAGTATGTTACATAATATATGTGTATGTTTCATAAATATGTTCCATAAATATATATGCATGTTTGTAATAAAAAATATGTATTTTTGTATTTAGTTTTTAAAAGAAAGAAAGGTTTGGTTGAAAATTTAATTCATGATATAAAATGAAGAATTTAATGTTAATCCTCAGCCTATTTTTTAAAATAGTTTCCACATTATTAAAATAACTTTATAAATAATAAACTTTTTTTTATCAGAAATATGTATGCTTTCTGTTAAATAATAACTATACATTTTCTAAAACTTTCCCTTGTTATTCATCAATTTTGTATTTCTGAAAGAAGATTTTTATAATCATCCTGCTTCTTTTATTGAGAGAAACTAAGCAAATTTAAAGTATTTGCAATTTTATTTGAGTTTTAATATTTGACTATTTAAATAGTATTTAAATGATAAAATTCATTTAAATTATAGGATAGTAATCAATTCCATGCTGTTTGCTTAGATACTTATCCTCCTTTGCACTACTTGAATTCTACCTCTTATAAAATCATGAATTTTATCCATGCGTATAATGATCATTTTGGACAAAACAAAGTAAGTATAAGATATTTCATTATTTGAATTTCTTTATTTTTTATTAGAAAATTGAATTTATTTATTAGTAGCAAAATGAAGCAGCATAAATTATGTAATTGTATTTTAAAATTACTTTTATAAATAATTGTCATGATTTTTCAGCAATTTATTTAAGTATTTTAATTCCGTACTGACAAAATGAGTTAGCATTAATTATGCTTTAAAATGTAAAGGAAATTAAGCATACTTTTAATATAGTAGTACTTTTGCACTTGTAAAATCGAAACTACATAGCTTGTTATTTAGTGAGAAATTAAATTAAATGAATGACTTTTAATATAGCTAGATTTTTGTCATTAAAGTAAGCTTCTTTTTTGGTACAAGTAAGCAAGTAAATAGACAATGATATTGTCTAATATGATATAATTTTAACTGTGACATAAAAATTTCTTATTATTCGTAAATAATTTTATAGTTATCATTAAATTAATAACAAATTTTGCAATATTAGTTGGAATTGTTAAGTTGTTCTATTATTTTGTAAGTGAACTACTAAACATCAAGGTTATTTACATTCATGTTTTGTTTACATTATCAGGTAGCTTATACTTTTGATGCTGGTCCAAATGCCTGTTTGTATTTACTAGAAAATGAAGTGCCAACTGTATTAAGTGCTTTGAAAGCTCTCTTTCCTCCAGTTGAAGAAGATTTAAAATTTATTCGTGGGTTTGAATCTCCTTTGCAGCCTATATCTGAAGTAAGAAAAAAATCTTTTTTAAATATTGTTGTTGACGTATGCCTGTTTAAGTAGAGGGGGTGCGATTGTTCTTGTTTTCCAGTGGCGCCATCTATGGCCACGAATTCGACTTCTGCCACATCGTACGTCACACCCGTTTATAGGGCGAACCCATTCATTCATCCACAGATCGTAATTTTGACCTGAATCGGAAAACGATCGATCTCCAATTCAGTACCCCCAGAGGTTTTGATTTGTTATGGGAACATGGAGGACTTTGTGACTCGACAGATTTAACGTGCACCAGTCACCACCTTTTATTATCTTTTTTAAATAGTTTATAAATTTAAAGTACTTGATAATATTTCTTTCAAGTATTAACGCTTGACAACTATATATTTAATTTTTTATTTGTATAATAAATTTAAGGCATCTAATGAATTAGTTGCTAATTTTTATGCAAAGTAACCACTTGACAATATACGAAAAAGAATGATACTAGGTGTGAAATCAAACAATGCTTACCATAATTCTTGAGAAAACTTTCCATTCCAATGATTTTGCACTCAACTGAATCTTTTAAATCAATCTAAAATAACTGTCAATGCTTTTTTTTAATTATTTATTTGAAATGTATCATCAGTAATTTGAAGAAATATTCAGGATGTATTCTTTTTTAGAACATTGCCACCAATTCAAAAAATTATATTAAGAGCAACTACTAGCTGTGTTTCTAAGATTGGTTTCAAAATTAATATTTTCCAACATACAAAAAAGAATGTGAATAATAATTGTATTCAATTTTATATTGTATGATTGCTGTTAAACTTGGTAGGTTTTATCTTTCTTAATTTAACTGCACAATATTTTCTAAACTTTTATATTTTTCAGAATATGACAAATAATAGTAATCTATTCGTGTAAAATAAGCTATTTTTATCCCTTTCAGGTGTTCTTAGATTCTTTTAAAATTGATCCTCAACCTGGTGCTATTCAGTATATTATCAATAGTCGAGTATGTATAACATATTTTTTTTTCTTGTTTTAATATTGCTTAATTGTTATGAGAAAGAAATTACAGTAAACGCCTGGTTATATGGAAATCAACTTACCAAAAAGCTCAAGTAACTGGATTTTTTGGAAATTTATATTTTTTTCTTCTAAAGATGAATTGGAATGGTCAAAAATGCAATTAAAAATACCAACCAATTCTCAATAATTGTTTCCTCTCCTTTAATTTTACTCTAATTATAAACAAGTATTTAGTTCAAACAGAAAACCACCTGTAAATTTTTTATTTCATTTTTCTTTAATAATTCTAGTGGACAACTATTGTATCTGTGTTATATTTTATAAGCGTTGATCGAGATTTCTTTTAGTTTTTATTAAAGCATTGTATTTTTTTCCCAAAAAATAAGGTAATATTAAACGTGGATATTTTTTGGGTTGGGTTGAGAATTTTGGGAGGAATTTTCTTTTTTTATTTCATATTTTCTTATGTTAAATTTAAAGCTTACCTTATACAATGTTTTAATAAGTTTCTAAAGTAAATATTTGGTAACATTTTTAATTTCTTCAGTATTTTGTATTTGCATATTTGATTTAAATATTAAATATATTTGTATTTTTTAAAATTCTTTCGATTTTTGATTGAAAAAGAAAAAATTTATCTTTCTCTTACAGAACATTAACCTTAAAGTTACTTAAAAAGAACTTCATGGGATAAACATTTAGTTTTAAAAAAAATCTAAAGTAGTTATTATCTAGAAAATATAGTTGCTTTCATGTTAAAAACCACACTTAAGAGTTAAGTGTTGCAGTCATTTTTCAAAAATATTGTTTTTTTTTTTACTTATTTTTATAGAACTTTATAGCAGCTGTATTTTTTCTTTAATATAAATCTATCATTTTAAATAATTATTATATTCTATTTTTTAAGGAATTTGTTAGTCTTTTACCAATTTAACGTAATATCTCTGTAAAAATATATTATCTTTGATTAATTAGTGTCACATATTTTCATTATCTTTCAAATAATAGAATTTTTACTATTTCAGTAAAATAATTCATAATAAGACTGCCGTGTGACTGAAAAATCTTAAGTGCTTCATGATAAATTTCAAAATGAGCTTCTTGACAATTATTTCCTTTTTATTTCTAGGGCTATGAACACTAAAGTAAAATGTCAAAAAGTTTTTAAAAACAAAATTTCTTTTTAGAAAAATTTTACAATATATATGTAGCTTATCATTTAAAAATGCCAAATATATAAAAATCTCAATTGTGAATTTTTTGACACTTGTATTGATTTTTCCATTGCATCTCAAAATAGCCCTCTAATTGAATCGCTGCTTGCAGATTTCGTCACCAATCCCTCAATCTTCTTCTGTGGAAAAATCAGAAGGGGAAAAAATCATTATTTTATTCGCATTTTTTTTCCAGTGCCGAAACAATTTTTACTTAAATATTTCTGGAAGCTCTTAAAAAAGTTCTGAAGGTCCTTCTGTATGTAGTTAAATTATACATATATTTTTATAAATATTATGATTTTTTTTAATAAAAATTTATCAATGTTTCTTATGTACTTGATATTTATTATCTACTCTTGATATTTCATGTAACTTACAAATTTTAGATTGGCAGTGGTCCAAGCATACTTGAAGATGATGGTCAACATTTATTAAATAAAGATGGGCTTCCTATTTCTTGAATTTGCTGGTATTTTCTTACTTTTCGTAAGAACTGGTAAGGAAATGTGCAGTTAAAATCTAAAAGCACGATGATTGGTATTTTTATACATTTTTTTCACTTAATAAAAACTTACAAAATATGTCATGTGAAAAATTTCAAATTGTGAAATTAAAGTGAACAAATGTACAATATTGATTGTACTTGTAATGTTTTTATTATTTTATATTTCATTATTTTTTTTTGTATTCAATTTTACTACATAAGACTTTTTATCTTGGAAAATGTAGTGCTTTTATTTATTTATATTTTATTCATCATAATGGCGCTTGTAAATTATTTTTTAAATTTTGTTAGCTCTATTGAATGCCTGGCAAACTTTCTGTGGTTATATTAGTAATTAAATAGAACCAAGATAAGTATACAAGACAGTATTTAACTGTGAAAATTTAAGAAAATATTTAGCATGTATAAATATGTTATTGAGTTTTTTCAATGAGTTTTAAAGCTATAAAAACGTTAAGTTAAAAACACAAATGCTCTCAAAAGATGCTTCACAAAAAATATTTGAGATAAAAAATTTTATTTTTTGTGGATTTATCAGGGTTCATTACACACTGCCAACAATTGCATAATAAAATCTCTATTTGATTAAATAATAACACTTCTATTAAAACATGCAATTACTTAAATGTTTATATATCATTGTATTATGTATTTTATACACTTATTATTTATATACATACTTATTATTTATATTGTTTTAGCTGTATAAATATTCTTACAATATTTATTTTTCTAGACTATTACGTTTATATTCAATATTAAATGGTTGTTGTATTCTTTTCAAAATAAAATACTTTTAGACATAAATGTGCTATTTTTTAATTTAAATTTTTTTGTTGATCGATACAAATTGAGCTTTGTGAAAATGCACTGTATTTAAAATATCTAAACAAGGGGAAAAAGATTTGTTAAATTGCAATTAATCCCTCACTGCTGAGGAAATTTTCAAGTGCCCAGTGCCACCGGAGGCTTGCTTAATTTTGTTGTGTATTGGAGAAAAGGAGAGGTATGCTTTTTAATCTTAAAAACTGTTTAATTTTACGAAAAAAAGAAGAAAAGAAAGCTGATTACGAAATTTAAAGTATATCAGTATAATAATAAAAAAATTTTAGCAATGAATGTAAAAAGTAATGTCATATTCCAAACTTTCTGATTCTAAAGAAAAAGGAAAACAGTCATCTAATTCACTCTCAGACATATTTGCACAAAAAATAAGAACTTTTATTACACACGGATACAAAAACGGAAGCAAAAGGAACCTAAGAAAGCATGTACTACTCGAATAAAAAAGAGCAATAACTGCACAGCTATGATTTACTACCCAGAAACTTCCCTTTCCTCCCCCTCTTGTCTGAAACCTGAAATCAAGACCATTTTATTGCAATGCGAAAATGTGGGAGTTGTTTTACTGATAGCAAAGTGCAATGCATACTTCGGAAAGGCATATGTATATATACAGCGGCAGTTAACGCATCGGCTTAGCGAAGTGTATATATATATGCGCTTGCAGTAAACAAAGGGTTAAATTTCATTATTTTAAAAATAATTAAAATATTATTAAAAGTACCAAATTTTTAGGAAAAAATATGTCTTCCATTTTATTTATAGGTATAGAAGAATCAGTTTTATAGTTAGGAAAATATAACTGAAATATTATTCAGTAATTTAAAGAGCTTTTTAGATAAGTCTATTTTCTATAAAAATATATTAGTAACATTTGTTATAAAAAGTTAAACTTATATGAGATTTGGTTTCCGCATAAATTTTTATATCTAGTTTTATAATGATTTAAAAACACATGAATAATTTATACAAATATCTCTTAAACCATTAATTTTACATTTTGTAAAATTCATGCTCATAAATAAGAATTTTATAACTATTAAAGAACCTTACATTTTTTAAAAAAATTTTCATTAGCTTTATCACAAAATTTTTACATTTGTTTTAATTTTAAGAAGAACATGATACATTTATACATACTGAAACTTAAGTCCATTACAGTTTCTATATAAATGTGGAACCTTTAAAGCTGCTAGAAATTAATAAATTTTTGAATAGAAAATTATAAACTGCACTTTGTTCACAATTCAAAGTTTCATTCTTTTGGTATAAACGAATAACGAACATCTGTGTCTTGATGAATTGAAGAAAATCTCTTTTGCACATTTTGTTCTTCGAAATATACATTATATCTATCTTTATTTAGTTTTTTCTTAGTCAAATTCCGAATAATAAGGAGAATAATTATTGCTGTGACTATGAGTAATAGGATACCTAATGCAATTAAAGATGTGTTCTTGAATCCGTGATCTTTCTTTCTAGATGCTACTGCACCTATGTCAATTATCACTTTCCTTTTACATTTTGTTTCCGAACTTAACAGTTTGTGATATGCTGTCAAACAAATGTCATCAATGTTATCTTCCATTAAAAATGGATAAGAATAGTTTGAGCAAGAGAAATAAGATTTTTTAACAATTTCCCTTGATGAGGACAAACTTAATGTCAAATTACAAACTGATAACGACTGATTCCTATTTACCGTCCAAATAGCCAGAGCATAAAGGGTATCATTGAAATCGACATTAAATGAGAGAAGTTTGAATTCAAAATTGACTGTTGAGTTTTTTATTTGTATTTTAGTTGATGGGAAAAAAGTAGTAACACCATCCGTTGTGTAGTCAACAGATGTAACATTTATAGAAATATTGGACAATTCTGTGGTGGTTGGAAGACTACTATGATTATAAGTTTCAAGCAATAGCTGGTTTGAACATTCTGTACTTTTTGGTGCATGATTGATGAATAAAATCAAGCAAAATTTATACATATCATTATATCTACAGTGGAGTTGTTTACTGCCTGGTGGTGGACATTTTATATGGTCAAAACCTCTTTTTCCTTTGATTAAATCAGATCGTAGGACACATTTTGAGTCATTTAGTAAATCTCCTTGTATTGTATATTCAACACACAGTTTATCATCTACAACTGTATAATTAACTAGAATAATTTTTGTGTTGTCAATTATTTTTTCCTTTTGAATGGTTGCTGATGTTGTTAATATCTTCTCCGGGTTTGGTGATAATATTTCATCATCATAATCATAGTAATCATCTTCAGTAGTTACATTATGAGAAGTTGTAGGTGAATGCATGTCAAGTGTAGTGCTTTCTTCTTGTGTCTGAGAAAACTCACTCTTGTTGTATTGAGTAATTAGAATGTTCTCTGTCGAGAATGCAAAGTAATCTGTAGAACGATTTCTTGTTATAACATCATCTGTTAGCGAAGTTGAACTTGTTTCACTGTTACCTTCACTTTCTGTTCCATTTTTAAATAATGAATCTGTTTGAGTTGAATCATTTACAGTTATTTCAGGTATGAAAGTAGTACTCTCATTGCTATTACCAAATAATATGTTATCAAATGTCCCATTACTTTCTGTTTGAAATCCTTCTGTTGTTATAGGAAATTCACTCTCAGTCTTGACATTGCTAGTGGTTTGTTCAGTTTCTTCACTTTTGTCTTCAGTTGTGTGATGTTTTGTTGTATGAGGAACATCACTTTCTGTTTTGACACTAATAGTTGTTTGTTGTGTTTCTTCAGATATGTAATTTTTTGTTGTATGAGGAAAATCACTTACTGTTTTGATACTGATAGTTGTCTGTTCTGTTTCATACAATGAAGTGTTATCTGCTGTAAAGAAGGAAGACTCTGGAGACTCTGTTTCTGTACTTATGTCTGTAGGTATAAAACTAGTTGTGGTTCTTATATTTGTGGTGGATGATAATGGTGTGTATTTTGTTTCATCCATAGTTTCATTCAATGTTGTGGCTGTACTTATAGTAGTTTCTTCCTCATCTAAATAATAATCATCTTCAGTGTCAGCTTCAGATAAATCAGATACGCAGGAATCAGCCATGTTACAATCTTTATCAGACAAAGCAATGTCTACGTATTTTGTCAAATTTGATAAACAAACTGTTTCATCCAATATATTACCTGAAAATGCACATAAGAATTTTAGTTCATTTAAAAAGTTAAAAATGTTAAATAGATTTTCACAAATTACTTTATCTTTTCTCAAACTGTTTTAGATATCTCCACTATTATTAATTGTAGTCTTCATACTTTTGTATCCCATTTTTAAAAGGATAAAATTTAAAATATCAAACAAAGTTTGCTTGATTTTAATAAGACACGATTGTATGTGACCTATAATTACATTTTCCAATCTGTTAAAGTGATTTATGTATGTACTATATCAAAGTTTGTATATATTAACGCTTGTTAATGGGAAGAAAAAGTGTTACCTAGATATAGTTAATGCACTACATCTGTAATGAAAAGACTGAAACATTTATTGCTGAACATATTTACCATACAGATTAACAATTTTGCTGTCTTCAATTTTATCTAATAAGTTGACAGGAAAAAAAAACAGAATTCGAGTCAGAAATAAAATTTAATAATGAAATTCTGAATAAATTTTAGAACAAAAAATTTATTTATCCTCAAGATAAATAGAAACTAAAACTGGTAATAAAAAATCAACAGCATCTGCATCAACTGTTGTCGTGGGATGATGGAACAATGTTATCATTAAATTTCTAAATTTCTTGTAAAATTTATAGATAATAAATGATATGTCCAGCTTTTTTTCTTTAAAAAAATTAATGTAATTTTAAAAACTAATAAAGTTATAGTTCTCCATCTCATCAAACTATCATTTATACAGTTATTTTCCCCAAAAATGTTTTTTAAAAAATATGCCTATGTTTTATAAAAATAATTCTTTTATAAAAGAACAACCTTGTTTATTTAACACTAAAATATGTAAGGGATTGCAAACCTTAGTAAGCCAAGTCTATTTATCCTTGTTTAAAACAAAAATTTATTTATTTACTTATTTGTATATTGAAAAAGTTGAAACTGAAATTTAAAAAAACAAGAATTATTTTGTTAAAAAATTCGAGGATTGTGAATTAGTATAAAAATAAATAAGGGTGATTCTCACGAAATACGACAATTGACAGTCTTTTATTCCAAGATCAAATACTAAACTACTAAAAGAACTTTTGGAAAAAAAATTTAATAAATAGCATTGCTATTAGCATTTTAAAATGACTTCGCACTGGCATTGACTGTTTTGTATATTTAAAAAATTTTATTGACTATCAAAATGTCATTTTCCTTTTATGTCACAAGCAATATTTCCAATAATAACTAGTTTCAAAACTTCCCATACATTTTTCAATATCTATTTTTTTTATCTCAATCGTTGTAAGCATTTCTAGAATGTATGCAGAAAGTATTATTTCCATAAACTTTGATAAAAAAATAATTTTTTCTGTCAATAATTTGTTTGTCACACGAAAATAGTCATTTTCCTGGCCACTATTTTTTAGTAATTTATAACCGAAATAGATAGCTCCAGCAATCAATATCTTAGGTTAAGAGATTGATTAGAAATCCATCCTATCTGAACATGTCTTATTGAAGGAATAAAGAACCAACTTTCTGAGTCAAAATGCATTTCAAAAAAATTTACAAGGTGAGTAGGTTTTTATGTTGTCATTTTCCTGTCTTCTTGAAATCATTAATAACATAAACTATTTAGATTTACCTTAGTTATTTCAAGAAATCCTGTTGTTTTCTGCAGAAAGTAAGCGTCTTAGGCCCGAAATGTTAAATTAAAGTAAAGTTAAATGCTGTAAAATGGCAAATTGTCATTATCCTGGCTTATAAATACCTGGACTTTAACACAGTTACCAGAAAATTTTTTAAACTCTATATGTAGAGAGGGAAAGCAAATATTAACCTAATACCCAGTTTATGTAAGATTGTAATATGCTCATATGTAATTAAAGTTAATTTTATTCTGTGCATATCAACAACAAAAACATTTTTGATTCTTTCTACAGTGGATAAAAGAATTAATTTGAACAATTCATGGTCCATCTAAAGCAAAGGCTTTAGGATTTTTTTTTCTTCCAAAACACAGATAGTTAAAATATAAAGGATAAGCTAAGAACATCACTGTACAATTAAATTCTGTCATATAGTCTTTAAACCTTGCTTGGAATTCAATTAAATTCAAGATTGTAATAAAGTTGTAAAATAAAATGATTTGAAATATTTTAAATGTAAATATTATAAAAAAAAATTCTATGTAAATTATTATAAAATTAATTTTACTAGGTTATTTTAAAACATGGGGCCTAAAAACAGTCAAGGGAAAAAAAGCGAGAAGAAATGGTATGGAAAGATTAAAAATGATTGTGAGCTCCTTGAAAAAGAAAAACCTATAAGAAATTTAAGCTATACTCAATAGAAAAAGAAAGGAGTTGTAATGCCAGTGACAAAGGTGAGTGAAAGAGAGAAAAGTATACTGATAGAACATATGAATCATATTGCCATAATAAAGCATCAATTTCAATTCACAAGCAAATTAAAATAAAAGCTTTACACGTAATCAATTTTAATTTTCATTGANTTTTTTAAAAATTAATAAATAGCATTGCTGATAGCATTTTAAAATGACTTTGCACTGGCATTGACTATTTTGTATATTTAAAAAATTTAATTGTCTATCAAAATTTCATTTTCCTTTCATGTCACAAACAATATTTTCAATAATAACTAGTTTCAAAACTTCCCATACATTTTTCAATATCTAATTTTTTTATCTCAATCGTTGTAAGCATTTCTAGAATGTATGCAGAAAGTATTATTTCCAAAAACTTAGCTAAAAAATAATTTTTCTGTCAATAATTTGTTTTTCATATGAAAATCAGTAATTTTCCTGGCCACTATTTTTTAGTAATTTATAACCAAAATAGATAGTTCCAGCAATCAATATCTTAGGTTAAGAGATTGATTAGAATATCATTTTATCAGAACATGTCTTATTGAAGGCATAAAGAACCAACTTTCTAGGAGTCAAAATGTATTTCAAAAAAATTTACAAGGTAAGTAGGTTTTTATGTTGTCATTTTCCTGTCTTCTTGAAATCATTAACTATTCTTCTTGAAACATGAACTATTTAGATTTACCTTAATTATTTCAAGAAATCCTGTTGTTTTCTACAGAAAATAAACGTCTTAGGCCGAAATGTTAAGTTAAAGTAAAGTTAAATGCAGTAAAATGACAGATTGTCATTATCCTGGCTTATAAATATCCTGGCTTTTTTAACTCTATATGTAAAGAGGGAAAGCAAATATTAACCTAATACCCAGTTTATGTAAGATTTTAATATGCTCGTATATAATTAAAGTTAATTTTATTCTGTACATATCAACAACAAAAACATTTTTTATTCTTTCTGCAGTGGATAAAAGAATTAATTTGAACAATTCATGGTCCATCTAACGCAAAGACTTTAGGTTTTTTTTCTTTCAAAACACAGATAATTAAAGGATAAACTAAGAACATCACTGTACAATTAAATTCTGTCATACTCTTTAAACTTTGCTATGGTGTATAAATTCAAGAATGTGATAAATATGTAAAATAAAATGATTTGAAATATTTTAAATGTAAATAATATTATTTATAAAAAAAATTCCGATGTAAATTATTATAAAATTAATTATACTAGGTTATTTTCAAACATGGGGCCTAAAAACAGTCAAGGAAAAATAAACTGAGAAAAAAAACGAGAAGAAATGGTATGGAAGAATTAAAAATGATAGAGAGCTCCTTGAAAAAGAAAAACCTATAAGAAATTTAAGCTATACTCAATAGAAAAAGAAAGAAGTTGTAATGCCAGTGGCAAAGTTGAGTGAAAGAGAGAAAAGTATACTGATAGAACATATGAATCATATTGCCATAATAAAGCATCAATTTCAATTCACAAGCAAATTAAAATAAAAGCTTTACACGTAATCAATTTTAATTTACATTGATTTCAGTAAAATCTATAATATCAAATGTGCATCAGAACCACAAACAGTGCACTTTGGAACTTCAAGAACACAATTTACTGCACGCGTAGGAGTATTATATCAAACACCAGCAGAAAAGACCACAAGTTCTTCATTTTCAACTCTATCAGAATCTCTAAGAAATTACTCATGTGCTATTTGGGCATATATAAAGAAAATTTTAAGTAATGTACCAAAGAGAGAAAACTTTAAGGAAATATATTTTGTGAGTGATTCGCTCTCAACACAATATAGAAATAAAACAACTTTTTATCTTTTAAATTTTTTTTTGTATTTCCTCTAATTCTGCCTAATGTATCATCAGGACATTTTACAGAGCCGGACCATGGAAAGGGTGCACCGGTTGGTGTTGTAAAACGTTTTGCTGAAAAAAGTGTTGCTTTTGGTGGAGACATACCAAATATGAAAACTTTCATATTTGTTGTTGAAAAAGAACGTAGTTTAATAATTAAAGAAGTTAAGACTTATGTGAAGTTAGACATATATAGAAACAGTTCATAAATTCATTGAAGGAAAAAAAAATATTCCCTTCAAGGGGTCTATGAATGTACACCAAATCTTCTAGAAAAAATATTTTAACTAGCCTCTTCTTTCGTAAAATGAGCTGTAACTGCCAGTATCTGTATTAAATGTGACTTTCACATTGGTTCGCTCAACTACTCAAATTTTTGTACCACAGTACCAACTCTTCATTTTAAGAATGAATCAACTGAGCAAGAACCTATTAAAGTTGACTCTGAGGCAATTAATTTTAGTAACGTTAATGGCAATTGACGTCAGTTCGTGGCTGTTCAGTTCGAAAATGAATGGTTTCTAGATAATTGAACTGATTTTTAATTTAAAGTAAAACCTATTTTAAATGCTGAAATCGGAAAAATTCCTAAGATTATCATTTTTATTGTAGGAGAAGTTCTTGAAGTTATGATGATGAAGATATTAAAGTTAACTTTATTATTCGTGATGGCAAACAGACTGCTAATCACTTTAAGTGACCAGGAAAAAAGACTGTGTCAAAATTTCTTAGAATATCACCTTTTCAAAAATATCTGCTCCTTACCCAATATCTTTCAGGCATTTTGCTTCCTCTGAAAGCTTCAAGATTAATGAAATTTTACAATTTTTTTTTTGGTTTTCTTTCTTTTAACTGTTTCTTTGCAAATTAAAGTGTAGACAAATTAAAAACCCCATTGGGTGTATTACCCTTTCATTTTTATTGTACTTGACTAATTTGTTCAAATTGTTCACAATAATTATTTTTGGAATTTATTTACATAAAAAGTTAAAATTAACTTCTGAGTTTCTTAAGTTGAGTTGCTTACAATTAGCTTAAAATGACTGTTTTCTTAACTTCTAAGCTAATATGTCATTTTCCTGGTCTTCTAGTCATTTTCCTAGCATTCAAAATTTGGTGAATTTCTTTTTTTTTTTTTTTCCTCTAGCAAATGGCAATAAACTACACTGCTGCCTGTAAGATATTAATAAATGTAACTAAAATTTACCAAAAAAAATTATTATTTTGAAAACTAAATTTGAATAATTATTATTTTTTTTTCCGAATTGTCAAGTTTCCAAAGATTTACCCATAAAACAGCTTGCTTTGCATTAAAACAGATTTAAAATTTTTAACAATATTCCCCCATTTCTTTTTTTTTTTATTTATTTAAATTTTTTTTATTCAAATTTAACAATTAAAATAAAATCTTTCAACTATATTAATAGTATTTAATGTTCGGTTGTTAAATTTCATTGAATTTTAACCAAACATATTCTACCATAACAATGCCATAAACATCATAATTTGAATCTCCCGCCTACTTGGTTGTCTATGTTTTAAAGCCCCTCGCAATAGATAATTTTTTTTTTAAAAAATAAATATTTCTTACCATTTAACAGCAATTCTTTAATGTTAAGACTGCTTAATAGTGTTCCAGGAGAAATTATTCTTATGACATTGTGTCTCAAATCTAAGGTTTCCAAAGAATACAAGTTAGAAGTATAATCACAAAGCATGGCTTTTAGCATATTCATGCTTAAATTCAAATTCCTGAGCAGAGTTAGTTGAGCAAAAGTTCCTGTATTCATTTGCTTGATTTTATTATTACTTAAATCCAGAGTTACTAATTTTTTCATTTTGGAGAAAGCGTCTTTTCCAAGGCTATCGATGCTGTTATAGCTCATATTCAATGTTTCAACATTAGCTAAACTAGAGAGAGCATGAGAATTTATGTTTTCAATTTGATTTAAACTTAGATCGATGTATGTTAAATTGGGTGTTCCAGATAATGAATCCTCTTCCAAAGAACCTCCTATCTTGCAATTTTGAGCTGAAAATTTTGTTAAAGATTCTGATACTATACTTATATTGGAAATAAAAGAGATATTATTTCCATTTAAGATCAATGTATGAAGCATTGGCAAATACTGGAGGAGATCTCTACTAGTCATTTTAAGCTGATTTTTGGACAGGCTTAGGTATTCCAGTTTTTCCAAACTAAAAAATACTCCAGGATCTATATCAGAAATTTCATTAGAATCTAAATTTAGTGCAATGAGATTGTGCAGTGAAAAGAAAAGATGATCCTCGAGTAACCCAATATCACTGTTTTGAATTTCCAGTGCTTTTAAATCTCTCCATCCTGGTCCAAAAAAATCATTTTTCGAGTCTTCCAATCCTCCTAGTATGCTTAAACTTGAAATATTTAAATCTGTCATATTTAGATCAGCAGGAAAAGTCAGACTTGTCAAATTGAGAATCAAGTGTTCTCTCATGTTTGTAAATTGAATCTGAGAGATGTTAACGAACAGTTTTTGAACACTAGATATATCTTCTGCATTACCCACACATTCAATCTCGTTGTTATCACAGGAGCATTCTATATCTTCAGATATTATGCAACTTAAAACTCTGTTCTGATTCAGAAACAATGCGACAATCACAAAAAATAGCTTCATACTGAGTTTCACAAGTACACAGACTGTAATGAATTAGATCTGTAAAAAAATAATAAATTAATTACAATCTCTAATATCTTAAAAAAATTTAAATTTAAAATTTTATAAAAACTTTAATTTTAACTTAACTTCCATCCGATAATACAAGAAAAGACCGAATTCTTCATTAAAACAATAATAAAAAATAATCGAAAATATTAATGCATCCCCACAAAACCCGTTATGGGTCAGAGAGGTCATGGAGATTAAAGTCCAACAATTTTGTGATCTTCGGTAAGATGACGGGAATGTGGTCAGCACTGCGCGCCAACCACATTTACTTACCAGATAAGATTGTACCTATCGATCTGAAGCTGAGTGAGTTGCAGGCGCCACCGGGAACAGAACCTTAGTTCATCTCAATGACATCTATCGCAACTATTTAGAAAATTAAACCCTTAAAGTGACATTGGACTGGCCAATATCTTGGATTGGATCACCATTACATCAAACGACCAAGAAAAGAGAAGGTGGTCTGATAAAATTTGAAAAGTAGGCTATGTAAATTTGAATTTTTGAAAAAGACCTTTATCTAGCCAAGGATAGGTAAAGGCTGAAGATTATAATAATATATCACTAAGTGTCTAACTGCTGCAAATGATGTTAATTCTGAAAATAGAACATGAGAACTGAAATGATCTTTAAAGAAAAATTTTATTTCTTTGTGGTAAAATTTACTATCAGCGTAAAAAGCTTTTGTGAAAATTTCCGTTTTCATTTAAGAACGTTATGTTATTTCAATACCATGCAATGACATAAATATATGTATTTCATTTCTAAAATAACTAATTTTTGGACATAAATAGTTTCTGTAAAAATCATTACATATTGTTTGGATTTGAGCTTTAATGTTTTCTAAAGTTGGCGGTTAAATCTTAAGTTTTCCGATGGAAATGTGACTAAGGAATAATGTTCCAAGGATAGTTTAGAAATTAATTTTTCAAATTCGCTCCTTGAAATCTACAAGTTTTGGACATAAAATGGAACTATCTCTCTCACTTTATATATATATAAAGTTTCGCATTAATTAAAAGTATGCACTAATTAAGACATTTTTCCCTTTGCTTTTTGTGGAAACAGCGCGACCTATTTGATAAACAAATCACAATTACTAAGATTTCCCTTATTCCCCTAAAAATCTTTTTTCGGAAGAATTCATTCTCACAAAATTTAAAAACAGCAGAATAAGATTATTCCTATAAATATGTGTAACCAATTATATTTCATAAAAAAATATATACATTTTTTATGACATGAAAATATTTCGAATTGAAAACGATTTATTAAAATTATTCGGTGTTTAAATCTCTTTTTGATAAGACATATTCAACCTGATCATATGCCATAAAAAATTTTAAATATATATATCAAACATCAAAATTGGGAATTAAAATCAACCTTAACATTGATTAAATTTTAAATTGCACAAAAATAGTAAAAGAATTAATGATTGATAAAATAATTGGAATTTTACTGCGCAAGAGGAAGGAATATTTCAGTTGGTGCACATAGCTTAAAATGCGTGTTGGAGAAAATGGACATAGCCTGAAATGCATATTTAAAGAAATGGCCACAACTCAAAATGCATGTTATAGAAAATGGAGAAAGTTCGAAATGCGTTTTTAAGAAAATGGGCATAGTATTTAATTACGTTTTCCGAACTTCTCTTATAGAAATTGTTCTTTTTTTAAAAGAATAAACATATTTCTAATGTGAGCAAACATATTTCTAATGTGATGTCTTTCATTTGCCTAAATAACTTGGTACATTTTTCTTTTTAAATTGAGGCTTTTTTTAAAACTAAAATCATCAGTTGTTTAAAGCCCTTTTCAAGGACTTTTTTCAAGTTGTCTCTCACTGGTCCTATAAAGTTATTACAGTGTATTATTAAATTGACGTCGTTGTACAAAGTAAGAATATTAAAAATTCTTTTATAGTTTAGTACTCTGAATATGACGAGATCGCATGAAAAGTTAATCTGAAATATACCTAACATCCCCGACTCCGAAGTCCAGGTACGTAATTATTTAAAAAATGCAAAAAAAATTAAGTTGAAAATTCTCGTTTAGTTGTTAAATGTGGGTTCAACATTGAAAAGTTTACTTTTCTTGAGCTGAGTCCAGGTTCGTAAACACACGTTTTGTCCATTATCTCAAACTCGTTTTTTGAGTTTTGTCCAGTACCGTATAGGAAGGCAAGGATTGTCCTCGGGTACCAACTTTGATGAGGTGACAAAAATTTTATGCTTAGCTGTAAATAACTTGATCTTGATTTTTTTTACTTAAATTAAGAACAGCTTTGATTTATGCTGAATTAAATCATAATTTATCCCTTGTACCAAACTACGAAGGAGTGACAAATACTTCTGTGTTTTGTTGTGCATAAGTTGTAATTTGTATCAATTTTAAACCAAGTTGGATGGGAAGTTGTTAAAATGCAGAAAAAGTTTCGTAAAATTTTAATTTTTGCGTCACGGCTAGAAAACCATTGCTTTCGAAGTTTTATAAAAGAATTTGTTTTTATTTCAGACTTTTCATTTGCTTTCATTTTAATGTTTTAGGTTTAAAATAAATGAATGTCTATTTGTAGCAAAAAGTTGAAAATATTTCGTATAAATTGAATTCAACTGTGACAATTTCTTTGAGCTGTTACACAATTTTTAGACGAATCGTAATTAATTAATTGCATTTTCATTCTTTTTTTTTCCTTCAAAATTTTGCTTTATACTTACATTTATTTAGCATAATTATGGCTATAAAAAAAATTTTTTTCTTCTAATTTCTAAATTTTTTTTTCATGGTATAAAATTTAATTTTTATTTAACTATCGATTATCTTTGTTTTCGATTTTATGCAGAGATATTCTACTTTTATTTCGAATCAATTTTTGGTGTTTTGCAGATATAATCGTGTGAGCTGATGACGAGATTATATATATTCAATAGTTTGTTTTCCGCTTTTTTTTAAAAATTTAAGGTGTTAAAAATTANTCTATATACATTACGTTCTCACATAATTTAGCCAATGGATTATCTATTTTTATAATAAAAATATTGAATAAGGTTTTCTTGCGCTGTCTTCCCCTATCATTTTTTTCAACGCATTTCCGTCAATCAAACTTAGAGCCATCATACTATATAGCATTGCTTTCACTATAAAGTCTTGTAATTGGAAAGAGCCACACCCGAAGGGTCAAAACAAAAAATTTCGATTAGATTTAAATTCTTGTCAGAAAAATATACGATAACAAGTGTTCTGTACTACATGTTTTATAAATTAAAATTACTAAATTTAGTTATTTTTGAAACATTCTATACAAATATAAAAACTTAGAGTTGGAAAATTAAAGATATAGTACCTTCTACATTTCTGTCATTGTATATTTGCATGTATGTTAATGCAAAAGCCTAAAGTATGGTGAATTCTAAGTTTTACTAGTAAAACCTAGGATTTTTCCAAAGTGGCTTGTTAAGTCCTTACGTTTAACTGCAAAGGCCTTGTAAAAAGAAGGCCGAAATGAAATCAAGCATACTTCGGACTATGCCAAGACATTTTGGTAAAAGCTAAGTTTTACCGTTAAGACCTTGGATTTACCAAAGTGGCTTTGGTAACCCTTAGGTTTTACTCCAAAGGCTTAGCAAAGGCTATGTTTTACCAGTAAAATTCCGGATTTAATAAGCTTCAGGTCCTTACTGTGACATATATCATAACGCGTTCAACAGAATAACTATGATACAAATATCGCGTCGCATTTTTGGATGGTTACATAATGGAGTCAGGGTCAATAAACTAATTTAAAAATTGAAATAAATTTAAACTGTCAATAGAAAAAAATATAATACATAATACTCAAGTTATTTAAAATAAGAATAATGCCACCAAAAAATTTTAGAAAGTGAAAAAGCAAAAGAATAATAAATTAAAACGTATGATACAATTAATAAACTTACACAAATGATTCACAACGCAAAGCAAAATTTTACATTTTGATATGAAAATTATGAATTCTAACTTCTTTACAGAAATTTAAGTAAACAGTAAGATATGTAACAGGAAACAGGTACATCCGTTTTTTTATTTCCTGCCATTTCTTCCTTAAAAATAAATTAACAAATGTGAAACTGATTAAGTTATTTTAGCATAAGGTTGACAGTTTAATTTTCCGCAACGGGTAAAAACGAATGGGAAAAAACCACTCGGGTAAAAAAATATGGGAGAATCTATTGTTTAATTTAAAATTGCTTGTTTAACATAACTAATTGAATATTTCTATATAAATAATTATGTTTTAATAAGTAATGTTAAATATTACATAATTATGCAAACTACTTTAAAAGAAAATTGATTTATCGGAATTAAAAATGTATAGTTTATAGTTTAACATTATGAACCAGAAAAAAATTTAATAACCTAAGAGGTCTGTGTCAAATTAACAGTCAATTCGCTGTGGCGATAATTCGCCGCGCACAATTTGTCGTAGGTCAATTCACTTCATCCTGAGTACTATTCGTCGTGGTGACAGTTTACCTTGGGCACAACTCTTAGCAATTTGTCACAACGTGGCAACGTAAATCGTGGCACGTACAACTCGCCATAGCGATAATTCGTTGATTAAATATATTTATATTATTGAATTTGAATTATATATATGGGTCATTCTCACAAAAACAGTCATTNTAAACATTTTTCTAATGTGAGCAAACATATTTCTAATGTGATGTCTTTCATTTGCCTAAATAACTTGGTACATTTTTCTTTTTAAATTAAGGCTTTTTTTAAAACTAAAATCATCAGTTGCTTAAAGCCCTTTTCAAGGACTTTAGTTTTTTCAAGTTGTCTCTCACTAGTCCTATAAAGTTATTACAGTGTATTATTAAATTGACGTCGTTGTACAAAGTAAGATTAAAAATTCTTTTATAGTTTAGTACTCTGAATACGACGAGATCGCATGAAATATACCTAACATCCCCGACTCCGAAGTCCAGGTACATTAATTATTTAAAAATGCAAAGGAAATTAAGTTGGAAATTCTCGTTTAGTTGTTAAATTTGGGTTCAACATTGAAAAGTTTACGTTTCTTGAGCTGAATCCAGGTTCATAAACACACGTTTTGTCCATGTTCTCAAACTAGTTTTTTGAGCTATGTCCAATCAGTACCGTATAGGAAGGCAAGGATTGTCCTCGGATATTTGATGAGGCGACAAAAATTTTATGCTTTGCTGTAATAAACTTAATCTTGATATTTTTACTTAAATTAAGCACAACTTTGATTTATGCTGAATTAAATTATAATTTATACCGGGTACCAAACTATGAAGGAGTGACAAATACTTCTGTATTTTGTTGTGCATAAGTTGTATTTATTACTTAAATTAAAACGTGAAATAATTTATATCAATTTTAAACCAAGTTGGATGGGATGTTGTTAAGATGCAGAAAAAGTTTTGCAAAATTTTAATTTTTGCGTTACGGCTAAAAAACCATTGCTTTCGAAATTTTCTAAAAGAATTTGTTTTTATTTCAGACTTTTCATTTTAATGTTTTAGGTTTAAAATAAATGGATAAATGTCTATTTGTAACAAAAAGTTGAAAATATTTCATATAAACTGGATTCTACTGTGACAATTTCTTTGAGTTGTTACACAATTTTTAGACGAATCGTAATTAATTGCATTTTCATCCTTTTTTTTTTCTTCAAATTTTGCTTTATACTTACATTTATTTAGCATAATTATGGCTGTAAATGAATTTTTTTTCTTCTAATTTCTAATAGTTTTTTTTTCATGGTATAAAATTTAATTTTTATTTAACTATCGATTATTTTTGTTTTCGATTTTATGTAGAGACATTCTACTTTTATTTAGAATCAATTTTGGTATTTTGCAGATATAATCGTGTGAGCTGATGACGAGATTATATCTTTTCATTATTTTGTTTTCCGACTTTTTAATTTTTTAAATATTTTTTTAAAAATATTTTATTTTATTAATTTTTTTCTTCTTTTCACAACTCTTTATAATCTTTTTCATGTTTTCTCTATATTTTACAGTAAGAATATTAACTCTCTCTCTCTATATATATATAGATATATACATACACACACTTCTTTCTTATATCTATAAAATTAGGAAAGAAGTCTATATATATTACGCTCTCACATAATTTAGCCAATGAATTATCTTTTTTTATAATAAAAATATTTGAATAAGGTTTTCTTGCGCTGTCTTCCCCTATCATTTTTTTCAACGCATTTCCTGACACGATTCGTCAATCAAACTTAAAGCCATCATACTATATAGCATTGCTTTCACCATAAAGTCTTGTAATTGGAAAGAGCCACACCCAAAGGGTCAAAACAAAAAAATTCGATTAGATTTAAATTCTTGTCAGAAAAATATACGATAACAAGCGTTCTGTACTACATGTTTTATAAATTAAAATTACTAAATTTAGTTATTTTTGAAACANTTTCAGAGCTTTTTATTCACTTTACTTTTTTGGGATTTTATGAACTGAAAAATGACAGTTTTCCTGAGAATGACCCATATATATTATACGAATACAAAACTCTTGATTGTCTGTAATCCCCTTACTTTCAAGTTTGATTTTAAATGTAAAAAGATGTAACAAAAAAATGGGAAAAAATACAAAACATAGAGAGTTTCATATTTGTAAATAAATTAAATCTGTGAAAAAATGTTCGAAATTTTTTCGACCGTTAACCTGCCAGACTTTTATTTTGCAGCAATAGAAAAATGCCTTTTTATGAAGAATGTGGTTGCATATAAATTAGATGAATATTTTATTTAATTAACAATCACCTTACTTTAAAAATAAAAACATTTTCAATTTTAGAAGGAAATATTATTACTTAAATTATCATGCTGTGGTAGTTAAAGTATTTCTATCATCCAAAAATTGACGAAAATTATCATAATTTTCCTTCTATTTTTTTATACGACACTGCAACCACTGGGTTTAGGAAATTGAATGAATATTAAAATATTGTGTAATATTTGGAAAATAAACAAAAAAATAAATAAATAAGGATTAAAAATATAGCAAGCTATTAGTATTTGAAATAATAGTTTTTATCAGAACAGGTGCTGAAAAAAAAAAAAACATTTTCACCTTAAGCTATGAAAAAGTTGAATTCCAATTTGAATGCGGTCAAAATTTAAAAAATTGTGAGCAAGGTATTTTTCTGAAATTTTAAGAAAAGACTTTGAATAAGTAAAAAATTATCTTGCAATGTAAAAATTAGTCTACCTTACAAATGAAAAATGCTTAAAGCATTAAATAAAATAATTAGCCAAAATTAAAATGATTTTTTTCAGTCCTTTGAAAATATTTTCTGATTCGCTTAATTAGTTGAAGCATTAGAGATGAGTTAAGTAAAATTAACAGCAAGAGACTCGAAAACTCTCACAATTAAACTATTTGGACCATATTTTCCGAATTGTGACTACTCCTTATAGTAATTTAAATCAAAAATCTGTATACGTCATATAAAAGATGTGCTCTTCTAGAGCAGCGACTCCCAAAAGGTGTTCCACGGAACCCTAAGGTTCCGTGGAAGGATTCTGAGATCAGGGATTCTGAGAGTAAGGATTTTTTTTAAGCGATTTTGATTTATATCGAATACTTATTTTGATTTATATAGATTTTTTTTTATTTGTTATGATTTTTTATTTAATAACTCATCACTATATATTTAGTATTTTGATTTTTTTTTCTTTTTTTTTTTTGAAATTATTCAAGCAAAATGTTAGTGAAGAAAATAGTATTAGAAGTTAGTGAAAAAAACAAAACAATAATTGCACCAAGCATTTTCCCTAAAATTTTTCCATTCAAAAGAAAATAACCAAATTCACATCAACAAAGAAATGTGTTTCTCTGATAACCATTCTCAATGTTTATAACAGTTCTTTTTCGTTTTCATTAAAACAAAAACAATAATTCAGCTTATTTTATTCATTTTCAGTTAATACTTAACACCGGAAACTAATTCGAAACTAGGTTAGATACTATTCTTGACAAAACGATGAACAATTAATTTAATTCCTCACATTAAATATTTTAAAAATGATTGATAATGTTTCCTTAGTTAATTTTTCAACTTTATTTATTAAATAAGGATTCCGCCAAAAAAGAGTCGAACATATAGGGTTATGTACCATGAAAAAATTTGAAACTGTGCTCTAAAGGAAGTGTTTTTGCATATGAATTCATTTGAATCGCTTAATTTGCTTATTTAAAGTCTGAAACTCCTCTTAAATTACTAAGATTGTGCTGGGTGCGTAAAAGTCCGATCATTAGATCAAATGGCTTCCTGTTTTTAATTTATTTATTATTATTATTATTATTTTTTTTTTTTAAATTTCTATTGGTATTCTCATACCGTAAAAAGTCACAGTTTCAGCGATGAAACCCCTTGTAACTGTTGAGATAGACTTTTTTTTTATAATTTTGGCCCCACATTTAGCAAATTTTTCAATTATTTCTTTAGTATTTTACAAATTTAAAAAATATCCGGGCAAAAGTTGAAATAAAATAAACAAAGATAGAAAATAAATAATAAATACTAAAAATAGGTTTAAGAACTTGAAAAATTTCTTAGTAAGATTTAAAAAAAATTTAATTTTTGCATTCCAGAACTTTTTTTTAACATTAATAGAGGTGAGTAGAATATTTTTCTTGAATACATTATTATGGGAAATTGAGGTAAGACTGGGTAATAAGATTCGAAGGCCTGGCGGAGATAAACTACTCAACCCAGAAACAGTCAGATTTAATCAAGATATTCATTGTTTAGTTGTGTATAATATATCATTCTTGAAAAAGTCATAGATGCATCCCTTTTTTTAACAAATATTTTTCAAATATTGTGAAAGTCCTAGTACCCAATCAGACCTGGGTGCATATGTAAACTCAATAGGAAATATAAAAATACTAAAATTTCAGTGAAGAAGTAACAGATATTTTTATTTCATAAGACAATTGAAGAATATTATGCACAAAATTCACATGTGAAGCAATTATCTTCTTCTTCAGTTCCACTGCAGATTTTGCGGGCCTAGCAAAAACACTTTCCACATTGGATCACACCGTTTCCATTTTGTTAATTAATTTGAAAATACATCATTATACAATGTACACAATACAATAATAATTTTTAACTCACTACAAAACGACTTTCTCTTTTTTGATAGCAGATTTTTTCAAGTGCTCTTTTTTCTTTTTTTTCTTCTTGATTTTCTAAATCAGCTCTAAATGGTGAGGGTATTACCTGGTTTTACCCAAAGGGCAGAGATTACCGAAGAGAAACAGTAACTATTGGGCAAAATTTTTATTTATGTTAGGGTATGAATCCTCAGTAAATGTATTATAAGTTAAGTTAAAAAATATTTATACAGTCTAATACCAATAAATAAGGATAGTTTAAAAATATAAGAGCATTATGGAGTTGACACTGTAAAACAAACTTATTCACACAGACGACAGGAATTCAACGACACGCTAAAATGGTATAAAATTCCTCTCACCTACAAGATAGCAATTGGAAGTCTGTCCGCTAAAAAACAGAAAAAATTTCGCTAGATTCGGAGTACCCGGTTTCACCTTATTACCTATTACTATCCAAATATGTTATGGATACGAATATTTGTCAGCCAAGAAAAATGTTAATTATATGACAATAATTTACAACACACCTACATATATATACAGGGTGTCCCAAAAGGTCGTTTACAAACTTAACATGCTGGTCTGTCATATCATGATGAACAAGATTTACATAGGAACTTGTGTCCGAAAATTAAAACTGAGAGCGCTAGAGGGCGATAAGTGCAGGTTTGGATGAGGAGAAAAAAAATGATATCGATAGCGGTGTTAATATGATTTTTATTATAAAACATCATTACATCACAGCAAATGCTCAAAATTCCTTCCATTCGCCACAATGCACGTTTCACAGCGTCGGCGCATGGATTCACGAACCCGTTCAAATTGGCCAGGAGTGTCACGGACACGTGCTGCCGCTTCCGCGATCCTGGCGATAAGATCCATGTCCGATGTTACAGGTGTCTCGTACACTATGGACTTCATGTGTCCCCACAGGTAGAAATCCAGGGGAGTCAGGTCGGGGGATCGCGGCGGCCATGGGACTGGTCCGCCTCTACCGATCCAGCGATTAGGATAAATCCTATCGAGGTATTCTCGAACAGCGTAGCTAAAGTGGGCAGGCGCTCCATCATGCTGAAACCAGATGTTTCGGCGTGTAGCGGCTGGAACGTCACCCATCAGATCCGGCAAAACTCTTTCTAAAAAAATGCGATAGGTATTTCCGTCGAGGCGTTCAGGTAGAAGGTAAGGGCCAATCAACATGTCACCGATAATACCAGCCCAAACGTTTACACTGAAACGTTGTTGATGTGCATGGGCACGTGTACATCTTGGGTTTTCATGCGCCCATACGTGCATGCTGTGCAGGTTCACGACACCATCCCGTGTAAAGCAGGATTCATCAGAAAACAAAATCCATGATGGAATATCTGGCTGTGCGTCCCGCTGTTGCAAATACCAGAGTGAGAATGCAATGCGTATGGGATAATCGCCAGCGCACAATGCCTGTACTTTTTGGAAGTGGTAAGGGTGTTGCATGTCATCGTGCAGTATGCGCATTATGGTGGAACGAGCTACACCCAAGACACGTTCGCCTTCTCGGAGACTTCTTTGCGGGTTGATGGCATACTCCTGTAGCACGGTTTCCTCTACGACAGGTGTGCGTGTAGCACGTTCTCGACCGATGTGGCAACGTGCTACGAAAGCACCTGATTCACATAATCTGCGGTGCAATCGTCCAAACAAAACATGACTTGACTGACGTCTGTTTGGGAAGAGCTCAAGGTACGTCCGTGCCGCGGCTCGTTCATTTCCATCAGCAGCGCCGTATACGTAATGCACGTCGGCCATTTCCGCGTTACTAAACTCATTCATCCTTCTCCTTCAACGTCCACGCCTGAAATGATTATTTTTCCCACTCTCCCGTTTTCGTGCTATTATCGCCCTCTAGCGGTCTCAGTTTTAATTTTCGGACACAAGTTCCTATTTAAATCTTGTTCATCATGATATGACAGACCAGCATGTTAAATTTGTAAACGACCTTTTGGGACACCCTGTATGTATGAACGTTAGCAAAAATTATTATGTTCGGCGCTAAAAACCATTCATATCTTAAAATATTTATAACTGAAAATAATCTTGAAACTTTTTCTTAATTTTCTCTGATTCTACGTATTAATTAAAAAAAAATAATAATGAACATAATAATGAAATATAATGATGTGAGTAATAATGAACATAAGAATAGTTTTTCAGAAATATATTTTATTTATAGTAGCGACTGTACCAGAGACGAATCAACACTGCGATAAATTCATCCCTCGCTGTGAAACTAGATTGCCAGCGCAACAAATTGTGCCCACACCCAAATATACTAGCAATGAATTATCGCTGCAAAGAATTATGTCAACGACGCCACCCTGAAAAAGCCGTGGTCTATTCTTAACCACATATGCAGAAATATAACTCTAAAATATAGCTAAATGGTTTAGTAAATTAATAATTTTTTTCCTTACTTTTTTCAATCACATAAACATAAAAAAAACGGGTCTGGGAAAGCTTGGTTGGCAGGAGGCTGGATTCATGTTCGTGAGAACGGGAGTTGGAATCCAGCCGTCCAAAGACTGTAAGACTGAGTAGTAAATGGTGACTGGTGCTCCTTAAATCTGTCGGTTCACAAAGTCCTGCATGTTCTCATAACAAATTAAAGGGGTACTGAATTGGAGATTTATCGTTCTGTGGTTCAGGTCAAAATTACGATCTATGGATGAATGGATGGGTCCGCCCTGTAAACGGTTGTGATGTATGGGTGCGGCGGAAGTCGAATTCTTCGTCATAGATGACGCCACTGGAAAACAAGAACAATCGCAATTCCTCTGCCTTAATGGCTGACGACGACAACAGCATTAAAAAAATAATAACTTTCACATAATACTTAAAAAAAAGTTTCAGAAAATTTATTAACTGATGTGTGTCATGCTGTCAATTAAAATATAGGTACACTACGAATTCACAGCAGATATTTCGGGTTTTCAGTTAAATTTTGATGCTGTAAATTTAGTAAATAAACATGGAAAATATTTATTTAATCAAAATGTCAGAATAGAAAATATTAATTTAAGATTCCGCAAAATTTATTTAAGTTACCAAGCCTTTTAGAATTGGTGACTGTTCCACTAACCAGAGAATATTAATCCGAGAAATTCCTATTGAAACGAAAGTAAGATTATATTAAAGGATGTGGTCGAACATTTCTAAATGTTAGAATGGTATAAAAGTTTGGCGCAACTACCGTCTCTGGGTCAAGATATAAGTTTATTTAATATTAGAAAAAAAAATACAATGGATATGGATGGGTGGCGCAAATGGTTATGATATATCTGACTTACACATATGTGGTAGCAGTTTCAATCTCTGCTGAAGATATTTTTTAATATATATATCTATATATATAGTATACGATTTTTAAATTTTTTTTTTATCAGTTTTTGGTTCAGGCACTTTTTCATTTCCTCGATATCGTTTGCTTGAGCCGGAAAAATCAAAATTGCAGTTGATCATAGTGATAAATAAAGAAGGTTACTCGCTATAAATTGCGTCGCAGTTTATAAATGAAAAAACTTGTAAAGAAAAGTTTTTTTTTTTTACATGTTACGTATTTTTAGAAAAATTTAAGCAATTATCAAAAAAGTGAAACTAAATTTGAAACATTTCTGATAATCAAATATTGTGTTATTATATTATTCATTGTTTATAAAACAACGATTTATATTTTAAAACTTAAATATAACGATTAATAATTTTTTTTCTCAATTACAGTACAAATTAGCAGATACGCTTATATAATAAGCTGAAAGAGCAAAGTTTTCATAATAAATATTTATAAATAACTTCTTGATGTGCGTATATATTTAATTATAAAGCAATCATATTCTGATAAATGGGACGAGTTAAAAGAGTGCAATAATTTTGCACACTTATAACTCTAACATTTGCAAAAAAATTCATTTCAAAAATTTATTCAAAAATTAAATTGCATTGTTAAAAGTGTACACTATTTCTGAAAAATGATTTCAGAGTTTGAAAAAGGTAATCACCAGGGATCAAATGCCACATGACAGTCCAGTGCCTTAAGCAATGATCCATTAAAAGTGTATTATACAATTTCTGCTGTTTTCTCAAAAAGTGCCCCGAAACAGCGACCTGCCTTTAAAATCTACCTACCCATATGAGGTAGTTTGAAGATCTGTATTATACAAACCGTCACAATGCTTCAAACAAAAAATATGTAAATCGTAGTATTAATCATAAGTGTTAATATTTGTATTTTAATTATTTTTTTACTATTTAGCTAGCATTTTAATACATCCAAGGCTGTTTATATTTCAAGATCTAGAAAGCACTGTCATGTTACGCTCGCAGTTTGAAAACTAACTCATTAAATTAAAAATATATTTGTATGACACAACAAACAAAATATTTCGTATATTAATAAATAAATTAGAAAATTTCCATAAAATATTACTAATTTCTTGAAATAAAATTTTTGAGCTAGAATCATATCAGAAATATCACAGTTTTAATGGAAAAGCTATGCATAGAAATAAACTTTCCATTAAAACTAAACATTTAATCAAAATAAAAAAAGGATAAATGTTAATTTAAGTACTAACATAAATTACATGTTGTTACGTTAAAAAATTAAATTTCGAAAATTTAAAATTTAATTATAAGATAAATATAAGACTGACACATTTAATAACATTTTGTAACATAATTTTTAAACCTAATTTTAAAAAACATTTGGGAATTATCAACAAATTCTATGAAATATTTTGAGTCTCTTCTAGGTTGGTTTTTGTTTTTCTAGTTTCTTTTACCATTTTGGATGAAATAAATCTTCTCCAGAAGAACGTCCAATTCTGTTTTTATACATATATTTTTCTTAAAAAAAGTTTTACTTCCTAAGGTGATATGAAAAAAAAATAATTTTCTTGTCCTCAGAACAGAGTTCAATACTAGCTTCTAATGAAGAAATGTCACTGTCTACTTGCAGCTGTTAATTTTGATAGTACATTTTCTAAAGAAGAATCTGAAACTACAACAGTCTTTTCTTTCGATCTGGAGCCCTATAAAAATATAAATGAAATTAGATACAGTTCGCTAAATATTTTTATTTACACAAAAAGCAATACAACAACCGAAATTTAAAATAAGAAAATGAATGAGACAAATAAGTTTTCATATTAAAAGACGAATGAATGTTTCAAATATGAATTTGAGTACGCGGTACATATTTTCAGTACATTCTTTTAGATTTTGCATAAGATTCTTTTTTTGCTTAAGGCATTATGAACAGCAGTTTAAAAACTTTTAATTAACTTAGATATTCCACTTTCCGACTTTCCTGAGTCTTTAAAAAATTAAATTTCCTGAGCTTCTCAGATAATTCTTTTCTGCATAGCATTATGAATTTTCTTATGAAGGCAAATAGATTTAAGTCTCATTCCCTTTACATATTTCTTTTTTTTTAACTTTTTGATTTATTTTAGAAAATAAAACTTATTTAAGTTTGTTCACTGTTTTAAAATTAATGATTTCCTGCAGCGTATCATAAAAATGAGTGATATTTGTGGTGGTCTCATACAGTGAGCGTGAAATGTATATGGACATGTGAAAAATCGCTTAATTCTAGAAGTCTTATTAACGGAATCATGGGCAACTTTTTCTAAGTCACAATAAAATAGGAGTAAAATTAAATTATTTCTTGCATAAACTAATTAAAATTTCCAAATTTTAATCTGTTTAAATTTAAATTTTGAGTTTTAAATCCAAATGATATTGGAAAAAGTATTAAGACATTGTTTTTCCTTCCCTATTTATTGAAAAATGTGCATATTTGAAAATAGAAAATGACAATTAGGATTAAAAGATTGGTTGGTGAAAGAAATTTCGCGCTCGTCAACTTTCATTACGACATTTGAATGATGCTCAAAGGAACTCATCTTTCTGATTCTAAAAAAGGGAAACATGTTGCTTTTCGAGAATATGGATTAGGTGGACGGAAAATTTCAAGGAGAATCAGGAGGTTTAAAACAGTAGTTTACAATTTTCTAAGAAATCCTAGAATGCATGGCATGAAAAAACGAACTGGGAGACCAAAAATTTGCACTCGTCGACAGAAAACAATAGGTGTCAAGAGAGCTTGCCAGAAAAAAGCAGTAAATAAAATTAGACAAAATTTGAATTTACCATGTTCATCAAGGACTGTACAAAATGTTTTACATAAACATTCTCATCTTTTTGATGAAAAATTAGAGTCACGTCCACTTCTTACAAATCAACATAAGAGAAGAAGAGTTATCAAAAAATACATTTCTTTCGGTCAAAAATGGATTTTTTGCCATTTTTTCTGACGAAAAAAAGTTCAATCTCGATGGACCTGATGTTTTTTTATTATTTTTAGTATGATCTGCGAAAGACCAAAGAAGTTTTGCCAAACATCAATATGGTGATGGCACAATGTTGGTTTAAGGCGCTTTTGTAGAAAATGGAACCACCCCAATAGTCTTTATCAACAGTAAAATTAATTCCTACAAATATGTTGATATGTTAGGAAAAAGTTTGTTACCTGAAGCACCACTGATTACTTCAAGGGACTATATTTTTCAACAGGATAATACTCCGATACACGTTTCTAAGAGCACAAAACTCTGGTTTGAAACTAATTCAGTACATTTAATTGACTGGCCGGAGATGAGTTCCGATCTTAATATAATCGAAAACTTATGGGGACTTCTAGCTTGTGAAGCTTATAAAAATGGCACGCAATAGTAATGCAAACAGGATCTTGTCTTTGCTATCAAAGACATTTGGGAAAAAATTTCTGCCGACACTAAAAAATATTTCAGGATCCTTGACTACTCGGCTTATTCAAGTGATTGAATAAAAAGGTAGTTTTCTTGATTATAGATGAAAATTTTACATATTTTAGAACATGTCATTATACTTTTTTCCATAATTCCGTTAGAGTTAATTTTTGTAAAGTTCATATTTTGAAGCCAAATTTTATTTTTTATGCGGTGTAAGAGTATAATTTTTATAACATGCTGTGAAGCTCTCTTAATTCATTGGTTATAAATACCTTTTCAAGATTGACGTCACTCTTTCTTAATTGCAATACTTCTGCCAGATAGCGTATAAGCTCTTTGTTAGCTTCACCATCAACTGGGGGTGCAGCTATTTGAACACCGATGCTTTCATCGCTAATATCTAAAAAGAAAATCGTATCAAAGCATGCATGAAGTTAATCTTAAGTGCAAGATGTACCTCAAAAAGATTCTCCAAAATGAGACACTGACTTAACCCTAGGAAAACATTTAGCCCAATTCTAACCAATTTGGTCTTCCAGCCTGGGCAGAAATTTGCTGCCTCTTTTATGTATATAAAAAATATACTATTTCTAAAAACTATTTTTAAATTTGTGATGTGTAAATTTAATAACACTTTGATGAGTAAATCTTTTATAAATAACTAAATCTGTTGTTAAATGTTCAAAAGAAATGGTAAGCAGGGTTTCAGAATTAAATTAAATTGGAGTAAAAATTTAGCCCAATTTCAGAGCTCATAAATCAAACGATCAATATTCAAAACAGATACAGATGAGTGATTTGAATTAATAATTCTGATCAGATTCAATTCATGCAAATTATTCAGGACAATGAAGATCGAATGATGATTAGATTTAATCACATGATTCGAATCGTGCGACTTTTGTTAATCAAGGGACTCGAATAATGTGATTCAGATCAAGGGATTCAAATCACTATTTGAATTAGTGATTTGAATCAAGTAATTCAGATTATTGATTTCAATAATATTACTTAAAAAATCAATAATGAGTCAAGTCAACATGATTCAAATCAAATGATTCAAAGCATTATTCAACTTAGATTCCAGTTTCAGTTAATTTACTTAGAACTCCCTTTACTCTTTTTTCCTTTATCAACTGTCGATTGCAAAAAAAGCCGTCAAGTATTAGAATCGAGTTGATTCTAATAAAAATTATTTGAATCACCAAAACACTGAAAGGACTAAAGAGACCTAAGATTATAATTGAGTTGCATTACCTAGAATTTCAAAAATTAAATTAATTAATCTGATTTGAATAAAGCGTATAATCGAATTGAACTGTCTGATTCGAATCTGTTAATTAGAATCACTGATTAATCATCTGATTTTTCAAAGATTATAATTAAGTTGAACTACATTGATTTTTGAATTTAAACTATTTGCTAGTCTGTCATTGATTGTAATCTAGATGCATTACCTTGATTTTCAAAATTAAATTATTTGGTGGGTTGTCAAAGAATATAATCGAGTTGCACAACCTGATTTGAATTAGTTGATTCGAATCAGATTAAAATTACCGAAAACACTGATAAGACTTAAGAGGCATAAGATTATAATTGAGTTGCATTGCCTTGATCTTTAAAATGAAATAATTTGATCAGTTGTCCAAGAGCATAATGATGTTGCACTCTCTGATTTGACTCATTTGATTTTTCGATCAGCTGTCAAAGAGTACAATTGAGTTGCAGTGGTTTGAATTACAGTGATTCAAATAATCTGATTCAGTATTTGCAACTTAGTGATTCAAATCACCAAATCAGTACCCAACTCTAGTTTCCAGTAGATCACCAAAGTCAAGCATCACTGGCTGTGATCAATGAGCTGGTAGGGGTTTATTTTGGTCAGCATATGAAAGGACTGAGAGTGCATGGTATCGGTTCTCATAAAACTGTTCTGCTGTAAAGTGCTTCACTTCGTGCGTAGATGAGTTGGGCTATCAAAGTGGAGGCGCCATCTCCCCAACAGAGGATCAAAATTGTAATGGGATCCTCAGTAATGTTTCCCAGACCATCGCCAATAGCCCATTGGGCAGCTGTAGTGCAACGTAAACAAAGTGCTACTACTTAAAATCAAATGGATTTTAGAAGAAAAAAACTGTACTACAAAGCTTAACATATTTTAGTTATTACACAGGCATAATTATTCAATAGGCTTAAGATATTTTACATTCACTACAAAAATGAAATATATTTTTGAACACTATTACATTTAGTAACATGAAATATTTAAATGCTTTCCTAGAGGTATCTAAAATTTAAATTTTGTACTTTGACCCTTGAAAAATACAATAGATAATCAATTCTTGACTTTGTGGCTAGTAGACTTGGAACTACTTAACTTTTCTTACCTATAGTGAAGCAAGGTATAATGTGACTGACACTACTGATTTGCTTTCTGAGTTTAATTTTTTATAAAAACCTAGATGAGTTGGGTAGAATTTTAACTAAAACAGAATAAAATAAACTAGCTGCATATTCATTTTAGTTTGAAGATGCAAAGAAAAAAATTAATCGAGAAATAATTAAATTAAATTTGTATAAAACAGATTCAAAATTACCTGTGATGGCACTTTCTTTAGCTCCTGGTTTTGCATGTACTTTCAAAATGATTTCACTTTTATTATTCAAAAATACAGCACCATTTTTAGAAGTACAATTATCCTCCTATAAAAAAAATTATTTATAAATACTTGAAAGACTATAGAACTGAAATTTTTGATACAAATACAAAATAATAATCGAAAAATTATTTTTGTTTTATCATTCATAAAAAAAAAAGAATGGTATGTACAATTTCTTTTGCTATATGAAGAATAAAAAATACAAAAAAACATGTGTAAGTTGATCACTTGCAGTACATTTTCTTATTGGCCAACTTAGATAGGTTGTCAATTTACGGAGGAGAGCATATTTATATATATATATATATATCACTTTATTCTTACACATATAAGAATGACGTACATAATGTTCATTAATAGTTTTCCCACATGGTTAACTCACAAAGGGGTTTATATTACCCCTTCATACTATTTAACCACTTTAGTCAATTCTGATACATAACATAATAGTACAGAAAATTTCGTAGAAAGTTTTTTTTTTTTCTTGTTGGTTAACTTATGAAGGGTGAAGAATAGCATTCAATACTCTGACAAATTTGACTTATTTTATGAGAATTTCAGCAAGGACAGTTTATACAACAAAAGCAATGTGTTTTTGACTCTAATCAAAAATGCTACACTCATTTTCAATGATTAATATTTCGACTATTATAATCTTCAAAGCCAATTACTAAAAATGTCAAACTTAGGAAATTTCAGTTGGTAACTTTTTTTAAAAAATTCAAATTTATAAAATGGTAATGGAAGGACAATTTATTTAATTATTACAAATAAATTTCTATAGCTTAAAGTTCATGCAGTACATAAATATCCTTACCATCAGACATTTAATGAATCGATAAATTTTGTTTGCTGTTTTTTTACAGAGAGACGTTTAATAAACAGACAAGTTAAATTGTACAGGAAATTTCAAAATTCAAATTCAGAGGGATGATAAAAGGCATTACGAAGATGAAAATTTAAAATAAAACATGGGATCACAAACTACATTGAGAGAGTGAAAATCACAAAAAAAAAAAAAAAAAAAAAAAAAAAAAAAAAAAAAAAAAAAAAAAAAAAAAAAAAAAAAAAAAAAAAAAAAANGCTTACCTTAATTCAGAAAGGTCATGGGTTTGAATTCCGGATAAGACACGGATGTTCTTTCCTTCTCTTCTTTATAGTCTCTGTCCTTCTTACTGTGAGAGCAGTGTTGGCACTCCTAACAAGGTGCCTCTGAGAGAGTTATTTAAAGTGGCACCCACTGAAGTCATTATAAAAACGATTTTGAAACGTGCTCAAGGAGGGCAGGGGTGCTTCTGATGTCTCCCTAAGAGCCAAAATTATTTGATGCATCCAAAGGCGCATAAACTAGTGACCCTATAATGTGGAGGTCATGCAAGTCCTGCATGACTAAGCCACTTTTTTAGGTATGTTCCATTGAAGTGATCACCACTTGGTGAGGAAATGTGAAAGGGCATCCTTTAATTAAGGTAATTAGGTTAACAACAATTAATTTAGGAAGAGCAAACTTCAATTGACCTCTAACTTTTGTTTTCTCTAGATTCAGAGCCAGTATACATTTTTCAAAATTTCTCTTATGCAATGTTATTTGCTAAGCCATACTCTGTACTTAATTTTCTCTTGATATCTTTTATCGCCTCTCTGAATTACTCAGTCAAATTTTAGAATACTCTAAATACAAAACTCACAGTTAAACTGTAGTTAAGATACTTTTACTAGTATATACTAGTACTTTATTAATGCAGATACTTTTACTAGTGAGTAATTATTATTTAAGCAATGAGTTATTTTTTCTTTAAACGGAATATGAGTAAGAAGGCAGTGTTTTTAAGGGATAGTGGCTAATTTTTACAAAAAGGACACAAGTATAGGGATGAAAGGGCGGGCTGTCCTTCTAAAAACACTTAGGGAGACCACTGCATTAATTATTAAATTTAAAATTCTTCAAATATCTATAAAGAATAAGGGAAAAAATCTGATTTAGGTAAACAAAAAAAAATTTATCTCTACAGTAAAATACCTAACAATCCCCGATCCATAGTTTCATAAGGATATTGACCAGCAATCTAAACCCAAAAAGCTGTCCATGCATCTCCTACATCCAGATTTAAACAATATGGTTTCCCACCGTGCGCATATACAGCTGCAAAAATTCTTCAATTTTGCAAATATTTCTTTTTGAAATTAAACAAGTTTCCACAAAATTTAAGAAAACAACTATAGCAATTTGAATAAAAGATTATTCAAATAGATAAACATCAATATATTTAAATCTAAAAAAAAAAGCATAGAATATAAATCAAAACTTAATACGCAAAGTAATTGTAATTATACAATGTAAAAGCATAAACCTATAAAAATTTTGATATAAAATAAATTTAGATTCACCTTTTCAGATATAATTTTCTTTTTTCCTTCAGATGCTATCTTTTTAGTTTTGGGCATTTTTGCATGCGAAGAAATAAGTGCAGAGTTTGTAAATTTAATAGATTTTAAGACTCTTTTGGATAAGAAACTCATTTACAAACAGCCAACTAGCTATCTAAAATTTAAAAGCATTATGAATTGAGAGTAAAACAGTAGAATTTTTTCAAATAATTTAAAAATTATTATACTAAAAAAATAACGAAAAGCAGGAACTTAAAATTTTTTAATAATAGAATTTATAGAAGAATTTATGTTTAAAGCTTGAAACAAGTGTCTCTAAAAAGTATAAACAGAAAAAAAAAAATAGAAAGAATTTGAAATTGCTATAGAAATTTTTAAAAGTTAAACAAATACTTTGACGTCATTGCGAAGGTAGTAGATATGAGCAGATACAAATACAGAAATCTCCCCAAAGTAAACTTAGTATAAATAAATATTATTGCAGCTGAGATAATTTAATTATTACACAAAAATAAAAGAAAAATACGTTAAAAATTAAGTAAGATTTGAAAAAATTGTAATTGTTTGCAAGCAATTAAAATTGTTCACATTAAAATGATAAACATCTTGATAGCCAAGCTTTAATGATATATAATGATAGAAACATATTTCAGTGTATAAAATGTCAGAAAATACATTTAAAAAAATCGATATGCAAAACTAAAGCAACTAGATAAATAAATAGTATGAAATAAATTTAAGTTCAATATATTATAAGCTCCTCGAATTATTTTGTATGTATAAATCAGTTTATAAAATATAATTCTAGCTATATATATAACTTAAAATAAACCATAGTGAATTAATGCTGCTACTTGCAAAATTCTGTCAGACTATAAAGATTTTATTTATTTTTTTCCCATTCATTTAGTAGCAAGGAAAGTTATATTAATAGAAATCATGTTCTCAGATGCTTAAACGTAAAACCATGGATATTTACGTACGAAATTAAAATATAAACAACAGATGAAATGTCCCTGAATTTTATTTATAATTGCTTCAAAAAACAAATGTTAGGTCCAGCAATGAAGCAACAAAATTAAAGATCTATTCGAAGGATTGGAAATAAAACTGTGTCAACATCACTAATGTTTACATCAGTTTAACATTGTGATGGATTGATTATAAAATGAAATTGCATGTGATGGTTACATTACTTAAGGTAGAATAGTATTGCTTTATCTAACTTTGTATAAAAGAGAAAACACCAATCAAAAAAATCATTAGAGAAATTTTTACGTGCGAAAATATTCACTGTAACCATGGTTGTAAAAGATGTTTATTCTTACGGCGCTAAAAAATTCTAATTTTAAGATTGTCAGTCATCAACAGAAATTGATTTTAAGATAGGAATTGCATTCAAATTTAGTATTGAAATTTCTCTATTTATTTTATGTTTCCAAATGGTTTATTTTTAAGATCAATATATCTGAAAGAAACAATTTATTTTTTGGAAATTAATCCGATGGAACTTAATTTTCAATATTACATTATTGGAAATAATAGTATTACACTACTTAATTTCCAATATTACATTATTGGAAACACTTTGCAAATGTTACTGTTAAAATATATTATATGTCTTTTTCGAAACTAAAATGAAATAAACTATTGAATATTTTTTTCGTTGGATATTTTTTTTATTATTGATGAATGTAGTATTAACTAACCATCTTTTGATTCCCAAACTAACTTTATTTGGTCTACTTTCTAAGTAAATTAAAAATATTAATGTACTTTTCACTCAGCTGGACGAAAAAGAGAAGTCACCAAATAGATAGACTAAATATTTTATCAGGACTATTCATACATTATAAGTTTTTATTTAAAACCTGGCAACTAAAATTAAATATAAAAAAAAACTAATCAAAATTAATTTGATTTATTCAGTTGTCAAATTATTTTCATGGAAGAAATGTTCATGGAATTTTTAAAGCAAACAACTGTTTCAAAGACGCAAACAACTGTTTCAATTATTTTAAGTTGAATTTCAAGCGTAACAGAGGGGAAACGACACAAAGTATTTTTTACTTAAGTAATATATTAAATATATCAGAAAATAAGAAATTCTGCAAGAATATGCTACTTTAGGATGCAATGTTTAATTAATTGGCATAAAATGATAAAAGAGCCTCATAATTAAATTGCAAATTAATTAAAACTACTTGTAAGAGAGGGGGCTAATAAAATCCCTCATTATTGACATGCACTGTAATTTACGTTAAATTCTGTGATTTGGAACATTCTAAATATTTGTAATTTTTTTTAAAATTATCACATTTCGTGGTAAAATAAATTATTATTAGACTACTTAATATTTTTAACAGATTTTTATTATGCCCAAATAATGCAATGTAACAGAGGGGATATGAAATGAAACAGAGGGGACGTTTTACAAATCTGATAAATAATTAAAGGGAAATATCACTGTGGCACTTATTTGTTTAAAGTTAGAGTTGGCAGCACTGCAATAATATCTGACATGTAAACCCATGCAACATCTTTGAGTGAGGATGGTAAAGTTCTCACTAAAGTTTACTTGTAAAACACACTTAATGGGATTTTGCCTAAGGTGCTTAAAATACTGAGATTTTGTTGATTTTTCTTAGCAGGATAATACAGCCCTTTCTAATTGGCCATCAAACTCATCAATTACATCGGACAATGGGCCTTAATTTAAAAATTGGGCACATTTTTTGCTACTGTTATTTTTGTTCCATTGATACCATTTTACAGGCTCTTTAACTTATGATCAAAAATTTTTTTCTCAAATTGCTTAAAAAAGAAATTATTCTTACATTTTTCACACATATTTTTCATACAATCAATTGTCGCAAGTGGCTATATTTAGTAATTCTATATAATTATCAGGCAATCAACTGTGGGATTTTAATAGTAAATTCACATTTTCATGAATAGCATGTACACACATATGTACTGTTTTATCTATGCATAAAATATGGATAGGTCGTAGAACAGCAAACTTAGATTTGTCAATTTTTATGTTCGATGCAATGACTTTAAAGCTTGATATGCTTCCATCGAGGTGCAGCAAGTACTTTTTTGCTTTCTGACTTTCTGTCCATTTTCTCTGACAATCAGGCATTCAGCTCTACCAGAATTCTGGTAAGAAAGTTTATGAAATTAGTAGAAATTTATACCAAGTTTTTTGGTTTCATCACAAACTTTGTTACTAGGCTGTTTCTTTTGTTTTGGTAGTAAGATTACAGATTCACATAGTCTGCATAGAGCAGTACAACATTTTCTTGGAGATACAGTTCAACATTTCTTGGAGATCATAAAGAGAATATCCTTCTTGAATTTTTACTGCTTGTAGCAGTGCCTTTTTATTGGGTTGTTCGGAAAGTAATTTCGCTTTTTGGAGGGAAAATGAAAGACAATTTTCGTATAATGAATAAATATTTTATTAAATTATATTTAGACAATTCTGGTCCAACACCTTTTGCCATCTTTCTGGTAGTAGCATGATTCCACGCTCATAAAATTATTGGTCTCTACTGGCAAAAAACTGATTCAGGTGATTTTTGACCTCTTCATTTGAAGTAAAGATTTTATAGTCCGAAACAATTTGTAGTGACCGAAACAAAAAATAATCCAAAGGCAACAGATCTGAAGAATATGGTGGGTGTGGCAGTTTATCCCATTCAAGCTGTAAAAGCTTTTGGCGAGTGATCAAACTTGTATGAGGTTTCGCATTATCTTGGTGGAACACTATGCCTTTTCTGTTGATTAATTCTGCCCTTTTCTGTTGCATTGCATCATTCAGTTTGTCCAACCGACGACAGTAGACTTCCAAATTAATTATTGTGTTATACGGTAAAAGCTCAAAAGCAACTTTTTCTTTAAAATACCACAAAACAGACAGCATCACCTTTTTTGATGGATATTGGCTTTTGAAATGCTTTGAGCTAATTCATCTTTTTTGCTCCATGATCTCTTGCATTTGACATTGTTATAGACAACCCATTTTTCGTCCCCAGTAATGATGCACTTCAAAAATTGATCATTTTCATGACGTTTGAGAAGCAAATCACAGACGTCAACGTGACAACACAAATTTCTCTCCGTGAGAACATGAGGAACCCATATATCGAGCTTCGAGGTTGAACCCAGGCTTTTCAAGTGGTCATAAACAATTGAATTCGATAAATTCAACCTCTCACCGATCTCACGTGTTGTTATTTGCCGATTTGCATCAACTAATGCCTTTATTGTGTCTTTATCAGTTTCAGCGGGCCTTCAAGATTGCGGTGCATCTTTGACACCAAAATTGCCAGATCGAAATTTTGCAAACCAATTCTGGCACTGGCGTACTGTCAACACATCTTCTCCATACACATCGGTTAATTTCTTTCTGGAATGAGCAGCATTTTTACCTTTTCTATTGTGAAAAAGTAAAATATGACGAAAATGTTGCTTATTGCTCTCCATATTTAAAAGGGCACAAACCAAAAACTACTGCTTATAATTTATTGAACTTTTCCACACACAAGCCTTGCTATATCAGCTCTCAAAACATATAATGATAATGCGGCNTTTAAACTGTCAAAAACTGTCACATGTCAAAAACCTGCCAACCCTGGTTATAGACAACCCATTTTTCGTCCCCAGTGATGATGCACTTCAAAAATGGATAATTTTCATGACGTTTGAGAAGCAAATCACAGACGTCAACGCGACAACACAAATTTCTCTCCGTGACAACATGGGGAACCCATATATCGAGCGTCGAGGTTGAACCCAGGCTTTTCAAGTGGTCATAAACAATTGAATTCGATAAATTCAGCCTCTCACCGATCTCACGTGTTGTTATTTGCAAAAAGTAAAATATGACGAAAATGGTACTTATTGCTCTCCATATTTAAAAGGGCACCAACCAAAAACTACTGCTTATAATTTATTGAACTTTGCCACACACAAGCCTTGCTATATCAGCTCTCAAAACATATAATGATAATGCGGCTTAAGTGTAAAGTTGAGTTCTAAAAAATACAATTAAATCCTTTGTCGGAAAAACGAAATTACTTTCCGAACAACCCGATATTTTTCCTTTGTCTTCTTTTTTATCAATTTTTCTGTTAAGGTTTTTCTTCAAAATAATTCTGTTATAATAAATTTTCGTTTTATATTCATTATATTTCTTACAAATATTTTTTTTTCTCCTTGGGGCAATCTTGCTCTATATTCTCTCAGTTTTTCTGCTGCTGTTTTCCCCATATTGATTACTCACTCAAAAAGCTTTGAGCTATAAACTAAACACACTATCAAATAAAACTGGCACAGCTTTGTATAAAACAGTATGTTCAAACAGTGGAGGAACTGGTTGAATCATTAGCACTTGCTTACTTTCCTAGAGATCCTTTTTAATAACCGGGCAATCCGCTTTGTTTACATTTTGTGTAATTGCAGGGACATTTAGCTTTGTCCTGTCTGTTATATGAAAAACTCTATTTTAAATTTATTTTTCAAAAATATAATTATAACATGATTCTACATATAGAATTTATTGTAGAAATCAGTTATAAAGTTAAAAAGTTTTTTTATGTAATGAATAAAATAGACTTAAAAGATTAATTTTAACAGAAGGTACAAATATATATTTGTGATAACTTTCTACCGAAAAAATTTTTTTTTTGTGAAAGCAATCACTGAATAATTAGACTCAGGAACAATTTATTTTACATTATAAATTAAACAATATGTAAAATCGTAATGTTTTATATAAAATCCTATATGTAAAACCGTAATAACTTATTCTTCTTTAAAATAGAAAATTTTTTTTTGGTGGAATAAGTCAAAATCATGAATGCCCTCTATTTATTTTAAATTTTACTATAATAATGCATAACTCTTAAAAATAACTCCTGAATTCATAAATTAGAACAAATTTAATTTGAAATGATACTAAATACAAGTATATTGCTTAAACTTCATAAAACTCAATTCTGGTTTCAGTTGGCATGGAATTCAACTTAAAGTTTTGAATCATAGTTTCATTTAATGCTCAGGCACATAGTTGGGTGACAATATTCTAAAGGTGGGATATATATTAAAAAAATTAATATACAAATTTTCTATCAGTCCAAATTGCCTTATTCTCGTCTGCTACTTCCCTGCTAATACTATTTTGTTAGAAGTATATGGTTTAGACTGTTCTCTTACACTTATCAGTGTTGAACAGTTCTATTACTGTTTCATCAAACAGTAGGTACTAAACATATTCTACACTGAACAGTACAAGAATAACATAATATTTATAATTATTGTATATCATATTTCAAATTGATATGTGGTATTGAAATATGTACTGATCTTCTATTTTCTTTGAAATACGATTTATATTTCAAAGAATACTTCTTTGAAATATGACATCTACTCGTACTTTACAGTATAATTAAAAATATTCTCACAAGCCAGTATAAATTAATTAGAAAAATAAGATTGGTTTCTTGAAGGTGGTTCTTCTGATGATTGGTTCTTTATATGTGAAAATCTGTTCATTAGATTAAAGGTGTTTCTCTTCTTACTATGTGTGCTGTGTACAATGGAAAATTTACTTAGTTAAAAAGTATATTATGTATTTAATTTGGCTTAAAAAAGGTTACTATATAAACAGTAATTATTTAAAGGTTTATTATTAAACAAATTAGTTACAATATCTCTGAAATTTCTAATAAAACATTTATTACCTTTTAGATTCCCATGCATAACAAAGGTCATGGATCATGATGACTTCTCCGATAAGAAATTTCGTAAAACACTTAATATAACAATCATTAATAATTTTTTGGATTTAAGCAATTGTAAGTCAGTTTTTATTTATAATATTTCGTAATATTTCTTAATTTTTATCTATTTTTTAAAGTGTTAAAAAACATTATAAATGACTATTCAGATTTATATTTTTAAATTATGCTGAGTCATAGAAATGATGCAAATGATTTATAATATTGTAAGATTTTTTGTGCCTACTAGATAATCTATATTTTCTTTGTAAAATCAGTATAATTTTTTAAAAAAATACTTAGTGAAATTATATCACAAAAAACTTATTGAAAACTTTTGTTTTGTTCCAATTTTATTCTTTATTTTGTTATCGACCACAAGCAAAGGGTTGAAAATTAGATTTTAATAAAAATATTTTCCAACTCTGCACCAACTGAATTTTTTACTATAAATTTTTCATCATATTAAAAATTCATATTAACTATATATTTAGAAGTTGAGAAACTGATTGCTGCATTTCAATCAGATACTGTGAGAATATTCCAGAGTTTTTAAAAACTGTGAATTGAATTTGATTATTCTTGGAGATTTTAACTTTTTTGGTTGTATTTTGTTTTTCTGATAGAATTATTTAAAATATTGATGAAAGAATTATTATTAAATAAAGAATAATAAAGTACAAAAAATAATTTAAATATCATGATACAGTGGCTTTTATGATATATTTATTACATTTTTTAATTGTGCTGTTTTATTTACTTTAATTAGAAGTATTAAAGTATTTTAATTCCAGTTTCTGATGACTCATCTAACTACAAAACTCTTTGTGCCTTTTTTGATCATGTAAGAAATTCCTTCAAAGAAATACCTCACATATTTGTTTCAAATTCATCCTGTGAGCAAGACCATGAAACCACAGAGAAAAAAGATGACGAATATTTATCGTCAGGTAGGTGTTTCAATTTTGCGTTTTTGTTACAGAAAAATTTTATTATTTTATCTCATAAATTCGATTTTTAATTAGAGTTTGTGTGAGTTTATTAATTTTTGATATCAACTACATAAAATTTGCTGTTTCATTTGAAGTTATATGACATTTCATTTAATACTTATATCCTTATGATCAGTTTTCTTAAAACTGTGATTCAAGTTTTTTTTTCTCTTATTTTAGCTTTTACTGAATGGTTGATGATGTGGCTTCTAAAAGTCTTGAGTCACCCATGCACCTCATTTGTCCATAAAGAATGTGAGGATTTGTTCATATCCCTTCTAAATCTTATCAAATTCAATAATGTGCAGTATTTTCGTGAAAAGGTTCCGCTGATGATTAATTTATTGAAAGGTACTTTTAAAATACTTTCAAGTAAACTTTTTACCAAAAAAATATTTGACTTTTGTTTAAGTATCTTTTTTATGGTTTTTTAGAACTAAATGAAATTGCAGATAAGTTTGAAAATTCAAGTGAACCTCCAGTGTGTTTGCAGAATTATTTTAAACATCATAGAATGGTTTGTAATTTCTTTTTAATAATTCCTAATGTTTTATTAATAAGTTATTAAAACTTTCGTATTCTTTTTTTATTAATTTTACAACAAGCAGGTTTTTTAGATTTTACTACAATCTCTAATCTTTTTAAGTAAATTTGATTCCGACATGTTTTTTTCCAACTAAGCTTAATTTTAATTTTTTTTAAATTTCATTAATATTTCTTCTTAATTCAGCTATACACAAAAGATTTTTAAAATAAAAAGCATTCTTTGTACTGCATGAAAATAATTTTGTTATGTGAGTAACAAATATAAGTTTTGTTAGTTGGTGAAGCTAGTTTTGCTAGAGAAATCTAAAAGTCAAAATCTTCTTTGTTTCATCAATTTTTTCCTTTGTACATGTGTAGTTTAGTTAGATGATCATAGTGCTTATTCTTAATAAAAAAACGCATGTGTGCAAAAATGATAGTATTGTAGCACAAAGGGAATCGGGGGAGAACTTGCAAAAGCATATAAATAAAATGAGTGAAATTGATTAACCAGTCAGAATTAGATGCCACTTAGTACAAATGGTTAACAGCAAATGAGCGAATAAGTACCATTATTTGGGGTAATAGATAAAAAAAAAAATTTCTTAAAATATATTTTCCTAGTTCACATAATACATTATTTATTAAATGGTCATATTTATTTTAAATATATCGCACTAGAATTAAAAAAGCACCTTGATTTTTTGAGTTTATTGATGAAACAAGAATAAAAATTGTGTTATTTTGGTAATCCAAATATTTGGATTATCAGAAGTAGATCTAGTCCCAATTACTTAAGATAATGGAGAATCTACTCTGGTGTTGTGAATTGTGATTACACAGTGGTTAAGGAATTGAGCTGTCATTGTGAAGAACTAGGTTTCTATTACTGGTAGATTCTTGATGCTCACTGAGCTATATGTAGATGGTTATGGGAGTAAAGGTGGCCATTACCCAATGCCAACTGCATTGATAACATTATATGGTTGGTTTTGAAATCTTGTTATTCTCTGTGATCCTCTAAGCTGACAACTAGCTGTTGCATTGATGTCTTTCTTCTTTTGTATTGTATTGATGTGAATAAAAAATCGCTCTTCGTTTTGTTAAATTTTTTATATAACTGCTAAAAAATGTATATTAAGCATTTTTATTAACGTACCTTATTGTAAAAGATTTTTTGTGTATCCTTATTAACTTTATATTTTTATAAATATTTAGTTTTTATTATATATTATGCTAGCCGGCCGGGTGGCCGAGCGGTTAGCGTGCCTGACTGCGAAGCCATAGGCTGCGTGTTCGAATCCCGCTCNTTGTGCTGTCCTCTGTCGTGTGTGTGTATGTGGCCCACCCTATAAACGGGTTTGTGGCAGTGTGGCGTGAGCAATGTTGCTCGCCTCCGTGACTTTGGTTCACAGGTACCCACTGGGTAAAGCGAAATGAGCAACAATTCTGGCATAGTATAGGCAAAGATTCAAATTCAGTGCCTGCCATTGGAAAAAAAAATATATATACATATATTATACTAATTTATTAATTTTTCCATATATCTTTTAAGATCATATTTAATTTACAGTTAATATTAAAAGATTCATAATGAAGTTCTATAATATTATAATTTAGATTACAAAAATATCTATAATATTATAATTGTTCTATAGTATTAATGTTCTATAATATTATAATTTAAAAAATATCTTGATACTATCTTGTTATTTGTATCGACCAGCCATCGCTGGCATTCGAACCCAGTTCACCTCATTGGAGGACAAAGACTGGCTATTTTTCGATTTAAAGATTTATTTTGGGTGTTTATTTTATAAACTTGCTCTTGATTATTAAATTATATGTTTATTATTTATTTAGGATACTCAGGAGTTAGAGCTTATTGATATCTCAATAATGTTTCACAACTGTGATGAATGTGAAGCATTGCAACAAAAAGTGACGTAAGTGCAAATTGGCAAAATCTCTTTTTTTTTCTTTTATTGCTATTAAAATATTCAAAATATGTGTTTATTATAAGTTGTTAAATAACAGCGTTAAGAAAATATTTGATATGTCTGTAAACTACCGTAAACTTCCGATTATCTGACGATGGATAATCCGGGTCATCCAGCTTTACGGATCATTCATGCTTCACTTATTTTTTGCGATGATAAACAATTAGAAGTGAAAATAAACTCATAGAAATGGAACTATTTTCAGAGTTTTGCGAACAACATATTAGCAAACATTCATGTTCGTTGCCCAGGCGTTCATAATTCATTATTCAATGAGTAGGTTAAATGAATGGGAATGAATTATCCTCAGTTATTTATTTAGTCAACATATAACACATTTTTGGAACTCTAATCAGTTATAAAATTGATAACTAACAAATGAGGTCGGTCCCCACACAACACTTATGCACCTAAAATTAAAATAATAAAACCATGAATAATTTATGGATCATATGCAAGATTTCAGAATTGTAGTCAGTTGTTTTTTTTTTAATTTTCTTACTGTTAAGAGTTTTCAAAAGTCTTGTATGTGCAGTAACTTTTTATAAGAACTAATTCACGTGTTTTGAACATTGTTTTGTGTGTCCTTTTTTCAGCAACGTATTAACTCCCGATATAAAAGTCTGCTTGTGCCTGTTTTATTTTAGCCTCCTGCTCTCCAATATTAAGAAACAAAAAAAGTTTGCAGGCTTTTTCATACAGAAATTTTAAAAAATGTATAAGAAGAAAATGCGAAGAAAACTGCTAATAATAGATATTGAAATTTATATTTTAAAAAAAATTGATGACGGGTGTCTTTTTTAAGCACTTTGCGGATCATCTGTGAATTCGCTTATCCGCACTTTGTCGGCCACTCAATTCCATGGATAATCGGGAGTTTACTGTATAAATAATTCTTTCTTTTTTTTTTAAATCATATAAAAAAACATTCTAACTGGAGCATTTTTATGTTTAATTACTAGAGCATTTTTTAAATAATTTAATTTTTTATACTTTATTATTAAACTGCTTATTTTAGAGACATAATTTACTGAAATTTTGAATTTTTTTAAGTAATAATTTTATTGAAATGTTATTTAATGCAAGTTATAATGTAATTGACTCATGTCCTATTTATGCAATGTTTTTATCTTTTAACATTTTTTACAGTATATTATATAAATATTGTATCTCTTCTTTAATGGCTTTACAGCCCTGAGTAGCTCTACTGAAATAGTTTTCCTCTGGCTAATCTTTTATTAACTACAGTCCTCCTTTTTTTAATTTTTGAAAGTTCATTTTTTGATTATTTAAACAGTCTACCATCCTACAAATAGCCCATCTGTAGGTTGTAGTACTCAATTCACTAATTAGATTTATTTAATTGTAATACTGTCATCCTTCATAAGTATTACATTACCAGATTGACTAGGTAATAATTTTTTTCTGTCATTCAATTTTTGCAGTTTTTAATTGCGATTAAATTGTACTTGCATTCTGATAATGAGAATTTTAAAGTTATAGCTGAAAGCTAAATTTTAATATAGAAATTTTTTTTAATGTATTTTTTTCAATTCGTCTATAGTTTTTGATAAAGAGCTTACAGTTTCAGATGGGAGGCCTAGCTCTGCTACTTGCCATATATTGTTTGTTTTGATCATTTATTTTTTATTCATTGTGTTATAATTTAATCTCTATTGTTATCTAAATATTTATTTTTCACTTTAGGAAGTTGCTGTTCTTTTAAATTTAATTATTTAAATGATAATTTTACTTCAGTTTTTTTATTATATATAATGGGTTAACTTTATATCCCTTTTGACGCCCGGTGGCTGAGCGGTAGCGCTTTGCGCTGTCGTGCCTCAGGTCCCTGGTTCGGTCCTCGGGCCGGGTAAGGTTGACTCAGCCTTTCATCCCTTCAGTGGGTCGATAAATGAGTACCAAGCATACTTGGGAACTAAACACTGGGAGTTCCGCGTTCGGCTGACCACCTGACCTGAACATCTGCTCCTGTACCCCGGAGCCCAAGGTCAAGAAAACTGAGATGGACACAGTAGGCCTTGGTCCTCTATGGGCTGTCGCGCCACTGAGTTTAGTTTAGTTTTAGTTTATATCCCTTTAACAGTTGAGATTCTTATTTCAATATGTCCAGAAAGTTTCTATGTGAAATTTATTAAAATTAGCGAAACTTACAAACTTGCTTAGAAAATATATATAACTGTAAAATATGGTTGTGTGACTCATTTTATCAGAAAATTTTTTACTATTTTAAAGAAGAAGAAAAAGAAAATTTAATTGAATAAATTTTTGTAAATGCATTATTTAAAATTTTTAATTTTCTTTGAAGTTTTATTAAACTTTGTGTAATTAAAATAATACTCAGTCTATATCATTAGTATTTTATTTGAAAATATATTTCATTTACTACTTGTTTTTTAATGTGTCTGAATTGTTTCATTATTTTAGTAGAAAGTTTTTTATTTTTTTATCAGCACAGGAAAAAAATTTTATTATAGCATTTCATCATAACTGGGATGCTTTAATGGAAGCAATAATATATTTATGGTACAAAAGGTGAAGCAAAAATTATAATAATATTTTTGCTTAATGTTGTTTAATAATAAACAAATATTAAACTTCTAAAATTGCTTATTTTATCAAAACAAGAGAAACTTCATAACATTACGCTTTTCAAATATGCATTCTGTGATCTGAATCACTTTAATCATATTTTCTCTTATTTTGTCTTTTCTAGTGTTGCATCATATTTAGAATGCTAAAGTGTCTCCCGTTTATGTTTGGTGCAGCACCTACTCCTGGTTCTTGCGTCCTTAAATACAAAATTGCTTATTTGTGAAGAGTAATTGATCCTCACTTTACTAATTTTCCTCTTCACAAAGTTTAATAAATGTTGAAATTCAATGTCATTTTTGTTATATTATTTGTAATGTTGTAGCTCCATGACGTCCCTAAGTATAGTAAAATTGAGAATTATTTCAGATTATGAATCTACAATTTTTTTCTATTATGGTTTCAAAATATTATTCTAAAGATTGAGTCAATTCTATTATTAGTCTATGATTAATATTTTTTTAAATAATTTTTCACACTTTTGAAATTTTATGTAAAATAAGTACTTTTTTCAATAATTGGATTATTACTTTTTTATGTGTTGGTGAATTCATGTTTGTTATTTCTAATATTAGTGCTTATGTAGCTTTATTTTAGGGAAAATTACTTTAGATATTTCTCAATTCATTCCTGATCAGCTAATGAATATTTGGAAAATTTTTTGCACTCAAATTGAAATTGGTAGCTTAATTCTGAAAAAGGTATGAAAATATACTGCATGTTTTGCTTAAATATTCATATTGTTTCATAATTAAATGAGACTCATATAGTATATATTAGAAGAAAAAAACTTGTATATTTAATACAATTAATATAATTTTTCTTTGTCTGTATAAGTATTTTATTGTGATCTTAATGTGACTTTTAAAATAGGTAGAAAATTTACTTTACCAATTATTTTTGAAGGTGCTATCACCTTCATTTCTTTGTGTGATCTAATAGCCTTTGAAGTTTTGTATGATGCAAAAATTTAACTGAATAAAATTGTACATTTTAATCTTTTGGGATGCATTTAAAGGCACTTAAATTCAGCCTAAACATAGAAATACAATTTGTGCCCTCATTCTAAGTGATCATAGAAATTTAATAGAATGTGCAAAATTATGAATGTCATTAGAGCAGTGAATATTATAGTAATTTAAAATAAATCTTTAAAAAAAAATACAGATGCCTAAATAAATAAAATTTTATATCCTATTTACAATTCAAGATATTCAAATACAATAATCAGAAATTTTGAAATTGTTCATCAAGGACATTGTATCTTTTATAATTATGATTCCAACCCATTCTTTAAGCTTAAATGGATTTTTTTTTCTATCTGAAAATTCTCCCAATCATTCAGATTGAAAAAATAAATTTTTTTGAAGAAACCTTTAAATTGCAGTATTGTATCTCTGAATTGGTAACATTTAATATGAAAAAATAAGAAAACTATTTTTTTTGCAAAAAAAGGAAAAAAAAGTTCTTATTGTTACCCTGAAGCTAATGATTGAAGGGTTAAGTTTTCATCAGAAAAATTCGTTTTCGTATTTTAAATTATTTAATTTGGCAGTACAGATAATGACTTTGTTTTAATTTTATTTTCAGGAATCCTTCTTAGCATTAGAATTTTTTATAAGAAATTGTGGCCTGATATTTTCGCCTAGTCTTGTGAATTACTTGTTAAACTGTGTTGCTGCTGTCTTGAAATTTTGTATTATTTTCAAAGATGAGACTGCAGACTATTCAAGGTCTGTTTTTTCTTTATTTGTGATTTTGTTTCTTATCTCTATGAAATATTTTCCTATTAAAAAACTAATTGTTAAAAATTTGCACCCATATGAATAAATATACAGAATCAGGGTGTAATTAATCTTGGACTATTTGCCTGAGACCACTAAAATCCAACTTGGATTACCTTGAAATAGTAAAAAATTATGACTAAGGCACATCCTCTGTAATTTTTCATCAAATTTAACTCTCATAACTTTTTACTTTTAATATTTATTATAATGTTCTACTTATGATAAATGCATATGTTTAACACATTTATAAAAGCTTAATGATAAAACTTTGATTTGTATAAAGTTTCATTTGCATTATGATAAATGCAGATGTTTAACACATTTATAAAAACATAAAGATAAAATTTTGATTTGTATTAAGCTTCATTTGTATAAGTATTAAGCATTCATTGTTCAAATCTAAATGAGACATGTAAATGGACCTGTGAAAGAGTGTGTGGGCTAATGAAATATTTTAACTGATGGTCTTTTGGCCCATTAACTAAATCTAATTAATTTCTACCTCTGCAAAATTGTAACCATAATGCGATCAGGGATGAGATTTTTCCGCTTTTTAGCGCATTTCCGCTTTTTTCACTTTTATCTCTTAAATTTCAGCTTTTTTTATCAAAAATTCAGATTTTCTAAAAATTTCATTTTTTTATAAGTATTCCGCTTTTTCAGAAAATTCACCGATTTTCAAAGAGAAACAGAAAATTCAAACTACATAGCTACCAATCCTTTCTCATTTTTACTTATTTTAGCTATTTTCTCCCCTTTTACACGCAGCAGATAAGATTTTCCGAATTTTTTACCCGCCCTCCAGATAGATCCGATTTTCGTAGTTCAAACGACGCTGCTTCTGACAAGCCTTTTAGAGGTCCCAAGCCTGGAATCTGCTAATATCTCGATTCTTATTCACACGATTTTAATATCAAACATAGCTTTTCATATTTGCGTGTTGCGATTCTTATTCACGCGATTTGAATATTGTACGTTGCGATTCTTATTTACGAGATTTAAAAATCCGATATTGTGATTCGTATTTACGCCTTTTTAAAAACCTATGTAGCGATTCGTATTCACGCAAGTTTAAAATTCAATGTCTTGATTTGCTCATGCGGTTTATAATATCAAACATTGATTTTCGTATTTATACGTGATTTTAAAATAAGGCATTGGGATTCGCATTCACGCATTCTAAAAATTATGCATCATAATTCTTATTTATGCAATCTAAAAATTACGCATCATGATTCGTATTTACGCAATCTAAAAATTATGAATCGTGATTTGTATTTACGCGTTTTAAAAATTCTATATCCCAGTTTGTATTTTCTCATTTTCAAAATCGTATATCTAGTTTCATATTCATGTGATTTCAAAATCCATAATTGTTATTCATATTCACGCAATTTTAAGATCAACTATCGCGATTCTTGTAAGAAGTAAATTTTTTTTAAATTAGTTACTATAAAGGTGACTGTTTTTCTAACGACGATTATTAGTATATGTAAGTGTTACAACATCAGAGAAACTGGAAGGGAATATATTCAAAACTTACATTCTGTGCTTGCAAAGAAGAAAAAATAGGATTTGTCACAAGATGTTTGAAGATGGACTAACGACTAAATATAGCAAACATAAAAGATATAGCAAACAAAAGCAATCACTTAAAAAGGGATTTAATAAAAAAAAATTTTTGGGGAAAAAGAGTTAATTAACTCATCATCAAAATTTTATTTATAATTGCTGTTATTTATGCTATAAAATGCAAAATTCTTATCAAATAAAAAACAATTATCTAAACAGTTGCTGATTGTCATGTAATTTTTCAAACTAAAATAGCAATTTTTGTATGTTAAGGAGTTACTATATATTTCTACTTCACTGTTATTGATATGTTTCAGAGGGCTCTAGTTAGATTAGACTATAATATGAACATAATGATTCGGTCCATTGTTAAATTTTTTTTTTCCAATATAATTTAGAAAGTAATATTACTGATATATTTGCTATAAATCACATAACAGTATTTAGTAAAAGAAATGAAATATTAATGTATATTCTCAGTAGTTTTAATTTGCTAAACCAGGTAGTTTTTCAAGTAGTAATCGTCTCTTATGTGAACTGAGGAAAAATATAATTTCCAGCTTTATTTTTTCAATTGGTAATTTTTTTTTTCACTAAATGTTAAGTATGAATGTAATCGTGTTTATAATAATAGATTAGTACACAATTGTATGTCAACACATTATTTATTACCTTAAACTGTCTGGAATTTATTATTAAAGAGGGTTGCGCTTGCGTAGAATTTACTATCGTGGAAATTCAGCTTTTTTGCGTTTTGGCTAATCTTATCCCTGTGCGATGTAAAAGAAATATCAGTCAAATATTTGTTATTTTAAGTTACCAAAATTAAAGTTAAAAAAAAAAATTTTTTATTAAATAATTTTTTTTTCTTTCTTTTTATTTTATTTTAATGAATCTCTATTTGTTGTTTATAACAACTAATAGTTTTCACTCCTTAAACCTTTTTATATGATTATACAAAATTATTATTAATTTATATAAAAATTAAAAAGTAAAACTTTAGTTTTCTGTTAAATTGTGTAGAAATAAAATCTGTTAAATGTATAAGAAAACAACCTTATTCTGTGTCCAAAATTTTATTCAAATTTTTCGGTTATTCTTCATGAAACACCCATTCAAGTTAAATCTTGATGTGCTGATTCCCAAATTTATAAAATAATTAAAAAGAGAGTTGTAGAAAAAGTTTGGATTGCACTATTGATCTTTTCTTCTTCAAAAAGTACAATAAAAGTTGTTATGATGAATATTTTCGAATGGCAACATTTGGATCTGAATTTGTTTTTGAATTTTCATGCTCAACTTAACCCACTATACTTTTAAAATTTTATCATAAATATAGTACTTTTGTGAGGGAGTAATTAATAAGTGATCTACTTACTTGTTGGATACACTTAAAATTAGTAATTTTTAAGTTAGATTTTATTCTTAAAACATACTTTCCCTATAAATATAGCATTTTCTCAATGGATTTGAATTTAATCCCCTTTCTTAAAAATATAAAACCTGAGAAAAAGTGGTTTATAATTTTTTATTATATTTTAAATTCTTATTAATTTTCTTTTTTATTGTAAAAAGTAATTTAGTGAAATGACTCATTCAAGTAATGTTTTGATAAATTAATGCCTTACACAAACTAAATAGGTAAAGTGAGAGTTTTAATTACAATATTTAATGAGTTTTAGAAGTTAAGTTGCATATCTCCCAAGTCTCCTTTTTTTTAACGAAGACTCCTGTGTTTTACGACTATTTACCAGTATATTCTCGAAATTCTCCGTATTTGTTGAAGAAATTTAAAAATAAAAAAATTTGGTGAAAAAATATCCACTGTTGGCAAAAATACTTTGTATTCCTCAACAGATGGTGGTGTTGCCAGTATTGCAATATGTTGAGTGTTTATAGTTTAAGTAATTATAAATAACGGTTTAAAAAAATCTTCTTTAGATTAAGATTTATCTATACATTATTTACTTCTCTAAATCTAAGTGTTTATATTATTTCCAATTTTTAATTTCGCTTTGACTTACATAATTATGCATGATGTATCAAAACTTTACTTGTAACCTAAAAAATGTCGCTCATGAAATCTCCAATATTTTATTTCTCCAATATTCGCAAGTACGTAGTTGCCATTTTTTGATTTTCAACAGTCAACTTTTTTTATGTTCTTTGTCATGACTTGAAATTGCTTTTGTCATGAGTTAAATACACATTGAATAAGAAGTAAAGCATTCCTACAACAGCCAATTGTTGACCAAGGGGATCATTGAGATTAAGGCCTCTCAATTTAATGATAATTTTCATTATAATTGCTATGTGGTTAGCACTGACCACCTTTATTTCTCAAACTGATTCTCGTTGATCTGAGTAAGTTTTAGGGAAAAACTAGGGATATAGAACCCAATACTTCACAATGGCAGCTCACTGCCTTATTCACTCTGCTATCATGGGACTCATTGCATTCTGATTATTATTTTTTTTTTTTAAAAAAGCATGTGTATGTGTAATTTCTGTTTATGTGTATAATCTATTCTCAATGGATTTAAATTTCATACTTATGATACTTGATAATTTACTGGAATATAGTGGAGATGATAAATTATGAAAAAGATTCATCGTAAAATGTAGATCAAAAGAAAAAAAATTTTTGCAAATTTTCTTTTCATGATATTTGAATGTTTGTGCCAGATATACATTCATACTTAATAAATCAGCTTAAAATTCTATTGTAAAATTTGATAATTTCACAGATTGAAAATATTTTTTGGTGACTGACAATTATTATTATCATTTTGCTATTTATTAAAAATTAATTTAAACCTTTTATAATTTTCCCATTGCAAGAAAATGTCATATGTTAAAAATCTTTTTCAATTTTATAGTTGATCTAATTTTTTTCTGAGACATAATAGTCTTAAAGTTTAAAATTATTTTTCAGTCAATATCTCTGTAATACTTTATTCTCGCTGTCTATATAGCAGAAAAGTGTTTGTTTTGTTTATTGTTATAAACACCTTTCTACATTGTAAGTCTTTTTTTTCTCACTAATATAAAAAAATACTATTCTTTAAAACTATTTGCTACACTAAATGAATAATTATTGTTTTGTGAAAAATGTCTTTAATCTCTGAAATATATGTTTACTGATGCATTCGAAGCTGTGTGACTTATTTGCAATTTGTCTACTCATTAAAACATTTATATTTTTTAGGATATAGCTTTTCTTTTACTTTAAATGTTTAGATTGGAACTCATGAAATATTTAACTAATGCATCTGCTTTTTTTTCTTCTTTTTTTTCTATAGAGAGCTCTTAGAGTTAGAAGATAGTATTGCTTTATTTTTGCCGGCACTTACTGATGCTTTCGAAAAACCAATGAACAAATATACATTAAACACTGCTTCTTCGTGTAAATTTCTTCAAATGTTTATGAAGGTAAAATATTTTTTCTCGTATCCAATTTGGTTATTTCATGGCTTAGAATTTATTTTTATAATCTTAAAAGTATTATTCATCACATTTATGTTTTACTCTCAGTTACTTTAAAATTATCTGACTGGAATTTAATTGAGCATTAAAGCTCCCTAATTTCTATTTTAATAAACATTTAAAACTCATGATCCTGTCAACTATAATTTTTCAGCCTCATTTAAATAAATAATTAAAATAATTTTTAATGAGTTAGTTGAAAAACATTTAAATGTTAGTGTCTGTTTATGTTATTGTTTTATTATATTTGTTTCATAATTTTTATTATCGAAAAATTCTTTTAAGTGATGAAAGTATTTATTTGTTTATTATTGTTACTTAGTTCTATAACTTTGTGTTATTTTTAGACCATTTTGCTTCCTGGGTTTATGAACACAAAAGATGACTTTCAATTGTCTGTCGTTAATAGCCTTGTTTGTTTGTTGAAACATAGCCGTAAAAATGGATATCCAATGCCCTATAATACTCAACAGAAATATTCTGAATCTTTGTTAAAGTTGTTTCTTACAAATTCGAAAGAACATAAAGTAATTAGTTGTATGACTATAAGCAATTATAAATTTAAAATTTGAATTCAAAAGTTATAATGTTTTTATTATGCATTTGTTTCAGGCTTTAATTCCTCTGCTAAAATATTTTATTTTAATTGAATTTGAAGATCATTCTTCTTCTGAAGCTCCTATAAGAAGTCTTGAATCGTGAGTTATTTCTTTTTAATTATTCCTTTTTTTTGTATAAATAAAAATGGGAGATTTTAGTCTATTTGTAATATTTATTTGACAGTTTTGTAGAGCGACCCTTTAATATTTTACTGCATATTAATTAATCATCAAAGTCGCCGATGTTTCCATCAGAAAATAAGTTACTTAAGAACTTCACACTTTAACCATCTATCAGTTTTTCTATGTCAGGAATCACAATTTAATGAGCATACTTTCCCATAAAGCAAACTTGTTCATCTTGTTCTAAAAAATAGAAATGTGTATATTAAAAAAAAGCATTTAAATAAAAAAATCCAATCAAAATCACACAAATTTGATTGGAAGTGAGAATTTAAGACCTTTAATTCTTTGATTGAATAGTTTTGCAACTAATACAACTTCACTTCCTAAATATTATTTCAAAAAATAATAACTGTGCATTTTAAAATTTCGTTGATTTTTTAATGCTTTTAATTATTATTTTTTTTTAAATTTTTGAAATGACCATATAAAACTTCTATTTGATATTAAGTATTTAATAAAAATAGATATCATATATATTTAAACTTTGTATTTTTTTATTACGTACAAATTCAATATTCATTGTCTTCTAAAATTGGACTTGCAACTTAGTATTATATAATATTTTTAGTCTTTCTATTTAAAGCACTCCTCCTGCCACTACGTTTAGGGTTTGTTGCTATAGAAACAAAAACAAAAAAAAACATGTTAGAGATGGAAGCTTATGATGCATCTTTCACTTACAATCTAATCTTGTTCTAAGTATTTACCCTACGCTCTTACTTCAAATAGTTCATCCTCGTAACCTTAGTCCCTGACTGTGCTTCAGACAACTGACATGGGGAGTTTTTTAGATAGACTATAAATGCTTAATAGTTAAAAAAATATTTTCATTTCTTTAGGTATTCTTCATTTGAAAATATGTCTCATAAATCTAAAACATGGCAACAGTTGTATGAAGATGTACTTAGCAAACTGTGTTCAAATAATGTAAATATATTATTTTCAATCATAGTTTTGATTATTTAGTATGTTATTGAATTCTAATTGTGAGTTTTTTGCAGAATAATTGTTTTTAATTTTATTTTAATATTAAATCTGTCTTCACACCTTTTGTATGAAAATTGTTTTTTTAAGAATAGATTTATATTTTTCGTTTTTTTTTTTTTTTTTTAAAAAAAACACTGTTAGGTTATTACTCTGTGTTATATATTTTTATGTATAAGTTTTAAAGGTAATATTTTTTCTTTCAGCTAAGTAATTTAGAAAAGGTTATTGCTCCCATGGCAATCATGATTCATTGTTTCTGCAAAGTTGCTCATTCTGATAAAGTTGAGTAAGTAGATAATATGAAGTTTCAATTCATATGTGTATATACCACATAGAGAGAGTGTTGTGTGTGTCTTGAGTCATTTAGGTTAAAACTCTTTAAAATATTAAATTTAGCTATAATAACTTTATTAGTCTTTATTTAATTTAGTTTTGCTACTTTTTTTCACGATTAGCATAACAATTCTTTTTTATAAATATAAGAAAAAATATTATTATTTTAGGTTTAGATTTAGGTGACATCTGCACCTGTTTTTGAAGATTTTTTTTATTGCCAGGTTAAGCAATAAATGATAATAATCTGGTGCCTGTTAGAACGTAGTCATCACAGAGATATAAGTAGAATTATGGGAGATTCAAACATAAAGAATGATGTAGGTGAGATTGTGTTGGAGGTGGATATCTGGCATTGTGCGTAGATAGATTTGACAGAATGCAGATTGGAGGAAAAAATGATTGGCATAATGAATGTTCTATTAGTGTTTTACTTTCTACCTAAGATTTTCTGCAGGAATTTAATTATTAAATTTTTGTTTTAGGGTTGAATTTTGTGTGAGGTTAGTTTTCTGCAGACTTATTATTTTGGTAGGCATTTTGGTTTTGTGATGTGATTTTGAGTCACATTTGTGTGAGTTTGAATGTTTGGTTCTTTTAAATGTATTTTTATTATAAATAAGGTGCTGGCCAAGTGGTTAGTGTGTCTGATTGCAAAGCTGAAGACTGCAGGTTGGAATCCTGCTCAGGGCATGGCTGATTCTCTCTGTGTGTACGTCTTTTGTTGTGTGTGAATCTGGCTCACTTTATGAACAGTTATCTATAGTGTGAGTAATGTTGCTTGCCTCCATGACTTTGGTCACAAGGTGCTCACCAGTTATCGCAAAATGAGCTAATACTTTCTGCACCTTCCATGTTGTGGAACCATAAGTTCAGTGCCTGCTGTTAAAAATAATTATAAATAAGGTTTTCTTTATGTATGCAAAGCTTTTTGTGGAGATAGCGGGTGGTGAGTAAATTTTTTTATAGTTTGATTCAAAAACTTAAGTTTTGTTATGGTTAGTAGTTTTTGAAAAGTTTTGTGTTTTGGGTGATGACTATTTATGAATTGGTTTGATCAAAGATGAGGCCGTAAAATGAAAGTTTAAATATTTGTGGATTGCTCTTATGAATAATTATAGGCTTATCTCTAGAAAGATTCCTAGGCATGGATTACATTCTAGCTGAGCAACGAGTTTTATCTATTTATGTTTTGGAGTATTTACAAAATGCATGCTTTGTATTAAAAAATGACCATAAGACAAGTGGACTTTAAATTTATGAGAGTTGCAATATTTGATTCCGTTTTTAGCATGTGACAAAAGAGGTGCCCATAACTTTATGCAGAAGTGATTGGTGGGAAAAAATAGCCAAATATCAAATGCTGAAGCCTGACAAATCTCTTCCTTATTTTTATACAGCAATTAACTTAAAATTGTTGATTTATTTTATAATGTTTAGTTTAAAAAAATTATGTTAATGATCAAAAAGTAACATAAGCAAATTTTAAATTTGTTTATTGATTTATATTTGTTGGACTTAATATTTTCCTGTGAAAACTGCACTATCATTATATAATATATATAAAAGCAGGGGTCTGTCCACACATTTTGTGAAAGGTCCGTTTTTGTAAAATTGTGAAAAAATTACTCATAATTTGTGAATATGAAATAAACGTTAAGTCACAAACTTTCAACCAGGGTCCGTTTTTGTGAATTTGTGCCGTTATTGCAAGAAAACTTTTTCAAGGAGATTTTAAAGATTATGCAAGATTATGCTCAACACTGTAAAATTATAATTAAAAAAATTAAATTTTAAAAGATGAACAGCAATTACAGCTACTAAATTAGCGATGCAACATACAAATATTTGGTATTTAGTCTATACTGCTGAACGAAGAATATTCATTTCGGACGAATAAAGGAAGAAGCATCTGCTGAAGACAAAATTTAGTTTGTTTTCATCTGTCTTTCGTTCCCCCTTCCTGGGAAGGGTTTATTCGATTAACAAAACAATAATGAAGATAAACAAATTTGTGAAGGGTCCGATTAAAAGAAAATTTTTTTTTTGAAAGGTCCGATTTTAAGTTAAAATATTTTGTGAAGGGTCCATTTTTAAGTTAAAATATTTTGTGAAAGGACCGTTTTTATGAAAAGATATTTTGTGAATAACGAACCCAAATTTCCTCTAAACAGACTCCTGAAAAGTATATATATATATTTACTTATGATTTGTGATTTATTAATTATTGCATTTTTTCATTAGTTGTTGCTTAAATTTATTTCATTAATAATTTCATTAACTATTGCATAAANAAGCTATTTTTCTGCTTTAATTATGTTTGCAGGTGGAAGTGTAGCCAAATATATATGAAATTTCCACCTCCCAACAAGAATGAAAATCATAATTTAAGAAAATAATTGTATTTTATTAAAATAATTATTTTGTATTTACTAAAGGAATCAAGCATGTCTCAATAATTATTAAGACAATTTATACAAAATTTATTTAGATTTCTGTAAATTTAAAGGAGCTTTGTAACGATTATCTACGAAATATTGTAGGAAATAATAACATTTATAAATAGAACTCTAAGAAAATAATAAAAAAAACTTAAAAACTTAAAACTTAAAAAAATAATTACAAAAACTTTAATGAAAACGTTTTTTTTATTATTTTTTTTAAGAAAAAGCAATCAAAAAGCAAATGCATTTCGTTTCGTTAAACCTTTTATGTATATTCACAAATAATTTAATGCGAAAAATTTCAAAATCCTTTTAAAAGTAAAAATGTATGCTTTGCAGAAAATTTTTTTAAACATTTTTATAAACAATTTTTAAATAGCATAAAATTTTTTACTTACTATGTATAACATATTATTAAAGTAATCCGTACAGAAAAAATAAAATGTTTACATAATTTTCTTTATAGTATAAAATATTTGGTTGTCTAATTTCATTGCGAAATTTGGTGAAGTAGATTCTAAGCAAAAACTTTCTAAAGATTACTGTTAGTTTTGACATATATATATATATATATATAAATGAAGTATGAGGGTGAATGGGGAAAAGAAGCAATTTTTTTCTTCTCCTAATCTATATTTAGGCTATTTACTAATTTCTGCTTTTTTCCTGCCGTCTTCTGATGCTCATAACGTCAGAATTTCTTGCAAGCGATCTTCGATTTTTTGCATGAGCTTTGTGTACTCTCAATGCAATGTTTCTCTGAATTGTATTTTTTTGTTGTTGCTGTGTTTACCTTATTATTATGGTGTGTTATTTATATTATCCTCTATTCTTAACTGCTAATAAGGATACTTATTCTAATAAGGATTATTAATTTTTTATTTTAATGTTTAATTTCTCACATGAAATTTTCACTGTTTGTAAGTAAAATTCAATTCTTCCAATTCGTTTTTTCCTCAAGAATTATGAACCGTAAATTTACATTGAAATTACTAACAAAGTACAGACAGTCACAATAAAGTAATAGTAAGAATCAGATATTAGAATTCATATTTCAGAAATCGTAATTCCCATTAAAGGGGTTTACAACCATTCAATCGACACTCCACAGTGTTATAATTTATTATTTGCTTGTTTTCAAACACAAATTTTGTATACTTGTGTTTTTTATGGAAAAAAGATTAGAGTAGAAGAGAGGGCTATTTTTATATGAGACTTGGGGGAAAAGGGAAATCGAAATTTTTATGACTTTTGACCAATGAATTCAATGTTAAATTGTATTATGCACTGTAACAACTCTGCTTTTTCAATATTGCTGTGGGGCCAGATGCTTTACCAATAGATATGCCCACAATCTTTATAATGCATTTGCTTCTTGGAGGTATTTCATATTATGAATTAAGCTTGGGTAATATTTATTCATTATTTACTCATTTCTGAAATTTTCAACAATAGTTTAAAACAGTGGTTCCCGAACTTTTTTGTCTCGTAGACCCCTTGCCACGTTTTTCGGTTTTGGGTGGACCCCCTGCTTATATGATATTGATTTTTTGTAAATTCGTCAAATTCAATTGTATTTTTGACAGCTGGTATACTGTAGAGAAGTTTAGTGTCAAAAACTTAAGAAAAAGACACATGTTAATTTTATACATTTATTAATTGAATTCAAACTAATTTAATTACTAATTTAATTTAATTAATATGTAAAGGGAATAAACTAGTGCACTATAAAACCCGTATTCCGCTACTAATATTATAATTGCGGAAATAAGTTTGTATACGAAACAGTAGTAGTGTATTATCGATCTGTTTATTACGTTTTCATGTAAAAACTAAGCAACAAATCTCAGTGATCTTGTGAGCAGATAAAGTTGGAGGTCTAGCTAGCTGAAAAGTTGACACAGGCTAGGCTACAATTTACCACTTAAAAATACTTTTTTGTTACGAAATAAAACCTTACATGCAGAGAAAATAAAAACGTACACGGACAGAGCTGCAGGCAACTGCTAGTTTATAATAATTCAATTTCATCTATCAAAAAATAATTCTTATAACTTAAATTTTAATAAAATTTTTGCGTCATAGCTACTTTTATAAATTATGTAGAATGTTGATAGATATATGTCTTTATATAAGGTAGCATAATGTAAGTAAATAGGTACTATCAGTGTATGTTGATTGTTCCATTCATGAAATGCCAAAATTAAAAGTCACAACCTGCTTATATGAGATGCACTATCATTGACCCCCATTTTTTTTCTTCATTTGACATGGACCCCTTGTAGGTTGTCGTCGACCCCTGGGGGTCGATGTAGACCACTTTGGGAATCACTGGTTTTAAAGTTGAAATGATGAAAGATGAAGATTGAAAAGATGCAGTTTGAGATATCATGTCACTAACGTTAAAGTCTGAATGGGAAATGTGTTTTTATTTTACTGTTGCTATTTCTGAACTTTTATCAGCAAACAGTCCATAAGTTTTTTGGTCAAGCTGATAAGCTTTAAATTTGAATGATTTATTTTGTAGAATCTCTTTGCTTTACTTGCAGAAGCTTTGGCATTAAAAGAGAAGTTGGAAGTAATAGAATATTATGAGAGAGAAAAATATGGTGTTCAAAAGTTGGTTGAGTATTTGAAACAATAATTTTTTTTGCAACTTTCTTTGAATTTTGATCAATATAATTTTATTAAAAAGCAGTAACAGCTAGTTGTAGATCAGGGGAATCATGTGTAGGTCTCATTATTTTGTGATTAAACGAACTGATTGTGCAGTTTTTACAACCAATGACTTGAAATGGCATGACAATTATTTAAATCCATTCAGCTGTATAGAAAGCAGTAAAAATATATATATATATAATAAGCATATGACCATGGGTAATCTGTGATCACAATAATGTAATCACAATTTTCTCTTTTTTGTAAAAAATTTTAATATTTTTTTAATAGTATTTTCAGTTTATTAATTGTAATGAATGTTCTATCTTTTTTCTTTCTTAGAAGTTTGTGAAAGAAGGTGCATTAAAACATTTGTAAGATTAAATATCCACGTTTCAAGTTGTAACTTGAATAATTTTCTTTCTCTTTGTAGAATCAAAATGAAGATTTACAACCTTCGATCCTGAAAATGATTCCATCTTTCTTATTTTCATCAGTTTTTCGACATAAAATCTTAATAGATTTGAAAGAGTAAGTTTAAGTTGCTCTGAAATTTGACGTCGCATTTCATTGTATTGTACAAAGTCATCTGTTCTTTTGTTCTTTTTTTAATACAACTATGTACTGTGCTCAAAAAAACGAACCACCATAAATAACTTTTGATCTAATGATTGATCTTCACATTCTAGGACTCAATCTTAATGGCTGGAGGGGGTGACCTCAAATATGCTAATTATTAAGAGTAGACGATATTTGAAGTTACGAAATCAGTCGCAAAAACGTACTTTCTCTAACTAAGCATACCTTTTTTTTGACGGATTCAGATTTCTGACCCCCAAAATATCGGAAGTAGCCACAATCTGGAAAATATGATCCCAATAATTTGGTGAGGAGAGCACTCCAAAGTTTGGATTCCTTAATGTTAATTTTACTTTTTGCATATTTTGTTATATTTTGAGAACTTTTTAAGCAAATTTAAAAAAATTTGCTCACAATTATAAAATTCTTTTATCTAATAATAATTCCCTGCAAAAAAATTTCTTTATTAAATATTTTTTATTTTTTATTTATTTTAATTAATTGGCAAAAAAGTTTTAAATTGTAAGGTATAAATTTTTTGCATCATTTTAAAGAAAATAATTTTGCGTGGCAAAATACAAAATTTGAAAAAAATCGATCAATTAGTTCCTGTGAAATCGAATTTTAATTATCTGACTTTTTTGAAATTCAATTTCTCCAGAACTATTCAACCGATTTTACTCCAATTTTGTATTTTGCCATGTAAAATTAAATTCTTTAAAATGATGTAAAAGTTATATACTTTGCAATTCAATTTTTTTTTACCATTATTAAATGAAATAACAAAAAAATAAATCTGTAATAAAGTTTATTTTTTGCATGGGAATTATGTTTGAATAAATGAATTTTATAACTGTGCACAAAAATCTTTCAATTCTATTAAAAAGTTCTTGAGATATAACGAAGTATGCAAAATGTAAAATTAACATTAAGGTGTCCATATTTTCCGGATTGCGGCTACCTCCTATACTGTTGGTGTCAGAAATCCGAATCCGTCGAAAAAAAAGGTGTGTTCATTCAGAGAAAGTACGTTTTTGTGTTCTGATATCGTAACTTAAAATATTGTCTGCACTTATTGATTAGCATATTTGAGGTCACCCCCTTGATCAAAAGATCATTAGATCAAAAAGTTCATCCGTGTGGTCTGTTTTTTATTTTGTGAACTGTACAATCTGTGTGCGCTGTATAAACTAATGTTACATTTTATTTTTTTTTAGATGTTTCATGAGAATGAATAAACATGATTCTGTTTTTGAAGTTGCTAAATCATTTCCACTTTTGATTTGCATTTTTTCTAATACAACTACTTTATCCAGGTATATAGTATTTTTTTTTAAAAAAAAAATAGATCCTTGTTTAATTTTTTTTTCTTTTTGTACAGATGGATAAAAAAAAAAGAAAAATTAATCTCTGGATAATATATGATGAATTTATTTGATGTATTCTATCTGCATGTTAAAGGAGCAGAGTTAGAGTGCAATACATGTGTAATAATAACTATTTATTAAGTTAATAAAAATTCAGTACAAAAACAGTTTTTCTCCTATTGTATGATTTTTTTACAATAACATTAAATCAAATACTTTAAAAATATAGAAAAAATAAAATTTGAAGAAAAAAAACAAACAATGAAAGAATGTTATTTGTATGCATAAATGCTTCATAAAACACAAGTTTATTTTTTAAAACAATGTAGAAAAAAATTCATTTTAAATTTTGCAGTAATCAAAGATAACATTTAATTATTCCTCAAAGATATTGTTTCTTCATAAAAAATATTTCATTTTAACAGTAAGTATAATATTTAAAAAATATGTAGGGTGAGATGAAGTTTAGAAAATCTAAACTTTCTTAAGAGATATGTTTTAGATCAATAAATAAAAACACCCACAAATGCTTTCAATCAACTTGAAAAGAATAAGGTAGGTAACCCTTTGTCGGTAGAAAATGGAAGGATAAAAGAAAATTACAACCTTATACATGCAGAACTTTTGGTGGGTTAAACTCCATAATGTTAATTTTACTTATTGCATAGATAGATAGTGCAAAAATAGAATAAAATAAAACGGTAAAAAAAATAAGAACATATTTTTATTTGTTACATATTGTTTGTTAAATTTTTTATTTTTATAAAGTTTGCTTGTAACTTGTATGTTTGTTAAATGATTACTTAATTCTTTTTAGAAGTCTCATTGAAAAAGACTTGAAAATTGTATGTAAAAAGTGTACACTCGGTAAGTAAAACAATTAACTTACAGTTAATCTTTGTGTCAGGAGTAACAAAATAAGGAAATATATTTTATCTGTATTAATTTTTTATTTTATATTTCCTACACTATATCACCTTTTTTAATGTATTGTTAGATAATAAATTTACAGAATAAAAATCAAAACGATATTCTTAACTTTGAGAGTTCTTTAAATGGTTGAGGTTCGAAGTTCTCTATGCCCATCCTTAAAGACAGCTCTAGTGAACTAGTGAGAAAATATCTTTTTTTTTTAACCATATCCTCTATCCAAATATTGAATGATAATTAATGATTTTAAAATAAGGTGTTTCCTGATAAATACATGTATTTTTAGAGTCCTTGTTAAAAGAAATATTTACATGAGGGATCACAAGTAAGTAATTAAGTGAAAGAAAGATACGAAATCAAAAGAATCATGGTGGCAATCATTAAAATCAGTTTTATTGCTTGAAATTTGGAGATGTTTCTAATAATCACCTTTTTGATTCCTCTGGCAATTAAACAGGTTTTGAAGTTTTTAATCTTACTTCCTCTGTAAGAAGTTAAGAGCATTTTTGTCTTTTCCTCTCTTAAATACTAAATTTTAACCCATGATGTAAGGATTTTTTGTTTTTAAATTTCATTTTTGCCAAAAATTCTAAAATATTTATCAAGAGCAATGTAACTTACCTTGTAATGTAAACTTACCTTGTAATTATGATTTTAATAGCTTTTTTTTTTGTTTAAACATTTAATAAATATAAACATTTGAAAACGGTTAAACATTTAATTAAGAAAAAACTATGTTTATTTTCTTTTTGATTAAAATTTATTAGTGTTTTTATATTACTTCTAAGCAAATGCAGTTCTTAACTAGTTTAAGATTTCAGCTCCTGTACTTTTGGTGAATTTTCACATCGGAATACGCAACCAATCTCTGCCATTTCTGTTTCGTTATACATTGTTGTTAATATAATAAACTTTATTTGTTACTATTGTAATGTATATTTCAGTAACTAATATTTATTTTTATATTACTTTTTGTCTCACAGAATTTTGTACCTCAGAGGATACTGTTCCTCTATCTACTGTAAACTGCCTCTCTGACTTAATAGTTTTTTTACTGAATCATCCATCAGAAGTTATCCGCAAAGGTATATATTTTTTTCTTACTTCTAGTAAATTTATGCACGCTTTGATAAATTTTATTGTATAATTATTTTCAATTTTTATTTCAGAGTCCATTAAAAGTGTTGTGCCATTTTTATCTCACTTCAAAATAATCGAAAAAGTTTTATCTTCTGTAATGGAGAGAATGATAGACTCTGATCCTATTGTGAGATCAAGTCTTAGGTAAACAAGTTACTGTTGCTTACAAATATTTTCTTAACTTATAAAGACTGCTCTACAAAGGGAAAAAAGCATTTTACGAAAAAAGTTTTTGAATGGACAGCACATCGCTATTCGCTATTTATGTACCTCACTGTTGGAAACATAGTCTTTTAAAATTTAAGTCGATAAAAGAAAATTTTTTTTGGTACTATGAAAAGCAATTAAATTTAAATCATCATAATGTAATATTTTTTGTGAATGCAGAAAAATGTAATGAATTTGCTAGCTTTTTAAAATTTAGCAAGTACTTTCGTCTAAAAAGAAAATGTAATTTTTTTTTTTAATGAATTAAAAGATTTTTATTAAGTTTGTTATAGGAAGTTTATATATTTGTATTTAGGAAGAAAAATTATTGATAGTTATTTTTTGTTATTAATTAAACTAAAATAACATTAGCTAAAGGTGTTTCTTCTTAAGGAATTGTTAAAATAACTACACTGTAGAAAATATTACTGGGTCACCTTGTTCATTGGGAATATAGATAATTTTAGTTTATTTGTTTTCCTATTACACCCCAAGAGAATCATCGTATTTATAGAGTTGTAAATTTTATAAGTAATTTTACCAATACAGCATTAGCAATTTTAGTCACATATTCTAGTGCACAAGTGCCATAACCAGAAAATTCAGTTCAGTAAATTGCTACCCAGAAACTAGACAAAAACTTTACCAACAGTATTTTAGTTCGTTTTCAAAAAGAGGTTGCAATACTAAATCAATTAAATTGGATATTTAATTGATTTAATTTATTGGATATTAAGTTAGCTGTCCTAATATATACATTTCTTCGCTATTTAATTTTCATTTTGTTTTTAAATAAATTGTAGCTGATTATTTCAAATTCACTACAAGTACTCAAAGAAAATAGCTGTATAATAAAATGTAAAAAGTTTTATGATGCATTATTATTTCACTTCTATTTATTGTTTCATTTGAATATATGAATATAAAAATATAATGGCATTACTTCAAAACAAACTATTTGTTCATTAAAATATCATATTTATAAATATTTTTGCTGCTAAAATTTGNAATTAATACACGCTTTGATAAATTTTATTGTATAATTATTTTTAATTTTTATTTCAGAGTCCATTAAAAGCATTGTTCCATTTTTATCTCACTTCAAAATAATCGAAAAAGTTTTATCTTCTGTGATGGAGAGAATGATTGACTCTGATCCTATTGTGAGATCAAGTCTTAGGTAAACAAGTTACTGTTTCTTACAAATATTTTCTTAACTTATAAAGACTGCTCTTCAAAGGGAAAAGAACCATTTTGCGAAAAAGTTTTTGAATGGACAGCTCTTCGCTATTTATGTACCTCACTATTAGAAACATAGTCTTATAAAATTAGAGTCGATAAAAAAAAAAAAATTTGGTACTATGAAAAGCAATTAAATTTAAATCATCATAATGTAATATTTTTTGTGAATGCAAAAAAATATAATAAATTTGCTAGCTTTTTAAAATTTCACCAGTACTTTCGTCTAAAAAGAAAATTAAAAAAAATTTTTTTAATGAATTAAAAGATTTTTATTATTGTTATAGGAATTTTATATAATTGTATGAAAGAAGTTCTTTTTTGTTATAAATTAAACTAAAATAACTGTCTAAAGGTGTGTCTTCTTCAGGAATTGTTAAAATAACTACACAGTGGAAAATATTATTGGGTCATCTTGTTCATTAGGAATTAAGATAATTTTAGTTTATTTACTTTCCTATTACACCCTGAGAGAATCATCATATTTATAGAGTTCTAAATTTTATTAGTAATTTTACCAATACAGCATTAGTAATTTTGGCCACATAATCTAGTGCACAAGTGCCATGACCAGAAAATTCAGTTCAGTAAATTGCTACCCAGAAACTAGACAAAAGCTTTACCAACAGTATTTTAGTTTTTTTTTTTTCAAAAAGAGGTTGCAATACTAAATCAATTAAATTGAATATTTAATTAGATTTAATTTATTGGATATTAAGTTAGCTGTCCTAATATCTAAATTTCTTCACTATTTAATTTTCATAATGTTTTTAAATAAATTGTAGCTGATTATTTCAAATTCACTACAAGTACTCAAAAAAATAGCTGTATAATAAAATGTCAAAAGGTTTTATGATGCATTATTATTTCACTTCTATTTATTGTTTCATTTGAATATATGAATATAAAAATATAATGGCATTACTTCAAAACAAACTATTTGTTCATTAAAATATCATATTTATAAATATTTTTGCTGCTAAAATTTGACTGTCATCGTGCACCTTTTTAGCAACATTTTGGTTAACTAAGTAGCCTTGTAGCTAGCTTTGAAACAAAATTCTTAAGATAAGGATAAAGTAGCTTTCAGCATTTAAGTAAAGTATTCCCACAACAACCCAATATGGTCATGGGGTCATGTAGGTTAAGGCTTCACGATCAACGGCATGATTGCAGAAATGTAGCGAGCATTGTGCAGAAGGCACCTTTCTTTTCCAGACTAGCTGGTACCCATCGATGTGAAGGTAGGTGGGCTTCAATGCCCGCTTCTGGGTATTGAACCCCAGTTCTCCACAAATGACAGTTCAGTGCCTTAACCACTGAGCCACCATGACTCAACTTTGAGTATTTAAGAGTAATCATAAAAAATTTATTTAACACATTGCTGTTCAAGTGCCACTGAGTGATATTAACATATAAATGCAATGATAGACTTGACTTAAAAGATTAAAGTTTTTAAATTTGATTATAAATTAAGAATAAAATTTTTGTCATAGTGATAAATATGTTACTATGAAAAGAATTGTAAAAAGTCTTACTAATTTTCTTTACTTAGGTTAAATGTGTATAAAATATTATTTTAATTGTGGTTTTATTTTATGTTCTTTATTATTATATGTTGTGAAAGTTTCTTATTTTTTGTAAAACTGCATATGGCAGTGCTGTATTAAAAGTATTTAATGTTTATAAATTTTAAATAATTATTGAATAATTATTATAAAATTATTTTACAGTGAAATAATTGGTGCTGGTTTGAAACCTCTTGTTACTAAAGAACTTAGCTCTAGCCAAACAGGAGAAATTGAGGAAAAATTAATTTTATCTCTTCAAGCATCTCTTCTTGCTGCAAAGTGTAGTGGAAATTCACAGTTTCAAAGAACTGTTATCATTAGTATAGGTGAGATTGGTAAAATCTCAGACAGTGGTTTACTTCTTATTACCATTATAAGTTTGCTTGAAAGCTGCATGACATCAGTACCTTCAGTTAAAGTTACTGCAAAATTAAAGGTATTTTTTTGTTACTTTTAACTCCTTGACTTATTTCTGTTAAATGTTTATGTAAGAAAATTTATGTATTTTTTGATGCATGTTGCAATGAAATCTGACAATTTTTTGTGTAATAACAACAGCAATTTGATTTATGAATAAAAATAACTTTCCGTCAAATTGTAATACTTAATTCTATATTCATTAATACGTACTTCTGAATTCGAATTAACTGTCAAGAATAGTTTTGTTTTCATATTTTGAATAAATGAGGTTTAGTCTAAGTGAATCTACTTAAAAGTACTTTAATGGCATATGACAGAATATAGAGATATAAAAATGTTTAAATCATGGATTTTTTTATTTCCACACATCTAAACAGTATGCAGAACGGATTATCTGTTCCTGATAATATTAGCTGAAACTCATATAAAAGGCAAAGACTTACATTACATTGATGCACATATGTATGGAATAAGCATTTGTCATTTTTGCATGATATTTTCTCAAAACGGTAATTGCAGGATCTATAAATTCTTCAATTTTAATGCAGTTTTTAAGAATTTGGCATATATATTTCTGCATGTATATTCAATTATCATACAGTTTTTAAGAATTTGACATATATATTTTTTGTGAGTACTAAACGTTGGATATTTTGTGCCATATTTTTTTTAATGTTATTCATGGTTGTAATTCTCATCACATCACATTAAACTTTTTAATATTTAAATTACCCAAAATTCCATATAAATTTATAAATTAATTTCATTAAAAAATTCTATTTAAATTTTATATTTTTTTTGGCAGCTTAAAGAAATAGCAGAAGCGAAGTCTTTGAAAATGTATGATTTACTTAAAGATTTCAAAGATGCAATTTGCAAAGTAAGTGTTTCTTTCTTTTTGATGTATTCTTTTTTTTCTTTCTAAAAATTGCAACATTATTGTTTTAATGTTTTTATAATCTTAAAATTAATTTCGAAATTTTTGTTCATCTTTACTAAATTTATGTCTTAATTACATTATTTGTTGATGTTCTTTATTATGTAAAATGTGTGCCTAATCTTTATTATTATTATTTATTTCTAATTAGTTTTTGGCAGAGTATTTATTTGTTAAAAACCCTGAAAATGCAACACAGGTGCAGCCTATTTTGGAAGAAATTCGTATTATTTTTGGATTTGGTGATTTGAAATCGTTTTTTAACGTAAGGAAAGATATTTTTAGATGTATATTTTATAATTTTTTTTATGTATTCTTCATGCTCTTTTTTTTAATTTTAGCAAATTCAACACTGCATATTGCCTTATCTTATCGCTAAAGGAACTCTTCAAGCTTCTGTATTGTTAGACACACTCTCCCTAACTTTAAGAGTTGAAAAAAGGGAAATCCTCATCAATAGTTTTCCATTTATATTCTCTCATTTTGTACGCCATTGTAGTAATCCTGATTTGGAGAAAGCATTAATATTTATTCAGGTAATCTTTTCTCTGTGCTTTATCTTTAGATGCATTTCATATTCAGCAAAAAATCTACTCAGGCTATTACCTTTAATGTGCAGGAATCAGCAAATTCTGAATACCTGAGCTCCAAAAAGTCTTAAAACAAATTAACTGAAACTTGGAGCTTTTGAACTGAATTACATATATGTATAATATCTTAAAGGTTCATGCATAATCTTTTTATTCTGAAATAAAACAGTTGCAGGGAGAAAGTTATGTTTATGTTCAGTTATTTTAGTGAAATTACAATATACTTTTAGTATGATTCTTCCGCTAATTCACGGAATTCCACGAATCTCAAGACCCGGTTGATTCGCAGTCTTCAGTGAACCAATAATTTATATTCCAGCAAAATGTTATCTAAGTTCTGTTAATCTAAAACTTAAATAATTGCCTTAATTAAGCAAAATCCCGTTAACGAAACCTTTATTTCGCTCTTAACAACACTCTAATTTTTCTTCCCAAGTTCTCATTCACGTGCAATAACGAGCTTTTTTTCTATCTATATTTGTTAGAGAAAAACTAAATTTTAGGTAAACTTTGAGAACACGAAACTGTAAAAAAACCTAATAACTTTGGTTAGAATTAATGAACAATTGAAGCAAACACAAGTATAAAATTGATAATCTAAAAAGTAACTCCAAATGGTAAATATTTAAAAGATTTTTCGTTAGAAAAGATAATATTTTCCTTTTTTTTTTTTTTTAAACTTATAGTTTAACGAGTAGCAGTTATGTTGAAAATTCCGATTTGTAACAGAATTATTTAATCGATTATATGTTTGCCCTCTTTTTTATTTGGCTGCAATTAAATCTTATTCATTTTTAATGTGTTATTATGGTATGAAATTTCCAATCACTTATTTCAGTATTCACTTTTCAATGTGCTCGCTACTATCAAAATTCGTGTTTCGATCGTTTTTTCTTTTGCAGTTAGTGTAATTCATTTTCTCATAATTTTTAAAATTCCTGTATTATTACAACAAGTTTGAACCACGCAATTGAGTAATCAGATAAAAATATTTTTTTTTTCCAATGATTATCTTTTTAAATTAGTATTGCTTAATTAAGTTTTGAAATCTTATTGGTTCGTATCTTTCTCATAATTAGTTTTTAATCAATGCTAATATATTGGGTTTCAATTGTTTACTGCATTTTTGTTATAAAAAATGTTCCTACATTCAATTATGCACAGATTATTCATATACAGTTCAGAACCTCTTATCTGGAAATCGGAAAACCAGATAACCGGAATGAAATTCGGAACCAGAAATTAATTTTCTTCCATTAAAAAAAATTTTTTTTTCTTGCAAGATTTTGAGCCCATTTTGTTATTTAGAGCGTACGGCGTATCGAGTTGACGAAAGAACTGATTTAGAGGACGGATCAAAAGCCGTTTGTAGACGAATCTCACATAAGCACAAATAGCTTATATATGTTATTAATGTTAATAATAACATTAATAGCATATATAAGCCTGTATATAATTTTTATTTCATAATTTCTTTCCATATTTAAACTTAAGTGTATTATTATTTATCATTTTTTATTATTTCTAAAACTAAATTATTTTTTAGTTTCGTTTTATAGACATTAAAAAAACGGCATTTTGTAGCGATTCAGAAAATCGGAAAAATCAGTTATCCGGAATCGCGATGGTCCCGATCGTTCCGGATAATCAGTTCTCTACTGTATTTGTTTTCAACAACTTCGAACTAATAATTTATTCAATTATTTTTTTAAATATTGTCCAGTAAATTCTTTTATTCTTATTTTCCCTTTTCTGTCACATTAATAGTTCTGGCAACTTATTATTTCTAATCAGAGTTGACATTATTTAAATCATATGATTTTTTTAAAATCTTATTTTCTCTTAGAAACAAACAGGACGAAGACCACCAGATGCAAATGAGATTAGATTAAACAAAGAATAAATTAACAGAATATTAAATCCAAATATAAGACTTTGTAATAGTTTGCTGCATTGATAATTTAAATGTGCATGTTCATTTAGTGTCGCACCATATATGGCTAAAGAATTATGTTTTCCATTTTTATCCCAAGTTAATTATTTTAAAATAATTCATTATTCTTGCAGTTATTGGTTAAGTTTGACTGCAACTTAATCCTTTCTAAAATATAGTGTTTTATAGCATTTTATTTAAAAGTTTACTAGGGTTGATTAATTGGGATGCTTTTATATTTTGAACAGGAAGACCACCAGATGCAAATGAGATTAGATTAAACAAAGAATAAATTAACAGAATATTAAATCCAAATATAAGACTTTGTAATAGTTTGCTGCATTGATAATTTAAATGTGCATGTTCATTTAGTGTCGCACCATATATGGCTAAAGAATTATGTTTTCCATTTTTATCCCAAGTTAATTATTTTAAAATAATTCATTATTCTTGCAGTTATTGGTTAAGTTTGACTGCAACTTAATCCTTTCTAAAATATAGTGTTTTATAGCATTTTATTTAAAAGTTTACTAGGGTTGATTAATTGGGATGCTTTTATATTTTGAACAGGAAGACCACCAGATGCAAATGAGATTAGATTAAACAAAGAATAAATTAACAGAATATTAAATCCAAATATAAGACTTTGTAATAGTTTGCTGCATTGATAATTTAAATGTGCATGTTCATTTAGTGTCGCACCATATATGGCTAAAGAATTATGTTTTCCATTTTTATCCCAAGTTAATTATTTTAAAATAATTCATTATTCTTGCAGTTATTGGTTAAGTTTGACTGCAACTTAATCCTTTCTAAAATATAGTGTTTTATAGCATTTTATTTAAAAGTTTACTAGGGTTGATTAATTGGGATGCTTTTATATTTTGAACAGGAAGAANAAAAAAAAAACTAAAAAAAAAAAAAAAAAGAAAGAAAAAAAAAATCCTAATAATTTTGGTCAGAATTAATGAACTATTGAGGCAAACACAAGTATAAAATTGATAATCTAAAGAGTAATTCCAAAATGGTAAATATCTAAAAGATTCTTCGTTAGAAAAGATAATATGTTCTCCTTTTTTTGTTTTAACTTATAGTTTAATGAGTAGCAATTTTGTTGAAAATTCTGATTTGTAACAGAATTATTTAATTAATAATATATTTGTCCTTTTTTTTATTTGGCTACAATTAGATCTTATTCATTTTTAATATGTTATTATGGTATGAAATTTCCAATCTCTTATTTCAGTTGTCACTTTTAATGTGCTCGCTACTATCAAAATTTGTGTTTTGATCTTTTCTTCTTTTGCTGTTAATGTAATTGATTTTCTCTTGATTTTTAAAATTCCTGTATTATTACAACAAGTTTGAATCATGCAATTGAGTAATCACTTTCTAATAATTAAGTTTTGAAATCTTATTGGTGCTTATCTTTCCCATAATTAGTTTTAAATCAATGATAATATATTGGGTTTTAATTGTTTACTGCGTTTTTGTTATAAAAAATGTTCCTACATTCAATTATACACAGATTATTCATATATTTGTTTTCAACAACTTCGAACTAATAATTTATTTATTTATTTTTTTAAATATTGTCCAGTAAATTCTTTTAGTCTTATTTTCCCTTTTCCGTCACATTAATAGTTCTGGCAATTTATTATTTCTAATCAGAGTTGACATTATTTAAATCATATGATTTTTTTCAAAATCTTACTTTCGCTTAGAAACAAACAGGACGAAGACCACCAGATACAAATGAGATTAGATTAAACAAAGAATAAATTAACAGAATATCAAATCCAAAAATAAAACTTTGTAATAGTTTGCTGCATTGATAATTTAAATGTGCATGTTCATTTATTGTCGCACCATATATGGCTAAAGAATTATATTTTCCATTTTTATCCCAAAAGTAATTATTTTAAAATAATTCATTATTCTTGCAGTTATCAGTTAAGTTTGACTGCAACTTAAATAAATTACTTTCTAAATAATAACTCTTACTAAATAATAATTCTTACTAATAACTTTCTAAAATATAGTGTTGTTTAGCATTTAATTTATTTTATTTAAAAATTTACAAGGGTTGATAAATTGGGGTGCTTTTATATTTTGAACAGGAGGAAACTGGTCTTGAACTTGGCAGTTTATTAAGATGTAATTATCAGTCTGTGCACTATGAATTACTTCTTCATCTTGGTACTCACTATCAACAAGTTTTCAAAGGCTTAGCAATTTTGGCATTAAAAAGTGGAAGTGTAGAAAATTCAGGATCTTTGATTACTCATGCTGAAGAAATGGTAATATTTCATTATTATTTTCCCTTTTCTCTAATCATAAGTTATAATCATGTATATTATGTCAAAGTTCTTCGTAAGAATGAAAAAGGGCAGGATGCTTCCTCGACCAAAGTGCAGTTTGAGTTTTGAAAGGACACTCAATTAGCACCGTTAAAATTTATCAAAATGTGTAATATTATGTAATAGCTGAGTTTGATCCTCAATTTTTAAATTACCCTAAACAAAACAACAAAAAAAAAGGATTAATTGATAATCATTTTTTTTTTTTTTTTTTGCACTTTAAACTAAAAATTATAAAAAATATTTAAGGGTTTTTATTTTTAAATAAAAGGTATTTATTTTCAAAAAAATAGTGGTAAAATTTAAAATTACTAAAAAATTCATAAGGCCCTGCCATTTAAATAAAAGATGCGTTTATCTCTGGGACCGAATATCATGCGAATTTTAATTATATAACTAGACAACATGAGAATAATCATACTAAAATGAAGGAATGAAATTTTAAATTAAAATTAAATAATTATCAATTACTAAATCTAAAGTGAAAGTAGGTGGTTAGAAAACAACCTTTTCATGCAAAAAAATAAAGTGAAAAGGCTGTGTTCTTAAAAGATGGCAGCTTATTTCTACAAAAAGGGCTAGGAGGATGCATTTATAGGGATCAAAAGCCAGGCCACCCTTCTAGAAATGTTTAGGGAGAATATTGTTATTTATTTATTTATGTTAGGGGTTGTTTGTAATAGTTAATGCATAACAAGGAACTAACAAAGCAGAAAAATGCTTGTTAAATCTGGTCGCTCGCTAAATCTAAATTCAAGGTTAGTTCAGAAAATAAAAATTAAAACATCTTACATAAATCACTTCATTTTACAAATTGAAATTGCTTGTTGCAATTTTTTTTCATCATTATCTAAGTTTATAATTAATTTCAACTTCTTCTTTTATGACTAAAACTTTTTTTTTTAAAGTTCTAAAGAGCTGAACAAGAAATATGCTTTCAAGAAATGGTAAGGATCAGGAATGAGATTTCTTACACATGACTCTAAAACCTAAAATGCCTTTTCCACTATTTACCCCCGACATTATTTAAACCCCTTCATTCTTATCTTCTGGAAACACGACAATCAGCTGCTTTCCAGTCTGGCTCATATTTCCCTTTTCTCTAATGTTTGTACCTATTGTTGATAACTTTGTAAAATGATTTAACTATTTATAAATCATACCAAAACATATTTGACAATAATTATGTTCCAAAATTCCTTTAATGATTTTAAGCAATTGGTATTGTACTGTGCAATTTTTTTTTCTGATACTAGTCCACGCTTTTTAAATTATTTCCCTTGTTAAATAGAATAAAAAGCAAAAAAAAATCGATAAACAAGTTCATTTTAAAACATTTGTAACATTGTATCAAACATTCAATTTTACTCTTTAAATCTGGAATCTCGTTAAATGCAAGCTCGCTTTAAGTAAGATCTTATTATCTGTATTATTTTTTATTTATTTTTTTTGTGAAAGAAGGAAAGAAAAAAAATTTCTTAGAATGGTTATTTAAATTTTTAATCATTAAAATTCAGTAATTTTTTTCCTTCTTTTAGATAAAGTTTTTAATGATAGAAGCCATGCAAATTTTCAGAATTTTTATTTTTCTATTTTGTTTCCTTGTACTTTGTCTATAAGCTTAAGATCAGCAATATAGTTATATTTATATAGTTATAATGATTACAGTAGATAGTTAAGATTGATAGACCAACTTGATTTCAGAAATTTGAATTTTGCATGTTGTAGTAATGCATTAGAAGTATCAGAATTTGAAGAACCATGTGTGGAGACAACAATAGACAGACCATGTCAATTAATGAGAAAATTTTCGCCATTGGACAAAAGTATTTGGCGATGGTATGGTTTTTTACCAAAGCTGAATTTATGAAAAGGTACTGCTAAAAGGTGTAAATCTACCCTAGTTAGACCCCTGCAAATAAATGTTTAATGGTGTTAGATTTTTACTTTGAAAGTATTGACATTAAAATACAGTGATAACAATCAACATTACTTGCTTTTATTTCCCCTGATATTTATATTTCCTTAATTATGAGTATGATGAAGTAAAACTGTTTTACATTAATTATTTTTATTTGTATTCAAAATTGTTTTCAGGCTAACTATCTACAGCCTAAACTTCTTGGATTTTTGGTATTTTTTGATGCTCATATGCTAAAAAGCTCAATTCTAAACAAAAAATTGGTAAGTTTTCATGTGTCTTCTTATAACCTTTGATGCTTTATAAAAGATTTGTACAATTATTTAAATATTTAAGTTATGTAGTTATTATTTCTTTTTGTACAAATGTAAATAAGCATCTAGCCATTTTTTATTAATGAAAATTTATTCAAACATAATCATCAACAGAATAAGAGTTGATGTTTAAAAGGCTCAATAATTTCTTTCACAGTTTGTAAGCTTATGGATAATAAAAGTTTCTAAACATTATTAAAACTAATCGAAAGATTTTTTAGATAATATAATTTTAATCCACTGCTTTCAGAACTGTAATTTAAAATGCTGTGTACATTGCGACAAAAAAAAAAAAATTAACCAAATTAGATTCAATAGAAATAAATTCATAAATAATTTTCCTTTTTTATAAACATGCAAATATGTAAATATGGGTATTATTGAAATACATACAAAAAATTTATTCAAAGTAAAATGCAAAATAAAATCTAACTCATATTCAGAAAGTTTTTATAACTTGAGTAAAATCTAATCTCATTTAAAACATATTTTAAAATGAAAAATGGAAGATTTTTGATAGCTTTTAATCAAATGATTCAATTTTGATGTAGCAAGATGCATTTTTAATGATTCTAGATGTCGCGTTACAAATGTCAATTATTGGGTTGTATCGAGAGTAATTTATATATTTTTTAATAGAAACTGAAATGATTTTCTTATAGTGAATAAGTATTTTGTTGAATTATATATTGTCTATTCTGACCCAATACCTTTTGTCCTCTTTCTGGAAGTAGCATGATTCCTTGCTCATAAACTTTGTGTTCATTGCTAGTAAAAAAACTGATCCAGGGAATTNTATTCACGTGATTTTGAAATCCAACATCGCGATTCTTAATCTAAGGCCTCTAAAAATTGTGTGAGAAATGAACTTTCTTGTCCTATCAACAGTGATGATCAAAAGTCTGCAAAACGCAGTCTACAGATCAGTCATGTTAATAAAAGACCATCGAAAAAGCAAAGAACTGATGAGAAAATCCATAAAGGTCCTTTGACCATTAAAGAAATGTTTTTTGAAATGATGTGATACATAAAATCGTCCTTATGCATAATTACTCAAAGTTATCTAAATTATTAAAAAAAAATTTTTTTTTAATCAAGATTTTATTTAAGAACATAATTACCATTTATTTATATTTATTTGAATAGATAATAAATAATCATCATCCGATTGGCTATTGAATTCATATCATTTTTTTTTTTGCACGTTTAATGCTACAGTTATAAACTTCCTCTTTTTTGTGTTTTTGTCAATCACATCCCTGAATACATTTAAAACATATTTTAAAATGAAAAATGAAACATTTTTGATAACTTTTAATCTAATGATACAATTTTGATGTAGCAAGATGCATTCTTAATTATTCTAGATATCGCGTTACAAATGTCAATTATTGGGTTGTATCGAGAGTAATTAAGTTTTTTTTTGTATAGAAAATGAGATGATTTTCTTATAGTGAATAAATATTTTATTGAATTATATATTTTCTATTCTGAACCAATACCTTTTATTCTTTTTCTGGAAGTAGCATAATTCCTTGCTCATAAACTGTTTTCATTACTGGTAAAAAAAACTGATCCTGGGAATTCTTAACCTCACTTAATGTAATGTGATTAATATGTAATGGTTTTACTGTCAAGTTACATGTAATGGTTTTACTGTCTAAGTGGATCCTCTTCTTAACGTTTGAGTTACAAATCGCAGACATGTTGGCACAAGTGGCTCCCGATGGCACAAATTTCTCTCCGTAAGGACTTGAAGAACCCATATCTTAAGCTTTGAGATTAAACTTTGACGTTTCAAATGATCATGCATAGTCCAGTTCAACAAATTTAATCTTTCAGCGACCTCACAAATTGTTATTTATCAGTTTGCATCAATTATTGCCTTTATTTTGTCTACATCAGCTTTAACTGGCCCTCCAGAGCGTGATACATCTTCAACATTAAAATTGTCTGATCAAGATTTTGCAAACCAGTTATTGCACTGAGGTTATATCAATACATCTTCTCCATACGAATCAGATAATTTTTATTGCTTTAACAACATATTTCAAAGGGAATCAGAAACTACATCTTAATATCAATCAAACTTTTTCACAAGCAAACTTTACTATGTCAACTATAAAAATACGTAATGATTATTGGACATAAGTGTTAAGTTGGCTGTGAAAAAATACAATTAAATCTTCTGTTGGGGTAAAAATAAAATTACTTTCCAAACAATCTAATAATTTGCATATGTGATAATTTAAGTGTCAAAATCAGACTTGAAAAAACTTGAAAATTCATTTTCTCTGAATAAGCAAATATTTTGTTTTCGATAGATTCATATTTTTAAACCACAAATCTTGAATAGTTTATGTAAGCTACAATCTGGAATTGTTTAGTCAAGAGAGTGGTCAAACATTTGGCACCCTTGATGTTGTTCTGAAATCCAATATTGCGATTCATATTCACACGATTTTGAACCATTCTTGTAAGAACAAAGTTTTTTTTTTAAATTTAATACTATAAAGATGAGATATTCTTTATTGGTAGGTAATTTAATTATAAATCTCAGTTCAAAAAATTATGTTGAATGTGAAATATTCATGGTATAAAAATATCTTGTGTTACAATTAATTACCCATGAATTCAAGCAAATCAAAAAAATTTTTTTATTCTTCATGAAAAAAGAAAAAAATCATAATTTTCATTAGATTTCTTTTGGAATTTAATAATGATTAAATGAACCTTTTTATTAAACATTTAAGTTTTGATTTTCCATTTTATTGTTTATTTTCGATGTAATTGCATATTTTTATATAATTTTGTGTTTTATTCTGCTTTTGAACTTTTGATCTTAATTTAACCGTTTCGCACAATGTGTCTTACTTCTACCTTGTACCCTCAAGCCACATTCCATTCTATTCAACTCTAGGCCCTTGAAAGTTTGGTTTCTATAATGCAATTGATGGGTACTCGTGCAATTACAGCTGTTCGCTTTAAGCTGATGGCCACTCTTCGTCTGACTTTACGATTTAAAAAAGATGACTTTCCCAAAATTTGCTGCAAAGCTTGGAATACATTTGTTCGCAGGTAAATAAGCCTTTGAATGTTTATTTTTCTCTATGCATGATTTTTTGTGACTTTTTTTTTAAAAAAATGGAAAACCATTTCTCTTGATAATATTTTTAAAAAACAAATAATAGCCATCAAAGAGAAAAAAGAAGAAAAAAATTAACATATTATTTTGTTAATAAAATCCAGAGTTTTTATTCATTAATTTAATTATGAATAAATGTCTTGAAAGATAGGGTTATTATCAATATACTAACTTTATTGATGAGAGAATTGTAATTTGCAGGTAATAATTTGCCATATTCATTATGAAGTTCTATTTTAATCAAACTGAAAAGTTTTTGACTAAATTTTTTAAAAAAATGTGATATTTAACTATTTATTTAGTTCAAAATATTACTGATTCATGTTACAAAATATTATTTTATCATGCTAGTTTTAGAGTAAAATTTTTATCAGTCATGACTCTTTAAAAATTGTTTATCAATGTATAGTTTAGGTTTTGTCTTTAAATAGCTAAAAACTTTTTTTTTTTAATGAAACTGCAGAAGGTTACTCTATTTTTCGATTCTTTTAGTATTGAAGTGTCATGTTTGGGACCTCTTATAAATCAGATTATTGTGGCTTTATTACCTTTGTTGGAACTTGAAAGTTCATCAGTTGCAGAAATATTTCATTATCTTATAATAGAAAAAAGGTATACTAATTTTTTGAATTTATAAACTCTCTTTTCACATTACTATTTAATTTTGCTTTAAAACCAATAGTCTTTTGAAGATTATAAATTCTAATAATACATTTATATGAAATCTGTGACTTGAATGTAAAATACAAAACTAAATCTGTTAATTTACATTTTTTATCTTCTGTATTAACATACTGCACACACACATTAGCTTAATCTATAAAAAATGAATTTAAAAGTTTTTAAGAAAATCCAATTTTATTTTAAGTTTGCTTCAATGCTGGGCATCTTTAATTTTCATGATTATAATCATACTTTTTTTTCATCATCTACTTTTTCAGTTTAAAATATTATAGTCTCCAATTATACAATTTTTAAAATTTTCATATTTATTAATATATACAATTTAATTTGCAAGGAATTTTAAAAACTCTATATAGTTACCTGGAATGCAAATAAACCATAAAATATTTAAAATGATATAAATAAATCATCAGTTATACACATAAGCAATAATACAAATACATATATTTTCTATAAATAATGAAATTGGTTTAAAGAAAATGCGTACATTAATTGATAAAATAACTCTACATTGTTTTTTAAATCTACCTGGGAATGTTTGTTTCTCTTATTCGCTTTCTTTATTTTTCATTATTTTTTTCCATTTTAAAGATAAAAACTTTAGAAAGAATACAATTAGAAAGGCTAATATAATAGTTTTATTGCAACAATTATGTATGCTTCCCCTGAAACTAATATTGCAAAAATGCATTTTATTAACTTTGTGTTGTATTTTATTGTTTGTAATTTGCATACATTTTTTTTTTTATGATTCATTCTTTATAACATACCTCACAAATGCAGGTTGTTACCAGTTTTCTTTATTTTTTGTTTCTAAATTCTAAAATTTACATTAAAAAAAGTGGTGTAAATAGCTTTTTAAAATTACTTAAGAAAAATTATTTTTATTTTTAACTTGTCATTACTATGAATAAAAAATTTTATCTTTAATTTTATTAGCTAGCATTTTATTAACTTCATGTTTTATTTTATTGTCTTTAATTTTTGATGGTTCATTCTTTATGACGTACTTCCCAAATGCAAGTTGTTACTGGTTTTCTTTATTTTTTCTTTTGTAATTTCTAAAATTTACCTAAAAAAAGTGGTGTAAATAGCCCTTTAAGATTACTAAGAAAAATTATTTTTGTTTTTAGCTAGCATTAAAATAAATAAATAAAAATGTATCTTTAAATTTCTTGAAATTGAGCTAGTGTAAACTAATTTCCATTTTTATCACGCATAAGTCTTTCTTAATAATCTACATCCTATTTTATTTTTGTGCTTCCCTTATAATATTTAGTCCTTTTGAATAAAAACCTTTTTAGTTACAGTAAAAGTATTCTTTCCTTATAGTTTCACCAAAATATTCTATTTAAATTATAAGGTTATGATTATAAAATAAAATATAATATTTTAGTAATGAGTCTTACTGAACTTAATTTTTATTATTTATTTTAGAGCCTATCTCAGTGAGTTTTATCATGATTTATATTTTGTTCCTGATACTCCTGAATTACAGGACATCAATTTAGTATTGAAAGATTATACTTCAAGTCCATCTAGGTCTGATTTCTAACTTTATTTAATACCTTTTCTTTTGAACTAATGATACTTGTTATGAAAATTAATGATATAACCTTTTTGAATTTTTAGTGTTTTTTCCTGTAAGCTTGTATAATTTTTATGCGTACATAATTTACGTAACTTTTATGCTATTAATATAAATTAAGATTATTTTTTTTAATTCTGAAAGGAAATTTTCTTATAGATTTATAAAAATTAAAAGGTTAATAATGCATGATAAAAATATTTGACAGAAATGACATCTTAAGTTAAAATTATACAGTTTCAGTACTTCTATTATTTTTGATACATTTGCTATGCTTAATTTAATTCTTATAGTTAATTTTACTGTTTTTTTTCGACTATTAAAAATGTATATGCTGATGTAGAGAATACGTATATGCTGAGTATTCATATTTTTATTTACAGCATGACTGACTTTTGTTCTTTGTTAAGTCATTCCTTAAAGGGGATTAGTCATGAAAACTTAGAGATTAGATTACATGCTCTTGAAAAGCTGAAACAGGTTCTGCATGCTAATCAGGTAATGCTGCTATTAAGCATATTTTTATTCATATTTGTTCATTTTGCTGCTCTATAAATTAATTTTATGTTTAAAGTTTTATGTTAATTTATATAATAATGTGATTATTATTTAATATATCATTACTTTACATTTCGTTTGCAGACTATAAATGAATATTCAAGTTCTTTTTGTGAATATGCTTATTAAAAAGTTCAATAAATTAATTGTATTAAAGCTAGTAAAATAATAGAGAAGAAAATTCCCCCCCCTTCAAACTTTAAAAAATACTCAAATCCAGATAATTTCTGAGAATTTTTCATCAATTTGAATGCATACATCTCTAAATATTAATAAATGTAATTAGAAATGAATGAATGTAAAATTTGTGATATGGCATTTAAAAAATTGGCATTTTTGTTCTGTTAAAACTCAGAAAATCACCTTAAATGTTGTTATTATGTCATGTTTTATTGAAATTGAAAAATATTATGAGTGATATATAATGAGCTTAAGAGTAATTGAATCTGACAGTATGTACAGAGTAAAAAAATTTTTTTTTCAAATCCAAAACTGATTCTTTTAATATTTTTCCTAAGTTAAATTTTTGAAAAAATTTAAGTATTGAATATTTTAAATTTATTATATATTTTTTTAATTTAAAATTATGATATATTCTATTAATTGATTTTTTTTTTGTATTTAATTGTTAATTTTTTAAAAATAGTTGTTCATTTTTTGTTGTTTGGGAATTTTAATTTAATTTTTAATATGCTTCATAGTGAACTTTGTGATCAGTGCCCAAAATATTGTGTCGCGTGCCATCAATGACACAAGTGCCATTTGTTCTCCATCCCTGCCATATACCTTTTAAAGTACAAATTCAGTTACGTCATTATCATACTTCACAAAATTAATTACTTTGATTTCACTTGTGATTTTCTTTCACATGGACTAAGGAGAAATAATATAATTATAAGAACATGCGGTAAAAATGATTTTTATTTTATTAGAGCAGCAAGCTAGATATTTGCTCATATTATGAAATCTTTCTTAAATACTATAGAAAACTCCATTAGAATGTAGCTCATGACTGGTTGTCGGAAGAAGTTTTAAAGTAGACAGTCAGGTCTAGTGTATTTTTGAATGTATGTACACCAAATTTGGTGTGGATTCGTTTAGAATTACCGAGCTGTATACAGTACATGCATACAAACATTCTGCTTTATTTATATAGATTTTGTCTTAACTTCTTAATGCATTGTCAAAAGTTTTTAGTTTGTTTTTCTTTTACTAATTATCAATATACTAAATTTTTGAAGTTATCTATTTTAAACAATTTTGTTGCTTTTAATGTTACTATTCACTAATTTTCTTCAAACCAGATATGTTTTTGTTAATTTTGTTCTACACATTGGCATTTATTCTTATTTAGACTTCTATCCATGAGCATTTGCATGGTAGGGAAAATGTTGATAATCTACTATCAAATCTTGTTGCTGCTGTAAGTACTGTTCATCTCATTGTTTATCTTTAGCTACAGTTCTTTGTTCCTTTTTATGTGAATTAACTTTTCCTTATCCTGTAGCTAATATCTGGATGTCGAGAACCAGATAGTAGGATACAAATAGCTTTAGGAGAATGTTTAGGTGAACTTGGTGCTATTGATCCAGGAAGGTAATTTTTTCCTATTTTTCACTATCGTTTATTTTTTAATCGTAAATGCAATAAATGTTCAAGCAATGTTTTTTTTGTGTATTATTATCCGATTATTTAGTATAATTGTTTTTCTTTTTTTAAAAAAAAAAATAAATCAAATAAATGAATGTTTATTTAAAAAAAAGACGAAAATAAATTATACTCATTTTAAAACAGTTCATTATTTAAACCTTTTATATTTTTGAACCTTAAGTTTTCATTAATGCTTACATTTTATTTGCCAATTCTTGTTGAAAATAAACTTAAGTTTTATATTTGTATTGATTGTGTGATTTATGATTAATTTATGTGTTGCATGTGGACTACTAAGAAAACTAAATATTTTTAAATTTAACGTGTAAAAAAATTTAAATTTACCTAAATTTTCTTATCGTTAATTTATTTTTCTACTGAGAAATCTGAATGTGACAGCAACAAAATCGAATAAACGTTTTAGTAAAATTTCAGATATCAAAATTCTTCTAAAAATCTTATTTTAATTCTAAATATGTATTATCATATATTTACACCAAATAAAATAGTTACAGGTCTTAACATTTGTGATTTTTAAAAAAAATGCAATGGGGAATATATTTTTTATAGATTAGACATGAAAAGTGCTAGCTCAACAGAGACATCGGACAAATTTTTCAGTAGCATTGACGATGAGGATTTTGCATATGCTTTGATTCAAGAATTAGTGCATTCGTTTTTGGCTGCTGAAGATAGTGGTGTTCAAGTAAGTTTTTTTATTCTTAGATCAAAATATTATCTATTACATTTTCTTACACTATTGCCTTGTGTAATTTTCCTCTCTTTTCTACATCTTAATATTTTTTTGAAACTTTTATCTAGGATTGTTCAGCATTTGCTATTCAAGAAGTTTTGAGATATTACAAATGCTCTAATGAAAGTGGCTCAAGTGGAAGCCATTTATGGAAACGATTTCCTTCTGATATACAAGAAATATTAGTTGTTTTGTTTCATTCTCAGTAAGCCTTATGCTCTTACTATTTGCTTGTAGTTTTTCTAGAATTACATTGTGCCATTTTTTTATTAGTGTTTGTTTATTTTGTAATTGTTTATTAACTCATTTTTTGTTCTTGTTTTTGAACTGTGATGTTATGTTTAAACTTTAAATATAGTTCAAGATATTTTTTGGTGCAGTAAAATAAGTTGAAGAATTAGTAAAAATAATGATTATCCATGCAAAGTTGCTTAAGACACATTCTCAAAACCACTTTATGCAATGGTATATAATTATTCTATTGAGCTTCATAATAAGTTGCTGTTTTCATATATTTATGACTAAACTTGAGACTACTCTCACTCCACTCCTAATGAGCTTTTCATCAAATGATTATAGGTTATTAGAAAGTTATTAGTTTTAATACAGTAATCCTTAAGAAACTAACCCATACTTGCTTTAAAATAAGAGGAAAAACACATCACTATTGCTCAATGTCATGGAAATTAAAACTCACTATCACCTACTTCTTCCAAGATATATTATGTAGGAACTGTAGTCCATGCAAGGGTAATAGTATATCCACTAGTCATTGATGGGATTCAAATCTTAAGTCTCCTCTGAAAAGCAAGTTCTCTATTCTTCAAGCCATCCCAGCTGTAACACTGTCATTTATGAATTTTTCTCCTTGCCTTTTTTTTTATTATTATTAGTATTGATTTCCCAAATGTTTTTTAAGCAAGAAAATAATTTTTTGATTTTAAATTAAAGATTTTATTCGAATTTTTTAAATTAGAAACATAAAAAAGGTACAACTTAATGAAAAGAGTTTTAAATTAAAATATTTGTTCAAAATAATATTGATGTTTTAATTGGAAAATTCCCTAATCTCTAATTAATATATACCTAATAGAATTTTCAACAAATTGGATAGTTTTAATAATTTTTTGAGCAGTTGAATTACATATATTTTCTTTTATTTAAAAAAAATGCCCTCTATCTGTAAATATATTTATTGAACATGCATAAAATGATAAAACATAGAACAGTTACAAAACTATGCACCAAAACTGAACTTACACATATAAGGGCATTGAAATTTGAATAACAGCACAGACTTAACTATGGGGAACTTGACTGCTGAGGAATATTTCTTGATGCTACCAGCAGGGTTCTCGGTTGTCCTAATTTTCCTAAAGAAAAATTTTTTTTATCCTGATTTTTCAGATTTTTTTATTTGTTCAGAACTTATACAGGAGGGAGGATTGTAAATTAATTGATTTGAAGAATCAAGATAATTGGTTTGGTAATCCATTGTTTTATTTTAGTTAATTATTAATGGTTGTAAAAATTGCAATATTTGATTGTTTAATCTTAAGGGCCATCTACTCTTTGTGTGCACGGTTTAGGCATGCATATATGATTCATTATTCAATGCTTCAATTTCATTTTGTAACTCAATCATTTAACGTAAAAGAAACTCAATTAACCATTTTAATGGTGATGAGTTTAGGAGTTGTATGCTTCTTGATTATTTTTAGCAAACGCAATAACAAATCATATAGGGAAGAGTTATATAGTTTCATAATAGATTAATTTCTTTAATCTTTTTTCAAAAATTAATGGATTTCTAATAAAAATATTATAATCATGCTGTAGAATTTTTAAATGGTTAATTGATGAATCATCAACAAAATTACTGAAGTACAAAATTATTAAGAGTCATATAAATTACGTTTTGAGATTATTGAAATCAAGCTTTACAATTATTTGATTATTCTTGTTTTTTTCACTTGATTACAAATTCTAATTAGTATAGTATAAGGAAATATAAATAAATTGATACTTTTTTTTATGCAACTACCCTATAAAAATTTTCTATGTATTGATCTCAAACTATTATGTGTTACTTAATGCTCCATTAATAAAATTAAACTGGCAATTGTTAAAACTTTCTATTTTAAACAATGTAATTCTAAAATTAACCATAATGTCTATATTATTATTCTTTTATGCTAAAGTTTACCTTTATTATACTTAAGCAAATTATTATTATTTTTTTTTAATTTTTTTTTCTTTTAAGTAGTTGGGTATGTATACTGTTCCAAAAAATTTTCCACTTGCTTTCACAAATTTTCTTTAGCTCACTACAAAGCTTGCTACTAGATGACCTATGATAAAATACTTTTGCTATAATTTTTATTTTAATACTTTTGAAATTCTTTACATTATTAGATTTTTTACAATTTATTATAGATTTAAAAAAAACCTTTGAAATAAACTGTTAAGGAAGTAATTTTTGACTCTTATAATTCTATAAAAATTATATATTTAATTGATGTACTTTTTACTTGTTAGGTATAAACCTTTGGAAAAATCTCGGAAAAAGTATCCAGCACCAATATTCAGAAGCAAAGTGGGCCACACTTTCAAGGAGTGGAGCAAAAATTGGTTTTATTGTTTATTACAAAAAGTGCGTTTTTACTATCATTTGAGTTTTCTAATTCTAAGCTGTTTTTTTTTCTTTCTTCTTTCCATATTTTAAGAACCATTTTATTCTTAGGTGAAAAAGGAAGGTCCGTCAAGATTATTTCATGCTTGTTCTATTATTGTAAAATATGATCTTAATTGCACCTTGTTTTTGTTGCCACACTTAGTTGTTTATGCTTTACTAGATTCAACTGAAATGGAAAGAAACGAAGTAATTATTACAATATTCATTTTTTAATTTGTTTTATAACTTCTGTGTATGTGACTTAATGCATGTATACACAACATATAATAATTTTACTATTTATGATCAAGTTGATGTATTTTATAATTCGTGATAAAATTACGCACCTTTTTCACATACATTTCTAATAAGTCTATATATGTATTCTCCATTCTTATTTCTTTAAAGGGATATTTTACCCTTTTAGTTTAAGTTAAAAGCTTTTTTAATTATTATTTTTTAATTTTTTTAGCATAATTTTAAATATTACTCCACTGCTTCTACTAAACATGATCTGTACTTCAATAGATAAGCGTGCTATTCTTTATACATGTGACAAGTTTATTCCATGGTACAAAATTTCTTTAGTTTTGCTGATCATTTAGTAATCACCAACTTTTTCAAGTACAGCTAAATCAGAAACATTTCTCTCTGTTTACTCCAAATCAACTGCCACAATTGAAATTCAAATATGCTTGATGAAAACATGTTAGAAGCTATCTTGCTTTGAAAAAAAATTTCTTTAAACAGATTTTAAAAATAAAAGAAGCCAAATGCAAGAACTATGGTCTACGCACCAAGAGTGGTCACTGAAATTTATAAATTGGGCACCTGAATAACCTTTAAAGCATTAATTAAAAAAAATGTAAAAAGAGCTTTTATTTTTTTTTTAAAAAAAGTAGTTACACAAAAATCTTTATTCATGTTTAGTAAATAATACTGCAGTGTTATAAAGTTAATTTAATTTTTGAAATGTTTATCCTGATATTTTTTCTACTTTTTGTCTTAGTTAAACCCTGTACTTGATTGTAACCATTTCGTTTTGCAAGTTTAGTTCTAATTAATGGAAATAAAATTTGAACAATTAAAATTACAGTATACATTAAATGAGTAAAATTGTATAATAGTTATTCCAAAAACAGGCAACTGAAATTTAAGATAATTAATAAAAAAAATATAACTTGAAAAATCTAAGTACCCTGTATAATACTAGAAATAACATGTTCGGGGTCAACATGTATTACAATACATGTTGGCCCCCAACATGTTATTTCTAATTTTGTGCCCCACTTTTAAAAACTATTTGTTCATTTCTGATAGAAGGTTCACTTTTTATAAAACTTTAATTTCCAATATGATCTTTATTGCTTCAATATGGAACAATTGTTCCCCAAAAATTTTAGGTCTTTTATTTAATGTAAGTTTCTAATTTGTTCTTTTAAATCATGCTGTGATAGTATTTAGTTGCGAAAATATTTACTGGAACTCAACCACGGGATAAAGCCAGGAAATCCTCCTTTCAATTTAAACAGATGAATTTTTTAATAAATTTCAATTTCAAGACATATTTCAATGTTATTCATATAAAAATCATTTATTGTTAATTATGAGAATACTATTATAGATACGCGATGAAATCATAGCCATTCTGCAGTATAGTGAAACATCAGCATCCATGAATGACCTTTGCCGTTTGAGTTCACAGATAGTTTTTTCCATTGTTGATCACTTGACAAAATGGCTTTATATTTATCAACATGAGCATATAAAATCATCAGGCCGCTCAGGTGTTAGGATAACTGGTATGTATACTTCTATTTGTCTACTTAAAATGTTTTTGTTTAATTTAATAGTTATTATTATTTTTTTTAGCAATAAAAATGTCTGAAGATAAAAATTACTCTGCTGTAAATGGTTGTTTGGTGCAGATCTCCCAGATTCTTCTTGCCAAGTCAGCATTTTCTTGCCAAGCCTATGCTCGGGCTTTAATGCATTTAGAAAAGCACCTGAAGAAATATCCAGATCAACTTGAAAATAACATTAGTTTTAAACAGGTTAGTATTTTGAGTTATATTTTCAAATCATTCATCTAATTTCATTTAGTTAGTCATATATTCAAAAAATTATATCTTAAATACTTCAGGAGTTTTTTTTTTTAAATTATAATTAAAAACAATAATCCCTATAAAAGCTGTGTCTGATTTTAATCCTCTATTCTCTACTACTATCAATTACTGAATCTAGCATTAAGAATTAAATTTATTTTTCTCTAACTTGGAAGCTCCTCCCCTTTCTCTTTAATACCTGCAAACAATAAAAATACGAATTTGATAACTCTTATACAAAAAAGTTATTTTAAAAATAAAGAATTCAATTATTTTACAACTAAGTCAAAAATTTAAATAAACAGATGTGTATCGTCAGACATAAGAGTGAATGGCTGTAAAAATTCTTAATTCTACTGCTAGCATTTTTTGCTTAACAAAATTATGCTTAAAAAAAAACTTTTAACTTTATGTAAAGTTACTTAAAAAGACTATTCCTCACATCAATAATTCATTTCAGATTGTTCCTTAAAAGTTTTCCTAAAATTAACAAAACCTAATATTTTTTCATCAAATGAGAGGAAGAGGCATGTTTGGCAAAAATTTTCTTCATATTTATTTCTTATACTAATATTAAAATATGGTTTAAAATTTAGCAAATGTTATTTAAAGCATTACATTTCATAGAAATAAATTATAATGAAATAACCTTTTTGCCTTCCTTTTCTGTCTCCCAGGTAACTTGCTGATTGCCTTAAATTTATTTTCTTTTTACAGATTCTTTGGTTCTCTATTGTATTTTTTTTATTGCAATATTATCAAAATTTTTGCAGTTTATTATGCATTGTTTTAATCATTGTATGAGGAATTTACAATTGTTTTTCTTCTATCTCTAGCAAGTTAATATTTATGTGTTTTTAGACTACTGTAGAATATCATATATTTGATTTAATGTTAGATTTAACATTATTACTTTACTTTTTGACTCATTTCATTAATCCGCTTATTCAAACTGATTTTATAACTTTTCATTAATACCTACACAAAGTTGTTCCAGTAAAAATTGTACTTTCAAATTAATATCAATCATTTCAGTAAAATCAATAACTTTACTAAAACAAAAGGCTTATATTCAATAATAAAGGAATAAATAAATGGTATCTTAATTTTTTTATTCAATTCACAGCCCTTTGGCAGAAAAGTAGTTCAATGTGTTTTCTTCTTCCCATGAATGCAATTGAAAATAAAGAAAGATAGATTAAGAAACCTTGTGAATTTTGAACATCAAAAAATAATTTCTACCTGAATTTGAGATTCAAAATTCCAAGCTTGTAATAATATCATATTAAAATTTAATTTAAGAACCATTTGGATTTTTGATAGAATTCTCACTTGTAAACTGTGTGTAAAAGTACTGTGTGAATACAAAATATTTAATAGATTTGAGAATAAACTAAATTAAAATGTATGACAATTAGAAAAAGTAATTTTTTTTTTCGTAAATTAAATCATATACTCTTTATTTTTTGAAATCCTATTTAACTTTTAGAAGTCTCACTCAAATTTAGAAAAGGGTTGATAAATTTTCAATTATGCCAGTAATACGGAGGAAAAAATATTAAAAATTATAAACAAATAATTCCTTTTTATAAAAAATAATATAGTTCAATAAAAAAATCTTTTTTCCGTTAACAAAATTTCGAACATGTATCACTGAACTATACCTGCATAATAGCCATTAATAATGTTCTAAATACTACTTACACTGTTACATTCCTTAAAATTATATTTAATTTATTTCTAGCCGTAAACCTTCCTGTTTTGTGTATATATTTTTTCTTTAACACTTTTTTTAGAAAATCTACTCTGCTCTGGATGATCCTGATGGTGTTGCAGGTGTTGCTGCAATTAGAAAAGACGAACCACCTTTGCTTGACTTGATTTTAGAAAATGAAGCTACAGGTTTCTAATTTTTTTATTATTATTTAATTATGTATGGGTTTTTTTGTATAATATATCAGAAACTAAATACTGTTGCTTTAATTTTCAGGAGATTTGTATGGTGCATTTGCCTGTTACGAGAAAGCTATAAAATTGTATCCTAATCAAGTTAACTATCACTGTGGCTTCTTAAAGTGCTTTCTTGGAATGGATCAACCAACAACGGCTATTTCATATGCAAATGGTATTCTGAGTGAAAAGTAAATAAAAAGTTGTTACTTCCAAACTTTTTCAACAATCAAATTTAATTAGTTTTAAAAAACTTGTAAAGTATTTAATTTTTTTTTTATTGAGCAAACGGTGCAAAATTGCTTCATAGCTTGTTTTTTTGTGCAAGAAAACAAATATTTAGAAACTTACTCATTATTTTGCATAACTTTTGTACAACAAGGGATTATTTTTTTTTAAAAAAAGGATAACTTTAATATAAAGAGTATTCTTTTTATCTAATTTAAAAACTAGGTTTGAGATTTTACATTTGAAATGTAAAAGTTGAATTGATATTATAAAAAAAAAAAGTAAAACTAATACAAACACTTTTATCATTATATCTTATTTGTCAATATAATGACTTAATGCACTTGTCCAAAATGACCTTTGTCTAGAAATGAATATGTGAGTATTGGTTCGTGTTCATGAATTCTAGATTATTGAGAGATTTTTAAATTGACCTAATATAATGACTGAATCTGTGTTTAATAAATTTGTAGGTGCTAATACCCAGTATATATCTAAGCTAATGCCTTAAATTAATGCACCTATTTTTTCTAATAAATATAATTTAAACCAATATGTAAATTGATAGTTTTTTAAATTGAAATAAATTTAATTTGTTTTCATTTTTCCCTAGGAATGATAAACTATAAACAAACTTATTTATTTTTGCTGTTAGGAAAATTTATTTTTATTAAATGGATTACATTAAAATTATAGAATATAACTCTTTATATCTTCATGATCTACAGGGTGACTGATAAGACTATAGGAGTTAACTTTATCTATGCATATGTATAAGCTTTAATAGGAGTTAACTTAGTGTATGCTACAAACTTAAATAAGTAAACTTTCATGGTACAGAAAACGTAACAATGGCCTATTCTCCAACATTTGAGTTGTATTCAAAACATAAACATATGTTTTTCTGATATTATTTTAAATAAGCCTTTTGAACATAAACAATTCTCTACCTGTACTTCAATATAACTGTTTAAATTATTTATGTCTAGTGATGGAAGAAACTCTTTTAATTTTAATTAATTGAAATATTATTTTGCCTTTGCTAATACTAGAAAAAATATTTTCTGAAATTCCGGTAATTCTGTAGTAGTTAGAGCGTATGAAATTGCATATTTTAGTGCACAAATTTATATTTTAGAACAATGACTTTTCATTTCTTACGACTGTAAAAATATTTTAACCCTTGATAACTAAACACTTGCCTGATAACTAAAGTACTGATATTGCAGGTATTCAATATGAAATGTTACTGTAATACTTCAAGATTTTCTAAGAGTGCAAATTTTACATTTTATTGCTTCTTTATGGTTCAATAAGTGACTAGGTGTATTTACCTTAGGCTGCACTACCATGTTTGTCACAAATAAAAGAAATATAAACGTAAATATGTTTTTAATGAGTAGTCTGTTAGTCTAGGGATTATTTACAGAGTAATACTAATTTAAGTTTATCTAAAGTTAATGTAATAATTCATCTTAGACAATTTATGATCAATTTCAAACAGTTTTAAAATTGATAATTTATTTCAATTATTATTCACTGATCATTTGTTATTCATTGATCATCAGAAATTTTAGTATTTCCATAGTATGAGAATTCTAACCATTTCTGTTTATCTTAATAACTTAATACTAAATTTTCTGTTCTTTTTACTGAAATGCATTATGGACTTAATTTTAATTATAGCAATGTTCTTGCTAGACTTTTCTTTTTATTAATTATTTACATAAAAAGTTTTTAAAAAATCATGAGAGGCTGAAGTATTAAATCCATAGCCAGTCCTAAAGCAAAACAATGTGAATTAAGTTCAAATAAAGGTTCTGAAAAAGATATACTAAAGATATAGGTTCTGAAAAAGATATAGTAGTTTGACTTCCTTAGACTAGAACCTTTATCAGTGTCTAACTGCAAAATGACAGAAGAAAAGTAACGACAAACATGTGCAAAGGGGTAGGCAAAAAAAGACTAAAGCACAAATAATGGTACAAAAATGAACATATAGTTTTGATTTCATAAACAAGAAACTTACTCAGTGTCAGAACACAAAATGTCTCACCCCTTTGTATTGTTTGTGAACAGAAAGAACTCCCCTAGCTATTCGCGTGGAGTGGTGGCAGTGACTATGGTTTCGGAATTTAACTATTAGGGGTACCGGAAAGTAATATTGCGTCGGCGCACTAAATATTAATTAGTCTTAAAAACCGATTCATTTTTTTAGATTCGTTTCCCATCCAGCATTGACACGTAGCTGCTAACGATGAATACATTTTTGATTAAAAATAAAATCTTGATAACAAATATCAAATGCGCCAAAAACAGCATTACTTTCCGATCCACCTAATATTTCAAATAGCTTTTAACTGTCTCAAATTGGGTCATTATTTAAGACAGGTTTTGACTAGGGTCGATTATAGTAAGAAAATCAAAGAGAAAAGAAGCTCCTCTCTTTGAAATGCACTATATCTTGTTTCCGTAGCAGCAAATAACCTTAGACTTCATGGTAAGGGTAGTTCTTTCTGTAGACAAACTATATATATTTGTCTCATTATTTCCACTTTGCACATGTTTGTCTCATAGCCACCATTTAGTATGTGTTTGTCTCTTTGCTGTCATTTTGTGTTTACACACCATAGAAGGTTGTTTATAGCATCAAAACTATATTATTTCCATCTCTGTATATTCAAAATTCATGCATACCACAAAGTATGATCTATCTGCATTTGGAATTTTAATGTTATTTCTTCAAAGTAGAATTCTGCATGTTTCTTTTTTTAAAAAAAAAATTAAACAATTATCGATACTTTTTAAAGCAAAGCACATATGATTGCTTTTTTTTTCAGTATTTTTCTGTTCATCAAATAATTTGTTATAACCAATTAAAAAAACATTGTTTCAGTAAAACAAAGAAATTCTTAATTTGTAACATAATTAAATATGCTACGTCTATTAACAGACTTAAATTTAAATGCTAAAACAAAATATTTTATACATTGTTATCTGACACCACTAATCAGTATGATTATGAATTTGTTCTTAATTAATAAATTTTAATTTTAGACCTGAATGGAAACAGAAACTAAATTGCTACAGAGTAGAGGCTGCATGGAAATTGGCTAATTGGGATAATCTTGACCAATTTTTAAACGAGGTATGCTCTTTTCTTTTCACCTCTTTCAAATTATGTTAGTTTTATGATAAATGTTTTTATTAATATTTATCTAAGAATAGTGTTTACAGTATGAGAGATTAGACTTAACCTTTATTTAAAAGTCTGTTGAGAATATGAAGAGCCTTATAATAACAAATGTTCCTATAGAATCAACTCTAAATTCACCCTTTTTTTTTCTTTAAAGCAGGAAGTATACTTGTTTTTATTAAAATTAAAAAGTTTAGTAGCAAAAATTTTGTTAATGACTTGTTTAAAATGATTAACTTTATTTATAAATTCTGTAAATAGTTATGCCGATTTATTTAGAGAGTAGAATCTTGCTTAAAAGACAAATTGCTACTGCTCACTCTTCCTATGATATAAATTATTTTTTGATTACCATGCAATATAATTCGTCTCAAAAGTAGTACAAACCTATTTCATTTGCCAAGGCTTGTTTATGAACTATACTTTGCTCTGTAAAACAGTAATGTATTTAGTATCACAATGTTCAAATAGTTAATAATTATCTTGAAATATGGCAGACATTTGTTTCCTTAAAAATAAGATAAAGTCTAGAGAGAGAAAATCATGTTTCCTTGATACATAATAAACAATATGCTATAATTTTATTTTAAAACTTTTTAAACTTTGCTGAAAATAAATTTCTTTTAGGGCGAGAATAATACGGAATGGATTGTAGGAATTGGAAATATCTTACACTTAGCTAACAAGAAGGTAATTTGATATCACTTATAATTCAATTTTAATTCATGACATGTTCTTTGTTTTTTTTTATATTTATTCTTTTTATTTCTTAAAAAAAGTTTTTATCCTCTATTTATTTTTTACTATTGAAACTTAGTTTTAAGAATGATGAATGATTTATAAAGCTTTTGAACAGTTCAAGAGTACCTGTTATTCATTTTCTGGAACTAAGTATAAAGTCATTCATTATTCATGAGGAGCATTAGTGGTTTTTTTTAATAATTTAAAAATTGAATGCATGTCTGTTAGAAGTTCATTTATTATTTTTAAATTGATATACATTTCTTCATATTAATGATGCTATTTATAAGTTAAGAGCTTTTTTCAGAAATTTTTTTTGTTCAGAATTTCTATTTATTTTTAGCATTATATATTAAAGTATTTAAATTTTATAAAATATGAAAATATTGAAACTTTATCAGATTTTAATAATGATTCTTTTTTGAATGACATTATATAGGAAGCTGATAAACTCCAAACGTATACTAAACTAATACGCAGTAATCAAATGGCACCACTTTCAGCTGCATCTATGGAAAAAGGAGCTTACTTAAGAGGTTATGAATATCTTATTAGGTACTAATTTTGGATTTTAGATATTACAAATTTTGTATTTTAAGTAATTCTTAAAATATTGACTTTATTTGAATAAAAACCTTGCAAGAAATATTTATATTCCATACATATTGTATGTGTATATTCATTAAATTATCTTTTTTACCTTTATGGATGTGACTGGTATCCTTTTGTGTTAATGATATCAGTTAAGTATCAAATTTTATTAAATTGTTGCAGTTTATTTTACTACAATTTGTTAAAATGTGCAAATTTATTATATACAGATGAATGTTTTGCAAATAAATGTCAAACGTTTTTGTTATTTTATAATTTCAAATTTGAAAAAAAAATAAAAATAGTAAAATAAAATTTTTACAGGGTGGTAAAATATAACTTACATAAAGCTTAAAACGAACTATTTTCATTACAGTTACAAATTAGTTTTAGGAGATTTCATACTGCCTTGATCACTAAAATTCTTTAGCAACCAATAATGGACATTCTAACAGGATTGTGTTCCAGGATTCCAGTACATACAAATAAAGAGAATCAAGAATGCTGCAGAGCACATTTTTCTAAACTTCTTAAAATTTTATTTTCTAAACTTTAATCCCATGGATATTTCTGTTTGGTACATCTTCTAGAAAACGATTTGAGCCTTTAAAAATATCATAGTGCGAGATATGGGTCAAAATTTTAGTTAGCAAATTTGTAGATTGTAGAAAAAGAAATTAGCGATTATATATACAGCTTTACATAAAGATAAAAATCTATCATTTTAAAAATTTGTAACTATGTTTTTTGTAGTAATATTTTTATGTTTATTTGAAAGCTTGGCTCTGAAATTTTAATGAGATGTGCGTTTTAATTACTGTGTTTATGTTTCAAATTTACTTCTTGTTGCCTTGCATTTATTTCTTATTATCAACTGTTTTGACTGTAAACACATACAGTGTTCAGCTATTAAAGTCCTTTTTATATATTAAAAAAAGAAATTACTAACTATTCTCTCTCTTTTTTTTAATGTTATTTGTGTTTATGTGTTATTTTCATATTTGTCCCTTACTCTGCATTTTTTGAGAAATATTGAAAGCAAATTTCTAGTTGTTGGAATAAATAATTGTATTAATAATTACTTGCATCTTGATAAATAAACTAAAAATTTTCCCAGACTCATCAGAGTAATTAAAATAAAGTCGTTAAAAACTCTATTTTTGTGGTTTTGAAACCATTGATTTACATTTCTTTATTGAAAAACATATTTAAGTCAGGCTCTATGTTATAACATAATATATTTTATGATTACACGGAAATATTCTCAACGAATTCATTCAAATAGGAATTTCTTCTTCTATAAAAAAAACTAAAATAAAAATGTTTATCATAACAAAAACCTGCTTATAAAAATTTAGTAACTGTGAACCTTATTTTATTACTTATTTCTGTAGTACTTTTCTTTTATATTTTAAAGCTACTTTCAAGGTAATTGTTTTTACAAAACATTATCATTTTATCGTTATAGGATGCATATGTTGACAGATTTGCAGCATTGTGTGGACTATATTTTCAACCATAATGAAGAAAACAATCCATCAGGAAATAATTCTACGTTTTTCAAAAGCATTTTGCCAGCACTGAACTTAAGAAAACAGCTTGTGCAGGTTAGGGAACATAATTATTCCACCAAGTTTCTCTGTGTTATTTTTATTGATATTTTAGTTCTACATCTATGTAATATAACTTTATAGATGATTATAAAGGAGTTATATAACCATCACGTTTACTTTAAGTTATTTATTTACGTTTAATTACAACCACTCACCTAAATAGGACACTTCTGAAGGACACTTCTAAAAGCAAATACCCTTAAAATAAAGAAAGAATGCCATAAAAATATTTGATGGATAGTAAAAAAAAGTATTTTAGGTTTCTCTCTTTTTTTTTTTAAAGAAATTTAACTTATTTGTATATGAGAATGAAGAAAGTGGTAGCAAATATTATGCTATTTGACTTTTATGATCAATATTTGTAAGCAATATAAACAGAAATGTAAGTTCATTATTTCATTGACAAATGACTGCAATAGAATAGCACTTTTTATATTTATTTAGCAGAAAAAATATTTATTTTAATTTTATCAAATTGTGGTTTACATTTTATTAAGTGCATAGCTGTCAACTCTTCCAGTTTTCCCGGAAGATTTTATTTTCATAGTTAAAGTGGTAGTGAAATTCATGTTATTCCATTAAACTTTTTGAGTTAAAATAATAATTCTGAGTAAGTTTGACCACCACTCTATATAAATAATTACAACAAACATATATAATCTTAGTAGTCTTTGCAATACTGAATTTCAACTTGGTCAAAATATATTTCTGAGTAGGATTGTTTTTCAGTAACTGTTTTACTACCACTTGGAGTGAAAGTTGGCAGATATGAAAGTGATTTGACAAATCGGTATTAAATATCAGCTGAGAGGCATTAATAGAATTTTGGAAGTTTTCATTGCTATAAAATCATTTAATTTTTAAATTAATAGAAAAAGATTCTGAAAATTTTTTAACTTATTAATTTTATCTAAATTTGCCATTTTACAAAAAATAATTAAAATTAAAAAAATATATTGAAAAAAAACTAAGAAATTTAAATATTTTACAAAAATATTCTCATTTTGAAAATAAATACCTTAATAAGGGATATTTTTGTAATTAACTCACATTTTTATCACAGAAAGCTTAATCGGGATATTGTCTTAGAAAAATCTAGTAGTGATAACTGAAGTAATATGAGATAAACGTTTTATAATTTAATACATTTGTGGCAACCTGTTTGTATTATTTTATGAATAAAATATATTTTTGTGCGAACTTTGCCCTACTAGACCTAAAGTAGGCATAGCTTCCACTGCAGCTACACCACTATGTTTCCTTACTAGCCCTGTATAATCATTTGTTTACGTTAACTATTCATGAATTAGTGAAAGACATAGAGTGACTTTTAAAGCATGTAATAAACAAATTTCTTTACAACAATAGTATCTCCGATTGTTAAAAATAAGGAATAAAATTAGCCTTTAGTTTCAATTAAAGCAAAAATTAAGAAATTACTTTCCTCCCTGCATCCTTTTTTTCATAATTTGCTTCTAAATATTTTAGTGACTAAGCATGGAGAAAAACATAGTTTTGTCAATCTTTCAAAGTTTGCTGAGAAATTGAAATTGATAATTAATAGAAATATTCCATTTGTCTACATAAGCCCCAATCCTCCCACTTAACATAAATTTTCCAGATAGTGTTTTTAATGAACTTGATATAAAAATTTTTATATGGGCTTATTTCATGTTGAGCTATTTTACTCAGTGTAGGCTATGTTACAGGATGGCACAGTAAATAACCAGGCATAGTGAAGAACCTGGGTTCTATCCTTAGCTGCGGGTTTAAGCCAATCTAGTTTCAAATCCTTTTCTGAACATTATACCACCATGGAATTGATCTTGGAACTGTGGAGCCTAAACCTCCCTGATCTCCTTATCAGCCAAATATGTTTTTTTTTTCAATTACAGATCTAACAAATTAAATTGCATTAAATATGTTTACCAGAAAAAGAGATAAAAATGTACTACCAATATTGTTTTTTGCATAAATATTTTTTTGTTAGAAATCTTTAAAAATAAATTTTAATTGCATTTAAATATTTAAGTGTTTTGTTTCCAGAATTAAAAGTAAACTAGCATTACATATTTTTTTCAAATTAATCATTTGAAATGTTTATGTTTTAATAAGATGATCTAATTCTTATTTGAACTCTTCATTTCTCATTATTTAAAATATTCATTGCAGTAAAATTTTGCGACAGTGCAAAATAAAATTGTTGTATTTAAAATTCAGAATTTGATTGAGAATTCTCAAAGAAATGTTTATAAATTTTTGAACGAGTCAGAACTCATATATTTTGTTATTAAATGTGACAAAGCTCCAATATACTAATTATCGACTGTTTTATCGCATTTCAAGTATCTAAAAAAACTGATATTATTTTAATTATATGTAACTATATTTAATCCTTTGAACTTCTTAAAAAACAGACTGCATAAAATTTGTCTAAAAGTTTAGAAAAAAAAAGTTATAGCATATTATGAAGGACAAAATGAGAAAGTTTTAACTTATAGGTAAGGCATTATTTTCCCTCAATGGAATGAAAATAAAATATATAATTTCAGAAAGAAAAAAAAAAGAATTAAAAGAAAAATAGTAAATATTTAAGTTATCTTTAATAATATGAAAATATTCATCAATAAAAAGTCGCGTTTAAGTATGGAAACTCAGTATTTCTACATTGAAAGTTGCAGTCATAAAAGTGGCGACATGTTGCTACTTTATCTAAGTATGCAGGGCTTTAATTACGCCTACTGAGGTTTTTGGAAGAAAACATTTTACCGTCCAGGTGTGTGTTCATTTAATTTTTATGATAATACTTGAAATTTTGTTTTAGAGTTTTTTCTTATTGAACAATTTATAAGAACTGTACAATGTATAAACTTTTGATTAAGTAACTACTGTTATGTAATTACTGATTTATGTTATTACTATTAGCGTGTATTTACTTTTTTAGCAAAATTTATCGATGTTGTTTTTAAATAACTTTTGCCTTTTTAGTTTATATATAATATTTTTTTTCCAGTCATCTTTGAGGTATCAAGAGCCATTATATAGCTTGCACCGAGTTCTTCTAAAAGTTGGAAAAGAAAAATTACCTGAGCTTTCAGCAAATTTCGATCAAGAAATTACCAAATGTTGGTTACAGAGTGCGAAACTTGCTAGAAAGTAAATAATATGCTTTTAGAAAAATAATGTATTGCTATTTTTTTTCCTGTAGTTACGTTCTAGATGATACTGTTAAAGGTTGTATGTAATATTTGATAATAAAATGTGAATGTTATTCGTTTATTTAAAAGTGAATAATTATAATTTATATAAATAGTTTTAGAAAAATCTAGAAAATGTATGTATAAAAAATGATATGCTGACTCTAGGTATCTCAGAATGGTGTAAAAATAAAAGGAATTAGACTGCTGATATTCTAATTAAAATGCATTTAGATTTTAAAAATGAAAGCATATATATACAGTAAAACCCCGCTATAGTGAACCATCAAGGGACCGAAATTTCAAGGGACTCACTATAACCGGGAGTTCACTATATCCATTACGCAGGCAATTTAACTAATGGTTCCCAAACTCTTCCCTTTTATTACACATTGTTCAAATAAATGACTGAAAAATATTATGTAGTAGCAAAAAATGTGTTATTTTCCATTACTCTTTGTCTTTCTTGCGTACAAAAAAAAATTGTAATCTTTAGCTGATGAGCAATCCTCAACATCAGATATTGAAAAACTTCCCGACTCTCAGATAATTTTTCCTGAATTTCTTGTCTAACCTGCCATTTGAGCACATAAAAGTAGTCTCATAAAATCGCTTAGCAAATTCATCGACATTTGTTCAGATACTTCGATTGATAAACCACTTCGGTAATGCTTCTTCAACATCCTTGTGATCTGCTTTTCTCAACTTTTTTCTGCCATCTAAATTTTTTTCATGAGCGGAAATTATTAATTGCCTATTTTTCCATGTGTTACAAACTGCAGATTTGGATAGTTTATTTTCCCTGCAAATATCAGCTTGATTGCATCCATTTTGAACTTTTCTTATTATGCCCATTTTATCATCAATGGAGAACGTTTTACGTTTACTGCTCGCCATAGTTAAATTTGAGACGCTTGTTTGCAGGATTTTTTAAACTGAACTGAGAGCAAAAAGAAGTTGAAATGAGGGCCTTATCAACACATATTAGTGTCCAACCCTTTGACCAATAATGAATAATTGCTCATTCCCTCTGACATAAAATGCATATTGATCTGACCGACACCTTACCGGGGCATCGTCTGCCTGGGTTGGAAACATCTGCTTTGTTTAGGGATGGGAAAGTGAGATAAAAGAAGCGAACAAGAAAAAATGCTTATCGCTACATTTCCCTCTATAGATGGTTTTGAAAATCGATATATGTATTTTTTTTGAAGTAGAAATTTCAAAATTATTACAAAAAAAATCAGTTGAAGATAGAAAAAAGTTCATTATATCCAACTTCCTAACTTTTTTGGTTCACTGTATCCACAAAAAATAACATCCGCTTACAGCAGATCACAGGACCAAACATTTCGTTCACTATAAGCCGTGTTCACTATAGCGGGATTTGACTGTATTATGGAATTAATTGGTCCTTACTTGCTAATTTTTTTTATGTGTGCTCAAAGTATTTTTTTGTTGCAAATTTTATAAATCACACTTATAGAAACTTTAGTTATTTACTACATCATATTTGAATTCCTACAAAATTTGTAAAGATTTATTTTACAACATGTGTAAAGTTTGAAGGAAATTTAGAATCCTCAATGCTCAGCATTGCCAAAAATTTGCTTAATTTTGGCTAATTATAAATTCATAAAAATTGAAAAATTCGTTCAAATAACCCTTTTTTTAAAATTGATTTAGATAATTTTCCCGAATGAAATTTTTTTTGTTCGAAAATGTGTTAATAAATGCCTAATTGAATAATGACTAATAAATTAAAATTAGGAACTTCCCTTTTTTTTTTCTTTAGAAATGGGCATCAGCAGCGAGCTTATAATTGTTTATTAGAAGCTGGCACAGCTAACAATGCTGATGTTTTTATGGAAAAAACAAAATGGCTTTGGAGCAAGGTAATCTTGAAAAATCTTCATACATTTCTCTCTGTTATCAAAGTTGTGATTATTTTTCAATAAACAAAGTTTATTATAACTTTGAATGACTTCAGACTGCTGTGTGCCTGTTAAAATTCTAAATAAATGACAAAAGTATAGGAAACTTGAAAATATAATGTGACTGTTTTTAAAACATTTTTTTTTGTAAGTATTATTCATGATGACATAACAGCACTTCTCCATTATGGTGGCATATTATTTTTTTTTTTTTAACATATCTCTCATTGCTTTTTGCTTACCTGTTCAAATATTCAGAAAAACCCATTTACTAATTTTTTTTCCAAAATACCAAATATTTAGCTAAAATCTCATTTTTATGAGACATTATTTATTAATTTTAAGAAATATTTTAAAACTTGTAAACTAGGAAATTCCTTCAAATTTCTTTTACTTCTAACAAAATATTATTATTATTATTAAAGAAAATATTTTTGTAATAGATAAGGGTAGATAAAGTAAAATTGGAATAGTTAAGTTAGCAAAAATGTTTCTGATATATTATCTAATGTATAGTCAGATTTCATACAAATGTATATTTCACTTATGTATTTCACTTACTCTTTAATTCTGTAGATTTTTTTAAGACTTACGTTATAATAGGCATAGACTGATAATAGTCATTAAAATAACTTTCATTGATTATATTACAATATAAAATATATATTTTTCATTGTAGATCACTCTTTTAATATGTTTAAGTTAAATTAATTTAAGTTTTTCATAGGGAACAAAATTTTTCTGTTTACTTTAGAAATAAAAGTTTTAAAAATTTAACTTTTTTTTCCTTGAATGAAATCTTAAGAGAGAAAACTAAAACTATCTCAATTGGATATTTGGTTTCCAAATATAGTGTTGTTTTATAACTTAACCTCGTTTTTTAAGACTGGTGGATCACCTTCAGGCTTAAGGCATAAGGTAATTCTGTGAGAATCTTTGTGAATGTCAGACTTTTACTCTCACCATTGCACTTCATTAACTTTTTCCTTGTAACAGTGAACTTACTGTTAAACAACCTTTATTCCAGTCCTTTTCACAACCTATTAGCATGTAATAACTGAGTTTCATTTCTTTAAAAATTTGCAAAAATCTTATAAAAACATTTTTTAATAAAAATAAATAAATATTTAAAAGATTTTAAAAAATTGAGTAATAACCATAGATTTTTTTTTTCCAACTCAATATTAGCTGGGTTTTTTTTTTTTGCTTTAGTAAACCTTAAAAAGTTGAAGGAGTCAAGCAAATTTAAATAATAAAATTTGTGGCTAATTTTATTAATTTTTAGTTGTAATTGTATGTTTCAAATTTATTAGTCTTATCCCTTTCATTTTTGGTTTCACACTAAGTTTTATAATTCCTAAAAATCATTCAATTGCAAACCACTAGTATGTCTTTTCATTTGTTCTATATTTCTGTATTATGATGATTCTTAATTAAAAAATTTAGTATTTGAGATTCTAAGTTTATTTCCTGAGAGATTATCTGATAAAATGAATTTGTATAAACTGATTTTGGTACATTTAAAATATCAATATAATTTAATTTCTGTAAAGAACTATGCAGTCTTAACAACTTCATAAACTGGCTATGAATTTCATATTTTTCACTTGATTACATACCTGAATATTGTTGCTAAGTTCAATGAGATATTTTCAAAATTATTTTACCAGAATGATTAAATGAAAATAAACAACTGTTTTATTATGAGCTTTACTGAATCTTTAGTGATATTAAGCAATTTTTCACCTGTAAACTAATAAACAGATAGGTATTTATAAATCATATAATTATAAACCAAACTTACATATAAATCATATACATATGCATATAAATCATATACTTACATATAAATCATATACTTACATATAAATCAATATAGTAATAATTAAGCCCCAGATTTTGATTTCATTTTCATTTTTGGACTATTGTTCTCCATTAGGGGTAATTTTTTTTTAGATTTTGAGAAATTTTTTATTCATCTGAGGGCTTTTTTGGGGGAATTTTAGGATATTTTCTTATTTCATTATATTTATTTGAGAACTCCAGAAAAATTTTAATTTCAGGAAATTTTTTGAAGCATTTAGAAACACAAGCTCATTTTTACAACTTTCACATTTCACCGGATTTACACTATTTAATACTTTAACTTAGCAATTATCTCCGACTGAGTTATCTGGACCAGAGTTATTTTGGGCGTTTAAGTTAAAGGGTTAATGCATTACCTCTTGCAAATATTCCTCTCGTAAGCTGAATAACTCTAAATTGTGTAATTTTTTTTATAAAGACTCATTTGTTGGTGAATCCACACTGTGCAAAAACTACTTTGGAATTCTGAATAAAATATTTAATTGCAAAGAAGTTTTTTTTTAATTTTGAGGACATTTTTAGGTTATTTTTTGTTATTTTAAGGATATATTTGCCATTAAGAGCATTTATAAGAATTTATTAGGTTTTCAAAATGCCAACCCTATTAATAACAATAGCAGCATTCTTTTATGTTTGTGTTGCATTTATGCTTTTATATTATTTTCGAAGTTTTTTTATCTGCTTTTCCTGTTAATATAATTTTTAATATTTTAGAAAGAGAAAGAGCAAGCCATATATTGTTTGCAAAAAGGAATAAATGAACGTTTTCCTTCAGTTCAAAAGTCAATATCGTCAAGTTTAACTTCTGAAGAAAAGTTTATGTGTGCAAAGGTATGAATTTCTGTTTTAAATTTTGAAATATCTAAATTTCATTTCATTTCATTATATTATTTATTAGAAATTGAGTCGATAAATTTCTGTTACTCAAACAAAATTTCTAGATACCTGAGACTTGAAGCACTTTCCTAATCTTTTTACAAAAAATATAAAATGTTAGATATCTATTTTTCAAAAACAAAGTTTGATTTTTTGTTTTCAAGTATAGGCCTTAAATAGTGAATTAAAAGCAAAGACGAAATTTTTATTTATTATTAACTGAACTATTTTAAGATCTGGATTATCCTCATATTTACGATAAAATATCAACCAGTACATAAACTACATAACAACTCCGGAGCTCTATTGCTCCCTACTCCCTAACTGCATCCAGTCTTTCCTGTCTCTGCATTCAATCTTTATTTTAAAAAAATACTTTTTCTCACAAAACAATGTCCTTCACTTCTCATTAGTCCACCCCCACTCTAGGGGAATGTTACTTCCTTTGACCCTCACCCTCTGACTCTCAGGTCAGGGGTCGAGCAAATACGTGGGAGAGGAATCAGAATCCTGACACTGTTTTATTAAGAAAGTTAAGAGATTTGATTGTTATGGGTTCCTAAGCAATCACATTCTTTTACCCAAAATACAACCCTTTTTCTTGAGAATATAGTGCTTAATTCAATTTATTGCACTTTGCCCTTTCTAAGGTTTTGAATAAACTCTGCAAGGTAATTCATGTTTTGCAGTGCTATGGTTTTATAATGAAAACATGGAAAATAATGTGACGAATGCAATTTAGATGTGATTAAAAATTAGGTTTACTTTGATTGAACAAGTCTTTTTAAGAAGTTTTCCTATCAAAATTTTTACAGTATAAAAGTGCAAATTTTGAAAGTAGTACAAAGCTTTCTGAACTGTGTCATAGTATACAAAAATAATGTAATTTCATTCATCTTAAAATATAAGTTGTTCTAACCAAAACTGCATCAATAAAAAAAAATTTATTTCTTAAAGTGCACAATTAGTGCAAAGTCACATTTAGTGCATAATTTGGACATAATGAAAACAGATACAGATATTTTTAGCATGGGATAATATAAGACAGTGTTATTTCAGCATTCATACTGAGTATTAGATATCAACCATTCATTGATTGTTTGTTTGCAATATGTCCCACAGTAATTATTATGTTTCATTTTCAGCATCAAAATGTATAGTGATAACGCGTTAAAAATGCTAGTATGAACCCTGGTTTTGCTATTAATATTTTTTGGCACTAGAAAACTTTTTTATTGATTTTAAAAAGTGAACTCATGCCTTGCTTACAAGAACTAACATTTTGTTGTACGCAGATAAAACAACTATAATATTCTCTATTTTCCAGAGAACAAATCGTTTAGATAGCAAATACAGTCAATCGTTATGGTGCTGTAACTGGTATTATCATCAGTGCAAAAATTAAAAACAAAATACTCATCTAAATTTTTTTCATTTTGTTGATTCTTGCAATTCAAGAAGCAAAAAGGCTTCAGTTTATTTGTGTTCTTATTGCTTGTTGCTCTACTTTATTTATTCTCTAATTACCTTACTTTACCGCAAACTAAATTTTCTTTGTGTTCAATGGATGAGCAATGGTCATTAAAAAATTTACTTGCAATTTTGCCTAATAGCTTCTTTGTGTTCAATGGATGAGCAATGGTCATTAAAAAATTTACTTGCAATTTTGCCTAATAGCTAATTAGTTTGACGCTCGGTGGCTGAGTGGTAGTGCTTCGCACTCCTGTGCCACAGGTCTTGGGTTAGATCCTCGGGCCGGACAAGGCTGACTTAGACTTTCATCCCTTCAGTGGGTCGATAAATGAATACCAAGCATGCTTGGGACCTAAACACTGGAGGTTCCNTTTTACTAAATTCAAGTTGAAATTTTACTGTGGACAATGATTTTTTACAGATTTATGCTTTTTGTAATTTAGATAAAATTTTTAGCCCAAAATTTTACAATACCAAAATTATTTTTGAGTATATAGGGAAAAATATATAGAAATAAGTCATAAATGATATTTATTTGTAGTGACAATTTTTGAAAATATTTTCTTCCTTTACCATATTTTTGTGTTGATTTTTTAAATATAATTTTTTATTTGCACTAATTATGTCTAAATTTTCACAAGATAGGTACCTCTTAAAAAAACCCAGACAGATCAATGATTTTGCTCTTTCATAAACGACACACCTTTCCAAGAAAACAAATATTATTATCATTTCAAAAAAAGACTTTCTGATATTTTTCACTAGAGTTACATTATTTTTAATTTAACTTTTGTAACTTAGTGATAATAGTGCTTGAAAAGTTTTTAAAAAGTGCTTATTTTTGATTCAAAGATTTGGCTACGCACCCTGCATGTTGTTTTCCGCCCATTTTCTAGGCAGTTATTTTTCATAAAGGATTTATAAGGATTTCAGGTGAATGTTGTAACGAATATAATGTTGTGATTGGGAATCCCACATTTAAGAAGAAGAACAAATTTCTATCCCCCAATTATAACTTTGCATGAATTTTTAGATAAATTTTTAGCAGTTAATTACTATTACTTTTGACATGGTTTTAATATGATATTACAATTCGCAAAAGTTCCAAAATGTATCTATTTTGTTCACATATTTTAAAACCGATTTTTTGGATTTGCAAACTCATTGCAGTAATAATGTTTGTGACATCTCTCTACCTTGTGAATTGCTTTTACCTCGGTTCGCTCAATTATTAAATCACTCTTAATGATGACAAGGAATTTTTTCCATATATATAATATTTTATTTTAAGATCTGGATTATCCACATATTTACAATAAAATATCAACCAGTACATAAATTACATAACAACTCCGGAGCTCTTTTGCTCCCTACTCCCTAACTGCATCCAGTGTTTGCTGTCTCCGCATTAAATCTTTATTTTAAAAAAATACTTTTTCTCACAAAACAATGTCCTTTACTTCTCCTTAGTCCACCCCCACTCTAGGGTAACGACACTTCCTTTGACCCTCTCCCTCTGACTCTCAGGTCAGGGGTCGATCAAATGCGTGGGAGAGGAATCAGAGTCCTGACAATGTTTTTATTAAGAAAGTTAAGAGATTTGATTGTTATGGTTTCTAAGCAATCACATTCTTTTACCCAAAATACAACCCTTTTTCCTGAGAATATAATGCCCAATTCAATTTCTTGCATTTTGCCCTTTCTAAGGTTTTGAATAAACTCTGCATGGTAATTCATGTTTTGCATTGCTGTGGTTTTATAATGAAAACTTGGAAAATAATGTGGTGAATCAGGGGTCTGTCCACGTTGAATTTACTACCGTTTAGCGATACCTTCACAAATTCAATTTTAGGAAAAACGGTAGTTTCACAAATTCAACTTTAGGAAAAACGGTAGTTTCACAAAGTACTTTTTCTTAAAAAAAATTTTTTGTATCCTTAAGAAACGATAAATCTATATTTTTACTATGTTTTTGTGTTGATTTTTTAATATCATTTTTAATTTTCCACATATTATGTCTAAATTTTCACAAAATAGGTACCTCTCAGAAAAACCTAGACAGACCCCTGTGAATGCAATTTAGATGTGATTAAAAATTAGGTTTACTTTGATTGAACAAGTCCTTTTAAGAAGTTTTCCTATCAAAATTTTTAGGGTATAAAAGTGCGAATTTTAAAAGTGATGCAAAGCTTTCTGAACTGTGTCATAATGTACCAAAATAATGTAATTTCATTCATCTTAAAATATAAGTTGTACTAACCAAAACTGCATCAGTAATTAAAAAAAATTAATTTCTTAAAGTGCACAATTAGTGCTAAGTCACATTTAGTGCATAATTTGGACATAATGAAAGCAGATACAGATATTTTTAATATAGAATAATATAAAACAGTGTTATTTCAGCATTTATACTGGGTATTAGATATCAACCATTCGGTAGTTGTTTGTTTGCAATATGTCGCACAGTAATTGTTATGTTTCATTTTATGCATCAAAATGTATAGTGATAACGCTTTAAAAACTTTTAGTATGAACCCTGGTTTTGCTATTAATATTTTTTAGCACTAGAAAACTTTTTTATTGATTTTAAAAAGTGAACTCATGCCTTGCTTACAAGAATTAGCATTTTGTTGTTTGCAAATAAATCAACTATAATATTCTCTGTTCTCCAAAGAACAAATCGAGTAGATAGCAGATACAGTCAATCATTATGGTGCTGTAACTGGTATTATCATCAGTGCAAAAATTAAGAATAAAATACTCAACTAAACTTATTTTTTTCATTTTGTAGGTTCTTGCAATTCAAGAAGTAAAAAAGCTTCAGTGTATTTGTGTTCTTATTGCTTGTTGCTCTACTCTATTCTCTAAGTACCTTTTATTACCACAAACTAAATTTTCTCTGTGATCAATGGATAAGCAATGGTCATTTGGAAATTTGCTTGCAATTTTGCCTAATAGCTAGTTAGTTTAGTAAAATAATTATTTATTCTTACAGGTAAAGACAATTTTAATTAAATTTAGATTAATGTGTTATAATAATTAGTTTCAATTCAATTTTATTTTTTAACTCAAATTATGTTTCAAAAATCAACTTTGAATGGTTGCAGTAGCTCCAATTATTACCCATTTCATTACTATTTGGCAATACTGGACTACTTAATATCCTTAACATAAAAAATGCATTTTTTATTTCAGGCAAAATTATTGCTAGCCACTTATAGTGAAGAATGTTCTATTGTTGATAGCAATAGTTTGATTGCTATGTATAAAGAAGTTGTTAATTTACAACCTAACTGGGAAGCTAGTCATTTTCACCTAGCCAAGTACTATGATAAAATGCTTAACACAGCTGAAGCTTTTGAATCGAAATCGTAAGTTAAGTAGCATTCATTTTTTATAATAAATTTTTCTTTCTTGTTTTTTTATCATATTTTTATTTTCTTTCAGAGATTTGATGATCAAAGTTGTTTATAATTTTGGCACCTCCCTGAAATATGGCTGCAAAAATGTTTACCATTCACTACCCAGATTGTTGGACATTTGGTTTGATCTAGGAACTTCACAGTTAGAAGAAGGCACATCTAAAAAGCAACATACTTCATTCAAAATTATGTCAGCTTGCCTAGAAAAAATAAGAAATTTGGTATTTCATTTAAAAATGACTTCTTAAAATGTTTTAAAAAATTGAATGTCTTTTAAGTTTTGAATTTTGCTTCACATTTCAGATACTAGAGTTTTTTGAAAGTATTCCTGATTATTTGTTCATGACCGCATTTCCGCAACTTGTCTCTCGAATTTGCCATTCTCACCCTGATGTAACTGGTCCATTGCAAGTAAGTTGCAAAATTATATGCATGATGTTAATTCTATCATGCTTTATGATAATTCAGTCTTGCAAATAACTTGTCTCTCGAGTTTAATTCCCATAAGATATAACTGGTCCTCTACCTTTAAGTTGTTCAATTAATGTACGTAATTTTAATTCTGTTGTACTTAACAGTGCTGTTGTATAAGCGGCATCACACTTTCACTAACTTGGTTTAATGCCAGATAAGTGCCCCTTGCGGGGTTGTGTACTGGTGTTGTTATAGTTGTTGGTTCAATGCTATGTAATGGCATCAAATTANTAAATTCAAATTAGTAGATTTTTATCCACCACTATTTCTAAATAATTCATAGTTCTATATAATTCACCACTTTTTAGTAGTGATTTCATGCTATGCCTTTTAAAAAGCAAGCAAAAATAGTCAAATATATGCGAAATTTCGTTTGCAGTTATTTACTGTTTTTTAATTATTTTGGCGTGTCCGGAGCAGTTGGCATCTCTGCAATGTTAGTGCATTTGTCTGGTATATGAAATATGCAGTATCAAGAAGAACTCTCAGAAATGCAAAATGATAAGTCAGTTAAAACTTTATTTTATATAAAAGAGAAATGGCATGGCTTTGTGAGGAAACAGAAATCAAATACCCAATTTCAACCAAATATGCAGGAAAACTATTGTTACCGTTTCCATCTTCATATTTAACTGAATGTGGATTTAGTGCTGTAATTGATTTACTGGTAAAAAAAAGAAAAGGAAATTGCCTGGATATAAGACAGTGGGGAGACTTGAGGCTGAAGCCAACCAAATTGAAAACTAACATAAAATCTCTGTGCAGCAAGCGCAAGGATCTCTCTAAATTAAAATATTAAATTATTATAGAAAAATCTTTATGAAAATTATTTTGAATTTTAGTTTTTCATTATAAGTCGAAATTTTACTTAATGTGTTTCCTCAACAATTTCCTAGAGATTTCTCACTGAAACCTATCATTTAAGTTTCTTATGTGAACAATTCAATTTTTTAATATTAAAAATCATGTGTATGTCACATAGGGGGGCATAAGAATTTTAGAAAGGCTTGAGTGGGGCATCGCACAAAAAAGGTTGGGAAACACTGCTTTAGAGTTAAAACAGCTGTCTGTAATATTCTTTTGTAATTTTCACTTTATTGGAAAAAATTTATTAATTATTCTGTTCTACTGCAAAAAGCTGGTATTTCGTAAAACTTATTAACTCAATACATGTCCATGTGTAATCAATGATTTAGCATGTAGTAACCAGAAAATATTCTGATTTAGAACTTTTGACATTGTTTCAAATTTTCTACAGAGTAATTACCTTTAATAATTTTGATCTATTTATCAACTTTTCACATATTGCAATCTTAAAGTATTTAAACGAAACATCTTAAGTATGTTAATTATTTAAGAAAGACTTAAGGATAATAGCAGAAGTTGTAAAATTAGACACAAAATGTTCATTTATAGAGGTGGGAGAGGGGATAAATACATTTTTTCTTCATTATTACATCAGCAAACTATAATATATAATATTTTATATGTATTTTGAAAATATAAGAAAAAATTTCATGCATAGCAAGTTACTGGATTATTTTACACTTAATTATTATAAAATATTAGATTTTTGTGCAAAGAAATTTTTTTTTATTGATATTGAGTTAAAAGCAATGTGTTTCTCTTAATAGAAATTGATTGCTAGACTTTTGGCAACTTATTCTCAACAATCAATGTGGATGATGATGGCAGTTTCAAAAGTAAGTCTATAATTATTATTTAATTCTCTTTTTTATTATGAAAGTTTATTTAGAAAAAATGACTTCATAATTTTTAATTAAAATTGCTATTTAAGTACGGTAAGTGTAGTGAAAAAAAATATTACATATTGTCTTAATAGTTCTGTCATGATACGATAGTTTCTTTATTGCTATCCTCAGCCTCCAAAACTTGCATTAACATTTTTAGATGATTAAAATCTCATTGACCAAAAATGCTTAAAAAATTTCTATTATATAAATTATTTTGTGAAATGCTCTGATTTTGTTGAACTTCATGTAACTAAATGCTTTTAAATTTTTAACAAATATGAAAAATGTGTTCTTCTAAAAATTGACCCACTTCTGAAAATTGCTTTTCCAGTAGTGTTGCAGTATTCTATTTTATTTTGCTAAGTACTACATGTTGAGTAATTCAATATTCTTTTTGAAAAATGCCAAAAAGTGGTTTATTTATGAAATTAGTTAAACTTAGATATTGATTTAGAAAATAATTGTTTAATTTGATCATATCCAATGCAATCAAATTATAATATAAATAAACATATTTATATTTTATCATGATTAATCCTAAATGTTTAAAATTCATAATTAATCACTGCAGCAAAATTTTTTTTGGGGCTTTCTGCAACAAATCTCTCTAGTACATTTATCTTTCTGTGAGATATTTTTAATAAAATATATGTTACCAATTTGTAATAACAGAAGCACTTTATGTTTATAAGAAAAACCTCTAAGTATGGAATAAAGTTGTAAATTTAATAATTATTTGTAATAATGTAGTAATTGATTGTAAATGTAATAATTATAAAGGAATTCATTCTAATATGGGCGATATTCTCTTCTCTTAAATGAGAAAAAAGCACTAATTATCTTCTTATTCGCATTTTTCAAGTCATCGCATAATTAAAAAACGGAAATTGAAAATCGTAAAATCTATGGCAGTAACAGCTATAAAAAAAAGATTGATGATAAAATCGTGGATTTACAACGAAATCACGAGAATCGGATTATTCTAAAAAGGATTACTTATGCTTGATTTGAAATTCGCTTATTGTTTTAAAAAGGACCAATAGCAGTGTCTAGTAAAAAAACGATCAAAAAAAATTATAGAATCATTCACCAAAAAGTAGATTTTCTAATATGTGATTTTAATTTACCATCTTGTAAGAAATACATCGGTATCTTAAAAATCTACTTGAAAATCGCTAGCAATAACTGCAGAAAAAACAATCGAAACACCTAATGAATTTACGAAACTATTGCCGTAAACTGATCATCTCAAAAAGTGATTATTTAAATGTGTGATTAAAATTTCACATCGTGATAATAGCAAATAAAATCTCACGGAGTTTTAATAACAACGTTGAAATCAGTAGCAGTAACGACCATAAAACGATATTATCATTACATTAAAAGTGAATAATCAAATGTCCAATTTGAATTTTGCATTCCATAAAAAAATTCCATGAAAAAACAGGATTTTTTTATTAAAAAACATTTGAAAACTCATAGCACAGCTATAAAAAAATGATTAAAGATGTTATTGACACAAATCGGGCAGGTCAAAAAGTAATTACATAGATGCGCGGTTGGAACTTCACGTGTCGTCATAATATTGTTATTTAAAAACAAAAATCATGAGAATATCAATACTAATAACTGAGCAATGAGACAAGAGAATTTTAAAAACCAAAATTTGCAGCCTTCTGGTATACAAGAAAGGCATCTTTTGAAAACCATTCTGCAGAAAAATAATTCATGTTTGAAAACAAGAGAACCAAATTTTTTTGTTTCCCAATAGAAAAATCTTTTTGCAAGAACTTTGTAAGGTTCTGCGACAATGTCACTGGCATTCTGCCACGAGGCTTTTCACGATAACTGTATTTTAATTTTATTAATTAAAGACTTTTTTTATAGTCATGTTTGAACTACATTCATTTTTAGACAACTTACAGATAAAAACCAGTGTGAAAATTCTATCAAATGTAGTCAATCGGACATCTTTTTGAATTCAGTATAATTATTTATACCACAAATGACTTAATTGTATAAGCTTTAAATACTTGGAATATTTAAAAAGTATCCATGTAGAAAATTTGCTCTTAACCTGACTTTTTGTTTTTTAATTTCAAACTGTTGCGTTACTGTAAGAATTGTAAGATTTTAATGTTTAAAATGTTAAAAACAAAATAATGTGAGCAATAGGGACATTTTATTGTCATCTTATACAGTATAATTGTACAGTGTACACATTTAAAAGTTTTTTGCCCTTTATTAAAGTGTGTTTGACATAGTTATAGTAATTGGGGTTCACGAGCTTAGAAAATTCTTACCTTTCAGAACCATCAATTTTATGCATATTTATTGATAGAAGCAATTTTGATTAAATAGTTAAATTTATAATGTGTTAATTCTTTTAAGGGCCTGTAGTACGAAATTTTCATAGAAAAGATAAAAGAGAACTGGTCTACAGCTTGCCTTCTTGTGAATTACTAAGAGATTACCAGCCCTCTAAAGCTTTAATTTTATTCAATTGTGAACTTGTAATTTATAACATCGATCCATTAATTGTTTCGTATATTGTTGAATGGAGTAATAAAGCCGAAGATCTCTTCTGAAATAGTCTTGGACGTCTTTTTGCTATACTGTTGACCTGCACATTTCCATAAATACTGTTGTGGCCATGTACTCATTGAGCATTTCATTTTCCCATCTTCTGACTACACATGACTGTTTGATAAAGCACCTCCATCACATTGGAATCTTTTCAAATCCTGACTGCCCTTTCTTGTAATTCAGCAGATCCAATAATTATGTACACCACCTCCATCGATGGGAATCACTTTATGGTGACTTTGAAACTGCTATGCTAGATGGCTTTTATGGCAATGACTTCCGTTGCTTATTTTAATTTTATTTTACTACTATATTTATTATAGTTTTTGTATTCTGTTTTATATTTTCAATGCCTTACCATTGGAAATGGAAAAAAAATAATAGACGTTAAAAGAATATATATAAATCTTTTTTAAAGCATGAAATATTCAAAGTATTTAACCTGTTCATTTTAAATTTTCAAAAAATGTCACTTTGTTCATGTTTATCACTTTTGACAGACATATAGTAACATTTAGGTTTATTAAAGTTCACTTAAAACCCCGGTAGCAGAATTTTTTCGAGCAATTTGCGACAAAAGTCTCTTGCCCTAACATCTTTCTGCAAGATACTTTTAATAATAACAAACATTCATGTTACAAATTTAAAATTACAAAAGCGCTGTGTTTACAAAAAAAATAAGAAAAAAAAACTGCATAATTTTTCTTAATTGAACATGTAATAATTTTTTATTTCGATATTGTGAGTGATATTCTTGCATTTTGATGGTGGGGGGGGGACTCACAAATTATTTATTCTTCGCATTCTGTAAGCAATCATCACAATAAAAAATATAATTAAAAATCATAAAATTCGTAAGTAGTAATTGCCAAAAAATCATACACTACAAAATTATGTGAATCAGTCTCCTCAAATGTGTGTTCGTTTTGAGATTAGGTTGTTGTAATAATTAGGTTTTTGTATAAAAAATATTGGATTTAAAAACTATGGCAAATTCAATAGCAATAACTGTCAAAATTTCTATTCAACCTTAAAATGTAAATACTAAAATGCATGACTCGAATTTTCCAGTGTTTGAAATATATCGGGATGTTTAAAATCCATGTGAAAATCAATATCAAGAACTGCCAAAAATACAGTCTAAATATTACATCAATGTACAATACTATTGACGTAAATTGAGTGCGTCAAAATGTAATTATTGAAACACATGGTTCAAATATTACATATCGATTTCTGTAGAAAAAAAAGAAATTTTTTTTTTTTCAAAAGAGAAATCTTTCTGTATGAATTCCGTAACGTTCTGTGACAATGTCGCGGTGTCGCTGTGATTCTGCCATGGGGCTCAAAACAATAGAATAAATAAGAACTATTTTAACACAATGGTCCAACTTTTACTATCTTGTAGTATGGACTCTTCTTTCAGGAAATTATTTTATTAAGTTCCTAGATTTAAATATAACTCTTTATTTTTATAATGCTTATATTATCCTTTAATTTATGTTTCAGTCTACTTATCTAGTAAGAAGTAAACGCTGTAAGCAAATATTTCAAGAAGCCATAACCTTGAACCCAAGATTAGGGAAGTACATAACTGACACAATTAGATTGGCTGATAAGTTGGTAGAGTTGAGCAACAAAAATGTTGGTGATACTAATGTTTTAAGCTTAAGTGAAAACTTTACTGGTCTCTTGAAACTTTTTGATGATAAGTAAGTCCTTTTTATTTTCTTCAGATTTCTTGATATTTATGCTTAACTTCTTCTCTTCTGTGTCACATCTCATACGTTTTTCATTTTTGTGCCCATATGTTCGGCGTCCTATGCCATGTGACAAAGAGAAAAAGTGCATGCTTTCAATTGAGTTCTACTTGCACATCTCTTTAAACTCCGCAATTATTTAATGCCATTAAACATTAATGCCTTTCATTAGTGTTAAAATTATTTCATTGGTATTAAAATTATTTTCCAGAATATTTTTTACCTAGTTTTAATATATATTTTATGCAGATATATATCTTAAGCGCCTTAAAACAATATAGTTATCAAATATGTTATCACAGTGCATTATTATTATTTTTTTTAAGATAATCCTGTGGACGTGACATAACATATTTCACCAACAATAGGTGAAGCAAAAAACTTCTTACTAACAAAAATATTTTGCATTTTCGAATTTCGGATAGAACACATGTTAATTTTCAGTAATTAAAAAAAAAATGCTTTTATGGGTCGGAAATTCGAAGAAAAAAAATCTTTTAATCTGAAATAAATATTTTAGACATATATATTTCCAAACATGTATATGGGTGATTCTTTTTAAACATGACAATTCGGACCAAAAAATTTCTTCAAATTTAAAGTCTTCAAAATAATCTAAACATTTTTTCGTATACTTCTTTAGTTACATTTATTACAGATCTCACAGAGAGCAGTGTAGTTTAGTGACATTTACTCGAGAAAAAAAATAAAATAAAAATTCACCAAATCTTGAATGCCAGGAAAATGACATATTAGCTTAGAAGTTTAAAAAAGTCATTTTAAGTTAATAGTAAGTAACTCAACTTAAGCCTTTATGTTAGATGGATCATAAATTGCTTAAATTAATTCTTTTTATCCACTGTAGAAAAAATCAAATTTTTTTTGTTGTTGCTGATATGTACAGAATAAAATTTTGTATAATAATCAGTCATTAAATAAATAAATAGCTTTGATTACATCCAACCATATTACAATCATACATGAACTTGGTATTAGGTTAATATTTGCTTTTCCTCCTTACAGTATTAGCAGTTAAAAGAAATTTTTGGTAACACTTCAATGTCCTAGAATTCATAAGCCAGGGAAATGACAGCCAGGATAATGAAAAATTTGCCATTTTATAGCATATAACTTTAATTTAATTTAATATTTTGTACTAAGACGTTTACATTCTGCAGAAAACAACAGGATTTCTTAAAATAACTCAGATAAATCTATGTAGTTTATGTTATTAATGATTTCAAGAAGCCAGGTAAATGACCACACAAATACCTACTCATCATGAAAAATTTTTTGAACCAGAAAATTGGTTCTTTATTCATGCAACAAGACATGCTCATACAGGAGGGTATCTAATCAATCTATTAACATAAGATATTGATTGCTGGCTCGATCTGTTTTGTTTATAAACCACTAAATCTAAATAAAAGTAGCCAGGAAAATGACAGATTTTCTTGGGACAAACAAATTATTGACAGAATTTTTTTTTTAAACGAAGTTTTTGTAAGTAATACCCTTTGCGTATATTCTAGAAATGCTTACACCGGTTGAGATATAAAAAAAATTAGATATTGAAAAATTTATGGGAAGTTTTGAATCTAGTTATTATAGGAAACATTGTTTGGGACATGCCAGGAAAATGACATTTTGAAGTTCAATTAAATTTTTTAACTATACAAAACAGTCAATGCTAGTACAAAGTCATTTTAAAATGCTAACAGCAATGCAATTCATAAATTTAAAAAAAAAAAATTCTTTTAGTATTATAGTATTAGATCCTGGAGCAAGGGTCAGTGAATTGTCATATTTCGTGAGAATCATACATATATTTCTTTAATTTTTATAATGTTTTCATTTTTCATGTTTTATTAGCTATCGTTATTATGTTTGGTTAAAAATTACCTGCATTTGTAGGGCAAAATTTTCTAATTCAGATACTGGTCAGTTACCATATGTAGCATTTTTTTAACTGGTGTCACTTTTTTAAACTTTTGGCCTCAGTTTCAAAAATTGAACATTTTAAATGAGTTAAAACAAAACTGCTGATACTAATAATGCAAGACATTTCTTCTGAAGTATTTCTCAAAATATGGTAAACACTATACAGGATTTTTTCTAAAATGAAAAGAAAAAAAAATTAAGGAACAAGCTTGAAAAAATTCTCAGATTCATACCTAACTAGAATTGTCTTGTTGTTTGTACAGATCTTGTGATTTGGACCCATCTGGAGATAGAGTATCCGCACAAAAGCTTGAAGCAGCCAAATTGTTTTTCCTTTTTGTTAATATTGAGGCATTTAAGGTTTGAATGAATCCGAGAATTCAATTTATTGTAAGTTGGGAGATAACTTAAGGTTACACTTAATAAGGTTAAGTTAAATCCAATAGTGATATAAAACAATTTATTTCACTTGATTTTAGGAATTTAAAAATTTGTAGCTCTCCAAAAGTGGGTTTTAGAAATCTGAAATTTTCATGGAAGTCTTAGTTGAGCAGTAATGCTATGGGTAAATTTTAAAAGTTAGTTTAATGTGAACCATCCTAATATATTTATAGTATGTATTTTACATAATAATATGTTTTTTTATTTTTGTTTCTTTTTAAATTATTATTTACAAATCAGAACTTCATAAAAGGAATTATAAAATGTATATTCTGTTGTTGTTTTTTTCAGAAACTTTAGTCAAATTATGATTCCAACTCAAACACAAATGATTGTGACAATGCCTAATGGTTATGTATCTAACACTAAATACAATGCATTCCCTTTTACTCCAGTATACATTAAAGGCTTTGCGGATGCAGTAAGCTGTATAATTAATTCTATCAATTCCTAATTTTTTTATGATACTATTTATTTGTAATTTTACTTATTTTAAATTTTTCAAGGTTGAAGTCTTCTCTTCACTTCAAAAACCAAAGAAAGTTATTGTTCTTGGAAGTGATGGAAAGTTATATCCAATGATGTGTAAACCTAAGGTCATTATTATCTTTTTTAAAACTTTATTGTGGGCAATTCCATATGTGACGGAATGACATTTTGACTTGCATGATGACAATTAATTGAAGTTTCTATGCATCTAATTTCAAATAAACATGATTTTTTCTCATGCATATCATTATTATTGGTATAATGTGATTCATAAACTAAAAAAAAAGAATTTTGTATTTTTTTTATTTTTAATTTTATGAACTTTTTACTTGTGTGACGGAATGACATTTTGGCAACCAAGCTTTCGGCATGCCGCTTAGAACTGGTAGTTTCTGTGAATTTTGCAACTATTATTTTCCTGAACTATTTTTTACTTTTAGTATAATGTGTAAGCAATGTAAATTGTGAATTTGGAAAATTAACCTCAGGTTGGCTAGCAGTTATTAACATCTATTTGCTGTGACGGAATGACCGTGACGGAATGACAAAAAGTTTAGTGGAAGAAAGTCTTCATTTAAAAAATGTTTTATTAATATGTAAATGATAAACAGAATGTAACAGATAAACAGAATTAATATTTACGTAAGAATCAGTTAAAATTTCAACAATTTGAAAATTAGGTTGTCTCAGAAGAGGTTTTATATCTAACTTGCCAATGTCACATCTTATCTTCGTTCTCAGGAAATTTATGCATAAATCAATTTTTGTCCCATGTTCTTTAAATACTTTAACATCTAAATCGTCTTTGTTTATCAAAGTAATTTGCGCTGCATATAAATGTGCCTTCTTTTTTTTCGCAGTATGGGACAATGATTAAAGAGCCGACCGCATACTCCTCAATCATATTTTCCATTTCCTCTTCAAAACAGTGGCTTTTCAAATCATACACTTGGTTTTGGTTAAAATTAGAAAGCATTCCAATTTTGATGATTCGCTTCTCAACTACATGAGCATCTAGTGCAGGTCTCTTGTTCCTGGCAATGCTAATGTAGCAAGTGTCTAGCTGAAGTCATTCTCTTTTGCCCTCTCTTAAATAGAATAGCTGGACAAAAACAAAACTTCAACGATTTGTTGCTTCGACTTTATGAAATCATAAAATTCTTTTACATATTATGTGCCGTTTTACAGCAGCCAACATCTTGTTTGGCCTTTTAGAACAACATCACAATTACATGGTATTTATAGGTGCATGTGCTGTGAGGTATTAATGAAATACACTTAACAAAAATGAGAATAAGAACAAAAATGAGATAAGACACACTTTACATCAATATATGCTTCTTTATGAAAAGCCTCTTTTAAGGCCATAAGTATATATTGCATCTGCACTCTTCGTTACTCTGTCAGAGTTTGTATTATGACTGAATCCTTCATACTTGGGGGCTTGTAACTAACATCATCTTGACAGTAAAATTTTTTTAACCAAATTAAACAGCTCATCAACATTACTTTTCTCACTTAGTTTCTTTTGAGTTCGATGTTAAATACTTCTCACATAAAGACTGAATTAATTTTTTTACCTCTATTGGTGATTTTGGAAGTGAGTGTACAATTTTTTTTATGGTGAGTGTACAATTTTTTTTATGGCTTTACCAAGACTCTGCAGGAATTTGTATAGGGAATTTAAATTATTTGTATGTGAAGAGATTGGTAGAATTTGATTTTTTCTTTGTTTACACAATCTCTGCACAACAGCGTTTGCACTTCTGAGTTTTTTAAGTCCAACTTTTGTCGCGGAAGCTTTCTTCTCTGCCTTTCTTTCTCTGTTTTTTTTCTTCATCATATCATGGGGATCTTGGTCTTTTTCAACATTTTATCTGTCTTTCAACAGCTGTTTTAGCCATTAGGTTAATTGAAAAAAAAATAATTCCCTAGTTTTTGACTAAGCTTCTCAAGGACTCGTTTTGTCATTCCATCGCCGAAGATGTGTCATTCCGTCACGCTAATTATTGGAAGTTAATAATCAAATGCATAGAATTTTACAATTTCTCATTGATTCTTATGCCACATCTGCTTTATATTCCAAAATATACACATTTTCATTCAAAAACGCAGTTGCTATTTAAAAAAATATACTAAAACATGTGACGGAATGACACAAAAAAAAGTTACTTTTATTTAATATATTAAACTTAAAATGACTTAAAGGCTATGTTTTAAATGTTTAAATTTTGTACTATATGCATATTTTTATCAAAATATTGCAAAAGAAAGATACATTTCTTTTATTTTATAAGTATTTTTCAAGAAAACAATTTGAGCACAAATGTGAAGAATTCACTTGTCAGCCATGTGATTACTTTAGAATGCTGCCAGATTCAAAAAACTTAAAATTATCAAAAATTAAACAGTAATATGTAGACTTTGGCTATTTTTGAACATATTTTTAAAATTAAAATATGCAATTCATAAAAAAAAAATTTCACTTAAAAGTTGACACTTTCGTGGAATTGCCCTTGTGTTATTTATGAAAAGTTGTAATAGAAGGAGGTTTTTCCCTGAAAACCTGTATCAAATGTGCAATCATAAAGTTATTATTTTCTTAATTCTTACTATAATATAAAAATCTAATGAAATTAAAGATAATCTAATGTATGTAACAAATCACTAAAGAGAAAATCACATATGAGGATACTCAATAAAAAAGAAAATTCTCTGTTATTACCATAATGTTATTGAGAGTTATCATTATAAATTCACCTGTAAACTGTTTGTGATTTATATATTATTTTTACTATTATGTTTTTAATTTCCTTTTATAGTAATTTCTTTTTATAACAACTTTTTTGCCTAGCTTGGAAACAAAATAGGTTACTTTTAACAATTGGTTCCCTAAAATTCATAATTAAAAAAAATTATTTGTAATATTTATGAACAATTGTATTCTTAATGTTTTATAGAAGAAAAGTTCATTCCATTTAAACTTTTCTTTATATCAATGAATTTGGCTTTTCATATATTTAATAAGTATTGTTTTCAAATGTATTTTTGTAGGATGATCTGAGAAAAGATTGCCGATTGATGGAATTCAATAATTTAGTTAATAGATATTTGAAAAGTGATCCTGAAGCTAGAAAGCGACAACTTTACATTCGAACTTATGTAAATATAGACAAAAAATTTTATTATAGATTATTACATAGTTATATAAATTAAATTCTAACTATGTAAATATTTTAGTTTTTTATATTCTTGCAGTATTCATGTTTAAAGTTATTTTCCCTAAATGCAATGATCTTAGAAAATTGAAGATTTGAATTGTTGAATATACATGCTAAGTGGCTTCTCAGTAAATTTTTCATAAAAAATGTAGAAAAATATTGAGAAGCTATTTATAAGACATATCCCTTTAAAAAATTTCTATATGCGTGTTTGTTTGCATTTTCTTATAAGAAACCTGTTAAAACCAAAATTTTAACTAGTGCTGTTTAAACTAGTACTAAAACTAGTGCTGTTTTTTCTGGCGTAAAAAGTGCATTTATAAGCTTATTGCAATAATTGTGCATTTTGACAGTTTTATTTATGGATGCATTTGGTAACATTTTTTTTTAATTTTTTAAATTTAACTTTTACTATTGAATAGTCATTAATTTGTTAGAAATTTTTTAGGCTCTATTATTTTACAGCTATAGTCATAGGTAAAAGTTCCTTTTAAGAACAGATTCAAAATTTGTTTCATGCATACATATGTTTTTACTCCTTAAAACATTTTGATTTTTAATTGTATTGTCATATCACTAATAATCAATAGCATTTCAATTATTGTTTAATATTTGTTATTAATTTTAATTCAGTTTAGTTGAGTTACTTAAAGATTACATTCTAATTTGAAATCACTTCCTTATTATAAATTTGACACAGTTATCATTATGTGAACTCTAATCAAACAAAATGATAACTTTCTCTAAAATTGAAGAAAAGAGTTGATGAGGAAGACCATCCATGAGGTGGCTAGGTAGTGTTGAGAAAGACTTATAACTTATGGGAAGAAACTGGTGGAGAAATATTGTGTCAGATCGAGAAAACTATAAGTTTATAAATTTCTTCTCAATGAATATAATTGTGATGTATAATAGTTTATTTTTTGATTCTAGGCAGTTGTACCCTTAAATGAAGAATGTGGCCTCATTGAATGGGTGCCCAATTTGCATGGGTTACGCTTAATACTGTCAAAACTTTATCGACTGAGAGGAATGTTTATATCAGGACGAGAGATTAGAGCTATGATGCCTTCCAAAACTGCAACATTTGAGTAAGTTTTTGTTTTTTTACTAAAGTAACATACAAAAAGTTTTTTAATGATATGTTTAACTCTAAATTTTCATGCTTTCTCTAGAGAGAAGCTTAGTATATTCAAAACTAGATTCCTTCCAAAATTTCCTCCCATCTTTCATGATTGGTTTCTAATAACATTCCCTGATCCCATGGCATGGTATGTTATTTTGCTTATCTATATGTATTTAAAGAAATGTATGCATAGTTATATCTTAGATATTTTAATTTAATTAAACTGCCATTTTTACGATACACTAGACTTTTATAATAGTAAATATGGATTGTTTAGCTTAGTATATGTCTACCCTGTCATAACTTAAGTTGAGTAGTTGTTTAAATAATCAATGGATTAGAAATTTTTTAAAAACTGTAATAGATACTTTTTTGTGTACGTAGTTTCTTTGTTTTAAAAAAGGGAAAAGAGAAAGAGTTTTAATTTATAATGTAGGAATTTTCTCAAATTTCAAATCCCTCCCATTATTTAAGCAAATGTTAGCATGACTTTTGTGATGAAAATTTAAATGAAAAATTAACTCCAGTAGAGTTTTCTAAAATCTGATTATATTGTTCTCTGCCACTTGTCAAGTAAAAATTTTAGAGTCCTACTTTCAAATATTATACTTTTGAGCTGAGCTAATCTAAATAAATGCAAAGTTTACAGGAAAAAAGTATATGTATATTAAGGCATTATAAATGTATATTAATTCAGAATATCTAACAAATTTTTCATCTTTTGCAAACTAAAACCTTTATTGAAAATGTTAAAGACAAAATTTTCAAATTTTAAGAAAATCTGTCTCTATTTTTGCTGACAATTTTTAAGAAATGTCAGGCCTATAAAAGGTATGGAATGTATATCTAAATTTAAAAAATCCTAGCTAATGTCTTTTTATCAGTTTGGTGCTGGTTATTTTCTCTGAATTGATTAAATTTTAATGATTTTTCACACACAAAAAGGTATACAGATTGCCAAAAATATCGATTCGCATTAGAATATGATGTAAATTTTAATGTTAAATAAATCTCTTTTTCTTTCCAAGTGAACATATTATTAAAAGTTTTAGATACTGATTGTCTCAAATTATTTCGCTAGAAAAATTTATTAATCACATAAAAAATAAAAATATACATTTATATTTATTTTCACATTAATCTTCTATACGTTTTCAACTTTTTTTAAGACAGTGAGAAAAAAAATTACATACAACTTAACTTTTGTATGACTTCTCTGAGGTGATGTTTAATAACCTAAGGCTCAATAAGTTCATGCAAAACGGCAACATGCTTTTACAGTCGGTTAAAAATTAGATAACCCATAAGATAATGAAATACACTGCATTGATGAAATACACTGCATTGATTACATGTCATTTAAAGTTCGTGAAGACTGATATTTATTGGAAAATGATCTTGAATCTGTATACTATCAAAGTATGGAAAAATATATAGATTTTTTAAAATTTATATTGTTGTTTTTTTTTTTTAAATTTGATGTTTGATTTATAAATTTTTGAAACTGGTTAGTAGAGAAACTATTGCAAGATATTGTAGCTATCATTTATGTTCCCACATTTATATAGTAAAGATTTAAAATTAGTACATAATTTTAATGAAATCCTATTGATTTTTATTATTATACGAGCGCTAAGGGACCACAATATTTGCTCCTCTTAACCAAGTGTTTGTTAAAAGACGGAAAAATCTTAAAAGTTCATACATATTAAATAAATTTTAAATATAGTTCTTAATTTGTGTATTTTTTATTTTTATACAGTGCTAAAGAAGTTTGTTAATTTGTTTAAATAGTCTTATTGTGTCTTTGTTGCGTTATATTGTTCTTTGAATGAAACTCGTGGCCTGAAAAACATTGTGTGCTATTGAAAAAAGTTCACTTTTTCACTGGATTTATGACTCATCATTAATTTTTAGTTGTCTTCAACATGTTGAACAAATTTTTCTTAAAAGGTATTTTATGAATCCGGGTTCTCGTTAAATCAGGGCTTATTATAAGTGAGTTCGATTGTATTTAAACTTATACATAAGTTTTTTTGTTGATTACATTCAATTTTTATCAATAAATAACTAACTTTAGGATGTAAACAATTTAGGTTTTTCTTGTAGGTATCATGCTCGTCTTGCTTATGCTCGCACAACTGCTGTTATGAGCATGGTCGGATACATTGTTGGACTTGGCGACAGGCATGGAGAAAACATATTGTTTGATTCTAGCTGTGGTGATACTGTTCATGTTGACTTAAATTGCTTATTTAACAAGGTATTGCATCTTAGTATACTGCTTTTGTAAATAACATTAATTTTTAAATGTTTATTAATAATTATTCATTTTTATATTCAGGGAGAAACTATGGAATATCCAGAATGTGTTCCATTTCGTTTAACTCACAATATGATTGATGCTATGGTAAGTATTATTTAAAATATTGATAATTTTTTTCTATTTAGAAAACAGTTTATTGTTTATAATTCTAATTCTTTAAAAACTTCTGCTACAATATCTATCTATATTTCTTTAAAAACTTATGCTACTAAAATAGTATCAGAATTATTTTTTTTTTATATAAATGTAAATTTACTGCAAATTTTATTACTCAGAAACTATTTTATGAATTTCACAAAAACTTAGTATTTTATCAATTAAATTTACAATTGCATGAAATTTTGTATAAAAAAGTTTCTATGTGCTATTTTTTGTTCCAGTAATTTGACAAAATACATAAAAAATAACATTTACATAAAAAAAATCCAAATTTTTATGTTCTTCTGGCAATATTTTGCAGACTTTAGAAGCTTCACCGCACTGTATATTTTGAGAGTCGAGAATCCATATTTGTCAACAAAAAGGAAAGAATATTTATTTATGGATAGTAGGTTTTGGTGTCTGTTTTCATAACTTAAAATACAATCTGCTCTAATTAGCATATTTAAGGTTAGGACATATTTAAGATCAAACAATCAATATTAAGATTACAAATTAGTACACAAAATTTCAATTATTTGATTAAAAATTATTATTATTTGTTCTCTATACCTCCACGTATTAAAAGGAAAACAAAAAAAAAGTATGCCTACATGCGATACATCGACAGTAAATAATAGAAGAGGTCTGCCAGAAATTTTTTTGATAAGCGAAAAAACAGATTAACCTACTCAAAACTTGAAAATTGTAAATGTTCATCTATAGGAGACTGATGATAATTTAATGTTAACTTATAGACTTCACTATGACAAACATGTCGAACATTAAATAGGCAACTTATTAATTTAATATGATGAGGGATGAAAAATAAATAAAACATCCACAGTAACATATGAAAACAATAGTGATAGAAATAGCATAGCAATCAAAGTATGAGCAACAGATTTATTTATACTCTTACACAAGGTTGATGCCAACACGATCTTTACAAAAGTAAACTATTATAATTAACTCTAAACTTTAAAAAAATGCTAATTCCAAACTATGATATTATATGAATTTGCATCCGACAACCCTTGGATGAGAAACTTCTGTGCATTTACTCATATAAGTGTAAACAAAGATTCCAATGTAACAAAATATTATGTTAATCACATTAATAGATTAGCATATTAGAAGTTATCGATCGACAGAACATTACAACAGACAGAACACAACAGTATCCAAAATAATGTTGAAACTTGCTGCTGCAGTACATAAACAAAGATCAAGAAACAGTGATTTGAAAGCTTTGTACTATGGTTCTTTTCAAATCTACAGCATATGTAAAGAATTTCTACCCTTCGATCGCTGTTGCTGCTTTTTTTGCCTCACCGGTTGGCCACCCACCTGGAAAACCCAGAATTATCAGGGAGTTTGTTTTATACCGAAAAATCAGGGACATATAGATTTTTAAAAAAACTTGAAAAATCAGGGAATTTTAAAGAAAGGCTGGACTTTTTTTCGACTTTCTTAATTTAAATTATTTTACTGTCCTTTATACCCATTTTTTAGACGAAAATTTATCACCAAACTGTTTAAATATCATCAACTTAGCAATACTTTGCTTGCATCAAAATTTGCACCATTATAACCCTGAACTAGAATAACACAAGAAACTCTCCCATGGTTGCTAAATAAATGGAGAAACCTTTGACCTCTGTAAAGACTATGGGACTATGCAGTTTAGGAAAGGTAAGAATTGTGGTAGAGGTGGAAAAAGGGGTTAGGATATTTGCTTCTGTTTATAAAAGTAATGTGTTTTTTTTCTAGTCGGTAGACTGAATCCATTTATTGCTTAAGTTTGTTCTAATACTTAAGGGGTATTTTTTCTTTTGACAAAATGATTCAAAATGTTTTAGTATTTTTAAGTTAATAAAATTCTTCTAAAATTAATTTGTTATAATTTAATAATAAATTTTATACTGCACTGTTTTTTCTATAAAGTAAGCAACAAGAAATTTGACGATTTTGCATAATTCATTTTTAAATATTCAATATCTCTTAAAATAATAATAGTAATTCAAACCAAACAACATGATTTAAACACTCGACTTTAGATATTGTTTTAAAGAAAATATGATCAATGAATTTTATAAAAGCACCATTTGAATCAAATAGAAAATAAATTGGCTCTATATTTAAACGTAAAATATAAAAAATTATTAATGTATAATCGCCTAGAATTTTTTTTTTTTTGCTTTGTGAAAATATATTAAACAAGGTTTTTTGGGTCATTCTGTATTTGCCATTTGGTACACTTTGTAAAAAGCTACTTAAAATAACACATTAAAAAAAATTTTATTCAATAAAAACAATATATTCTGCCAGCTAAACATATTCTGCCAGCTAAACATATTGTTTTCTCAACATCTATCCTAATCTATTAAAAATTTATGTTATAACAAAACATTAAAAAACAAAATTTTGCTAGATTGTTAAAATATATTTAGTCCAATTATTTTTTCAAGATGACATATTTACAAAGAGCATTTTAATTAAAATAATTGGTACTTTTCCATTTCGCCAGCCTAGGCGATAATGTGGCCAATGCAAACCAAGTGCTAGTAAATTCAACTGTATTTACGAGGCGTTTTTTTTTTCTCAAATAAATAAAATAGCCAAAATTACTTGTGCTGGCAAAATGAAAAAGTACCTTATATTTTATAATATTGACACCCTTGTACCCATCCTAGACTTTATGAGAATTAAAAAACTCGCTGACCTGGAAATTTTAAGATTTTCACCTGGAAAAATCAGGGAAATTTTAAACCTGATTTGAGTGACCATCTTGTTTCATTTTTGATCAAGTAAACTGCATATTAATATTGAACAGTTGATATTTTAAAAAGAAAATTATTGAAACTTCAAAGGACTTTGTAAAATGCAGACTTCATAAGGGGTTAACAGAAAAATCAGGAAATTTTTTTCAAAAACGTCAGGACATATTGGGGAATAATTTGGAACAGTAAACATATGCAAGATTACTTTAAAAAAGACAAGCAGCAAATTAAAAAAAAAAGTATAACTTTCCCTACTTAAGTAGAGGCAAATTTTATTGCAAAAGAATAATAAAATGAATTATATTTAATTTCAGAATTACTTTATTTAGAGCTGTAAGTTTTAACTGTTTTCAGTATAATTGTATTAATTAAGGAAGCATTGAACTCTTATATCAGTAGAAATAAAAACTTTTTATAGGACTGTTGCATTAAAAAAAAATAATAACTGGTATCAATTCGTAATTAATATTCCCTCATATCAACATTTATTTAAATTTGTAGTCTAGTTCAAAACTTTCAAAGAACAAGATGAAAAGAAAACGCAGTTAATATACTGCTTAAGATTGTACAAACGTAACTAGGTGGACAATCCCACAACTAAGCATTTAAAAATCCTATGATATGATTACTTTATTGTTGATCATTTTTAAAATGAGATGAATGATATCAATTACTGTGAAAATACTAAACCCCACACTACAAGATTAGTTACTGCATTTTCTGAAAATAATAAGCATATGACCCCTAAATTTATTAACATGAAAATTGATAATGTAAAATTGTTAATTGAATTACCCGTTAATTAAATTACTGGATTCCCAAAAAGTTTGAAACAATGACTCTTGTGAGTAAGGCTATTTGCCTGTACCACACATATAATTAGTAGATAAGTTTTGTAATTTTAATAACTAAAATAAGATGTTGAAATGGAAATTCAAATATTTTATTCCTCAAATCAATGGTCCACGTTTCGTATTCGTAGAAACTGAAATGTTCTATAAATACATAAAAATCAAAAATATCAGGATAAAAAGTTAAAAAATGGGTCAAAATATTTTTCATCAAGTACAAACCAAACAAATACAAACCTTGAAAATAAACAATTTATGACAAACCATAATACAGGGTGCGTATCTTTTTTAAAAAGTGATTAAAGGTGCTTATTTTCGATTTCTAAAAGCCCTTAAAGGTGTTTTTTTCATTGGGTGTTTTTAAAAAGTGCCTAATTTTCCCTTTTTCAAAATCAGATTTTTCCTTTATTATGTTGATTTTCTGTTCGAATTTTGCAAAAAAAACACAGTTTGCATTTTTCTATTTAATGTTTTCAAAATTAATTCAACCCCAATCTATTTCGGCGCATTCTCAGTTCGTAGCGTATGAAAACGCCATTCGTTTCACATGATTCAAAATTTCATGATTTTTGACAATTGTCAAAAACAATGCCAAAAGGTTTTTTTTTTGTTTTTTTTTTTGTTGACATGACAGTTAAAACAAGATGAAACCGTCAATTGTCAAAAACTCTCCAACCCTGCCCAATTATAAATATAATTTTTTTTTAAAGTGCTTAAAAATATTTGTGAGTGCTTGAAAAGTGCTTATTTTTTGTTGAATAATATGGCTATGCACCCTGTAATAAGTTTTGCAAAAATATATTTAATATGATGAGCTGTGCTGTCACAGTTGTTAAGGTACTGAACTGACATTGTGAAGATTTGGGGTTCCAATCCCAGTCGTTGCTTGAAGCCACTCAGCTTCAGATTGATGGGTATTAGCTTGTCTGGGAAGTAAAGACAGTGTGTGCGTAAGGCTGACCACATTGCCATAATCATACCATTGCTCTCGAAATTGTGGAACCTTAACCTTCATGACAGCCTGTTGTGGGAATACTTTTCAATATTTTATATTTTGAATAAAGTATAAATATAGATTGTATTTTAATTTCGATAAAAATATAATAGTGATTAATAATAACCAAAAATTCACAGAGCAACATCTTTTCAACCTCTCTCTCCAACTCTCAACACCTGTTCTAAAAAAATATTCATCCTTTCTTGTAAACCACATTTCATCATCATTTCTTAAATCATTTTATTTTTTATAACCTGCTAGAACAAAACCTTTCAGCATATACAATACTTATAGAGACGTTAAAAAAACTTTCTTTACAGGGTCCAACAGGTTATGAAGGATCATTTAGAAAAGCTTGCGAAGTTACTATGCGTGTTATGCGTAGCAAAACAGATGCTTTAATGAGGTAAACGTGTAATTTTCTGGAGGTGTCTTGATTTTATTTTTATGCTTAAATATTTAGTATGGTTGACTTTTCTATTAATTTCTATAGTGTTTTGCGTCCTTTTGTGCATGATCCTTTAGTTGAATGGAGCAGATCTAAGCATCATAAAACACAACTTGAATCTGGAGAGATCACAAATGAACAAGTAAGCTGTCCATTAGTAAAAATATAATTAGTTCATAATATATAATTATCAATCTTTGCATCTTTTTCAATCTTTGGAACAAGTTACAATGTCAAAAAAATTAATTTTGGGATATCTTTGCAATACATTAAAACTTAATTATACTGTAATAACAAACATGATTAGTTTATTTTGACTACCATTATTACACTGGTGTTCAAAGTTAAGAGAATTTTTATATTTGATCGATTATCTCCAGAACTACTGAATTTTACTAAAATTTGGCTTGAATATAAGTTGATATAATACAAAAAAATCATTCAACAGTTATAATGCACACACATGATTGTGCGTAACATTCATCAGAGTCAGATGGTTTCAAAGAATGATTGCAGTATTGAATTTAAAAAAATGATTTAATAAGGGTACATGCAGGACTCACACCACGATTTCATGCTGGAAATAAGACAGTTTAGAAGTTGTGGCAGTTTGCTCCACTTGTTCAATAACCCTGTTTTCAGACACTGGATGATTCTCAACACGAGTCGATTTACGAGTTGCAATTATCCTCCCCGAAGCGTTCCAGACGTGCTGTATAAGGTTGAGGTCTAGAGGACGAGGACCTCATCCTTAAACCTCCCACCAGTCATAATAAATACCAATGAAGAGGTGTGCAGGAATCCTGCATTAAGCCTACCTAGACCAGCAAAACTCGGCTGCCATAATGGTCAACTTCTCGGGTATTAGAGGGCAGGTTACTAGTTATCTCCATATGAAATTATATCTAGAATCGGGGTTTTATCAGTGAAGAGAACATTCGATCATTGATCTATGCTTCAATCTCCATGATCTCTGCACTATCTTAAGCAGTATCTTTTGTTGGCAGATGTCAGTTGGTCCCATGTCTTTTGCAAACAGCAATCTCTCTTATCAGTTACCCTTGAAACTAGGTTTCCTGTGACTGCAGGACAAAGGCCGCTTTTTGTTGGCCAGGCTTTCTTTCAACGGATTTGGAGTCTTGAAACTGTTTCGATAAATGGCACATGATGCAAGGCATTAAATTAAATTCTCTACAAATCTGGATTTGAGACTGGCCTGATCCAAGTCTCCCTACAGTTCCCTACCACCTCAATCCATTATCTAAACGTTGGTGGTTTCTCATTTTTTTAAATTAAATTATAAGAATGATTGCTGCAAAAAAAAAAATTAAGAAATTTGGCAAGATTTCAAGCAAACGAAATGCAGATTTTACTGTATTCGCTTATTAACTCTTTTCCTCAACACATGCACTTACATATTCAACACACAAAATTTACATCTCTGTTTCGAAGCAGTGGTTTTACATTTCGCTCAGTTGTTTTTAGGAAATTCAACAAAATATGCAATTTCTATAATTTCGAACGACAGTGTAGAACCAAAAGTTTCTGATTTACTTTGTATTTAATGTATTAATTTTTCCATGCAGGGTTTAACTCATGTTAAAGATATTGAACTAAGATTAAATGGCATCATAAAATCAAAAAACAAGCAACAAGGTTTGCCACTGTCCATTGAAGGTCAAGTTAACCATTTAATTCAAGTATGTATTTCTGCTTTATCATAAATAATCCATAGTCAAAATACTTTAGAATCTTAAGTTGAAACCTCATTATATGCTATATTTGATGGTTATTCTTCCTACACCACATTTTAGTTTCATATAATAAGAGAATTTAAATTATGTGCTTCTATATTCTGTCGCATGCAGCCAAAAATAGTTCAAAAGTTATAGCAATGTTTTCATGAATGTAAACAATTTAAAATATTTTTACTAAGCTATAGCAACTGCTTGTCTTATGAAAAGGATTTAGAATTATTTTTTTCATTTTTAGTTTTAAATTTATTCTAAGAATGATTTAATGATTCACAGTTATACTGAACTAGATAGAATTTATTCTGAAAAGTTGCATCTTCAGTTGCCAACTTTTTGAACAACCCGTTATATAGTTTCTGTATGATACTATAATTCTTTATTTAATAATAATTCTTTTTTCAATATTTAAAATAATTCTATAAGAAAAAACTGCGAGAAGTACAGAATAAAATCTTAAATAATAATGATTTTCAGAAATTTAGGAAACATTCTCATTGGATCTAGATCAACATTATGTACAGTGTGCAAAAAATAAATGGACCACCATGGACTTTTGATCTTATGACCGGATCTTCAGTCATTATAGTTCAAGAGGATAACCTCAAATATGCTAAATAATTAGTGCAGACAATATTTTAAGTTATTTACTTTCTCTAAATAAACATAAATTTTTATGATGAATTTGGATTTCTGAACCCCAAAATATAGGGTATTACTGCAATCTGGGAAGTATGTTCCCCATAGTTTGGTCTGGAGAGCAATTCAAAATTTGGACCCCGTAATGTTAATTTTACTTTTTGCATAAGTCATTATATCTCGAGAAATTTTTAAGCAAATGGCAAACATTTGACACAAATATAAAATTCATTTATCCAAAGATAATTCTGTTAAAAAAATAATAACTTTTCGAAAATATTTTATAATTTCATTTAATAATAGACTAAAAAATTTTGACAACAATTTAAACAATGCAGTTTGTAATAAATCCAGAGAAATCTAATTTTAAAAAAGTCGTAGATTTAAAATCCGATTTCTCAGGAACTATTTGACTAATTTTGTATTTTGCCATTTAAAATGAATTTCTTTTAAATGATGCAAAAAATTTTATACCGTACAATTCAAACTTTTTCCACTATTATTAAATAATAAATATTTACTAAAAGTTATCTTTTAGCCTGTAATCATCTTTGTATAAACGAATTTTATAATTGTATGCCAAAATATACAAAAAGTAAAATAAGCACTAAGTGGTCCTGACTTTGGATCTCTCTCCTGATCAAACTATGGGGACCATATTTTTTAGATTGCGACTGCTCCCTATATTTTGGGGATCAGAGTCTGTCGAAAAAATTGCATGTTAATTCAGAAAATATACGCTTTTGTGTCTGTTTTCGTAACTTAAAATATCGTCTGTACTAATTAAATAGCATATTTTTGGTCACCCCTTTGAACCATTAAGATTTTCTCCTAGCATGTGAAGATTCTGATTATTATACCGCTTATTTTTTCAAGCACTGTACCTAAATCTATCTGGATCAAGATGTTCATAAATTGCAACAATTAGATCAATTGATTCTTAATTTCCCAAATGGATAATTTTGTAGTTATTTGAATGAAGAAATTACAATGAAATAATATGCATTACAAATAAGTTTGTTTACATGACTTTTTTTACTCTAAAATGTTTACAATAAGAAATTAACTGTTTATAATACATTAACTGTTTATAATATATTTTTCTCTGCACTCTAAATCATTTTAACCAGTTGAACTTTTTTAACATTGGAATGTGATGGTTATAACAATCCTCAGCTCACTCCACTGACTCTGTGTTACAGGATTCTTTAGCTCTTAATGTGTATCATTTCAGCTTAATTTAAAACACACTTCATATTTCCCTATACATGTAAGTCTGTGGTTAGATTAAAATCATTTATAAATTACCATTGTTTATATTGTTATTCCAGTTTTAGAGGTGCCAACTTTCCACGATAGCTATCAATAGTCTAGGAGTACCATAAAACCAAAATACATACAGTTAGCGTTTTTGAAATTCAAACTAACAAAATTTTAAAGTGTATATACTATTTAATTCCATATAGGTTATAGTTATGCATAAAAATAAGTAATAATTATGCATGAAATAATATTTAATAAAAAGATGTAGCATTTAGATGAAAGTACTAAAATAAAAATGAAATTTTATACTTCATCATAAAATGATAAAATTGAATTTATTATTTTGTCAATGTTTTAGTTTTTGGTAAAATAAAAACTAGCCCTTACTGCTTTATTATCATTCTCATTTGAAACATTAAAAAATTTTTGCTCACAGGATTTAGATTTAAGTTTAAGTTAATCTTCTCTTATCAAAAAGCAAATGAAGTTTCAGAATAGCTTGTTGGAAAGAAGAAAGATGAGATTTTTTTTATTTATTGTTTAAGGAGTAGAAAAATTATTGTAGATAAGTTGCAAACAACAAAATTTCGTATCTATTGGTGAAAAAGAGAATCTTAGTTTAGACAGATTATGGAAATTTTTAAACACTGTCATTTTTATTACTCAACTGTAATCTTGACTAAGGATTATTGTTATAATTAAAGATAAATTGTAATGCTTGGCACCTCTATAATTTTTACTCTAATTAAAAATATTCTATAGACCTTTTGCTACCTGTATTTCAAAAGTTTGTGGTTCATCATTTTAAGCTAAAATGTAGTTTTAATCTTTTTTTTATTTTTTTGAACTCAAGTAATACTCATATCCTGAATATTTTGAAATTTTTATAAGATTGGAATTTGAAAATAAAGATTTTGTTGGTCTTGTTTTAGGAAGCTGTGGATATTAAAAACTTGAGCCAAATGTATATTGGATGGGCAGCTTATATGTGAGCAGTTTGTGATAATTATACAGTCTTGCATAGAATTTAAATATAAATGCAGTGTTGAATTGAATTTTATAAAGCTATTGTTGAGATTATTTTTTAAACAATAAGAATTACGAGTCTGTAATATACCATGTAAAATATTTTTGTTAATATTTCTAAATAAAAGTTTTCATAAAGCTTTCATGTAAATTATTTAGATTTAATATACTGTTAAAAAAAAACTTGAAAGTATTTTATTGACATCAGTGATTCTCAGCCTATAAGGCGTGCATTGCCATAACAGTATAAAAAAATGTTGTAAAACAATTAAGTATGTTATTAATTTCTTTTAAAAGTATTTTCCAGAAAAGTTATATTTGATAATTTCATTCATCAACTGTTTATCCTCACGAAAGTAATCACATATGGATCAATACATCAGACGTCTGAGAATTTTTTTATGTTAATATCGCTAATTACAGAATGTTATTTAGAGATATACTGTTAGTATGTATTCCAAATTATTTGCAATTAATAATGACTTTTTTTAAATATTTATTAACTATAACTCAAATTGTGCAAACTAGGAAGAGTTAGTTTTTTTTCAAGTATTTTGTATTACATAGTAAAATTAATTGCGATAAAAAAAGAGAGTGCCTTACACAAGACAACACAGGCGTGTATCTGCTGATAGTCCCACATAGTAAAGGTATCTAGGGGCAAAGAGATCTTCATGAGCTAAAAATTGATCATCTAATTTTTTTTATAAACTATTTATTTATTGATTAAATAAAATGCAGAATAATTTTAAATTTTATTGATTTTATTTAAATATAAATTACAAAACGATCACATTTTCACAATTGTGCAACTTTATCACTAAATATTTTATCATATACGTTTGAATATTTTTCGTAAATTAATTATTTTTGATAAACAAGCTTAAAGAAAATAAATTTATATTTATTAAATTATTCATAAAGTTTCAAAAGGAAAAAAAACTCATCCTTAAAAGTACTCTAACTACGTGTTAGGTGAATAATAAAGTGTATAGAAAAGGAAACTTTGAAAATAATTGTCAATTGGCATATCCAGTTGAGCATTTTACCATTAAAAAATTAAAATGCTTAAATAATGGACTAAAAAAGAAAACTAAACCATAAAAAAAAACTAATTTCAAACCCTTCTTAATTTAACACCTTACAAATTTCAACAATTAACTTGTTGCAGTAATTAAATGAAATAAATTAATAAATTTTTCTTTAAATTTGGTTTGATATTGATTTTTACTCTAGATTAACAAAAGCAAGGAAAAATGATACTGAACACAAAATAAAACGCATAACAAGAGTGTGCTTTCTAGTTTCATTGTCACTGTACATTTGGCATCTTTTGATAACATAAAAATTACTGGAATGCTCAATGAATGTTACAGCTGCATATGACAACTCTTAATTTTTTATACTCTTTACACAGTAATGGAATTTAATTATCAAGCAATAACATTTTATTCTATTTTCATAACTATAACAACATGAATGAAGAGAAATAGAACAAAAATATTAAATAACATTTGTTTTAATGATTGGATTTTCACAAATGCTTAATGGCTCCAACTTTTAATTTACAAAATTAAACAAAAATCTACTTTTGCTGAATAAAGTTTTTTTTTTCAGATGACTTTTTGATTTGCGATCATCAAAATATAGTGGAGGGCAATTTAGAAAATATGGTCCCAACAGTTAAGGCTGAAAATTTAGGCCTCTTAACTTATGATTTTTTCATCATATCTCAGGAAATTTTAATAAAGAACAAAAGAATTTTCGAACAAAATTTTGCACACTTATAAAATTCATTTATCTAAATAAAAAATTGTTTTTAATAATTTTATATTTAATTTAATAATTGTAAAAAAAATTTAAATTTTAAACATTGTCATTTTTAAAGACAAAATTCAAATTTTGTACGAAATTAGTTTAGAGAAATAAAAATGTAAAAGTAGGAAAAATTTTATGGCTCACAAATTACTTGACCAACTTAATTTAAATTAAGGATTTTGTCATGTAGTTTAAAATGATGTTATAATTTTTAAACCTTATAATTCATAAGTGTTTCAACTACACATTAAATAAAACATTAAAAATTACTTTTACATGTGGATAAAATATGTAATTATATGTGTGCCAAAATGTGTCAATAAGAAGTTTTAAGGAATAGCCAAATACACAAAAAATTAATAATAAAAAGATCCAGTTTCTGACTTTTGGGACCATAATTTTCAGAATGTGTCTATTTACTATATTTTGATATCACAAATCCACCTAAAAATTGTTTATTAAGAGAAAGTTCACTTTTGTGTTTGATTTTGTAACCTAAAATAAAGCAAACCCCTGATTAACATATTTGAAATTGCCCCTTTGAACCTTTAAGATTGCACTTAGTTTGTAAAAATCCTATCATTAAAATACAGGTTATGTAGGGTGATATCTTATTTATTTTATCGCAGTATAAAATATGCAGTGATTCTAATTCTTTAAAAATTTCTAACTTCTTTGACCAGCTGTAGTAATACAGCTGGTCAAATTGTTTAACAAAACAAAGCATTTATTCTTGGCACATTAATGTTTTTATAAGATTTCTTTTAGATTATCAAGGAAAAATAAATTCTAAAAAAACATATTTATTAATTTATCAAACATTACAAACCATAATGTTTTAACTCATACCATACCTTGTATAAAACATTATTCGCATATTTTTCTTTTGATTTAATGCTGTCAGTCTATTTGAAGTTATATTAAGAAGACATAGTTCTTTCATGATCTGAACAAATGTGAAATCTACATCTTATGCTATGTTTTTTCATTTCAACAGAGGATCATTAAAACATGAGTAAACTGTATTTAAAACTTTTTTCTTTAATGGAAAATTTTATGATTGCAATTTATCAAATTTGTTTTCACAATTGCAATACGCTGAGATCAAAAAGTTAAATATATAATAATGAATAATCGAAATCATAACTAAATATGCCAAAAGATGCATTTTGAGATTCAAGTTTTCTATAAGAAATAAAATAAAACAAAGCAGATACCTAAATATGTTTTAGACAATTCAAAAATTTTGTGCACCTTATAAAATGTCTAACAAAATAATTTTCTTATTCAACTAGGAAATAGTTTTTAAATGAATTGCTGACATAACAAAACTGAATATGATATGATATTTTACAAATAAATTTTACATTTGTGAAATCTGAATTTTTAAATTTACTTCCACATAAGTATAAGTATATGGTATGCATAAACATTAGAATTGAAAATTTATGTGAAATTTAAAACTATACAGAGATCAAATACTTCTTATCTTACTTCCAAATATTCTAGTGTACATTACCAACTTGGATTTCGATTTTCACTCTTAAAAATTATCTGCATTCATTAGACTTTCAATAATAACCTAAACATTTAGTCTACTAGAATATTTAAATATGATCAAAAAACAGAAGTTACATAAATATTAGAAACATTCATGGACAAAATGTGAATAAAACGGTATTTAAATAATGATATAGAATTGCTCACACAGTTGCAAAAAATAAATAAAAGCTGCCAAATAAATATGCTGCTTAAAAAAATTACATATAGCATTTGAAATTAATGCATAAAATAATCAAGAAAAAAAAATTTCTGCTTAAATATCTGGAGGAAAAAAAAGACACATAAATATTTTAATATAACATATAAACAGTTATTGTAATTACGAAGCACTATTGAGCTACATTCCTAAACAATGTTAAATAGCTGTTATTTATCAATAAATTTAATTTATACATATTACTGTTTAATATACTTCCCAAAACATTAGTAAAAATAATGATATACAATCAAACTTAGATAATTCAAAATTGAAATAGTAATAGAAAAATTTGAACAGTATATATCCTCAGAAACAGAAGTAAAATAAAAAGTCAACTATTTAACCTAAAAACTTTAAGAATAAAATTTTTTTTTCACTAAACCAAACTTCTTTACCTTCTTATTCATTTCCTTGAAAAAGAAAATACAAATGTTTTTGTTATCCAAAGAACAAGATATTTTATCTTTGTTCTTCAAGTATGTTGATAAAGTTTTGGAGTGAATCCCAAATTCTTCGGAAATTTCAGATTTTTTCATTAAAAACCTTTTTACATTTCCAGCCTCTGCTAATTTTTTAGAGAATGCTACACAGTTGGAGAAACTTTTCATGGCAAACTCTGTTTCACCTCTAAAGTTTAAAAAAGTTAAATTTTAGAGAAAAGTGAGTTCAGGTAAGCTATGAAGTTTCAAATGCTGAAATTTTTCCCCACATTTTCATAATTTCTTAAATTTTAAAATCAATTTATCAAAATGCATACAAATTAATGCAGGATTACGTCCCCACTACGTAATCCTACATTTTGATATTTTAGATATTTCGTCAATAACAGGCGATAACAAAACAATGGTGAATGCAGTAAGGAGGGGACCTGGCTTTCATTAGAAAGAGTATCTGCAGAAAAATTTCCTCATATGCAAAGCAAAAAAGTACAAAAAATATAAATAATCCATGACTTCTAAAATTTTTAAACAGAATTCTAGAAAGAAAAAGACTAAAGTTATAGGTTTTGAATTATCCATGATTGAGTGCATAATACAGTCAGTTTATGTCTTGGATTTTGCATATTTTTTCAAATCTTTGAAACATAATTTATCTACTTAATAAAGAACTGTTTCACTATAAGCCTTTAATTTGAAGTAAATAAAATTACCACATTTTCTACTGTTTAAGTCAACTTTTCAAACCCCTTAATTGCATTAAAAGTGAGAGAGATGATATGTATCACATTTGAACACCAAGATTTTACCAAAATTGGACAAGGTAATTTAAAATAATCTGTATCATAAGTTCTTCAAAAAATGTGAATATTAAGAATTTATCAGAACATTACCATTATATTCATTTATGTATGAATTATATTTTAGAAAAGGCAGTAGAAATCTTTGAATTATTTGTTAAAATGTTTGCTATTTTTTTTTTTTTTTTTTANTTTTCATCTTTTTTTTTTTTAATCTTTAGAAAGTTTTATATCAGGTTGCACAAATATTTTTTTAACAAGTATGAATTAAGGGGTCAACTTAAGTACCAAATGTACATAAATTTCACCATTTTGAAGTAAAAAATATGGGAACATCTTATACACTAGATCGACTTATACATTGGAAAACATAGTACTCCAATAAATTGATAGATAGAATGACATATATATATAAGAAGTTTCTTGATTATTATCAAATCTGAGTTACATTAAGGCATGAATTTTACAATATTTAACAAAATATAACAGAAATCTTACTCAGTATTTGGTTTCAAGAAATTTATTACCTTATGAAACAAAAATATCTAAATGAAAACAAGAATTGATTATGTTTTAAACTTTGTATAAAAAGCTAAAAGAACTTTTTAGTGTAACTGAAATAGATAATTTCAATTGTAAGAATTTTCTGAAATATTTAATTTTAATTGTAAGAATTTTTTTAAAGATATTTAATACTAAAACAGCAACAAAAAAATTCCATCTTACATAAAAAAACATTTATTTAAAGTTTGATAAAAAAAAAGGAAAGCAACTGTAACAAACAACAATGAAAAAGAATCAAGTAAACATTTTATTGTTTTATATAATGAAAAATACACTTATTGAACTGCAATTTCGTTGTGCGACTACATCCTACATTGGATTACCTTATTTTATCTCTCCCACCAAGTACTTTATAACTAAAATTTAAAACAAGACTTTAAATGAAGATGGAATATAAACTTAAAAAAACAATTTAATTATTTTGTTAAAGAAGATTGCCTTACAAGAGGGTTCATCTAAACAAAGTTTTCGCACAACTGTAACAAAATTTATTAACTTTGTATAAATTTACTTGGTGGTGAGATTTAGATTTTTACAAGTACATTTAATTCCAAAACATTATTTTGCAAAACCATTAAATTTTAAAAAAGAAAATGAAGCACTATGCCATTTAGTTGATTTTTAGAATGGTAAAAATCACAGGATTTCTAAATATCACAAAAATGGAAAAACTATAAAAAACAATCTAGGAATTGGGTGGTGACCAATATTTTTGATTAGATCCTGGAGCAGGATCGTACCATGTTGATGAAGCAGCTGTATTTTGCTCCCAGTGTGCTTGGCTTCTATTCAGCTGATTAGAGTCAAAATTTTCCCTGGGGTATGCATTCTGTCTTCTTGGAACTTTAGTATATTCTGGCCCTAACACATCTGCACACTTAGATATAAGCTTGCATAAAGATTCCCCGACATTTGGTTCCAATTCCTAGAAAAATATATATTCTTAATGCAAATCTAAGAATATTGTAATAAATATTTCAAAAATTATTGTCTACTTAATTTTCGTAATAATTAACATTCTAAAGATTTTAAAACTCAGCTAAGTTTTTATTAATTATCCCCATTTTGGTATTAATCTACAAATTAAATTTAATTTTGCCCTAACACATTTTTATACAGAATTTTTCTTTAAAATCTGATCATACGAATTTAAATTACAGTCAAAACTCAAACAATTCAAAACCAAGTTTTTAATTAGTACAAAATAATGCAAAAACTGAGGGAAATAAATAAAAAAAAAATTTAAAAAACTTTTTTCATAAAAAATGTGGAACATTTTATATAAATGGGGAGAATAAAAAACAAGTACATACTTTAAAATCACATAAAATAAAAATATTTTTATTTTATAAGTAAAGTAACATTTTAAACTATGTAGATACAGTTATCAATTTTTACATTAAATATATTTAGATTTGTTTTTAAAAAAAAAGGCACTACTCCATATTGAAGGACCATAAAATATATGAAATCTAGATCCATATCTTGAATTATTAATTTATTGAGATGGTATAAAAATTTTAATTGCTTTCAACTTAGAAGAAAAATTGATTCAGAATTTGCCCCTGTTAGTTAAACCACATCTGTTTCTTTACTCTACTATCATATCATCATTAATCACAATTTATTTCTCTTACCTTTATCTATCAAGGGGGTAGGTTCTTGTTTATAGAACCAATGCTACAGTATATAGAATTCATACACTTTCATTTGTGCTTTATTCATGTATTTTTATAATTATTTTTTTTTTTACTTTATAAGAAAACGTTACTAGTTTTTATGCATTCGGTGCCACATAAACTCATACTAACATGACTCGTGTCAATGTTACTAATCACGATCAACATTCAATACAAATACTATTTGGGGGATTCACATTTCCCCCTGCCTAAGAAATAGCATTCTAGTTAGCTAATATTCATTTTCAACAAAAATACAGAATTTGTAAAAGTTTAATCTCATAAAATAATACACAAACATAAAAATTCAAAGAGTACCTGTCCATCTCTTGAAATTTGAACTTTTCTATTTTCATTCCAAGAATTTTGAAGATGCCTAGTACTTTGAAAGGGAATGTTTGCCCTGCAAATGAATTTTTATAAGATTTCATTTTAAAATGAGGTTAAATGCAATAAATATCTATATATTGAAAAGATTTTGGAAAAGTTAAGTTTAGATCAATGAAATACTAGCGCTCCCTTTATTTAAAAAAATTAATAAATTTGTTAACAACTCCTCAATTTGCTATTTTTTCTTAAAAAAAATACAATGTTTATTAAATAGTTAATTAGCTTAAAATCATTTTATATAAACTATAAAAAGAGCAATATACATTTTTGACTAATCTCCATCATACAAGGTTTGATTTCATCTTCTAAAAATAGTAAATAAGTATATGACAACCAAGTCACCCTTCTTAAATTTCAAGATAGGAAAATGTAAGTTTTTTTTATCTTTATAATATTACAGAAGAGTCTTAAAAGTTCACTTTTGCAAAATTTGTGGATGGTCCCCCAGTTCAACATAGCAAATTTTTGTAATTTTGGAAAAATTAAGTTGATAATACACATCAAGCAGAAAAAATGGATCCACGGGAAAAAACATAAAAATTAAATGAAAAAGAATTTAATTTTTGGAAATTGCATACCTCCACATGCAAAATCTTAGCAGAATGTGGTGGTTTACAGACATTTACTTTATTTAAATTCAAATTTCTCAAATATCTTCTTTCAATCTTTTATTTAACTATACAATATGATTTATTAAATTTTAGACATCTCATCTTCCTTCGAGAGTAGAAGAAACTTTCGTGTGCATTTGAAAAAAAACTAAGAAAACTTTACTTTAGCAGCATGTTAAAATTATTAAAGCGCAAATAATACATAACTTACTATTTAATTGAAGGCGAGATAATATATATGATTTTATATTAATGATCATCTCAAATTAATCAACACAAATTAAGTGGGTGCCTCATATCATGTAATATAAACAAAATATAAAAAAAACAACAAGAAAAAAATCTAAACATAAGATAAAAAGTAAGTATAAATGTTTAAATTGACTGCTATATCTATACCACAATAATTACATTATACAGCTCGATAGTGTTTTTTTTTCTAGCACCAGTTTAAAGATTATCTTTTGAGTTAAATAAATTTTAAAATTAAAAATTACTTAAAACTAGAGCTTTATATATGAATCAAAGTTTTAACTATTGATTTCTTTAATTAACATGTGAAGCATTTATCATTTATAGTCTACTGATGATAAAATGTAGTTTTTGTTCAGAATATCTATTAAACAAACAATTAAATCGTCACTTGTATAAAAAACAGTTTTTTTTAAAAAATTGATTCTTTAAATTTTTTACTTTTTCATCCATTCAATTTGATAGCAAGTACCAAGATTGGCAGCACTGAATTCTGGTGGTTTCTGATTAGAAAGATGATGTGTAAAGTGTGCAAATCCTTGGAAATGTCCACTTCCTTGGATAGAAAATATCAGAATGACTTCTTTGCCTTCCTGTCAAAAAGAATTTTTTCATTTTAAGTAAGCACTTATGTTTAAGTATTTAAAGCAGCATGTATTATTAAGAAAGAAAAATAAGATTTTTAACAAATAAATAAGAGCTTTAAATATTGAGCATCAGCAAATGATGTTGACTTTCCAAAGTTTTAATTTCAAATTATTCTTTTATTATTTCTCATCAACTAATTTATGAATTTTAATGCAATAGCTGTTAAATTAGTTCATGGATATCATTTTCCTAGAGCTCATCCTGGATATAAAAGAAATCTTTTGACACTGTAAAAATTTCTCAACAGCATCGAAATTTAAAACTATGTTACACATAAATATCAAATCAGCACCATTTTAAATCAAATATCATGTAAAGATATGTATTAGCGAATCTGATTTCAGTTCTAATGGAAAACACAGAAGCTATGGAACTTAAATATTTGCTGGTTTTCCAGAAAGTTATAGATCATTGAACTGACTAGCTTCAAAGAAAATTTAATAACAATGTAGCTACAAAGTAATACACACAAAAATATCAATAAATATATTAATCAAATTATCCGACGATTTGATACTCTGATAGTTTTGACATTTGAATGCAAAGGTGTCAAAAAGCATCTTTGGTTAAAATAGGAACGTACAAAATCATTCTAGCAATAAGATTAAACTTCTAAAACTGAGTTTCTCTTAATTGTCAGTACACAGGAAAATGGTATACAATGTAAAATAACCCACAGTTTGAACCACAGCTGTGCTCGAAAGGTTAAATGTTAATAATGCCACAATAAAGTAAGTATATATATTATAACTGTCGTTGAACAGCAGACACAATTTTTTGGTTTACGACTACTAATCTTCAACTCCATAGCCTTATTTTGAATCCTATCCAGAAGACAAGGGAACTCTTGGATCAAGTATCAGGAGAAATATGCCTTTGTGGAAGATTTTTTGATAACTAACCCGCATTTGCGTTACATGAAGAGGAAGACCACGAGAACCTCCCACGGTTAGCCTGAGGGAAAAGGGACTCTAACCCATTATCCGTCTACCACTGAGGATATTTCACCTCAGCACTGTGGTCGGTGCTGGCCGGATGCGGATTGGCATTGACCAGCCATTGGTGGGATTCGAACCTGGTTCACGTCATTGGAAGGCAAGCGCTCTATCCCTTGAGCCACCAAGGTTTGAAATTAAGTATATATAATTATAAAGTCTTAATGAATATTACAATTAATAATGCCAAACTAATAATTTTAAGGATTACTTAGTGAAACACCAGAATAGGCTTAATAATTTTAAAAGCAACTTATACCTTAACAGCTGATAGCAATTTTCTCTCAGTGGTTGGAGTAAAAGCCCAAATGTTTTTAGCCATTGATATCTCTACAACTCTTGATGTGTTTGCTTTTATGATGAAATAACGAACTCTTGAATTAGTTTGAGTAGGATGTCCATACTCCATATTAGCAGGCATTTGTTGCATGCTGTTATATGGTTGCCGCATTGGGCTTTGAGGACCACGATTTTTGTAAACAACATTGTAACAGTTAGATGCACTATTTCCGGCCATCATTGGTGAATCCTCTGGGCAACAAGGTGATGCTGCAATTATTAAAAATCTATCATAGATTATTCGTTTTTATAATAGTTTTAAGACAAATGAAAATAATTATAAATTCACCTACAGTGAAAGCTTGATATAACAAATATGGCATATTAGAAGAGGTCTGGTATTATAAGTTTTGAAACACTAGCATTAAAGGAACAAAAATTGCATGTTTATCGCAAGTTAAAAATAACTAGATTTTCACTGCAACAACAAACATTGTTTTCAGGGAAATATATAGACAAAATTATGGAAAAAATGCAAGATGAAAGAAGATTTTATTTACATCAGGCATCAATACAAAAGTCTGAGATCCATATTTTCTTCTTCCAATTTGAATCATGGTAATAAAGGAAACCACTGACCAAATTATCTTTCCTTCGTGCAATAGAAAGAAAAAAAAATCTTCTGTTTTTTTTTGGAGTTTGAAAGAAATTTCCTTTGCTATTAAGAATCGTCATTGTAATGAACTTTTACTGTATATTCTGTTCAAATGATGCTAAAAAATCATAAATTAACAAATAGGTGACCTACATCTAACCAAGATTTAAATTCTTACTAAAGCAATTTTTAAAAAAAATAGTTTTTATATTCAACAAAAATGCCTTTGTTAAATGTAAATTATTTGGTAACAAAATTACTATAATGTGGAAATATAAAAGGTTAATTTTAAGATCATTGCTGTCTGGTTAACTGATTTTCCTGAGTTTTTCCTGTTCTGCAGCAAGACTGTCTTTTTTCACTTTTAAAATTTTCTGTTAAACTATGCTTCCTCAATTTTATCGTTTAACTAATTTATAATAGGAGTTCAGTTCAAAATTACATTAAAATTCTTGAAAATGAACAAAACTACAAGTATCCTTGTGTACTTATATTCTTGTAAATATCTATAATTTGATTTCAATACACTTTACGTAAAAACAGAGCCTCTTAATTAGGACGAAATAATTAATGATGCATTTTTCAGAGTATGATAAAACCTATTTTAATCATCGAATGAGATAAAATTTTAAAAAAACAAAATATTGTTGATTTGAATTTGTACATCAATAATCAGATGTAGAAGCAGTACGAAGATGTCAGATTCCAAAAATTTGGGATTTATTTGAAATTAGAATACACACAGAAAACAAATAAAAGAGATTTATAAATATCTTAATGATTATTTTAATTAAATGGTTTTTCAACTAAATGTTTTTTCAACTAAATGTTTTTTTAATTAATGATTATTTATATTTTTAATTGATGATTAAACATTTTTTTAATAAAAATATTTCAACAAAACTTAATAAATAATTATACAGTTCAAATTATTATGCTCAACATTAACAATAAAAGTTTCTCATTTAGTAGTAATCAAGATTATATTGAAAATATAGAATTTAAAAATAAAATTTATTTCATAATTAAAACTTCATCTAAACTAATTTTAAACTAAATTAAAGTAATTTTAATTAAACTTTTGAAATGACTACAGTACTCTTAAATCAGAGCAGCAAATGCAGATATATGTCTTAAAAAATAGAAGAAATTAAAATTCTGTAACTGATGATAGAACATGTAATCTTATAAAAAGAAAAACCTTAGTGATTCAATTTTACTTTATAATTGGCATTGAGCAGTAGATCCATTTTTAGATTTAGAAATATTGGTGTTCAACTCCCATTGTCTAGCCATTTTGAACCTAACCCAGAAGGCAAAGGAACCCCTGGATTAAACATTTTGAGAAAATTTACTGTAGACTTTTTGATAGAATTAAGCCACATTTGCAATACATGAAGACAGAAATCACAGAAACCTCCCATGGCTTATCTGGAGACAAGAGGGTTCTAACAATACCACAGTAGATAAATTTATAACAACAGTGATTGGTATGAGCTCAAGTGCAGTATTTTAATTGGCCAGCCATTGCTAAGATTCGAACTTGGGTCACCTTATTGGGAAGCAAATACCTTGGGGATTCGGGACTCTTCAATGGTACAACAGTAATAAATCGATACAATAGTAATAAATAATAATAAACTTAAACGCAATAATAATAAATCTGAGTTCATTTTAATCCCTTTAAGTTATAATAAAGATAAGCTAAGCATTAAGAATTTCCAGGTGGCTTTACTGGGGTTATATTTAATTTATGAGAACAAAAAAAAAACTCCTGCTTATTCCAGCTTGTCCTATTCCATGGAAGAATTTTTAAAAATAATGATGTCATATGAATGCATTAGAAAAAAAAACATGAAACAAGAGGGTTCTTACAATACCACAGTAGATAAATTTATATCTACAGTGATTGGTATGAGCTCAAGTGCAGTATTTTAATTGGCCAGCCATTGCTAAGATTCGAACTTGGGTCACCTTATTGGGAAGCAATACCTTGGGGATTCAGGACTCTTCTATGGTACAACAGTAATAAATCGATACAATAGTAACAAATATAATAAACTTAAAGGCAATAATAATAAATCTGAGTTCATTTTAATCATTTTAAGTTATAATAAGGATAAGCTAAGCATTAAGAATTGCCAGGTGGCTTTACTAGGGTTATATTTAATTTATGAGAACAAAAAAAAACTCCTGCTTATTCCAGCTTGTCCTATTCCATGGGAGAATTTTAAAAAATAATGATGTCATATATCAATGCATTAGAGAAAAAAAACATGAAAAGAAAAAAAAAAGGAAAAACCAACAATATAATCTTAAAAGCATTAAGGTCAAAATTTTGAACTAAAATAATTCAAAACATGGTAAAGAATTTCAAGAAAAAGACTATTTATTATACTCTATCTAAAAATCTTGAAAAAAATAATTAAGAACTTCTTTCTTTTTTCTTACAGTTCAAAAAATAAATTTAAGTCACTATTTAAGCAAAAATTGCATTTGAAAATAAAAATTATTCAAACATGACAGTGAATAAACTTTTTTAGAGAAATGTCAACATTGCATTGAAAAATTAACAGCTTTTAGGGAAGGAGTTTAAGTAAAAAAGTATGACACTAGAATACTTAATTAAAAAAAGGCCTAAAAATTAACCAGATTTTTAGCTACCCTACTCTAGGTTATTAGCACAAAAATTTTCCTTTTTCCCTAGTATTTTATGATCTTTTTAAGCTAATTAGAAATACATTTTAAACTAATTAGAAATACATCAGCTTTCCATGCTATCAAGGTGAGATGTAAGAGCCTTTTTTTAAGAATATTATTTTTATTCATATTAAAGTACATATTAAACATTTGAAAAGTAAACCACTCCCCTAAGGCAACCTGTAGTTATTGAGACCAAAGACTTGTATATTGTCTAAAGTTGATTATTTATTATCCAAGCATAATAAAAACATTTATAATTTATGTTTTAATTACATTTAAAAACTAATATTATTAATATTAGTTTATTGAAGAAATACATAGTATGCTTTCTATATAAGTATATTAGATAATTTTACTAAACATTGCGTGTTTCTTACCCAACACTGAATATGAACTATTTGAATTATGAAAACCAGAGCTTCTATGACTTGGACTAGAATTGTAATCAGAAGCTTGCTTTTGCCGCAGACCAATGCCAGATGGTTGCTGCAGATTAAGAGCTGCATCTTCAGCTATTAAAACACCAGTAAGAGTTCGTATGACAGCTTCATCAGCTTGAGTCAAGAGTTTTGATGGCGCACGGATACGCCTTAAAAACAAAGCATGCCACTTTTGACGTAGCTGTAGCATCAGACGAGCAATCTGTAAAACAAAAATAATAAAATACATATTAAATTGTTGAATTTAAAAATTATTCAAAAAAGAAATTGTACAAGATTACAGTCAAACTTGTTTATAACAAAAATATAATACACCAAAATTATTAAAGGCAAAGATTAATATGAACTAGAAAATGTTTAAAAATAGGTTATCTTTTTTACATAAGCTGAAACCATAATATTAAACCATTATCAACATTTTTAGCTGAGTTTTTAAACCCATAATGCAAAAATTTATGTTTATTAACAAACATAAAATTTATTTGTTACAAAATAAATATGAGATAATTGCAATCATAATTATAAAATTATAATAATTAGATTGTTTCTAAATATTTTTGTTAATAAATTTGAAAAAAAATAATATAAAAATTAACTTGAACTCAAATGAAATCTTTAGTAACAATCCCCGTGGGAAAATAATTGTAAGTAATGATTTGTTCGTTTCATAATACTGGTCTTTTGCTTCTCAACCTGGTATTCATCACTGTTTGTTAGTGGTAATTTGACTTGATTTGCAATCCTTTTGAACCATTTAAAGAAAAGGTGTACTTTTGTTTTGTTTTATCTTGTTTGTTCTCACTGTGGTGCTTAAATTTAACTTGCGGTCACATGCTAGAGAGCAAATTTATAATTGTGATGAAATAAACTTGGGATTCATCATCACTTCAGTGAAATCATTTTACCTGTCAGACAGACTTGAATTTGACCGACGAAAATAAGAGAGTGTCATTCTGCAGATTCACAAATTTTTAACATGTACAAGTATATCTCTTTATTACACTTTAAATATTATCAATATTTTTTAATAAGATAAACAGGATTTCACAGTAAATGTGTTTACTATACTTTTCATCAATAGCATAGGCGCTGAAGGTTAAACAATTTTCCCACTCACTTTACTGTCCCCCTCTCTGTAACCATGTTTACAGAAGACCTAACCTTCACTTATGGTAATATAGAAAGAAATCAGAATACAATGGTGTGGAGGATAGGCAAGATTAACCAAAACTAATATTCAATATATTCACCTTATTAAACATATGTTTTTTATTAAAACAGCAAACATAGAAATTTGTGAAACCATATATAGTGAAACCCTCAGGAAATGGAACCTCTATTTACAATCACTTTTAGGAGGCATGAAATTTTTTCCACACACTTTATGTTAATGAAAACCTTTTGGAGACATCTGCACCAAATGCGGAAAAGGGTCAAATAAGAAAACACGGAAAAATAGCAAAACAAAAAATTTAACAAAACAAATAAGTAGATTAAAATGTATTCAAAATATTTGTGTGAGGCTCTTATTCTCTTTTCTCATGTTGTAGTCAGAGTGCACTAAAGACAATGTTATCGATGATTTATTTTAGAGTTGAAAAAAAAGTTATTTTAGAAGAAAAAAACATTTCATACAAACAAACCTCTCCTCGTAATTTAAAATTAGCTAATTTTTACGATACAAAACTAAATACAAACGTAAACAAAAAAAAACATAATTATTTATTTATTTAAAAAAACTTTATCATTCATAATTGGTAAATTTGTTGCTACACACAGTTATATCAGTTGGGATCATTTTTATAGACGCTAAATTTTATTCATTGATCCATCTCTAATTGAAGCCAACAGAAGTGGCATTTCTGCACTAAGAAAATAACAGGCGCTGACTAAAATTAAAATTGTTTGTGAGAAATCATGTACCTTCGAAGTCAATGGGAGTAACCTCTAAGAACGACCAACCACCATCAACAACCATTTTATTAAGGAAAAGAGAGAAGTTGCTTCCGAGAGGTTTCAGTGCATTTAGAATTATTACTAGTTCAATCAATAAAATTAATGCAATAAAATTAATTCAATTAGATACCAAATATTTACAACATCAAAGAAGGTTAATAATTATTTAATAGCATCACCTCTGGCTCCACCCTAAATGATATCCAATCATCAATTTTAAACATAGCTTTCTGACTGTCATATTTAGTATCATCTTCACTATCTTCTTCCTCCATATATCCTTCGAGACGAGCTGCAGTAGTTAAATATTTTATAGGTAAATGCTTTGTTTTTTTTTAATTGTTAGCAGTAATGCTAATAAGAAAAATGACTGATAATAATTTACAATTCCATCCCCAAAATGAGAATTTGCTTGCAAAATTTGCACATCAAAAAAAGTTTTGAAAAATAAAACTTTCTGTGAAATTTACATGTATTTAGACAATGTATAATTTAACATATTCTATAATCATGCATATGCTTTAATAATTCATGTAATTACAGAGACATACATTAAAACATTTTCAAAAATGGGTTGTTTGTGTGACAACCTACAATAATAGTTAATAAAACCTAAGTTAATAAAAACAAAGTATTAAAAGTTTGAAATATAATGCATTAATTATGCTATAATTTTGCATAAAGACAAGATTGTACCTTGATCGGGCTCATGAAGAGCATCTAGAGGAAGACGAGCAGGACCAGAGAAAAGAGCAACTGTGATAGGTGAAACAACAGTGCAATTCTGGGCATGAGCTGTGCTTCCAGCACGCATCATTTCTTCGTAGAACAACCAATCTGAAGGTAATTCATCTATTACTTGTTTCCGCAATTTGGCAACAGTTTGTTTAGATGATACAGGAAGTTTGTTCAGAACAGAAGAATGATGAAATCGGACTTTGGATTCTTTCCTTGAAAAATATAAGCAAATAAAAATACATTAACATAAAAAATATATATGAAAAGCAAAAAACTGACAATTAATTTCTGCTAAATTAATAAATTAAAAAAACTTAACTGCTAAAAACTTAAAACGAAAGAAATTGAAAAAAAAATATGCTTTCAATAAAACCTAAGGAATTACCAATTCAAGAGATTTTGATTCATAACATTAGCAATAGCTATGTTTAAACTATTAGCATAATAAAACAGTACGGTCAATTTTTTTATACAATGCCATTTTAAATATTGTAAAACTTTAAAAATCTACAAAAAATGTGGTTCATTTTAGAGCATTAACAATTACGGTATAAAATTTTATTTTATATACATATGATTATAATTAAAAGAAAGGGTTAATTTTGTGCTGTATACGAATCAATCTACATAACAATAAAAGCACAAGTGTAATGAAAAGAAGCACAAATAAACATTTTATATTTAATGCATACCAAATTTTTTGCTTCTACATAACATAACTTGTACAAAATTTAAAAAAGCACAAATGTAAACTATATATAGATAACTCTGTATGAATTTGTATTAGTACATTTGTAAAAATTTTACAATTTCTTCCATTGAAATCTTTAATATATTAAAAACTTCAAAACGCAAAATGTTTCAAATCTGCTGCAGCAAAGAATGCTATTTCTACATTGCTAACACAATAAAAATTTCCAAATATATACGAGGTGTGATCAAAAAGTATCCGACTTTTGTTCATAAAATAAACGTTTATTATGATATAATTATTTAATACAAATCCCTTTCAAAGTAGTCCCCTTGGGCTGCCACACACTTCTCCCAACGCTTCTGCCACTGTTGAAAGCATCGCTGGAAGTCCTCCTTCGGTATGGCTCTCAGATGGTCTGTCGCATTCTGCATAATGTCTTCTCTGGTCTGAAATCTGGTCCCTTTTAGTGGCATTTTCAGCTTTGGGAAAAGCCAAAAATCGCAGGGAGCCATGTCAGGAGAGTAGGGAGGTTGACGAACCACCGGTGTGCTGTGTTTTGTCAAGAAGTTCTGAATTAAATGGGAAGAATGTGCGGGAGCGTTATCATGATGGAGCTTCCAACTGCCTGTTGCCCACAGATCCGGGCGCTTGCACCTCACTGCGTCACGAAGGCGACGCAGAACCTCTTGGTAGCACTCCTTGGTGATTGTAGTACCGTGCGGTGCGTACTAAGCCACTGGAGTCAAAAAAGGCAGTTAGCATGACCTTGACATTGCTGCGAACTTGCCTTGCTTTTCTGGGCCTCGGGGATGAAGGATGCTTCCACTGTGTTGACTGGCGCTTGGTTTCTGGGTCATATCCATAAACCCATGACTCGTCACCTGTAATCACTGTGTTCATAAAGTCGGGATCACCGTTCACAGTTTCCAGCATGTCTTGTGCGATCTCCAGACAAAGGGTTTTTTGCTCAAATGTTAGCAGCTTTGGTACAAACTTTGCTGAGACTCTCCTGAGACCCAAGTCGTCAGTCAAAATTGATTGAATGGAACCAAAACTAATACTCACCTCGTCTACAAGCTCTCTGATCGTGATTCGGCGGTTCTGCATCACCAGGTTCCTCACTTGATCAATGATGGCATCATTTTTCAATGTTGAGGGCCTCCCTGAGCGTGGTTCACTTTCAACTGATAAGCGGCCATCTTTTAAGCGGTTGTACCACTCCTTTATCTGTGTGGTGCCCATCGCTTCATTTCCAAACACTTGTTTAATCTTGCGAATTGTTTCCACTTGCGAATCACCAAGATTAAAACAAAATTTTATGCAATAACGCTGTTCGACTTTTTCTGACATTTTAAAAAAAAAAAAAATCCGACGACACTCACTTGCACCTGTTCAATCATGAATGGCCTGACGCCGACTGACTTGTATTGGAGCTGTAGAAAAAAATGAGCATGCGCACTAGGCATGCTCACAACCACACATCGAGCCCCGCCCCCATAGCTGCGTTTGTTTGACCAATAAAAATTAAGGTCGGATACTTTTTGATCATACCTCGTATATATTGCATTATCTTTTGAAATTATCTTATTAATCAATAATGTAATGTAACATTCAATCTCAATATAATTAATAAACATGCTATCAAAAGCATTTCAGTTTTGATGTTTAAGAGAAAGAAAAAAAATTAGTGAAGGTTGAAAAAAAAATTCTATTTTATATTTTTTGCACAGCCACAGAATTGTAGCTATGGAAATTTTATTCAATTTTGAGACATTGCATATAGAAATTAAGAGAAATAAGCACTTATTCATAAGATCACAAGCAAGCTTTGTGTGTATTTTACAATGATATTTATTTTTTAAAAAAAATAGAAAAAGCAGCTGCTAGTAATGTAAATTAAAAGTGAATATAAAATGATCAGTGAGCTGATAATTTTTACTAACATGATTGCATTCCTTAGATAAATATATATTCGACAAATTATCAGGGTACTGATGCATCAAAATACAAAACAAATTTATAAAGAAACAAAAACTTTTACAAAATTGAATGTCTCTCTTCTCTCTTAATCCTCAAAATATGTGTATATAGCTTGTGCAATTATTGTTATGTTGATTTCATTAATTTTGTTTTTAAACAGGAATTAATATTAAATTCATAATTCATTGCTTTACACACAAACTAATAAAGTGCAAGTAATACCTAATGTATAGATTCCTTCACGCTTGATATTAATGTTTCACTTTAGAAATGGGGATATTTTATTTAATACATGCAATTCATACAGAAAAAATTAAATGAACTTAGAATATTCCTGTTTCACATAAAACTGGCATGTTTATTTTTTTTACTCTGTAATATAATAGATAAAAATAAGATTTGAAGTTTTTTTAATGAACTAATATATAATAACATTTTAAGATTCTATTTATTTACAGTATTCCGTAACTTTGGTAATGTTAATGCAGTTACGAAACTTAAACAGTACATTTATATTATAGTACAATATAACAATTGCGACAAACAAAAAAAAACCTTTTGGAGATCTTCCATCTGATTTTCTTCCCCCACAAATTCAAAACACTTGAGAAATTAAAATTTGTAGAAAGTAACTAAAACTTAGAACTAATTAACGCAACAGCCATACAATATATAAATAATAAAATCATCTTGCTATCAAATAATGTAAGCAAGTTAATAATCACTATGGTTACCTTATTAACAATGTCTTGTGCATAAAATTATTAAATTCTTGAATGTTGTTGTGGAAGTCAAGTGTTTTACTTCCACTTACAAAATTATGATTACGAAAATGATATGTTTAGAATCTTGATTGGTGCTTTGAATTTATTTGTGAAAAAAAAATTTTAAAAACTGACTCACTGAGTGATCAACTGCATTCGCTCATGATCAATACGTATTAAATTAGGATAAGTTCCAGCACAGATAGCAGCTTTGATAACAGGCCAACATTCAGAATTGCTGTTTAGATCTCGGATATCACTATTTCCCTTGGCCCTAATGAATCCGGAAGCTCTAAGTTGTCCCAGCAATTGTGATCGCATGCCAACAATCATTTCCATGGTAGCATGGGAAAGGAAGTTCCGACTACAGAAATTCCTTTCTTGGCCTTCATTCTTAGCTTTCTGCCATGCCTAAAATAATTCATTAAAATTTTTTACTCATGCAAATCATTTTTTAAATCAAAAATGTAAACTTTATTTTTCTAAAGTAAACAAATAAAATTTATGAAGTTTATAGATTATTAATGACAAGATTTTATGAACAAAAAATATATGACCTACTGTAGAAATATCAAACGTTTTTTATTAGTGTGCCATTTGAATTACGGTTTATTGTTGATCAGTGCCCAGTAAGCCCCCTGTTATTTTTCTTCAATTACATAGTGTAGCAATATCTACAGTAATTTACTTGGTAATTTGCAATTTACCTAGGGTTCTCTGTTTACAACTGATCAAACTCACCAATTCTTAATAAAAAGTCTGTCCCCATTACGACATTTACTTAAATAATGAAGGAGCATTACTCACACTAGTTTCCTAGAAAATGTCTTAATGGTACCCAAAACGGTGTTTCTGAATCCACTTTGATAGCCACTAGTATTTGAGTTTTCAATACATACTTTTTGCATGTCACCAAAATTTGTGTCATGTGCATCTTAGTTGCACGCATTGTCATGGGTATATAATTTAGAATCTTTTAACACACCTTTCTTATATAACTACTAATAAATATTAACTGAACACATTTTGCATTCATTTAAAAGCAAATAATTTAGATGAAATAAATTTTTGATAACTATATAATATCATAACAATCAGAATTATTAAAGTTATGTAAAAAACTTTATGAACATAAATTTTAAATACATTTCAATGATTAATGAGATATATAATGACAATTATACTCAAAGCATTACAGATGCGCAATTTTTCCAGACTTTATAGATATTACACTTTCATTAAATGTGCAGACCCTTAAAATTAAAAAGCCTTAAACTTGAGTGAATCAGTCATTCATAATTCAGGTCAATCATTGATTTTGATTACTAACTGTCCAAATATGGGTAGTAGTCATAGTCTATAAAATATTGATTCTGATAAAAGAACAATCACAAGTTCGGGCACTCTTAATGTTAAATTCAATTTCTGCATATTTTAAAAAATATGAATGAATCAAAAATTTCTGAATCTAATTATAAAGTTTGTTTATACAAATATAACTCTATGCAACAAAAAAATGTTTAACAATAACTCTTTCATATTTTTTAATTAATGGTAAACAAAAAATTTACAGTAAGGTATATTAATTTAAATATCATTTTAAACTATGTAGTTTTAAATGAGGAAATATGATATTTGAACAAAATTGTTCAAATAGTTTCAAGTTATAATTTTTTTTTTTTAATTTTTTAGAACATTTTGATAAATTTCATTCAAACTTTTTATTTTATCATTTAAAATTACATAATTAAAATTATTACAAAAATGTATATACCTTACATTTCAAAATTTCACTATCAACTATTAAATCAAAAAAATTTCTAAAGATTAAAAAGAAATTATAATTAATTTTATGATTGTATGTGAAAAGTTGTTGATTTGCTTAAAAAATTTCCAAGATATGGTGAAATATACAACAAATGGATTTAACAATGAAGTTTCTAAACTTTCAATTACTCTCCTGAATAAACTATAAGATCTATATTTTTCCAGACTGCAGTTCCCCCTCAATATTTTGATGGCAAAAAATTAGTTTATTCAGAGAAAATACGTGTTTGTGTCTGATTCCTTAATAGTTAGCATTAATTAGCATATTTAAAGTGAACCCTTTAAAACATTAAAATTGGCACTTGACATATGAAAGATGAATTATTTGAACATGTGTCATTCAGGGAGATATGTTTTTTTTCTTCTTAAATTTACTTCACAGTTATGTTAAAATGTGCACTATAATTGGAAATAATAAATTGGAAAATGCTTTAAGAATCAATAGAGTATTCTGCATGAAAGTTTTTAGTAATCTCAAAATACTTTTATTGTAAAATTCTAAAGCTAATTTTGAAACAAGATTTTTATACCAGAATATTAATGTAAGCCATAATATTTTAGACATATGTGTAAAAAATTAACTTGCTTATAGAACTTTCTTCTGTAATAAACATTAGCTGTAAAATAACTAATTTTAAGAATAAATAAAATCTAAATACTCTATGAAAGCCTAAAACAGGTTTTTTATAAATAACTTATACGGTTATTAAAAATTACATAAACTCTGTAGGACACAAGAATATGTCTGTAATTGTGTCTAATAAACTTTTACACAAATATAAACCTATTATATAACACAAAATTCAACTTACTTGAAATGCTCTTAATAAAACCATATGATCACTGTTTGTTTCAGCAGCAAATTTTCGTTTCACCAGAGCAACAGCTCTTTTATGAGCAGGTTGAGATGGGATTAAAACTAAAAACCACAAAAGTAGCATTAAAACTAAAGAATGAGATGTGAATATAAAAAAATTTAAATGGAAATGTTTTTAAATCATTCATTTAAAGTTAAATTTCTTTAAAATACTTGTAGAATGACTATTTATAGACTACAGTTAAAAGATAAAAATTGAAAACAAAAAAACTTTTTACCAAATTTACCCAAACAAAATATCTTTCACAACATTGTTAAATTATTGTGCACAGGCAATTTATTTTTTTCCTAAACAATAATACAATTTTTAATAACATATTTTATAAAGAAAAACAGTAAAATGCATAATAAAAACAAACACGACAAAAATGTATAGGTGCATTAAATAATTTTAAGAAAATTAGTTATATTTTTTTTCTATAATTTTTTTACTAATAGAAAAAAAAATGCCAATATAGGAAAAGACCCAAACTGTCATGTCATATGAACAGACTTATAAAATAAACTACACACACAAATATAAAAATAAAGAATTTTTAAACCTCAACCTAGAAAAGTTGTAAGTAAAGTAACTTACATGGGTCCCTATAAGACAAACAGCAAACAATTGTGAGTACAGGATCTAAGCACTTTAGAACTACTGAATAAAGAATCATCTTTCCATGACGAGGGTCAACTGGCAAATCTAACAAATGTAAACCCAGTTCTGTTAATTCTTCCCAAGGATCAAGAGCATCTATTGTCTAAAAAATAGCAATTTTTTACATTCAGCAATCAAATAATTTACTAGAACTATTAATGAATTATAACCATTTAATAATAAAACTGCAGTTTAATTTATTATAATTAAACTGCAGTTTCATTATTACATTAAAACTGCATTTATTAATTTATTTCAAACTTAACTTTTAAGAAATTTTAAAAATTGATAAAACACAAAAGAAGAATACAAAAAATTTTTAAAAACATAGTTCAAATAATCTTTTGTCTTTAAATATGTTTAAAAATTTTACACTGTATGCATAATAAAAAACAACATTGCAAAGTGTTTTTAAAATGTATGTGTGCGTGAATTAAAAGATATTAAAATACAGTGAAACCTCCGTTAAGCGGACATTCATACCGTTTATGAGAGTTGTCAGTTTACGGGAAGGGTACTCTAATAACGAAATTTAACACCGTAAATTTTTTTTAGAATATTCTCAAAGATGTAGAAATAATTAAATAACATCTACAAGGATACTGTAAATATCTACAAGAATATTTATTTAAATTATAAGAAAGATAAAAAAGAATATATAAATACATAATTCTGGATGTAGCTACAGATAAATAAATATAATTTTCCTATTAGCATAGATACTCAAGTTAGACATATGTTACCAAATAAGAGCGTACTGTCCTCAGTTCGTTTCAATTATTAGGTTCACATCCTCTTACACCTACTTATCATTTGATAGGGAACATGGTTAATACCTTCTTGGAAAATAAACCTCCCATGATTCACAGAAAAAAAAGTAATGCATACCTGTAAGTCATGAGGACCTATGGAGATGATTATTCACAATTGATCAGCTATCAAGTGTCTGAATAAATGTTTCATTTATATAAACACCTCAAAGATTATACTTCTGTTCTCTTTTCTTTAACCCAGTTGTGTTAAATACAGTCTTCAAATTGATAAGAAAATTAAAGAAATTTTCAATGGGGAAGAAGCATTGAGAGAAGTCATTTCAACTTGAGGGATCTCATAACCTGTGTGGTCCAGATGAAAAGATCAAAAGATGCGGATGTCAGAATTATTTCAGGAGTGCAGTACCATTTTCTCTCCTTTCTTTACAAAGATAAGGCAAGGTGACAGGAGAAAGATTGATTTTTCGGTGGTGAAATAGCTTAACAATATTTTTAGTTATGGATAAGGCAAAAAGTTTTATTTACATGCTTTAAAAATGGTGAAAAGTTGAATTTTTTTAGCTTGCAATTTATTTAGAAAAAGTAGTGTCCGGTTTGTAGAGATAAAAAACAACGTTTCAGGACCAAAATGACTGTCCGCGTCCGGTTACGGGAGTGTCCGCTTTGCGGAGAATGTACGCAATGGTTTATTCATAGAAGATTCCTGGGGAATTAAAAATATGTCCGTATTGAGAGGCGTCCGTTTTGCAGGAGTGTCCATAACAGGAGGTTTCACTGTATTTGATAACAAAAAAAATTACTTTAGAAAAATAATAAAAAGGATAATTTTAAATTAACAGTTATAAAACAACTATTTCTCATTTAATGACTAAACACACAATCATAAATTTATTTTATCAGAAAAAAAATAGTTACTTTCAGCAGGGTGACAGCATTTCTTGTTACCATAAAAGGAGGAGGATCAGGTGCTTTAGCAAGAAAATCAGCTATTGGTGCATTTGGGGGAGCCAGAAGTTTTGCTTGTAAACATAATTCATGAATAGGAACTCTAAGGATTTCAGGAACTTGAAATCTACGGAAACTATTAAACCTCAATCTACTGTATAAATGATAGCAAAGACCAGGTCTACAGCGTCCAGCTCGACCTCTTCTCTGTATAGCACTTGCTTTTGATATCCAACCAGCTTTTAAATGTGTTACACCAGTTATTGCATCGTATGTTCGCTATAAACATTGAAAAATAATTTTAATTAAAAAAATACATAGATTTTCATGACAACATTAAAAAATTAAAAAGAAAATCTTTTACTAAGATTAATTAAGCTTGAAAAAGAGTACCTCTTTTACTTTTCCACAATCTACAACAAAAACCACATCATTTATTGTTATGCTTGTTTCAGCAATATTTGTTGATAGTATCTGTAATTAGAGTTAGAACAATATCTGTATCAAATTTAAACTTTAAATTATTAAAAGAAAGATTTTAAAAAAAATAGAGAGACAAGAAAAATATAAACAAAAGTATTTACAAAGAAAAATAAGAGAAAAAAGTATTTACAATCTTTCTAACACCAGGTGGTGCTGGACGAAATACTCGTTTTTGATCTGAGCTCTGCATCTGCGAATGAAGTGTGAATATCATAGCCCTAAGAAATAATTTCAAAATATGTGATTAACAAGAATAACACCTAAAACAAATTTATATATTAATAATGTAAAATTAAATGTAACAGAAATAGTATTTTTTACAGAAAATACATCTCTTGATTTTGAATGCCTAAAATTAAATTTTGCTTTTAAACTTTCGGTTAATTATAATATTCAACAAAAATTGTTGCATTTCTTAAACTTTTCTGTTAATTCTTCAGAGCAGCAATTCTAATAAATAAATAACTCTTAATTCATAACAATAGTTTTTTTGTGTTTGTTTAATAATATATTTATTGTATGACTTTTATAAAATACTTATTTCAAAAATAAAATTAATGCTTGTTTTTTTTTTTTTAATTAGAAAAAAACATTAATTTTGTTTTTAAAAATTAAAATTAACTCAAAAGAGGGAAAACTACAAAAAAATTATAAAAATATACATAGTAAGGCATAAGAGAAGGGCTTTTGCATGAACAATTACACAATACCTTTTATTTAGAAAAACTAATTTTTGAGAAATCTGTCAAATTCAGTAGCTTGAGGGGGCTGTTCCATACTGGGCTTCGAAGCTTCTTAAATACTGGGGCAGTTCCAAGGTTGCCGATCGTGTGTTTGTAATCCCGTTGATTCTTTTGGCGCCTACGCACCATGCCTGGCGCCACAAGCTAAATTTTTTTTATGTTTTAAGTAAAATATTTTTATTTCCCACTTTTTTTAATTTGGTTGCTGCAAAAAATTTTTTGCCTTTCATTAGCTGCTAGTTAGATAAATTGCTAGTTATAAGATGGAAAACTACAAAACTTAAGTTAAAAAAAAGTTTAAAATATATGTAGGCTTTATGCAATTAATTCGGTTATTTCTATTTGATGACTGCATGGCATTATTGCCTTTCATTAATTGCTAGTTAGATGATATAAGAAGGAACACTAAGAAAACATCAATGAAAAAAGTGTTTAAAATGTATGCTTGCTTTAGTAATTGAATTAGTTATTTTTATTTGCAAACTGTGCAGCAGTTGTTGCCTTTCAATAGTTGCTAGTTAAATAATATGAGGTAGAGTCAAAAAGTTGCCGAAATAGGTCAATTACAAATTATTAAAAAATAGAATAATTTTAGTTTATTGGCCTTCAAAGTACTTTCCTCCTGCCTTCCCAGATTTCTTCCTGCATTCGTATAACTACTCAAACATTCCAGGAATCCATTTTCTTAAAGGTCCTTCCGTTGCTTTGTTGCATTTTTGATAACTTCATCTGAATCCATAAAACGGTTTCACTTCAATTTTATTTTTAGCCATGAAAACAGGTAAAAATTTGCTGCCGCTAGGTCAGGAAAATAAGGCAAGTGTTCTAGAGTGGCAACACCATGCCTGGCAAGGTACTATTTTACAACCAGAGCACAATGAGTAGGAGCATTGCTGTGTAAAAGAAACCTAATGTTTGTTGTCCATTTTTCAGGTTGTTTTCGTCTAATTGCATATCATAGTGGTTTAAGAATCTCCAGGCAAAGTTCTTCATTCACAGTTTGGCTTTCAGGAATAAATTCATAGTATGCACTTCCAACATTACTTTCCTTCAGCTTTTGTCTAAGCGAAACTCCTTCCTTAGAGATGCTTTTACTCACTATTCACTTGACTGACGATTTATCTGAGAGTCGTAAAAAAAGCACCATGTCTCATCACCTGTTATGATTTTCTTCAAGAAGTTGTCATCTTCATGCGGCAAATCAATCAAATCCCTGCACATGTTCACTCACACTTCCACATGTTAAAGCGATAACAGTTTTGGAACCATGTGCAAACAAACACTATGCATTTTCAAATCATCATGAAGAAGGCTGTGAACACTCCCATCTGAAATTTTAAGTTCAGAGGCAATAGCATTAATGGATATTTGTTTGTCCGCACGCACGATTTCTCAAACGCAGGCAACATTATTCAACAACATCTGAGGTGGAAGAGGTGGGGCGTCCAGTCTAAGGATCATCTTTGATGTTTGCGCGACCTTCAGAAAAACATGCCGCTCATACACAAATGGTTTTTTTTTAACGGAATCGTTTCCTTATGCTTTCCTTAGCACCTCGAGATTTTCAGGTGATTTCTCAAGCAAAATACAGAATTTGATGCTTGTACACCACTCTAAAGACAGCATTTCAAAGTCTGATGAATGAAAAGTTTTCTTAGTCAGAAATGATCTGCAGCTAACGCTGGCAACACCAGAAAAGAATTCCATGGGGCAGTGTGATTTGGTCATTAGTGCTGTAATGTCTAAAAAATTATTTCTGCACCAATGAACACCTACGTGAATGAAGCCAAACATTCTGGGAAATTATTGACTCTACCTCGTATAAAAAGAAACACTACAAAACTTCAATAAAAAAAGTTTTTCAAAATATGCAGGCTCTAAAATAATTGAATTACTATTTGAGAAAGGAAATAAGTCCCCATTCTGCACACATTCAGGATTTTACTTATTTTATAGATGAATTGAATAGAAAAATTTTTTGTGTTACTTTAGCTGTGAGAAAGAAAATATTTTCAACTTAAATCCTGCATTCTTTATGTAAATGATGACCCAAAAGTCAAACAAAGACTCATAAAAACGCAACTAAAAGGAAATTAATAGATTTATTTCAATCATTGAGGTTATAAACTTAAAATTAATGTTAAAAATTGAAAAGCAATTCACAGCACAAATTTGGAACTTTCTGCACTAAACGAAATTGTGGATACTGAATGAAGTGTTTAGAAGTAATGGGTATCATTCCTTTTCTATATATATTGATTTCACTGCCTACAAAATTAGCAATTGATGTGCATATAATTGTTTTGAAAGAGCCAAATCATTCTCTTAAAATTAAATATTCCTAAAAGGTAAGAAAATATAACAGTAATGTGGTTACTGTTATGATATTTCTATGGACAAGAATCATTATAAGCCTGATTCTAGTCTTGCAACATAATCTTTTAGGCTTAATAGCATAACTTTCTTGCAAATTTATCGCTATTTAACAGTGAAAAATGAAGTTCAATAATAATACATGAAAATTCATTTTTCCCTTTTTTTGGTATTAGTGTTTTTAGAAAATTGAAGCAATACCAAATATTGACAAAATCTCGTAATGCTAAAGAAGATATCTAGTTTTATCTTATTTCTGTAAACATTTTTATAGACAAAATCATAGTCAATATTTATTATACTATCCAATTTCATTTTAATAACAAGATTCATAATGAAGTGGTGTTAATAAAAAATTATTACAGTACACAGGAAATATTTACTCAGCACATCATTCAATGAATGTACAGTGCACAAGAATAGGACTACCAAGAATAACTTTTGATCTAATGATTGGATCAGAATGATTTAATGATCTTCATGTTTTAGGATTCAATTTTAATAGTTTAAGGGTGACCTCAAATATGCCAATTAATAAGAGAAGACAATATTTTAAATTCTGAATTTAGACACAAAAACTTATTTTCTCTGAATTGATATATCTTTGTTTCAACCGATTCGAATTTCTGATTTTCAAAATATTAATGGTAGAAGAATGCTGAGAAATGTGGTCCCAATAGTTTGGTGAGGAGAGCAGTCCAAAGTTTGGACATCTCGAGAATTTTTTAAGTGAATTGAAAAACGTTTGAACACAATTATTAACTTAAAATATCATCTGCACTAATTAATTAGCATATTTGAGGTCACCCCTTATGAACCATAAAGATTGAGTCGAAAACATGAAGAGCAAAAATTATTAAAGGTTGTCCTTTTTTGCACATTGTATACCTAATACTTTATATACAAAATGAAAGCATCATATTTTGTGCTAAAAATAAAAATAAATTCTTGTAAACATACCTGTGTTCAGCTACGTAATGAAGATCACTGTAAATTTTGTCTCTTAATGTAATGATATCATCATAGCCAGGCAAGAATATTAGAACAGCTCCTATAAATATGGGACACTATATATTAATCAACAAATTAAATTAAAATCTGAAAATAAGAGAATAATAAAACCTCTAACTGTCTTCCAGAATTTTAATGCCAACAACTACATTATAGCGGCTAAGAATTGTGGAGAAACTTGATTTATATTCACAGTTTTAATTAAAATATTATTTAAAACATTTAATTTCATTAAAGTAAAATTATATAAAAAATACTTCTAATATATCTCAGCAATAAATAAAATTAATAATAATTGAAATCAATATCGTAAGAGCAAATAAAATTGATGTTAGTTATGTATGTTACATTAGTATCTTACAAAAGTAGAAATTAGTACGTTACAAAAAAAATTTGTTTGTTACAAAAGTATGTTACATTAGTATCTTAACCATCCATTAACATATTGACAATAAATATTAATATCTAGACAGTAAACTACATTATTATCTTAACTTTCCATTGAAATAAAAAAAAATTTATTCATGAATTTTAAATTTTTATTTATTTATAGTACAGATGTCCCAAGTTTTTTGAAACCATTTTAATTTAAAATAACTAAATTGAATTTATTTAATAGAACTTTAATTGAAAATAACTAAAGAGAAATAAATTATCAGACACCAAAAATATCAGAATTTTAAATCTGAAAAAATGAAATTCAAACATAAGCAATAATGTTTCAGTCTTCCTTAAAAAAAAAAGTTAAATATATGAAACATGCTTTAAAACTTTTATCTGTCGATTAATATCTTCCTATTTTCTTCATTGAAATAAATTAAGTAATTTTTTTAATTATTTAATTACTAAAGGTTGATCATTAATATCCTGACTTCTCTGACATAAAACTGTGAAAAATAAACTGTGTGACATAAACTGTGAAAAATTCTCAATTTAAAAAAAAATAAGCAAATATGTAAAAAATAAGCAAAACTGGAGATGAAATAAAGATGGTGTATATATATATATATATTTAAGTTTCACCTTCTTCGTGGCTACCACAAACTCTTTCTAGTAGACATAGTATTAAATCATGGTCAATTTTTTCCTCATCAACACTATGAAGATAAGCATCAAGTAGCAATTTATCTTCCTCGGGTAATTCTAGCTGGTTATCTGAAGGATCAGGGACATTCTGAGTGGCATTATCAATATTCCTATACAAAAAATCAATTTGAATAAATGAATTTGAACTATTGAAGTTATAAATGTCAGATGGTTGCAAAAGTTTGCACCCCACCTAAATTGTATAAAAATATGTAGTTAGGTGTTCAGAAAAATTACAAAGGAATGTGACCAATAAAGGATTGTAAAGAAATATTACGAGCAACTCAATAAACTTATTGTTGAAAAACAAACAAGCAAAGCATCTACATTTTGTTAATCTGAATCATTCAAATGATAAAAAAAGTAGTTTGAATAATTTTGAAATAAAAGTAGAGTGAGTAAACAGCTAAACATTTTTTCAGAATTAAATTATTACATGGTCAAAATAATCATTATATTTAACAAATCTATAATTATAGAATTGCAATTTCAATTGTTTTTAAATCAAATAATAAAGAGGTGAATTAATTTTTTTCTTAAATTATTGAAATCTGAATTCTAAAAAATTTCTTACAGCATTTACCAGAATACTAAAAAAGTGAAAATATCCTCAAATTATACTTTTTTTTAAATATTGCCTTTAAAAATTACTGAAAGTTTTTAATAAAATGATGCAAGATTACTAAAAATTTTAACAATAAATTCAGTAAAATAAGGCTAAATTAAAAGCCTAAAATAAATAATTAAAATATTAAAAGCCTAAAATACTTTATACAGATACAAATACAAACTAAGACATACAAATTTTTATCTTTATTAAATCAAATTAATTAAAGCATTTAATTTTTTGATTTATAAAAGAAATTTTGAAGTGATGAAGCTCTGTTATAGTAGACTGATCTGGATCTACATACAAAAACTTAATTAGTGAATAAGCCTGAAATGAAGTTTGAGTACTATGGTTCTGATTCATAAATAGAACAGCGCAAGATCATCATCAGCTTTCTAGTGACATTAAAAATAGCACTTCACCAGCAAAAGAAATTATCAAGAAAAAAAGACTTAATTTTTATTTGTTATTGGGAAAAATTTGGTAATTTTTAGTTGGTCTACGTGATCAGCAAAAACTCTAGACATTTTCAGTTTGATTTCAGAGGGCAGGAAATAAAGCCTGAAATCAGGAGTCTCTCAAAAAATACAGCAGAGTTTTAGGTGTAGGTGCACGAAAGTACTTCCAAATGATACAGACTTCAGGTGCCAGAAGGGATTGTGCTTGATTGGCCCTGTTCTGATAACAATTTTTGTGTAATTCTATACAATTGACACAGCAAAAAATTCTCTTCCTGGTAAAAAGAAAATTAAGCACTTTTTACAAACAACCATTAAGAAACAAGTACCTTTAAGCATTTGTTAAAAACACTACTCCCCTTGATTGGAAAAGCTAAATCAAACGTTTTACACCATATCAATAAAATTAGAAATTATAACACAAAAATTAATATATAGATTCATATCTTCATATGAATCTATATATTCATTTGAGTTTGGCATCTTTTATTCATATTTTTAAATAAATTCCATGGAGAAATGTAACTATTTTAAAAGATTAAATAATATTCTTCAAGACAAACAAAACCTATTAAAAAAGTAGTTAAATGGAATATTAAAAAATGCTAGGCAGTAGTGAGAAACTTGCAGTTTTCTCTGCACCCAAATTTTATTAGCCTGATTCAAACCATTCAGGAATTTTACTTAAATGACTACACCAAAAATAAGTAATTTTATCTCATACTTATTTTACAAAGTATAAATACAACAATGAAGTATTTAAAATTGGATTATGTTGTACAATGTATACAGATTCATATTTCAAATTATTTTTTATACCATTCAATTAAGAAACAAGCTATTTTAAAAGACTAAGACTCTCACTTTACTTAAATAATAAACAGAATATTTCATTAATTAAGAATATTTAATATATGTATTTAAACAAAATATTAAAAAAATTACCATTGACTAGCCAGAAGCTCTCCTATTTCTTTATGGCCAAACTGATTAGCCCAATCGATAGCAGTCCAACCATTTGAGGATTTTATATGAATACTAGCACCCAAGACTAGTAGTTGCTCCACAACATCAATATTTCCTCTCCCAGCAGCCAACATCAATGGAGTGACATTCGTTTCACTATGCTGATAATCCACTATAAAATCATTTTTTTAGTAAAAGAGTAGTACAGTAACATCACAATCAAATGTAATTGCAAAATCTATATCAGGACACAAAATTTCCACTTGACATTAATTAACTGAATATTTAAAACTGGTGAGTAAGTTATGTTTCGTAAAAAATGCTGGTTCAAATCAAACTCCAATATTTTTTCCAGATTTAAGAGTCTCTGTTTACGCTTTAAATTTGGATGCAACTTCGGTAAAACTTTGGACACGCACATCCTAATAGAGTTAGACTCTAAGTCTGCAACTGACAAATAATATTTTAGAGCCGAAAAATAGTAGTATATCAACATGAAGCATTAAAAGTAAGAGAATTTTTCGATATTTGAATTTTCTGTTATTTTTTTTAATGGCATTCATTGATATGTGGATAATATTAAAAACCTTATGTCAACCATATTTTAAGTTAAATTATATTGTTTTTTCTCAATGAATATGTTTTAATTTTTCAATTTCTACAATGGTCTCAACACCTGTACACATTTTAAAAATTATTCAAGTTTTTTGTTATAATAGTGGCGAACAAAAATTTTAGTCTGGCTAGCACCTATAGAACTGAAATTTCATGCCATGATCTAGATACACTGAATAATCTATTTCTACAAGGACATTGTAAATTTATGAGATTTACAAGTGATAAAAAATATTAGAAAACAAAACAAACAGAATTAAAGGGAAGTTACTGTTTTAACTAAAAGAGTTATACCCATTTAAACATTTTATTATTAAATATAAATTTCTAACCAGAAACATTTTCAGACAAAATTGGCTGCAAAACATTGGCTAAGTCATTGTCTCCAGTCATCCAGGCATCTTCTATTAATTTATCCATTGTTGCAGCTAAATGAGGATCCATTTCTTTATCTGTATTAACCTAAGACAGAAATAAAAAAATTATAAATTAAAATTGAAACAAGTCAGAAAAAAATAATAAAAAGTTTTGATAAGTTAAGAGTTTTTTAAGAGATTGTCAAAAATTAAACTACATTGTTGTTTTGATGAGCCCAATGAATTTTGAACAGTAGGGGAAAGACTTATACAATGCACAAATACATTTATGCCTACATATTTATATTTCTTCTTGAGACTTGAAGGTTTCAATTATATTTGTTTCAGAATTTTTGCTTTGTTTAGATTGGTGAATTGTAGCTCAGAACACCAAAATCCAAGCAAAAGCAAGTGACAAAAAAAATCAATAAATGAATAATCAGCCAAAAAATTTGGTAAATTTTTTTAGCCACAAATAGTAGAAGATTATTCTACTCACAATGTCAGCATTACTTTTAAGTAGTGGTCGGAAATAGAGTGCAACAAGTAGCGAAACTACTGTAGTTGCTACTCTTTTTTGTAGTTTCTAGTGTAGTGTACTACTTTTTTAAAAAAAAAGTAGTGTAGTGAGTAGTGTTATTAAAAAAAAACAGTAGTTTGTAGCGCTTCCAGACAAATACTTTTTATGATTGTTCAGTAAAATGATGCTCAAATTCATCTAATTTTTTTAATCAAATTATTATAAATCTTTGCTGGTCCATCAGTAGACAATATGATAATGCCTCTACAGCTGATAGAATTATAAATTTATAATTACTAGTCATTTAATTTGTAGTGTAGTGAACACTTTTTTTAAAAAAAAACAGTAGTTTGTAGCAATTCCTGAAAACTACTTTTCAGGTCTGTTTAGTGAAAGAAACAATGCTCAAATTCAGCTAATCTTTCTAATCAAATTATTACAAATCTTCGCTGGTCCATCAGTGGATGCTATGAGAATACTTCCATAGCTGAGTGTTAATAAGAATTATGCATTTAAAATTACGCATTACTAATATTAAACTGGCCATTATGAATAATTACCAATTTATCAATTTGGCCCCACTTTATGTGAATGTACTCTCATGAAACATTGATGTTAATTCAATAGAAAAAACCTTATTTTCTTTGTACTTTATTTTGTTGAGAAAATAAAAAAACATTAAACACTGAACAAAATTTAAAATATTTGATTCCTATACTAGCATTTCTTAAATTGAATATTCGGTGTAGAGAAATGCATAAAAAAGTTTAAAGTTAAAAGAAAAAATTCGTAAAAAATGGTTTAAAAAACAGGCTCATGTAAACATGAATAAATATTTCTTGACGATTGATCCCGTTTGAATAAGCATATTTTTTATTCAGAACAATTTTGAACACAGGTATAAATAAGTTCTCTAGCCAAGTTCGTCTCCTAAAAGTAGTAAAATAGTGACTATTTCCAAAGTAGCTAGTAGTTGCTACATTTAAAAAAAAGTAGCTGTAGGTAACTACATTTGTAATAAAGTAGTAGTAGAAATATACTACTAAATACTACAAAAAAAATGTAGTTTTCCGACCACGGCTTTTAAGTTATTAACATTTTGTAAGCATAATTAAAGTCTTTTACACAAATAACACTGTATATTTAATGTCCTCCAGACTTTATATTACGTAACTTCATAAGATAGTATCGAAAAATCTCTTGTTTAAAAACTACTTAAAACAAACAAATTCATTTCAAAAACAGCAAAAAGTATAACGAATCAATGGATGGTATTTTAAGCGTGAGCAGCGAGATTAAATTAATTTCACAAATTACCATTTAGGTTTAAATTTTGAAGTTGGCATATTGTTGATAAGGTAAGAAGTGTTTTATAAAGATCTTTTTTTTTCAAACGACGATTCTTACGCCTTGATATGACAGGTCTTCAAATAATGATTCCTGCAACTTGAAACGTCACGTCTTAAAATGAAGATTCTTACAATAATTCCATTTTAAACACAAATAATAAATCAGGTAAAAAATACACGTATACAAGGAAATACTACTCAAGAGATTACCAAAACACATGTTGTGAGCCAAATGGCTTCAAAATATACCGGAAACTGTGACCCAGAAGTATAGGCAGTAAAGAGCTTGCAGTGCACCTTACTGTAAAAAACACCATCCATAAGGAAAGTGAGATTTAAAACTACAAGATACATAAGGCATTTCACCCATTAAGCACCTAAACAAAATTGTTTGACACTGTCTTCACACCCTACTTTCTAATAAAAAGAAATTCAAAGTGAAACCTGATTTGTATTACAAAAGAGATTTAAAAGCAAATAGTGAAAAAAATAATGATATATAAAAAACTTAAAATAAAATTACTTCTAGTGACTTGACAGAAAGATCTTCAATTCTAAGACTGTAAATGTCACTTGCTGAAGCTGATGCTTCCTCTTTAGCTGTTCCCTGGATATTCATTTCATTTAACTGAATGGAACACCAAGATTCAACAGTCTTTGTCGCTTTTTGCTTTGAATGATCCTTTTTAAACTTTATCATTGCTTTGTTAGAGTAGGCTGTTCTATTTACAAGAAAGCAAAGGAAATATTGAAACAGAAATATCACACAATGATAAATTTTTTCAAAATTAAAATTATTTTATAGTTATAGAACTTAAACTGTTATTATAAAATTTCTTAAAATATAACAATAAATTTTAAATATATATATATTTATTTATCATATTCATGACCTGAGTTATTCAAAAAAAAATTGTGAGTGATTTCAATGTTTTAATAATTTCTGAGATGTGAAATTTCAAGTAGAGATTAGTAAAACACATAAATGTATTGAAAATACGTTGAAGTTAATTTTTATGCATTTTTTTATGTTTTTACAATAACAATTCCACAACGTTTTCTAAATTCATGTCATTATTGCTGAATTTTTAACATTTCCTTGAAAAGCAATTAATTTGTCCCTGAACGTGTAAAAAAAATTTATCCATTTTAACAAAAATTAAGAGAAATATTTTCACTCTTAATAAAAAATTTTGAGTAGTTAAATCAAAATCCAATGTGTGAAGTATCTGCCTATATTACACATGGAGGAGCTCTAATCAACAATAAGTCATAAAACTTACTGTTGATCTTTTAATCAACTGTTTTATTACTAAGAGTGAAAATTCGGAAAAATAAAACTAACTTCAGATCAAGTTATTTTTAATTTTAAAAGTACTAAATAAAGGATGAAAAAGATTTTTTAATAAGTTTTCTTATAAAGAAATTTGAATGAAATGGGTTGTACTATGCAAAAAAGGAAGCAAATTATGATATGCATTATGTGCTCACTGACTTTTATTCAAATTTGTTGATTCACTTGTAGTGTAACAGCTATTACTTTAGTACTTCAGTTTTTCATTTTTAATAGTTTGAATCTTAAATATTTTTTTAGTTATTTTTTTAAGCCAAATAATCATTAGAGATAAATCATTTGCAATCCTAGAAACATCCCTTCCATATCACATCTTTTTTTATAGGAATGTCTGAATAAAACACTGCGGAAGTTCCAAAAGTAGAATTGCAAATTCTAAGATAACTATTGTTACTATACAAATGATTCAGAAAAATTAATAAATATGAAATTTAAGGTAAAAGCAGAGATATTAAGGCTTCTACAAGCATATTTCATGCATTTAAAATCAGAAATACATCGGAAAAAAAGCTAGGCATGCATTTTTTCAAAGTTTGCGATTTTAAACAAAAATTTAGCTGAAACTCTGTGATGCATACCCAAAATTAACAGGATTTTTTTTCTCTGCTAAGAACATATCAGTTTTTAGTATTTCAGCAGAGGAAACTAAGCAAGAGTCTGATGTAGAGTCAATATATTCCAGAAATTACATGTTTCAGTTTAATAATTTTGAATTTTGCATTTGCATCAACTATAAATAGAGTTTTATTATATCTAAGCATTACTATACTATCTTAATGGCAATACCCTAGCCAAATGTACAATGTAAGTTTTTCAATCGAAAACAGGATAAAAATTAATGAATCGATTCAAAAACCGTTAGAAATATTAACTAGAATATCAAGGCATAGACCTAAGTTTCAAGGATAAATTTAAAATGTCTACCATTTTAAATTTAAAAATAACAATATAAACATAAAAAATGCACACAAAAAATGGAATTTTAATGAAAATTTCATTTAAATGTCTTGTATTATTTTTTTATATCAAATAAGTCAAGTATGCTAAAGATTAAAAATCAAAATAGTACACTCCTTTCTCTTATAAAGTAATTTTTTTGAATACAATTAATCTCTGTAATCTATAATGTAATTGTTTCAACTATTTTCTTACTGTCATACCAATGAAAAAGTCAAGGAATATTTTCACTCCTTGGAAGAAAAAGCCAAAGCTATATCTAAGGATAAAATACATTGCATCCTTTTTAATTTAATCTATTGCAATGATAAAAACTATTCCATGAAAAAAGTTATAAAATGCTGTACAAAATAAATTGGTAATTTTGTTTCACAACTTATTTTACATTTTGATACCTTGTGAGTCATTTATATATACTTAATAATTCTGATTATATGTTTTTCATTTACATTCAAAATTTTTCTCCATTAGGTCATAATCTTTATAAATTAACAACTTGTAGTCTGCCAGCCATATTTGGAATTTATAAGTCCATGAAAATGTCACTTTATTTCATTTTTAGTTAATTGAACATTTTTTCTAGAAAGAACAATTATTTGTGATACGTATGAAATTAAAAAAAGTTGAAAAAATTTTTTTAAAAAAAGTTTCTGAATTAAGAAATATGATATGATTTTATCAGACAAAATAAATATGAGATGGACAAACACTTTGATTTTGCCAAGAAAAAAAAATTATGTGATTGTTACTAAAAATTTTTACCCTTTTAAAACATCTTCAAGAAAGTAAGTTTTTACATCATAAGTTCTTCCTGGAACTGTAAAAACAAAAATTTATTTTTTTAAATTTAGCAAAAGTTATACTTTGCATTTCTGATATAATACAACACATCATATAATTAAAATAAAGTATTGAAATGTGAAATATAAGTAATTAGATATTGTTAATATTACTAAGCATTGAGAAAAGCTTAGTAACTTTAACAGAAGCTTATAATATTAAATAAAGAAATATGCATACAGTGCCCGCCGCTAATAAAATCACCGGATAATAAAATCAGTCGCTTTATAAAATCAAATCGGCAAGAACCGAATCGTTACAATATTAATACATACATAGTGTAAGAGTTAAGGAAAAATGTGGGTGGTTAGTGGCGAGTTCATAGAAATCAATGTTAATTCCTTGACTTGAATGAAGTTTGGAGAAACCTATCTCACTCAACAGGGGGTCGAATTCTTATCTTACTTTTTATTGAATGAACCATAGAAAGGAGAGGAGTTTCTTTTGTTATCTATCTTAACAGAGAACATGAATAGATTTCCAAAAACTGTCTGTGTGCATGTTCCATATTATTTCAGCCGTTTGAGTAAATTATAGTTAGAGGGCATATCATTTTTAAGTTCGTTTGGTGTTAAATTTTATCAGCATGCCGAAAAGGAAGGATTTGAGTCTTAAAGATAAATTCGAAGTGTTGCAAAACTATGATAAGCTTCCTAAATGTAGTCAACGTGAAGCTTCAATGGAGATGGGGCTCATAATTGTTTCGAAGAAATGATCAGCTAGGAAGAAAATGAAATGGACGAGAATTTTTCATGTTACGTAGCTATTGACAATAACCTGCAAACATCAGGAGAAAAATCTGATTCTGAAATTATTACAGACATCAAAAATTGCAAAGTTATTTCCCATCAAGAAATGGAGGAATCAGACTTAGAAGATGAAATAAACTCATCAGTGCCATCTTCAATGGAAGTCAGAAAAGCACTTAATGTATTGCGGCAAGCTTTAGAACAAAGAGGAGGAATATCGAAAACTATAAAAACTTCTATAAACTCTCAAATGATGTTGAAAAGTTAACTTTAAATACTGCACCTCAAGCAACCATTGATCGGTTTTTTGCAAAACTTTTGTAAATTTAATCTTATGTAGGGTTTTACTTTATTAAAATAGTTAAATTAGTTAAAATAAAGCATTAATGTGGTCACTATTTCAGCTTTTAAAGTGTGTGCATTTAGAATGTATCATAAAAAAGTTTTCTTTTTTCAAATGTTGAATCGCCTCTTAATAAAATCAGCCGCTTAATAAAATCAAAAGAGCATAAAACGAAAGTGATTTTAATAAACGGCGGGCACTGTATATCAAGGCAAAATATTTAGAATTTATCTGATATAATTTAACCTAAAGCAACATCTGTAATTATTAAGTAATAATTATTAATTCTTCTAAACAAAAAGATTTACAACATCATTACAATTGAAAATAGTCAAGAAATAAGCAAAAATTCTGTACCTTCAATGACAGGGCAATTGCTAAAGTATTTACTAAATAACTGAGTATCTAACGAAGCAGACATAAGGACCAATTTCAAGTTCCGGAATTTCAAAAGTAAGTCTCTTAACACAATTAGAAGAAAATCGCTGTATCGATCTCTTTCATGGAGCTCATCCTAAAAGAAAATGTATTTATATATAAAATCTTACATGAATTTCAGACAAAAAAATATTAGGAAATATTTCTAATATCTTACCACTAAAATATGGCTAACTGTTGCCACTGATGCATCTCCACCCATTAATGTGCGTAAAAGGACCCCATTGGTACAAAATGTAACCAATGTTTTCGGAGATATTCTGCAAACAAACAATAACCTCTTAACATATACTTGTAAATATTGTCATTAAAAACCAACAAATCTGTGAAAATACAAGTGTATATCAATTTCTAATAAAGCAGATCTATCATTTTGTAACAGAAAATAAAAATATAAAGAATTTTATAATTGTAAAAACTTTGTAAACATTTCTAATTTTTATTAATGCTGCAAATTTAAAATTTTCTGGTTATTTAAACATCTTCAAAGAAAAATATTAAACAAAAAATATTAGAAAAATATTAAATAACTCTTTTGACACCTAAAATTAGTACCTCTCATTTTTGAATTTCACTATAATTTCGGAATTTATTGAATCAGTTTCTGAAGTTTATAGCAACTACTTTGAAAAACAGTTATAAATTTTTTTATCCATCTTTAAGTTTTCTAAACTAACTTTTAGTTAAAATGCAGAGGGCTACCGATTAGTTCTTGGATCACAGGTTTAACACACCCAAAACAGTAAAAAAAAAATTGCTAATATGCAGCATAAGACTTTCAACTTTATCGACTGAAAGTTTTCCAATGTATAAAAGAACTCAAAGCTTTTCTTTTTTTTAATTTTATAATCCATAAAATGCACAAAACAGAGAAGATGAGATTAAAACCAAGGAAAAAAAACAGTAAATAAGTAAAAACAGGTACCTGCTTTCAAGACGAACTTGATAGCCAATTGTTTGCCCAATTTTTTCATCTCTCTCAAATGCCACTCTCTCTGCCACAGTTATCGCAGCTATTCTACGAGGTTGTGTGCATATTACTCGACATGGATGTCCTACCATACTACTATGATCTAATATAAATTGCGGAACCTGAAAAAAAATAAGGTTAATATTAAGTTTTTGAATTAAAATAAAATAGCAAATAAAATAGAAAAAATTTTGAATAACAAATATGGATAGTCAATGCAATTTTAGAGTTTTAGAAAATGTGAAATGATTATTAGTTTCAGCAACTATAAGCATTTATATTTAATGTTTATAAAGGAAAGCGCTCAAAACATAAAACAATGGGGGATATTTCCAAATCAGTATTTGCTTGTACCAAATGAAATCACTAGGGTTCCAAGAGAAGCAGCATGGTTCTTGGATTTGTAATAATAAAAGAAAATAGAGAGAGAGAAAAGTTAAAATAGAGGTTGCTTAGACTTTTGTCCTTTGATTTTGAACAATTCTGTAACGATCTTTTTTTTCCTCAAATGACTGATTGTCACCATAACTTGGTGACTATTCTGACACAGATATCAATAGAGAAATCTATATTTCTCAACAGTGAGCTCAAATTTGTCTACCAAGTCAGAAACAGAAAAAATCAACACTTCACCACTTCATATTTTTAATGATTTACGAAAGGAAGAAGTTAAGTTCAAAAAAGAAAAGACTAAAGTATGGATAAGATGAATAAGCAAAGTTTATAAAATATGAAAATAACAAAAGAATAGAAAGACTAGTAATGAAAGGGATTTACTGTTTCCAATTTAAAAGGTTTTCTCTATTTAGTGCAAGTTCAGTTCATTAATTTTATCAATATGTTTTCCAATGGGACAGAAATAAACATTAAAAATAAGCTGAAATTGTTGTTTCAATAACTATATAAATTTTAGCAATAATAAAATTAGGAAAATTCTAATTATAAAACTAAATCTTTCAACATAACAATTTTTTAAAAAATAATCTACAGTTAAAAAAAAAATATTAGCAACGAAAGTTAAAAATGTGCTATAATTTAATATTTTTAATGAAGTCAAATGGTACAAAGCTTCAAAAAATTTTAATTTAAAGTTTTCATATACATGCTTCGTAGATATGAAATATGATTTGCTCTACTTTGTCTTTTCATTTTTAACCCTTTCGAGCCGACTGTCACATATATGTGACAGCAAGAAACGCGCTCACTTCCCGGCCGACACACCCGCGTGTCAGAGAGTTTTCTCGTTCACCCCCGACCGTCACTTATTTGTGCCAGCGTTTCGGAACGTTTTAAAAAATGAAATTTCTTCCAAAAGATGGCATTGTATGTCCATATGGTTTCAGATACATGTAGATTTGACCTTCTACTCAAGATGAAAGTACATTCACGTGGTTTTTAGGGGAAGGAGAGGAGGGGGGGAATGTTTTATGAGGGCTCTTTAAATTAGCACGTGATATTTATTTACAGTAAGTAAGGGAGTTTTTTTTATCTCTCGCTACTTTCGATTTTCGGATTAGTTTTTAGTGGATAATTAGATCTTGTAGGCTTGAATTTTTTTTCTTTTTACCGTTAGAATGTCGAAGCGTCGAAAATTTTTAACTGAGCTGGAAATAGAGGAAATTATGCAAAATATTTAAACTTATTAATATTTATAATACATTTAAACAAGAAATAACTTAAGTAAATAAAGTACCCGTAGAAATATATATAAAGCATATGTCACTTAAATACTCTACAGAACAATATTAAACAACGCGCTGATATTTCGGTAATTTCATGGAATTAGGCTTACCATCAAAAAACCCTCCGGCCCTGGGGAGACACACGCTAGAGAGACTGCCGGCCTCAGCGGTAAGCGCGCTTTCGCGCTTTGCGTCGCGAAAGGGTTAAGGGAAATTGATATTTTACTTATAGCAATATGAAATAATTCAGTTATTATCAGTTGATAAAGAAACCAAATTTATTGTAACCTCAAAAGCCTCAAATGTTTTTGTTCATGCATTAAATATTTATAGAATAAGCCAGCAGATTTGCTTTAAAAAATGAAAAACTCATTTCTCTAAATACATTTTAAGACTCACAGAAATGACATTTAACTATCAAATTATAGTTTTTGTCGAGTGTCATAAAATAAAGCTCGTCAATCAATAAGTTTAAAACAATAAAGAAAATTTTTATCTCATTCACTCTTAACCTTTAATTGAAAATGTAACGGAACTTTAACCTATTTAAAATTAAGAATTGCTATCCTTAGTCAGAAACCACATTTTCAGTTCTAATGGAGCATAATTTAATCCTAAAAAATTTCTTGATATAGAAAGCAGTTTCAAACTGTGGATTTATTTTGAAAAGCTAAAAAAATCAAATTAGGTATAAAAATTAGAAAAATTTACCTGCGTAGTTTTTCCACTGCCGGTTTCTCCAGAAATTAATACAACTTGATGACAGGAAATCATTTGAAGTATTTCTTCCTGACAATTCCATATTGGTAGAGTTTGACGAAAAGGAGTGTATTCATTTTCACATCTTCTCGGGGGAATCATTGGAATTCCACTTCCAAGACGCCCAATAGTTCGGCTCACTTCCCGAGCAGCTTTAAAAGTTACTGAATCATTTAATGATATTATATATATAGGATATACCTGATATAGGAAATATGAGTAAATATACAGGTTCTCCATAGTTTAAGTTAGCATTTCTGAACAATATGTATCAAAAACTATGTAGCAGAATTTTATGAAAATTTGGTAGAGTTCATAAGTGTTCTCCCTAAGTGTTTTTAGAAGGACGGCTCATCCTGCCAGCCCTTTGATCCCTATAAATGTGCCCTCCTAGCCCTCTTTGTGAAAATAAGCTGCCATCCCTCTAAAAACACAGCCTTTTTATTTAGTTATTTTTCAAGAAAATGTTTTTTTTCTTAACCACCTGTTTTTAAGGAAAAGTCCACTTCTAATTTATTTAGTTATTGATAGTTAATAGACTTTAATTTTTAATTTAATTCCTCCATTTTAGTAAGATTTTTCTTTATTTGTCTAGTTATGTTGATATGAAATTTTTTTCTTTTAATAATTTGGAATAAATTTTTCGAATATATTGTACAATAAGATTATTAATAATATAAGATAAAGATTATTATAAGATAAGATAAAGATTATTATAAGATAAGATAAGAATTATTAGCCAGAGTTGGGATTTCTTTAGGAAAAAGTATACTTTTTTTCAAGACATTGACAAGAATATAAAGTATTTAAAGTCTAAAAATGACCAGTACAATTGTTTAGCAATAAGTATTAGTTTAAATTTAAATACATAAAATTTGAAATAGTACAAAAAAGTTTACTTTTTTACTTACTTAGATACTTACTTACTTTGTTTAAAGAAAATTTATACGCAGATTGTCTTTTAGCTTGCATTTAATTCTTTTTCAAAAACTTCAGATTTTTATTATTTTGATAATAAATGAGAATTACTATGTGAAGTATACGCATAAAATAATATAAGAGGGCAATTTAAAAATTGAGGGTCGAATTCAGTTATTATATAATATTACATTTTTTGATAAATTTTAACTGTGGTAAGAGAGTGACCTTTTGAAACTTGAAGTGTCCTTTTCCGTGAGACAGCACCCTCCCCTTTTTGATTCCTAGGGGAAAATTCTAATGTAATGAAATAATGGATATTTCATCCAGGAAAAATTAAATAAATGAATAAATAATAATTTAATTCCAAAAATCGCCTTAGATGGTGTACCTGCCAACAAATTGGCCACCAAGATCAACAGATTTAAATCCTGGTGACTTCGGGCTGTAATGATGCCTTACGGCAGCGGTTCTTAACCTATGGGTCGCGACCCAAAATTGGGTCGCGAAGCATATTTCTTGGGTCGCGCTGAGTCGAACCAAAAAAAGTTAGTAATACACCAAATAATAAGTAATACCAACACCTCCTAGAAGAAGTCATTGTGGCTTACTCAGCCTAATTTTGACTTTTTTTGGGGTCGCGGCTTAAAAAGGTTAAGGACCTAAAACATCTATCTCTGAATTTAAAGATAGCTTATCATGCCATGTGCATAACGTTCCTCATTATACATTATTTTAAAAGATTGAGCCTATGATTTACCTCTTCCAGGTTATAGCTATCAATGGTGAGCATCGTATTAAACAAGTTTTGTCAACTGAAGATGGTTACACTTTTATGTCATTGATTTGTATTTATATCTGTTCTAAGTAAAGCTATAATACATCACATAATAGTGGCTTTCGATTATTTTTTTTTTTTTGTTATATCAAATTTTTTTTATTTTCATTATCAGGCAATCACCAAATTTTAATGGAACTGCATAGCTTTTAATTAATATGAACTATTCACAAATGCTTATTTTAAGTATAGACACCCTATATATCAGCACCAAATAACAGATGAAAAATATGTATATATATTTCTTGTGAAGTGCATTTTTATTAAAATTTAACAAAAATAAAACTTTGGCTTAAATTTAATACTAATCAAGAGAGTATTTCTTTTTTACACATCGCCAAGATCAGTGATAATAGCTGGTAATGTGTTATTTGAGTAACACTAAATAAATTTAGGGGCAAATTTTCTAAAAAAAGGCATCTCTTTATCATCAATTTTCATTAATCAAAGTAAGCACATTTCATCACAGCAGTGATATTTCTTGATTAAGTTTAAAATATATTTCAGTATTGAAACTTTGGTTATCAAATTTGCTAAGTATTTTAATCAGTTTTCTCAAAACAGTAATATTTCCTAATTATAACAGCCATAGTTCTCCATCCATAGAACTTAAGCATAAATATTTCATATCTTGCAATGGGGAAGAACTGTTTTTGAAAACCTGGTTGTTTAAGCTTTAAAAAAAAGTTTAAGTTCATTAAAATTCATGCACTTATTTTCTTCTTCCTAATAAAAAAAAATCAATGATTTTAAAATAGTGTATTAATCTTAAGAAATTGGAGGAGGCAGAGCCCACTAGTTTAAGAACATTTAAGCTAGATTTCAATTTATTATGGATGCCCCTACAATGATGGGTATATTAAAAATTAAGGGAAGCTTTAAAAAAATGCAAATTTTTACAAAAATCCTGAGAAAAATTGCACTTCTAATTTTTTAATTAATTATTAATTAATTAACTTAAATATAAGGGAAATATATGTCTTATGAATATTGATTAAAATACAATATAACAAATATGAATACCATTAAAATAAAAATTGCATAAAAATGAATTAGTTTCTATAGTTTCAAATTACAATTTAAACATGAAAAAGATACATTTTCAAAGCAACTGCAAGATAATTAATTTCATTTCCTATAAATATTCAATAAAGTATATGGATTCAAAACAATATAATTATAACTCATTAATCAAGTAGAATTTATCTATAAATATGGAACAGATAAATCTATAAAAAAAATTAACACATAGAAAATTAATGTAATACTTTTTAATATTTTAAATTTAAAATTGAAGCTTTTGTCAGTAATGAAGAAAGCTATAATGCAGGAGCTATAGTAAAACATTTAGATGAAGATCATTAAAAGCATCTAAGGAGAAAGGGGGTTGCAATTTACTTATTTTTGCTAATAAAGAGGAGAAGGAGGGGTATACTTAAGCAAGAAACTAAGTTCCCTTTGATGTCAAAAAAAAAAAAAAAAAAATACTATTAAATAGCAAAATTAATTAATCTTTTTATTTTTCCAAAGAAAAATAGATTTTGCAAAAATTTTATGTAAATATAAGAAGGTAGAGATTTGCTTATTCTTACTTCCAAAGAAAAAGTGTTTTAAAAAAAAGGCCTAGGTAATTTATGAAAACTGCCTCTTATAACAGATTCGGAATATTATTTTAACAATAAGTTTCTATTAAGGTTTTTATCCTTCCATTAAAAAATGGTAAGTACAGTATAACAAAGAGTAACAATAGTTTAGTTAGGTTGCATAGTTGAAACAATTACAGTAGATAAGTTGTACAATAAATAGTTGGAACAATTTATCCAAATAGTTATACAGTTTGTAAACATGATTTACACTTAAATATTTTCTCATCATTTAAGCAAAAGCTTTTCAGCATAAAAAGAACTGGTTTTTCCACAACATCATTCAAAGAAACAAAAGTTACCAAACAAAAAACTTTCACACTATTATATCCAGATAATGAAGCTTTGGGGGATTAATTCAAAACATTTTCAAAATTCTAAACATGAATAATTATAATTTTTACTAACTGTCTTGTCCCATAATACGATCTCGCTCAGTAGGAGGTAGAAGTTCTTGACGTTCTCTAGCTGTAATTGGAAACCGCTGTAAAAGATTCACAGTGTGTCTCTTAGAAGTATGACCAAATTGATACACTGCATCAGCTTGCACAATTGTAGATCCTTCTTTCTTATAGACAGTTAGAAATCTATTAGCCCCTTCTCTATAATGAAAAAGTAAAACTTTCATCAATTGAAATTACCTTATTTTTAAATGTTTCACAATCTACAAAGAATAAAAAGACAAGATTTTACTTCACTATCAAAAATGACTTTAGTTAATTGCATTTATTAATACAATGACTAAATTCAATTTTACACTTTAAAGATTCAATTCATTTGAAAATAATAATTCATATCGCTTATTAGATCATTTTTAAGCTTTGTTTACCTTGGGGATCTGCTATGCGGAAAAATCTATTATCGGGACATCTGGAAGTCCCACTGATTCCAGATAAGCGACTTACCACTGTGTGTATATATACATTTTAAATTTAAGTAGGGCAGTTTTTTTTTCTTTAAAATATAAAATGATTTCTAAAATAAAAATATTCACCTCTCAAACTCTAAATGATTTTTAAAAAAAAAATTTTTTAAATGTTTAACATTTTAGATTGAAATAAAACATTACAAATAATAATAAACACAACATTAACAATGAAATAAACACAACATTAACAATGAAATAAACACAACATTAACATATTCAAAACTTATAAGAGATATAAATAATTAATAATTGTAAACAAAAAAAATTGAAAAAGAAATTACATTTTACAGAACTTACCCTCTGCTTTTGGATTTTAAGCCTAATTGCTGACAATAACGATGAACATAACATCTTTCACAAGATGTAAAAGAAGATGGAAATTCATATTCTGAAAGATAAATAAATTGCAGTTGTAAAAAAGAAAGAAAAAAAATCATTTTTCCAAATTATTTTATTTATTAGGTTCTGAGATAAAAAGTTACTCATACATGCATTTAAAAAGTCAAAATATTACATGCTTTTTTCTGTATACCTTTTTTTTTACTTTATCTATTTGCATTAGATAAAGTAAAAAAGTCTAAACTGAAAATATTTAAAGATAATTTTTAAATAAGCATATTACCTTCAGAATTACATTTCAAATAGTAAAATATTAGGCATATTAAAAAAAATCATTAACACCTACACCACACTGTTTTATTTTAATATTAATTTTAGTTTTTCCCTGAAAACTGCTAAATATTTTTTAAGCATATGACTCTTAAAAAGTTTGAATCGCATCATTGATTATTTGATTTATTAAAATGTAACAGGTATCTTCTCCATTTAAACGTTTCGAATATCTCTATTACTCCAATCTCTTTACATTTTCGTTTTCATTAAATTATAGATCAAATAGTTTATACCACTATTTAATGATTTTAAAAAAGAATACATGCATCATTTATTAATGTAAATAGAATTAATGCAATAATAGAGGCAAAGATTTCATGTTTATCAAATTATGAATTTCATATTATTTTGTGATAATAGAAACAATAAAAATAAAGCAATTTCATCTGACTCTCTGACTGCCTGGTACCTATCAAAAAATTTATAAATCATTTATTTCATAAATATGGAAAAAAAATTTTATAAATCTATATTAGCCAATTGTTAGCTAACATGATAAAATTAACATATATTAATGCAGGAAGATTACATAATTTATTCATTTTATATATTTTATAAACTATTAATTTAATTATAGAACAATTAAATATGAACAACTGCTTTAAGCTAATGTCATATAATTTAACATCTAGAATATGTGGGCCAACCACTGATTGTTAATGTGCATCATGCAAGAGCTTCTAAAGACAATGAAAAATAATTTATTTTCTTGAAAAATAAAAAAATGACCAAAATTTTTAATCACACATTTGAGCCATCACTTTTTAATGCGTTCAACTTGCACAGATTCTATTGTTAATCAACGTTGTTTCGTAATCACTTTTTTAATGGTTATTGCTACAAAATTCCGCATGGTTTTAAACAACACATTTTTTATACGATATTATGATTCACTAATTTAGAAATTGAATAATCAGTTTTTTAATCTTTTTATTTAATATTTGATTATTTATTTAATATTAAATTAATATTCTTCTTCTTCAGCACGACAGCCCCTTACAGGCCTTGGCTGCCTCAACCACGCGTAACCTCCAACACCTCCTATCCATGGCGACTTTTTTTCCAGTTGTTAATCTCTATTACTTTGAGATCTTTAGTAGTTGTCATCCAGTCATCTAGTTGGAGGTCTTCCTCTGGCCCGAGATCCAGAAGGATTTTTAAAAGTGCCAAATCATACTGCATTGTTTTCTGGACCTCTCCAGATATGGCCAAGCCATCTTAATCTATTGCTTCGGATGACCTACACTATCTGTGGCTGTCCATAGAGTCTATATAATTCAAAGTTGTATCTGATTCGCCAACAGCCGCTTTCCTGTACTGGGTCAAAAATATTTCTAAGGATTTTCCTTTCAAAAACACCAAGAGTACGCTGAGTGTCTGCGTTTAGTGTCCATGTTTCATTTGCATAGAGCAATACAGGTAGAATAAGAGTCTTATAAATTTTATATTTGGTTTTTTGCCTAATTAGGCTTGATCTTAATTGCTTTCTTAGTCCAAAGAAACACTTGTTTGCCATTTTAATTTCGTTGTCTACTTCTGTTTTTATGCTCACTGATCATTGTTCCAAGGTATTTGAATTCATTAACCTTTTCAAAGGTGTAACCATTTATGAATAAAGGATAATGATTTACAATTGTGGCTGGAGATTCCATAAATTTAGTTTTATCTTCGTTGATGGTAAGGCCCATATTTGGGGCAGAAGTTTCAAGAGTCAGAAAGGCCTCTCTCACTGCTCTCTTTAAATTTATAATACTCATTAAAATATGTGTGTATTTTTTTAAACACTTTCATATTTTTCTTTCTATTTTAAAATTTATATTTCTTTTTCCCAATATATTTATATATAACTTCAAAGTTTTCTGATAAAATAAAATTAGTGTTTAAAATTAGTGTTTAACATTAGTGTTAAAATAACTAATGTTTATATAAAATTATCGAATTTGTCGCCAACAAGACTAAATATGACTGTGGCCTTTCGTTAGTCAACCTGCTATGCAAATGGCCCTTCACTCAAAAAAACTGTGCATCTCTAATTTAGAAGAAGAGATATGAGCTCTAAATAAAATTTTCTGTTAACAACTTTTTTTGTGTCTGTGGGATTGAAAAAAGTTAGTTTACTATGTCTAAAAACTAATCAATTAAACATTTATTCTAATCCCTTGTATTGCATAAAATATGAGAGTGTGTGAATTAGAAAAGCATTTCAAATCTACGCCCATATGATATAATTATGCTTAATAAAAATAATACATTGACAACAAATTAAAATTTTTATGATTAGGTAATTTGAAAAAAAAAATTTGAAAAATGTTTTTTTTTTTTTAAATTATTAAAAAAATGGGGATATTTCTGTATTGTGATCTGTTGTACCAACTATATTCGTCAAAATACTAAATGGATTTTGAACTTGTAAATTTTTTTTTAAAAAAAAACATGTAGATGTTTGCCCGGGAAGGCTACAAGTTATATCTAATAGTTGATTCCTTTCTGTGATGATTTCTTAGATAGTTTCTCGCAAGCCACTGCCCAAAACTTGATTATTCTGCCACAGATCAGAATACGGACATCTCCCCAAAAAAATAATAAATAAAATAGAAAGACTAGGATTTTTAAGGATAAGTCAAATAATATAACATGATAGTATTTGATAGTTTAAACAACTTTCAAAGGTCGGCATTTACGTGAAACTGCTCTGATTGAAACAAGTAACATAATGAAAATTGACACTAGAATACAAAATTCCCTTGCTTAATTTTATGCACATTTAAGAAAATTTATTTGAAATAATAACAAAATACACTAAAATTTTAGCATTTATAATTATCATTATTAAATTTTACCCTTTTGTTCTTCATTTTGACGAAAATTCTTGATAGAAAGATGAATAGCAATGCGAAATTCTTCGCCAACAGGAGGTTTACTTTTCTTCCCCATATTGTATTAATATTCTAATTGTAGAACATAATTTTTAAAAAATTGGAGCGGTTTAATAGAACAAGAAAAACCCTCTTATTATTATCAAATAATTAAGACCAAGAGAAATTATTTCAATACACGAAAATTTCAAATGTAATAAAAATTCAATGATTTTCAAAATACTTTGCCATTAATTACTTTTTTAACGAGCAAAATAAAACTTTACAATTAATGATACAACAAGATTAAAAATAAGGAGGGAAAACAACTCTCAATAAATTTCAAAACAAGCATCTGTTTATATAAGTATTTTTTTTTTTTAAATATATCATTTTACAATAAATTATAAGGCTAGTATGTGATGAAAAATTTAATTAAATTGGATTAAAAAAATTTTCTTTGAAGCACTGACAAATTTATTCTTAACATTTTTTATAATGGGAGTATTTTAATGTTTTAAAGTTCATAATAAAGTAAGCTTTTATTTTAATTTCTTAAAAATTCGGGAAATACCCTAGGTTGACATTTTAGAGTTAGTTTTGTCTCTGTTGACATTTCGGAGCTGCGGAAATCAGACAATTACAAAACTGTTCATACGTCAAGTTCGAAATCTAAACCAATTATCTAACGCTACGACCTGAAATATAAGTCGAATTCTGAATAAACTGTGCACAAAAGATGAAACAGAATCAATTTTCGAACAAATAAAATAGCTCTTTTAAACTGTATTGCCAGATTTTAAAGATGGAAATTCAAACTTAAAGCATTCTCGGCGAATACAATCACCATTTAGGTAAATATGCTACAGGTAGCGCTCTGCAGAACTCTCTACCTATGGCAACACTTTACATTCCTTCACCATTAGCTTGAAGATAGTCATAGGGGAAGGAAGTACGCTAGTTTCTATCAACTCAAAGCTATTCAACTCAAAGTTGCATTCAACATAGTTCTAAATGAAAGCGTCGTAGAGAATTTTAAAAGAAACATTTTTGACAATTAAGTGTGAAAATTATTATTGGCGATTGAAATGGGTTGCAGGTGGCGTAGGGCAGAACTCTCTACCTATGGCAACACTTCGCATACTTTCCCCATTAGCGTGTGGAGAGTCATAGAGGAAGGAAGTATGTTAGTTTCTCTCTTGATTTTCATATAGATTAAAATCTTTCAAGTTGGAAAACTACATGGAACTGAAAACTACTTTAAACATAGTTCTAAAGAAAAGCATCACAGAAACTTTAAAAAATGTTTGTAGTAAATAAAAAGGAAAAATATTAAAAAATGGGAAAATATCGTAATATATTCCTATACAACTGAAAAGAGAAGTAGAGGGAAGGGAGAAGGGCCAAAGGCATAAAACCAGTCTCTCCTCAGATGCCGTATTCGAGCGTTGTGATCGCCAATATAAGGGGGAAGCTGGGGCCCTCAGAAGCTCAAAATGCACTTTTTTTCTTTTTTACATTGTCGGACATAATAAATATAAATAAATGACTGAATAAAACAAAAAACTCCGTTGTCATTAGTAGGGAACATATCATATTTCAAGCAATTCGAGTATTAATAAATTATTTACAAATAAAAAAATTTTTAGTTTAAAAGGTAAAAAAGTTTTTTTTTGCCCCATCATTCGATCATCAGGCTATTTAATAACTGTTTCTAAAGATCTGAATTCCCTTTTATTTTACTTTAAAATTGTACAAATGATATATTGAATGCTTTCATGTGAAATGTAGCAGTTTTAAATAGCACTTTAAAATATCTAAAAAAAAAAGGACAGAAATTGTCAGTTCAAAAAAAAAAACAAATATTGACTAATACTTTTGAATAAGAATTTAAATAGCTACACAGGTTTGTTTTGCTATCTGATGTTTGTTTTGCTATGTGATGATGACGTAATAAAAGAGGCATACAAAAAACGCAAATTTCATTTCAGTTAAAATCCTCAATATTATATTTTTAAGCTCCTCGAAAATGTAGTAAAAGAGGTATACAAATTAACTGTCGCAAACAAATTAACACTAAGTAAAGAACGAAACAAAAATGATATCGAAATATGCTGAATCACTAATGAGACCGGGATGAAAGACATCGAAACCTATTTGATTGAATAGTATAACTAGAAGGTGTTTCTAAAATTCTGAAATCTATCNTCAAGCTCACTCCGCCCAGTTACCAATTCCTAAATTGACCAAATATCAATTTTCAAAACGTTTGGAAGCCTACCCATTGCTTGTAAAGCGAGCTATGGCAGCTATAATTCCGTTTGCTACAGCGTATCTTTGCAAAGAGGGATTTTCCACACTTGTGACAATAAAAACTTAACATCCAAATCGATTGAATGTTGAACATGATAGGTCGTTGTTGTTGAAAACCATTCCCCAATTAAATTTACTAATTAAGGAAAAGCAGCAGCAACCTTCACATTAAAAATTTTGTATACTATTAAAATAATAAAATAAAATGTTTTCTAATTATTGATGTTTTTAACAATTATTTTTTTCACAGGGGGGTGGTCCGTGACTTCTTAAAAAATTTTAAAAGGGGTCCATTATATCAAAAAGGTTAAGGAACACTGCTTTAGTGTGTTCCATTGATATGTTGAATGCTCGTTTTGGCTGGATGCCCGGGACGCACGATTCCAAACCGTAATGTTCCCAATCCTTAAGACGGGGAATATGCAACTTTTTCCCTCTTTCTCGGGAATACGTGATTCTAAGCAATGACGTCAGAATAAAATTGTGCGCGCGCAACATGCCATGTACTGTCTTGTGACTAGTGTCTCAATGTAGAGTCGAGTGGAAAACGCATGGAGTCTAGGAAAACGGCTCTCTATGGAAATCCTATGTTAAGAGCTTACGCATGCGCCGTGTAAGGTTTTTTGGCGACAAAAGCTTGGCTTTTAAAATAGGGAGTGAGGGAAAGATATGGAAAACATGTGAAATTACAGATTCTTGTAATTTTTGGCTCCCTTTGTTGTTCTATGTTAGCCCTAACAGATTCTCTTCATTTTCGGCTCCCATCGTTATCTTAACTAATTTCGCTCTCGTTCTTAGTATTAAATATATCTTAATAGTATTAAAATTTAAATGTATTATAGAAAAAATTTACTAAATAATAAATAGTAATAAATTTTCTTATCTCTATATTTATTATGGATTTTTCGGATCCCACTGTCGTGCAAGTGTTTGTGTTTTTTTAAAATACACATCCAGCAGCTATCAAGCACTAAATTGTTTTCCTCCTTATTTCTTATATTTTTTTATTTCATTATTTTCTATTTAGTTATTATTTATTACACGCTATTTATTTATCTTCTTGGAGTGATGTTTGCAATGTAATCTTGTGTGAAGAATGTTTAAACTAGTTTTAAAAAATGATATCCAATAGCTGCGAACGTTAAATTGTTTTCAACCTATTTCAGATATTTTTTTAGTTCATTATTTTCTATTTAATTATAATTTATTATATGTTATTTATTTATCATGTGGATTGAACTTGCAGTGTAATTTTATGTAAGAATGCTTAAATTAAATTTTAAAATACAAATCCAGCAGCTATCAAGTACTAAATTGTTTTCCTCCTTATTTCTTATATTTTTTTTTCATTATTATTTTATTGCTTTTTATTTTGTTTGATCGCCACTGGTTGCAAAATGTAAATAGAATATTACTATCAAGTTTGAATTATTTTTTGCAGAAGAGAATACTGCTGTAATATAAATTACTGTTATTACTAAAGAACTTGTTGCTCAAAAATACCTCCATTCACAGTCATTCTAATGACATTAAATTACTGAATAAAATGTTTAAAACTTGCAATTGTTTATCAATGCAGCAATTATTTCTCTTTTTGTTTGTAATAAAAATATATCGATTTTAAAAACATATCCAAAAGGTGCCAATTATTAAATTGTCTTACTTCAAGTATGAAACAGGGTGGCCACTCAAATCAGGTTTCAAATTTCTATGATTTTTCCAGTAAAAATCTTACAATTTCCAGGTCAGCGTGTTTTTTTTTTTTGTCTGCTAAAGTGTAGTATAAGTATGAGAAAAGTGTCAATATAATAGTTTAGTATTTCATTTTCAATGTTATTTTTTTAATATATAACCTTGAATAAATGTGGAGGAAACAATATGTTTAGCTTGCAGAAAATAACGCTTTCAATTAATAAATTTTTTTTAAGTGTTAAATAGTGCCAATGACCCAAAACAACCTTTAATAAGTAATGTTTAATATATTTTTATTAACAAAAAAAAATAAATAATTCCAGGTGATTATAAACCAGTGAATTTTTATATTTATTTACATTTCAATGTAGAGCCATTTTATACTGTACTTTATCCAAACAGTTTATACTCATCAAATTTTTATATTTAGTATTTAATATATCATAACCTATCGAAAAACAATTAGTTTTATTAAAACTGATTATCATAGGTTCAAATTAAATTGTTGCTGTCGGATGTAAATTGCAAGAAAGCAACAAATGATTACTCTGCAAATTTGTTTTTAATTTAAGTTTTAACTTGATTGAATTTTGAAGCTGATGTTTAGAAAAAAAATTCTATGCAGTCGCTTGTGAAGTATGATACATAATTAATTTGAAATTTTTTACTACACTGTCGGACATAAATCTCTCAAATTGGATAGAAATTTAAGTAGATGATAACCATTATAATGACTCAAAATTAATTTGAATGCTATAAATATCAATTTTCAATTAAATAGCTCTTTTGAATTTAAATTGTCTTCTATTTCCTGTTGGAATCACTCAGTTTAACTATGCAGTGCGCGACTCTCACGCGGGTTTAAATAATTGGAGGCGATCTTAACATATCCAGTTAACAAAGGCACCTGATGTAAACTCAACATGGAAATTGGTTAGTTATAACGTCTTTTGTTGGTATCATGGTAACTTAAGTGTTGACAAATAGTAGAAAATGAATAGATAAATGCAAGTAAAAGAATTACAACTTTTTGTTACTTTTATTTATTTTGGGTAAACTCCCCCCCCCCCCCAATTNGTGAACCCCCCCCCCCCCCTCGAATTTTGCGAATAACATTTTTATCTAGTAATTTATGGCCAATTTCAATGAGTTACCGTTTTTAATTAGTTAATTTATTCTCAATTTTAATCAATTGCCTACTAATTCCTAAACTTTTTTAAGGATGTTAAGTATAAGCTGATGGAGATAATTTAGGAAAAGTCAATATTTTAGGAATACTTATTTGTTTATTTTTAATT